ATATTGTTTTTTTTTTTTTTAACCAAATCGTGAGATCTTGTAATCAACAATTTCCTTCTTCACAAATTTCTTCTTTCCTTCTCAAATCTCATCACTTATTTTTAAGAATGACAACTAAAGTTAGAGGGAATAGGTATTTCTTACCCTAGATTTCTATCTTCTACGACATTTTTCTTGGAGATCTTGGTAAATTGATTTAGTAAATAATTTCATGGTTTCTCTTCAGTAATATTAGTTTTCGACACATATACTGGAGGTTTCGAAATTGAGGTTCTTTCGGTTGAAACTTATTTTATTCTATCTTGAATATTCTTAGATGTTTTTAAAAAACTTTTTAGCTGCTCCATCTAAAGATTAAGCTTTGGTTCCAAGAGAAAAGATGAAATGCAAAACAAAAAATAAAACTAAAATGAGAAAAATGGTTAAGTTGTGTTCTTTAACACTTAAAAATGATAAACTATTTTCAAAAGATATAAGTGCAGAGATGGTTTGTACAATCATATGGCAAAATTCAACGAAGGTATCTTTAGGCTATTTTTTCTTAAATTATATAAATTTGTTATGATTAATTTTCACAGCTTAAGCTTTAATAATAAAAGATTATTAAAGTTTGGTAAAATTAATGATGAAATACAAGGTAACTCAATAAAGTTTGGTAGAAGAAAATTAATGTTGAAAGGAATCTTAGGTGTGGTTTCTTGAAAGCTAGCATGTATATATTAGAGCACATAAAGTTGAGAGACGTTTCTTCATCGGTGGGCATGACCATAATAGATTTGGCACTACTTAGAACACTGCATACACTGTTTGAAGTTGTTGGTCGTTTAAGGACACATTTAATTTCAAGTTTGGAAAAATTAAGTCAATTATATATTTTTGTGCCAAGTGAATGAGCCCACTATGAAGGCCAATTTTTGTTTCTGCTTTTTGGTGTGATTTTAGAAATTAAAACGCAAAACAGAGCTTAAAAAACAACATCCATAAAGCAAATTTCTATTTATTTTGTTTTTGTAGACTAAAAGCTATCTTTGAAAATAATAATTATAGACTTTTTAACCTTTGAAATTTTGTCTTCAAATTGATAATACTTGTACTCTTTAACAGTTTTTTGAGAATGTATTGCATGGTTTTTTGTCATTTTCTGACATAGGTGCATTCGTTAAGAAATTTAAAAGTATTAAAGAATTTTTTTAAAATATTTTATACATTAATTTTTCATTTAATATGTTTATTCCTTAATTAATATTTTCAACACACTATTTTTAAAATTTTATTTTTGGTTCATAAAAAATATATATTTAATATACACAAAATTTGTTAATATATTATAACTTATAAATCTATATAGTTACTCTTAGAAGGAGAGTTTTTAAGATTATCTTTAATTTATTCACATTAGGTTACGTGGCTTCTCTTCTATCAGGTGCTTTTTATTTTTTATATTAACTACATTATTTTTTAATTTATATTTTAATTCCCCTTAAATATCATTATTTAAATTTAATTATGATAATTAAGTTCAAAGTTTAATAGCTTGGATTAAAAGGGTTATATATTTTTATTAGATTTTAAGATCGTTGAGTCTTAGAAAATCTCAAAATTAAATTAATTTTTAGATTAGATTATATTATATTGATATAGATAAAGATAATGTGTATTGATTCGCATGTTTTATTTTAAAAAAGAGTATAGTAAAAAATATTTTTAATACATGTAGTATTATCGTATTTCATAATACCTTAGTTTTATTTTCAAATTTTACTTAAAACTCATAAATAGTGTCAATAGACATATATTTTGTTAGCTTGCACGATATTATTGACTCTGATTTTTTAATAAGAAATAAAATAGAATTTTTATTATAAAAAATAAATGATAGATTCAAGATGTGTTAATTATTAAAAAAATTTATATTTTTTTTATTAATATAATTAAATATATAAATTATTAACTACATCATTTAATATTATAAATATTTTTAAAATAAGATTTATATTTATAAAAAATATAACAAATATAATTATTTTCTTTAATTATAATAATTTAATCTTTTAATTCTCATGAAAAATCATAATCTGATTAGAAGCTTTTCTATAGTTTTGATTGAATCATGTTTTCATCAGTATACCCTGAATCTCTAGTCCCGTTCCCTGTAACTCAATAATCCCAGAATTCAATGAATTTCATATTATTTTTGTGTGTTCCACTTTTATATGAATTATTTGTTTTTGATGCGATGTCACACCTACCACCCGTGTGGGCCTCATTTTTTAGCTTTTTTCCTCTGTCAATTATTGTTCAACTTTACCAAGATCAACACTGAATTAAACGTGTTTTAGTGTATAAGATTTAGAAAATAATCATAAAAATGTAGATATTCAATTTAGGATGTGTTTGAGAATATAATTCTGAATAAAAGGAAGATAATTTTTAAAGTTAAGAAAATTATATAATATTTATAAAAACAAGTAAACTAATTTTAAGATATTTGTTTTGTTTTAAAAATGATCAAATTACTAAAACGAAAAACAATTATTCAAATTTCAAATATATTGGTTAAGTGCATGCAATTGAAGTACTTAATCTCCATAATATTTTTTGGCAATCATATCAGATTATTAACTAATACATTTAACAATGAAGCATTTTAGTAAATAACCTAATGTAATCAACCTGAATTTGCACTGTTCAAAAACAATCATAACAGTCCAATTTCCTATATGCTTAATAGACATTGCTAGTCCTCAAGAGTCATGCCAGCTTCTTCTAGACGCTGAAGATATCTCTTTACTTAATCTCTCATATGAGAACTTTGAACTTTGAATCTGAGATGGACTCTCCTTAGTTTCTTCTTCTTCTATCATACGTTAAAACTTATCATAAAAAAATATGTTAAGGAAAAGGTAGCAAAGATCTGAAAATTTTGAACATGACACTGTACAAAGAGAATGATTTCAATTTTGCATTTTCTTTCACTGACATTGACAATCAAAGTTATAATAAATGAAAGTTAATGGAACAAAGCTACAGCGTTTCTACTAATCTTTCTTCTTCCCTCCCACGTACGCTGTAAAGCACTCCACGTCTTCCCTTAATACTTCATTCCTTAAAATGCGCTGTGAAATTAATTCACACACTAAACTCTTTCATTGGGTTTGAATAAATTCCCAAAAGATTTAGCAAACTATAATTCGTGAAAGCAATAAATTCCTTAAAACATGTGTCGATCAAACTTTTTTGGACTTTCCTTCTTAAAATAGTTATTGGGTTTAGTTTAAGTGAACTTTTATTAGTGTGTGATCAATAAGTTACGTTCTTATTAAGATTCACATGCTTTAACTTCAGAATCAGAAAACCTTTTCGTTAAACTTTTCATTTTTATACGAAGCGTTAAATATGTTTTAATCATTTTAAAAATGAACATTAGATGAGTATTATATTATTCACCAAAATTTTTAGTTTTTTAAATTTTGTGACAGTGAGTTCGTGACTTTAACTCCTATAAAGTTCCAAACTATAAGGTATATTTACAAATTTTAGTTTAAAAAATTAATTGAATAAAATTTAACAAATTCATAATTTATTATTCATGTGTATGGATAATATCAATACCATCAATGACTGAGATTTTTTATTTCTCTTCTAAATTTAACTAAAATTTGTATCAAAACATTAAAACTTGAGAATATTTAAATTCCTTCTCTTATATATATATATTTTCCCCCTCTTTTTGGTCAAAATTTGTTCCCCTTAAAAAAAAGAGAAAGTTGAAGCAAATGGGCCCGGTAGGGAGGAAACAGTACCTCAACCCAAAACCATTCTGTAATATAACTTGTACAGCCCACTCCAACGGCAACCAATAGAGAAGCATCTTTAATAAAATGGGAATCGGAACGACAACTTTCAATCTTGGACCCAAAAAATGGTAGCTTTTCACAGTTTTCTTTCAATAATTTTTAATAAATGACACAAAAAAGAAAAAAGCAAGTTGCACAACTCGGCTGGAAATAGTGAAGGCCCATAAGACCTTTGGGGGTCAAATTCAATCCTCAAATGGACAAAAACTAAAGCCTTGTTAACGAGTGTTTTATAAGTATTGATTAAAGAACAAACATTAGAAGGATTTTATTGAAAATTATGGTAAAAGTTTGGACCAATTGTAAACTGCTCAACTTCACCAAACACAAATTGCCCATTTAATTTCTTGACATGAAAATTTAGATACATGTTAGTAAGAGACATAACAAAGAGCAAAACTTAAGTACTACAGGTATTGTTGATACTGTTTTTCTAAACTTTGAGTTAGTTGGATTAATTTTTAAACAAATAATTATAAAATAAAGAAATTTTTCTACAAATTAAAATTATATCTCAATTTATGAAAAAAATGCAAAAATACACTAAGTGCAGGTAACTGTAGTTACTGCAGAGAAATCTGGTTTAAAAACCAGTCAATATATTTTTTTTCTGTTTGTTTTAAATAATGAACCTTCATTGATTAAAAACAAGGATAATTATATATTCAAATTATTTTATTATATGGTGACGTAATAAAATATATAGAAATATAATAAATATTATTTTTTAATAAAAATACTATTTTTAAGTAGTGTTAACAAAACCGTTATGTAAGATCATGTACGTCAAAATATCTAAAACTATGGTCCCATACGAGGGATTAGTGGTTAAGTCACTTTCTGTTTATTTTTTCATCACTACCCATTTGGGTATTCCAACAATGACATCATTGGCTGGCAAGTGGCAACTGTCGGTGATTCATTTATAACTATCTAATGTTTAATCCATTTCATCAACACTTCCCCACTTGTGCTTCCTTTGCACTATTTCTACAAATTTCATGTGCTTTTTTAGTTCCACTCATTGAGCCACTTGCAATTCCTTCCATAACTTTTGGAATATTATTACGTACGTTTGTTGGCTTTCATTTTTTACTACCATTCTGTCCAACAAGGTTCCTTTTTCATTTTTGACTATGTTAATGTGTATTTTTTTTTTGTAAGCATTAATTATTAATGTGTAGTTGATTCAACAGTGATGTTTCTTCTATGAGGAATGTGTTGAAGGTCCCACAAAGAGCCAATGATGTTTCAGTCATGCTTATTCTTTTGGGGTGTTTTTGTTTCGATGATTTTTCTAAAAGAATTCAACTTTGTGTGCAGTTCTTGTTTCGAGGTTCCAAGTAACTGCATCAAACAGGGGCCTTGCAGGAGCATGAGTCAGTAAACTTCAAACAAGGGAGTGTTGTGAGAAAAATTTGTTACGGGTATTTGAGTTTTACCTTCTCGTTTGATTTTTCATGTTGTGGAAGTTAAAGTCATACTAAAAAGTTGATTCCTTTGCAGTGGCAAGCATGACAAGAGGAAGACCAGATGTGAAATCAAGAAAAAGATTGTTCACAACTGTGTTGGTTTTGGTGATTATTGGTGCTTTTTTGTACTTCTATTCTTATAGTGACTCACCTCCTGTTGAGTATGGTAGTAAATCATCAAGTCACCTAAGAGGGAACAAAGATGACGATGAATCTTCCCCCTTACTTGGAGGAGTAGAGGACAGTGCTATACCAAAGAGCATTCCAGTGAGTTAAATTAAGATTCTGACATGAACAAGTTTTTTATGTTTTTCCTTAGCACTAGCCTAGAATGTTAGTTTATGATATTATGAACATTTTCAACTTGTTTTTACTCTTACATTTTACTTTGTTAAGGTCTGTGATGATCGTCTATCCGAGCTGATTCCTTGTTTGGACAGAAACCTCATATACCAAACAAGATTGAAGCTTGATTTGTCCTTGATGGAGCACTATGAGAGACACTGCCCAATACCTGAGAGGCGTTATAATTGTTTAATTCCTCCTACTCCAGGTTACAAGGTGACATTTCGTCTCTAGGCATTTCATTGCTTATATTAGATGGAACTAAGGAAGTTCATAGTGTTTGGATTGGAAATTTTCTTTGCTTAAGCTTTTAGTTTCTGTGTTGTTATTGATAATAATAGATTCCAATTAAGTGGCCCAAAAGCAGAGACCAAGTATGGAAGGCAAATATACCTCACACCCATCTTGCAACTGAGAAATCTGACCAGAACTGGATGGTTGTGAAAGGTGAAAGAATAGTTTTTCCTGGTGGAGGAACCCATTTCCACCATGGTGCTGATAAATATATTGCATCAATTGCTAATGTAAGCTTCTCTCAAAATTGAGACATATAAGTTTCTCACCTAATTAAATATTTTAGGGTCTGTTCGAAAAAACTTATGATGTTGTTTTCAGGTTATTTCAATAAGTTTCTTATAACTTATCAAAATATTATTTTCAACATATCCATATAATTTCATCGATAAATTTATGGCATAAATCATCATTTAGAAAGAGCTTATTGAATTTTAAATAACTTGTGTATCCAAACGCACCCTTAACACTATATTTATTCACAATTATGCCTTCAGATGCTCAATTTTCCAAATAATAATATAAACAATGGAGGAAGAATCCGGACTGTTTTTGATGTTGGCTGTGGAGTTGCAAGCTTTGGAGGATATCTTCTTTCTTCTAATGTAATAGCAATGTCATTAGCACCAAATGATGGTCATGAAAATCAAATTCAGTTTGCTTTAGAGAGAGGAATTCCAGCATATCTTGGTGTCTTAGGGACCCTAAGACTCCCTTATCCCAGTAGATCTTTTGAATTTGCTCATTGTTCTCGCTGTAGAATCGATTGGCTTCAGAGAGATGGTTTACTTCTTCTTGAGCTAGATAGGATACTGAGGCCAGGAGGCTACTTTGCATACTCATCTCCTGAAGCCTATGCACAGGATGAAGAGGATAGGAGAATATGGAGAGAAATGAGTGCTCTTGTAGAGAGGATGTGTTGGAAAATAGCTGCTAAGAGGAATCAGACTGTTATTTGGGTCAAACCTCTTACAAATAGCTGCTACTTAAAGAGAGAACCTGGTACTCAACCTCCACTATGCAGATATGATGATGATCCTGATGCTGTTTGGGGAGTTAAAATGAAAGCTTGCATTTCGCGTTATTCAGATCGTGAGTGAAATTTCCTCTATTTCATGTTTATAATTGCTAGATCGTGAGATATACTGGTGAAGAAATTGTTCTCAGTTCATTAATATTTCTAAAATATGATTATGAATAACAAATGATGAGACACCAACTGCAACAAAAGCACTACTACTAAGCAGTTGTTTTCAAGAGCTCACTTTATGAATTTGCTTTTGCTATTAGAGATAGGTCCAATATATGATGATACTACTGCATTTTTTAATGTTACACCAGCTAATGCTTGTATTAGTTCATAGTTAATAACTATTGCATACAATAACAATATATTCTGCTTTCTATACAGAAATGCACAAAGCAAAAGGAAGTGGTTTGTCTCCATGGCCAGCTCGATTGACGACTCCACCTCCTCGTCTGGCTGAAATTAACTATTCTGCTGAAATGTTTAAGGAGGACATGGTAATTTATAATTTTTGTTCTCCTGCATTAGTTAACTGAAAAATATAAACAATGATTACTGAGATTTCATCATGCATTATAAACATATGTTGGTTGAATTTGTGGAAAATTTTATAATTTTATTTTTCAGCTCTAAAATGATCATGGACACAATAAATAAGCTTTAAAAGAAGAAAATATTCTAGAATTGAATCCAAGGCAATAAAGCTTGATATGATCTTGCAATGGACACTGGCCTGAACAAACAAATGAACGTTTGGTAGCTTTTGGTAATTGAGAGATCTAACTCTGTGTAGGAAGTTTGGAAAGAACGAGTTCATAATTACTGGAGCAAACTAGGCAGTAGAATAAAGGCAGACACAATTCGGAATGTGATGGATATGAAGGCAAATTTGGGTTCATTTGCAGCTGCTTTGAAGGACAAAGATGTTTGGGTTATGAATGTGGTGCCAGAAAACGGGTCAAACACACTCAAGATAGTATACGACAGAGGACTCATAGGAACAACTCACAACTGGTATGGCTCGTGTGTTAACTTTATTCAAATAATTATCTTAGCAAGGTTATATTATGGCAACCCCTCATAAATTTCTTCATTTTTAAAATACCCTCCTAGGAAAAATGATGACCATAAAAAAAAGGGAACTTCTAGTTGCGAATTTAAGTGATTTGTCTAAATTTTGGCTTTAAGTTTAATACCAAATATTGTGTGCCAAAACATGTTGGAAGTAAAAAAATGGGAACTTCTGGTTTGATGAAAAACTGATTAGGTTAAACTTAAAACCAAACAGTATTTCAGTAAAATAGTTTTATCTGATGAAAATTAATTTGTGAAAATATGAATGATTACTAAACACGTGAAATGTAATGTAACATTAATTTTTTTTATGACCATAATGATGTTATGCATATAAATGTGACAGGTGTGAAGCTTTTTCAACCTACCCTCGAACTTATGATCTACTCCATGCATGGACTGTATTTTCTGATATTATTAAGAAAGAATGCAGTCCAGAGGATTTATTAATTGAGATGGATAGGATTTTGAGGCCAAAAGGTTTCATCATTGTACATGATAAGCGATCAGTGGTAGACTATATAAAGAAATACTTGCCAGCGTTACACTGGGAGGCTGTGACCATATATAATGTAGATCAAGGTAAGGATGATGCAGTGTTTATAATTCAAAAGAAAATGTGGCTCACAAGTGGTAGCATTCGGGTTTCAGAATCAGAATCAGAATAGTGTCATTACCAATGCTAGGTGTAAGATGCCCACACTATCTACTTAGGGTCTAAGCTTTTAGGATTTTTTTTTTTGGATTTTATTCTGTTCACCACAGCCGTAAGTCACAGTGATAGCTCACCCAATTTATCTTATCTTTATTCTAATTTATTCAATTCTAGACACTTCAACCTTTTTATCCAGTATGAAGAATTATGCCGATTTTTAAATTAATTTTTACATTTACAGGATATTTTTTAGTTTTATTTTTACATTTTTATTCTGTTATGGAATCCTGTCTCTCATTAACGTGTATGGCCTAAATGGAAATGCATGCAGCAATTAATAATAATGTAGTAGTCAGCATCTGGAGCAATTTGGTGGCAAGTTACAGCAATTAAGTTATTTCTTTTTGTTTTGGGCTGCAATTGTATGAACTATGTACTCGTCGTAAATTTTTCTTATGGATCACGAAATTTACAGTTTAAATAAGCAATCCCTCTCAGTAGGAGGAAAGCACATAAAGAATGAATAAGCTGATCAAATTTTATATTCACCTTAGTAACAGTTTAGCTACACACTTCTATTATCTAATCAAAATCACGGATTTTGATGTAGCTCCCATGTGTACATTCTCGTGATATGAACAACTTAACTTCAATTGTTTGGAACCTTGGGAAGAGTTTTCTAACCGGGCTTCTCTCCAAATTCAGTTTATTTATACATATACAAAATTCATTTTTGCATAATTTAGTCTAATAATTTTTGTCTAATAGCACTTTTGTCTTGGCAATCACATTTAAATACATAAAACTAATTAAAATCGCATAATCTAGTCTACGAAAAGATTTGTATGCCAACCATGGTTTTATTTAACAAGTTTTGCAGTACTTAATTCTTAAATTCAAATATTATTCATTTTTGCTCTCTCTCTTTTCGGCCTGGAAGTGGGGTCATTGGACAGGGAATTTGGGTTGATAGAGTTCGAACCCTTTAGACCAGGAAACACAGTACGAACCCCACCCCGCTTGACTGCATGTCCAACTATCACTCGACCTACACTGCAGGGACTATAACAGCTCTTCATTCTCGATCCAAGCTATCATGGTTTTTTATTTTGGTTGCAGCTATCATAGCTAACTTAAAAGAACCAGAAAAGACACCGCTTGAAACAGCTAATATGTTTACACGACCTACATGTTCACAAAGGGTCTAAGCCATCTTTATCCACGGACCAGAATTTGTCCAGCCTTTCCAATACGCTGAAACTTTGAGACAGTAAACAAAAGTCCTCAAAACTTGACGAACACTTTATGATCTATAAAACGCAATACTGATTAGTTGATGCTGAAGTGGGTTGGCAGACATTGCAGGACACGGACTATGGTAGCATATGGTTTGAAAAAAAGCCATGTCTACCATACAATGTCACGGATAGGTAGAATATGCTAAAACAGGCGGTATCCGACGATGGCTTTCATCAGGATAAAGCAAGATCAAGATAAAGCTTTTCTCCCTTGATATAGTTGAGCATTCTAAATTTGTTACAAACTAGTACAACAAAGTCCTACAAAATTGGATTAGTACCATTTTTTTCAAGGAAAAACTCAAATTATCATGTTGTGTCTTTATAAATAGACAATTTTCCTTTTACTCATGCAGACTTCAACTTGGCTGATGTTGTAGCGAGATGGGAAAGAATTCTGTGTCCCACAAATATCAGAAAAACTCCCAAAAACCCTACAGTTTTGAGTGTAGTGAACAAATCCAGCTGCACATGACCAAAAAATGTCAGCAGAGAAGCATTTCACATAGAAAAAAGGAGGAATAAAATGTCTGACAAAATTCCCCTCAGTTTACAGGAGACGGTGCTTCTCATTGATAATGAATTACCTCTACTTCGAAATTATATGGACAAATAGATATTTAGCAAAAGAAATTGAATGAAACATGTTCAATAGTGATACGCTGGCATACCTTCAACCAGAAAAGAACATAAAGCAATAGAACTGCACCAATGCCAAGATGGAACAGGATGGCATATGTAGCAGGTGCTGCTGAAGAAGGAAAATTTTTCAAGTTCACCCCCAAGCGTAACAGCTATAAATGACATCAAAGAGAATGACAAATGTTAAATAACATACAGGAAAATAGACCAAATCTTTAACAAAACAAAGCAAATAAACCACAATTTTGTACAAGTAACCTCATAATTCCTAAACATAAGAAGCGAAAAAATATATCTATATGTTTAACATACAATTCCTGAATTCCAAACTTTAGACCGAAAAGAAAACAATTTAAACATTTAGCAAGAGCAACTTAAAGCAATCAGACCAGACTCCCATAGAGGCCCAATTTCATGCAGATGGAAGTCTTGCAAATTTAAAGCAGTCTTTCCAATATTAAATGTTTGATCTTTACAAATATTATCTTTCATAAGACAAGATTCCAGACAACACTGCTCTACATTTAAAAAACCTTTACTGGTGTCCTAAAGTAGATAAGACCCTAGTGCTCTCATTGTCAGCCATATCCATTTCCAAAAAGGAAATATATTTTAATGTGGGAGTGTGTAACTTGGTTAAAAAAGATGGCGAGAGAAACAGGCAGTTTAAGTTGAGACTAGGTTATCACATTAAGATTCACCACCAATAATGAGTTTGTCTGTCATAATTATAAGGGGAAAATGTATATAACTGCTATAAATAAATAAAACAGGAAGGCCATTTTCACTCTTCAGTTCTTACCCCAAAAGCTCCCAAAAATAATTACCACATCAGTTAGAAGTATAATATAAAAACCATTCATGTGTCTTCAATTAGCAGCTTAAACTTTTGAGATTGTTGGATCATGATATGGTATCAATGCCTCTGTGATAAGTGGTCTAGAATTCTATCCTAGTCATCTCCATTCTTCTAATAAAGATAAATATTTAATTTCCATACACGGTAGGTGGGCCTGTGCATTGTTCCCACTTCAAGTGCATGTTAGTAATATAATATAAAACAATTTATGTGTCTTCACCTATTAGGTTGAGCTTTTGGGCTTCTTGTTAGTTATGACATCTGATTCAATATTTTTTTGATAAAATTAATAGTTAACTAATAAAGACTAGCCATAAAAGTAAATTTAAAGTAAAAGCAAATTAACATTTCTAGATAACTCTTCTGCAGTTTCTCTTCCCAGTTCTAAGGGAGGATTATTCACAAGACTTACCCCAACCAAAAAGCCAACAAATGGCAACAGGGTCAAACTCAAGAAAGTAAGAGAGAGTTGCTGGGGTGGTCGCTTTTCAGGAGCCCTGAATAAGTGGGTTATCTCTGCCTTGGGTCCATATCTTGAGTATGGATCGACAGGGAGTGGAGGAAGACGGGCTGCCTTCTCAGGTGCTTCTGGAAGATCTAATTCAACACGGCCAAGTGTCCATAAGAAAGAATTTTCCTGAAACCAAATAATTTTTTCTTAGATTGCCTATGGTATTATGGGTAAAGGAGAAAATTAAAAGTAAATAGCACAGGATACCATGACAGCATCACCAACAGTCAGCTCAATGTCATATCTGCCTGAGAGGTAATAAAATTTCTCTACCAGACCAAGAAAATCCTAAGAGCCAAAATTACAAAACATTAGCAAAACAAGAACAGCTATTTTGGTTGATGAGAATGAAATGACAATTACAGTCTTCACAGAAACATAGGTCACACAAAATTACAAGCTCCTCAATCCCAGTCCAACTAAAAGAAGTTAAGGAAGGCGAATCATCAGTTTACAATACAGTTGCATGTAGTTCCAAAATAATATATAAAATAACCCCTCCCTACAAGTGGTTAAAGGTACTAGAATGTACCAAAACCACCACACACCTTTTCCACTCAATATTGCATTTTGATTTATAATATCCAGAATGACAATGCAGATGCAGTTATGCATAAACACATCATATGACCTCAGGAGTTGTGCAACAGATATTTATTAAGAATTATGAGCATTTTGACATAAACAATGAGATATGTGATAAGAGACACTTAACAAGAATAATCTCAAACTTCTTGCCGGTATTTCCAACCACAAAGATGTGTTCATATTTTGTCTCATGCCTCAACTTGAAAAATGCCTGCAGAAGAACAAATTCACAATAAACAGAGCATTGAAATGACATATATTTAGAAGGTCTAAGACAATTAGGAAACTACTACAGACCTGATGGGGCTTAAAAGCATGACCATGAGGTGTTGTCAATTGAAAAGAAAAGCGCAACTTTTGCAAGTGGTTAGCTGAGAGTGAAATAACATCCTTTCCTGCCAAATCTAACCTGGATAGCAAAATGCCAATTGAAAATGAAGAAATAAAAACATATGCATATGAGTTACGAACAGTTAAATACAACACTCAAGATTTAAATTCCTACGTACTAAGTCCAAACTTCATACAGTAAACACAACATAAAATGCCAGGCATATGACAATTAAATGTGCTCAGTAAATAAGTTGAATGATCCATAGTATAACTTCAGAAAAAATTTTAAACCAAAAACAAAAACTTACATCTTCTGGGTTTCAACACTTCCAAGATCGCTGTCAAGAACTGCAATTTCTGCAGTGCTAACTTTAATAATGCCAGTGACATATATTGGTACATGAATTTGGCCTCCAGTAGCATAAACTTTTTCACCAGCAGAATCATGAAGCATCGTCTATAAAACAAATTTGCAATATTATAGTTGACAGGAGAAACAAATACACCTTGATGCAACTTAAAAGGAAAAATAATCACTAAATTTAATAAGCAAGAATACCTCAAAAACAAACACATAGGTTCCCACGTCCACCATATCTGGAAAAACATCCAAGACATGAAGTCCACTCTTTTTATCATATTGGAGCTCCTGTATCATGAAACATGGGCAGTGTATTCAAACTATGGAAGGTAGCACACACCAGAGATAAGAAAAAAACCGTCAAATTAAATGACTGCATCATAGGGGGGAAATTACCAAGCTCCACTCCTCAAAATAAATCATTGGTTCATCACTCACCTTGCTCTCAATAATAGCTGAACCTTTAGCATCAGTGTGGAAAGCTTTGACAAGTTTAACAGTTAGAGGTGGTGCAACTGAACCAAGTACTGTATTCACCCTAACCTGATTAATTTTGAAATAGAAAATTGTCATGTTTTCCCAATTATAAACGTATGTGAAAAGCAGAAAAACTGCACAATTATAAAAAGGCAGATGAACGATTAACACAGCCAACTGATGGGTTTGACGTTCATGAATTACTTCATGTAAATGAATAAAAACACAATAAAAGGGGAAAACATGCAAAACAAGAGCTTGTTAAGCTACATAACAGAATAAAGGTAACAGCACAAGGAGAGCATAACAAAAAGAATTTAAAAGAAATGATTGAAAATGAAGGCATTAACAATTCAAATAACAGCTTATGGTCATAATTGACAAAAGAAGCCTAATCAAAACTATGAGCTGTATTGGTAATCATTTTAGAGATTTGACTCATTAATGCTGGATTCTGACAGGAAGTGACAAAAATGTATATTTAAGGATGATGGTTCAGGCCAAAAATGGATAAAAACCAAAGGGCTACAAACTATTTACTTTTAGTTTTAAAAAAAGATTGTACTAACGTTGAGGCATTCAGAAGCCAATGTATACCATCCACTAATCATTATCTCCCAATTTCTAAGAGCTATTACTTATAATACTCCCAAAATAAGGACTTTAAAGACTTTAATTTCATTGCATACCTTGAGCTGATCTTTTTTGGATAATGAATAAACTGTTGCAGGAAGTGACAGAATCAATGGGATAGAAACCCTACAGCACAACAAGAAATCCAAGGTACATATTATGACTGAATATCATAAAGAGATCATAGTATCAATAAAGAAGAAACAGAAAAAAAAAAAAGAGGTATCACTATTAAGTTCATGAACTTCACAATAATAGGTTGTTCTTGAGAGAAGCACTTACCTGTTGTTCTCTAGAAGAGCTAATGATTCAACTTGATTGAAGAAATCCTTGGCATCTCCTGGGATTCCAATGCCTAGGAAAAATTTTGCTAAACCCAATATTTTATCCCCTGAAAGCTGGAAATAAAAAGCCTAAACATTAACAGAAAATTCAAACAGAATAAAAAATTAAAGAGCAGCCCGTTACACTCCACATACATTTATTTTTCCAGAAGTAACAGCAGCAAATGCTGTAACCCCTCGAACAACAGAAGAAGTAGTGGAAAGAGAATTCTGATGCTCATGTCCACCAACAAATTTCTCATCAAAATAGAAGGACCCATCATCTGAAAAAGAATATGTTAATCAAAGACAAGCAGGATGAAGAATGAAACAGAAGAACCATTGAATGCAATAACAAACACTTAGGGTCCATTTGGATAAAATTAGGGTTCTTAAGCAGAATTTTAATATTTTGGTTGTGCAAATAATTATGGTTTATAATTTGAACTCTAAATTCAATTTCAATTCTACAATTTAAATGTTACATCTAGAATTTTTTTTAAAACTTGTAAAACTGACAATTAAAATTTATTTAATATATATGAATAAAAATATTTTAATTTAAGAATATAATTATTAATAGTATTATGACATAACATTAAAAATGAGAAGTAGAAAAAACAAACAACGTTTTTCTGCATTTTCAATTTCTTATAATACTGATGAACCTAAGAAATAGAGGTCTTACAAGCAAAAGAAGAATAAATACTTATTCAAGTCTGCTCTACGTTAGTAAGTACTAAATTTGATTAAAAAAAACATTGAAATCGCTATACTCATTCTCAACCCAACATATATATTACCACAAAAAAAAGGCCTTCAAGACTAAATCATTTTGAAGAGGTGCCTCTTCTATCTTCGGGTAACTTAGTTCATAAAATAGGACATTATATTGGTCAGTAATAATTAATAAACATGCTACCATTGCATGCAACTAATAAAGGTAGTCAACTCAATTGAAACCTTCAAGAAAATACTATAGTACCAAAATGAAACTCAGTATTGTTTAAACATAACATTTTCCAATGTACAGAGACAAATGACACTATCAGAAGGATAATTCCAAAGAGGTGGTTGCTAATTTGCAACAGAGACACACAATCAACATTTAAACTAAAAGGAACAAAATGCTACAAAGAGCCAAACAAGAAACAATGCAACAAAGCACAAAATGCACTGACAGAAGGAGATATTTAGAATCTAACATTTACCAAAGAAAAAATTAACCATGGAAGCTATATAAATCCATGCTCGGGAAATCTAAATTTATATATGAACATTAACAGTCATGTCTTGAAATTTGAATGAGGTTAAAAGTAAAGGTACACTTACCATATTTCTCAATGCCATCAAAAAGCTTCAATATATCATTTTTCACTGCACTCACCTGACAATATGGAGCTAATATTAGACATCAATGGGAGTGCCTGGATGCCCAGGAAAATATTATCTAGCATACTATTATAATGCAAATAATTTCATCAACATGAATTGGAGAATTTAGAAATAATATGAAGCTTTTCAACTAAACAAGATTTTTAAGTATAAAATAGTGAAGCAAGTAGCAGCTAGTTTAAGACTCAGAATTTTACCCTAGACTGATCAATTTCAGAAGATGCTAATGAGATTACTCCAGCCAGTGCTTCAAGTGCTAATCCTGTAAAATACATTAATAGCTTAAGTTGTTTTACAGATAAACAGCAACATTTCCAGGGATTCAGTATTGCTAATTTCAGTGCAGAAAACATAAAATCTCAACACATTTCCATATAGATCATTACCAGCAGCATAGGTACTAGACTCTGGATTATCTGAGCTGTAGCGCCATCTTCCATCACTTTGGCTTAGAGCCTGCCAATATTGCAGTAGATGAAATCATCATATTGCACCCAGTAACAAAATCTTATGTAATTTGTGAAGCAAAACGAATTAAACTGGGGGAATCTCCTGTCACCATGTTAGATGAGACCAGAATGGTATTTATCAAGTAACAAACCAAGTTCCCATCTTCCTCAAAACTAAAGGCATTAAAAACAGACCTTGATTGAATGGAAAGTCCCATCAGCATCAGTAAGAAGCACATCAACATCAGAAGCCTGATCCTGTATAACGATGAAGGGACAATGAAGGAATAAATCATAATGAAACATATCACATTGCAGTTTGCAAGTCTTAATTAAAAAGCATAGCCCTCAAAAGAGAGACATTTCCACTATTTAAAATTACATAACATGAGAAATTTCAGCATGTTAGGAGAATACTAGAAAGACCAAAAGAAATTTTACATATCAATTAGATTAGCTGGATAACTAGGAACTAAGCCCAGTTTACTATGAGTAGAAAGGACAGGTAAATATTTTCAATAATGCACCACATCGTTCCCAGAGGATACTAATAAAAACTCAAAACAGCCCACTGGGCTTCCCAAATTAAGTAGAGTCAAGAGAATTACCTTTATAAGAAGTAAACTTCCTATTGAGTAGTACATGTCAACCAAAGTACTTGCATCATTGATAGTAGCTTTAAGCCTTGAAGCAATATCCTTTAAAAGATAAACAAATAATAGCATCAGTTTTCAGACTAGGTATTTAACAACACGACATAAATTATAAATTTCATAAGCAATGACATTCAAGCGGCTACTTGTTCTAAAGGGGTTGGTGTTTATATTCTATGTCTTGTCACCTGCAAAAAAAAAAAACGTGGTGTTTTGCATTTGCAGTTGTTAACTTGTTACTACTTTAGCTTAAGTTGTTAATTTGTGACTTATGAATGGTATATCACCTAATGGATATTCAATTTCAGCTTGATTAAGTGTCTGCAGTGATTTAAAGGTTATTTTCATACTTCAGCTATTTTATATGCACATATATTGATGATCCATGTTACAATCTCATGATTTAAAAATTTCAGTCCCCTTTTGGATCTTAAGTAAAATATTGATTTTGATTACCTTGGCAACAAAATCATAAAATAATACCCAAAGCATTAGATTACCTTGAAAACATCCCCATTAACCTTGCATTTTAATATGCCATTAACCTTTAAGGCATAAAACAAATCCTTAAGAGGGGATGACGACCCAAGATTTTCCAATACTTTCTGACAAGCGGCTGTGCTCACATTAGGCTTTTTCCCAATTGCAAGAATATCAAAAACTCTTAGGGCCTCATAGGCATCTTCCAAACTGACAACATACGAGAGAATATTATTGAGTAGTCTTTTATACAGTAATCAATAATTTCAACAAAGTAACACATCATACAAACCTAAAAGAATTACAAACAATCTTTTGACGTCTCAGGATGTGCTTAGATCACAATGTTGCATTTCAAACAAATATTAAAGGACTACAAAAATCACATTAAGGCAACTCCTACTTGGTTCCCGAAACAATGCTGTAATTAAATAGCCTCAGAGAAATCGGAGATCAATATTTATCATAGTTTGTATTGACGGAACTATAGTTAGACAAACTCTTCACTACTTACACTGATTCACGAAATTAAACCACGACGAGACCATAGTTAGATTTACGGAATCACACAATATAAGGATCCATGAATCCGCATCTCACAACTAAGTTAGGCATGTATCAAATCAAACTATACATAGAAAAACACAGCTAGAGAGGATTCAACTGACCTTGAAAAGGATCCATCGAAGAGTTCTAAAGCTGCAGAACGGTGAGAATCGGATATAGGGCCAGGAATCGTTACGGCTCCGCAGATCGAAATAGCGAGAAGTAGTGCCAGTAATCCTCCTAGGTTTTTGGCCATTCCTGCAGCGATGAATCAGAGAGAGAATTTCACAAAGAAAGCAAATCACATTTACAATTTGGAGCGGATCGGCGTAGGTTTAAGGCTTAGGGATCGAGAATTAGGACGTACGCGGAAGCAGCATGAAGATGAGAAGGGTTCGGTTGCACTTGCCAAGCGACGACTTCGACTTCCACTCGGTGTTTCGAGTGCAACTGAACTATAGTCGTCTTGGTCGTGAAATCATATTTTATTACCTAAAATGCCCCCCAAAATACTGTTTTAATACCTTATCTGTCCCCCTTCAAGTCAATGCAGAAATCAACGTTTCACAGAAATAAGAATAATAAAAAATCGATTAAATTTTAAAATATTTAATATTATTAATGTATTAAATTTGTGATATTTTATATTGATTTACAAAGAAAAATTATACGTGAATTTTTATTTAAGTCTTAAAAAAAACATTTCTATTTATCTGTCTATGTAAAAGTTTAAGATACTAATAATTTCTGTCTTTTGTTAAAAAAAGAAATTATCATTTCTATTTATAATTGCTTGCTGAAATGCTGGGAAGATAATCGAACAATTACATAAATATGCCTCTCGTACTTTGATGCTATGTTCTCACTGAAAGCGAAGCATCTCTTGGCAAGAACAAATTGTATACGTACTCGCTAGTTAGCATAAACCGCACTCGCCTCGCATCCTCTCTCTTTGCACAATTCAAGTCTATCTTGTTGGTTAATCTTACCACAATGGGAAGAAGAGCAATTCAGAAATATGATGCTTGGGTGTTCTTTGAAAGTTGGTTCAGAAATACGTGTTGTTCGTGCTCATATTTATACAAATTCAGTACATTATTTTTCATTAGACAACCCAAAACTAAGCGTGACAATGTGAAGGTCCTAAAAATGTTAAATTTGAAACAGAATTATATAAAATTGATTAGGGTAACATGACTTCTAGATGACAAATCAAACTGTATTGATTTAACTTCCCCGTATATGTACTGTTTTTCTAATGCTTACAACAGCATTCCAACTTTGTCATTAGGAAATGAATCAATTGCAGTGCAATTTTCTTACAGTTTCAATGCTAAGGAACGATTCACCAATTAAGTCCTCAAAAAGGAGGTAGCAAAAGCCCGCACAGGCATACTTTTATTTTTATTCATGTAACAGATTTTATCTTGTTCCGAAATTTGTTTTTGCATTGTGAGAAAGTTCAAATAAATTTTTGAGATGACCTTTAGAAGAAGATATTAACTGCAAACACATCAACTCAATTCATTAGTGCACTTCAACATTCGTCACTTCATTCTAATATGTGAGCTAGATTTTGGCATATTTGGTTCAGAACAAAAATACATATACGGCTCAGCTACTTGACACCAGTACTAGATCAGAAAACACAGATAAGCAGGGAATGAAAAGCACTTGAAAGTTAGAGCTTCTACATCGCTCAATACTTTGGAGGCGGCTGCTGGGTTGGTAATAATCCAAAACGCTTCTTCAAAAGAACTCTCTGCCTTGAATATTTGTCATCAGGTGAAAACCGGGCTGCAGATCAGGAAAACCAAGAAAAATCACTAACAGCTATAGAAGGTGCATGAATTCTAAATAATATTTGACATATTAGTCTGAGACTCAGTTGTCAAAACAAGGTGATTGTAATGTTATTTCAATAAGCAGTGACAAATTTTGCCAGTGACGCATCAATGGAGTGCAAAAAAACAGCCATTCATAGTAGATATATAAATAATACAGAGAAAAATGAGCAAATATGAATTATCCAATTCCCATTAAAAAAAAAAATTGTACTAGCTATCATCATTTGCCTCACGCCTTTTTGTCTCATTTATAGCCAAATAAACACAGAGAGGAGCAAATTAAGCTACCTAGCTCCACATCCTACGGTTCAAGTTCTTAATCAATTAGCCACACTAATATTTCTCAGCCAATGATTTTACATCCAACATGAAATCTACTCTTTATCTAGTATCTAACAGTAACAACAACTTGAAGATTGCAATGAAATGATAAAGGAAAAAGAAAATAAGTTATTAAGCTTGTATGCCAAGCTGAAATTGAGTCAGCACTTGAGGCAAAACGATAAGGGGTACTAGGTCTAATGCCGTCATCTTTTTTTTCCCTCTTTTCACTTTTCTTAGGACAAAAGTTCATTAAAATACAAGATGGTAGTGCAATGCACGTACCAAGAAAATATTCAGAGGCTATTAGAAGAGAATAAAAGAAAGCCCTCGAATCAAAAAGACCACAGAATATTTTAGGATCACTGCACATATGTCATGATTTGAAAGACCACATAAGTGATAGACGTTAGAAAACTGAAATTGATTCAGCAAAATACCAGGATGAGCAGATTGTGTAGCTAACCCAAGCGGTGACTCTTTCTGCAAACGAAAATGAAGCAAAAGTGTCATTATAAAATTAAAACACAATGTTAGAATTGCCAGTGAACCACCAAATGTTTTTGGAAAATGCTAACCAGTGCCCTAAAGTGAAAAACTTTTATCAAAACGTATTACCAGCATACTCAACCTTGATTTCCAATGAAATCCTACAATAATTTCTAATAAAAAAATTATTATTTATTAATTTCTTAATTAGCAACTTTAGGGTACTTGTTAGCAAGTGTCAACTTTTATTTATTACTCATCATCTATGCAAAATTCAACTACTAGGGTGTTCTAGAAACAATAAATAAAAATGCAGCATCAAATTGAGCTAGGGTTGAAACAACCTTTCAATAACTAAATTCAAATTAAGCGAAGAGGATAATCAAAAAACGAGAAAAAAAATCTTTTTTGAGTCCATGATTGAAGGTTTGATAAAGATATATAACAGAATCACTTGCGCAGAGCTTACCTTAGTGGTGTAGACTTTGTCACCATTCTCGTTTATGTAAAACTGAAGATACATGGTTGCTGATAGCTTATCACTGCAAAAAAATGAAGTAAATTCAATAATAATATTATTAGTGTTGTTATTATTATTCATCCCGCACAATGTAAATAACACAACAGTTATTCCGAGAAAAAAAGAGGACAACGACAAGAAACAGAGCACGTGATGGCATCGTAAGTTGGAAACAATTATCATTCAAAGGTTATCAAAACAATACCTGATTGAGAGAGAACAGCACAAGAGAAACCTGTGATGGAGGCGAGGAAAGGGTTTCAAGGTTTATTATGATCCTCTACTTCGCGCAAGTTGCCTTTACCATAATCACTTTTATTTTTAGGTCACCCTACTGGGCTTTTTTTTGTCCTCCAATTGGGCATTGGTCTCAATTCTTGTCTCAGACGGGCCCGTTCAGTAACCTTGTCTTACTTTTTAATTTATTTATGATTTTGTAAATATCAATCTTTAAAGTTTATTTTAAGCAATTAAAATATAAAAGTGTAGTAAGTATTTTATTAATTAAAATTTTTATCATTTTTTAATTATTTAAAATAAATTCTAAAATATAATATTAATATTGTATGAGGAGTAAAATAAAATGGAACAGATTGAAACGTTATTGTTTTGTTTGTGCATTGTGTTTATAGTTTTGCACAATCAAGCTGAACTCGTCTTTTTTGCGTGTGGTATTTTTTAATTACAAATATATCTCTAGCTTGTTTAATGTTTGATTGGGTATTTACAATATTTTAATACTTTCTTCATATAATATAATAATTGAAATATAGAATACTAATACCATTTCTTTATATGCACAATAATAATTTTAACATATTTTTAAAAATAAAAAGATAAAGCATAATGTATACATATCATAAAAAAATAAAATACAATTTACTCTGTATAAAAAATAATTAATTAAGGGATTCATATATTTTTTTTGCTTTCTTTCACTGGTTAAAATTAAAATAAAAAAGTAAAATATATTTTTATCCATGTAAAAGAAACTAAATTTGATTTTTTTTCAAACAAAATTATTGATTTTGATTCTTATAAATTTAAAATTTTAAAATATGTTATTTGTTACTTTATAACGATGGTTGGCAGTAATGCTAATTGCATGTCATGTCTTTACAAAGTAAAAAAAAATTACAACAGAGACTATTTTAAAAAAATAAATAAAACTTGCAGCAAGAATCAAAAGCAATAAAAAAAATTGCAAGAATAAAATGAAGTTTAATAATATTTATAAAATTTAAAAATGTATTTAAAGGTAAAACAAAAAAGGAAAGACAAAAATATTTATAAAATAAGACTAGTTTCCCCTCAAGAAATGCCATGTTACATTGTACTTGTGAATTGTGATCTTAAGTTTCTGTTTGGAGGAGTCAAGCCATACCATAACATATTATTGCACCCGAGATTTTTGGACTCTCTTTCTCTCTCCGGTGGAATCATAACTATTGATTACGCGGTAATCCGAATTCTCAGGTAATTCCTATAAATACAATTCTTTCTTATTTCTCAAGCTTCCTTAATCCATGAACAAATATATATCATCCTACTTTTCTGCATTAGTTTTTTTTTAATTTTACATTTTCTCCTTCCCAAATGTTTCAAATGGAAAATTAAGGTCACACAGGTTTCTCAAGTCGATTGTAGGAAAACACGACTATTTTTTTTTCACGTTTTTCTTGTGGTTTCATTATTTAATGCAGAAAATGTTACACAGGTTGATTATAGTTACACTGCAAGGATGCAAAGCATAGAAACTGTAGGGAAGGATAAGGATGGTTGTTATTGGTAGTAATTGAGATTGTTATTGGTGAGGAAGATGGATTCGGCAAGGAGTTGGTTACAGAAGTTTCAACCCCGTGACAGATTGAGGGGTTCTACGAGGAAGAAGGATGATACTGATGGTGGAAATGAAGGTTTAAATGAGCCAATGGATGAAACATCTCTCTCTAGTACCACAAAACAAAAGGTTGCAGCAGCCAAGCAATATATTGAGAACCACTACAAGGAGCAAATGAAGAACCTTCAGGAAAGGAAGGAACGGTGTGTTTCATTTCATTCATATTAAATTTTATATAACTGAAAAAATCGCATTCATAGCTTTTGTCCAACGGATTTGAAACTATCCATGTTTATTAGAATATTGTTAATGTAATATTTAAATGGATATTTATTCTATTATTAATTTTTTAGTGTAAATGTTGCACTTTTCTATTACTGCTTTATACTATGCGTAGTACACAAGTTATAGTACAAGAGAATATATTTTGTTTTGTGAGCCTAGTTTGGTTGGGTTTTTCAAATAACTAATTTGGATAAATACCCTAGTTGCATGGTATCATATAGGGCATAACTTTGAATAAGAAGCTACCTGTAGAAGAAAAATAAATATTTGTCTCTCAATATGTATTTCATGCCTCACAAGTTTGTGGTAGTTAATGTTTTATTTTGTTAATCAAATTGGAGGGAATTGTTATTGCTACTCCCATAAGGATTTGGATGTATTGTGGACAACTATATGTAGAAATAAAAATGCACGAAGGGGATTCAATCAGATAAGATAGGGGTAGGGAGTATTTCCCCGTTCCTCATATGCCTTTTCATTATTAATTATAGGGATAGGAATCTCATCGAATAAAGAGAACTCATCCCTAGTTCCATGAGATCATAGGCCATTGATTCTTAATATAAAACCTAGAATTAGTAAATTAGCGAAATGTATTGTGGGAGATGTATAATCCTCTCGTAAATTCCTTTTTAGAGGTGTAAATTGAGTTGACCTGTGTGATAATTACTAATTCCCCTCCTCATTTGGCTAAAGCATGTCTCAAACTGCTAAAGTATTGTATAAGCTTGAATATTAATTTGAATTATGTTTGTTGAATTGACAAAAAAAAATTGTAGAATTTTTAACACCTTACATATAACAGTCGAACCATCTTGGAAAAGAAGTTAGCTGATGCTGATGTCTCTGAGGAAGATCAAAATAACCTACTTAAGTTTTTAGAGAAAAAGGAAACTGAATATATGCGTCTTCAAAGGCACAAAATGGGTGTTGATGATTTCGAGTTATTGACAATGATTGGAAAAGGTGCATTTGGGGAGGTAAGTTCTTATATATGACACAAGTGTTATGACAAAACCAACTATTCTTTCGTCTTCCAATTCTAAATCTTTATATGCTTTCCATCAATGATTCTATTTTTTACCTAAAATTTGAAATTATTACAGGTCAGAGTTTGTAGAGAAAAGACTACAGATCATGTATATGCAATGAAAAAGCTAAAGAAATCAGAAATGCTTCGTAGAGGCCAGGTTTGCACTCATTTTGTCTTGCTACGTATTATTTTCTTCAATAAATAACAACTTTTGTGTGGAAAAGGTTATTGAAGTCATCACACTTTCTTTTAATTTTGTTAACTATTTCAGGTAGAACATGTTAGAGCTGAGAGGAATCTCCTTGCAGAGGTTGACAGCAATTGCATAGTTAAACTTTATTGTTCTTTCCAAGATGATGACTATTTGTATCTTATTATGGAGTATCTACCGGGTGGGGATATGATGACTCTTCTTATGAGAAAGGATATATTGACTGAAGATGAAGCCAGATTTTATGTAGGGGAAACAGTTTTGGCTATTGAATCTATACATAAACACAATTATATACATAGGTATACATAAAAGTGGTTGTTTACATAATATTAGTCCTGTGTTTTATACCGAGAGAAATGTCAACAACAACTTTTTAACACAATTTGTTTAATACATTTTTAATTATTAATTAAAATTTATTAAAAAAACTATAAAAATATTAAAAATATATTAATTTGTGAATGAGAATGAGTAAAATTCATACAATTTTTTATAGATTCTAATTAATAATTAAAAATATGTTATAGAGTGTGTTGCTAATTATTTTTTATTTGATAATATATATTCAACTGTTTCTAGTAGGCTTAGATTGAAATCAACCTAGTATGAATTAAAAAAAAAAAAAAAACTCATTGCCTGGAAACAAGTTTTGCTATGATTGCTTTTCACATCATTTTTTAAATTCAAAATGATTTAATACTCAAAATTATCCAATGTATGAAGTCAGATTTATTTGTTTGTATAACAATATATGTATTTGGTCTAAAACTAACATCTAAAGCACCCTTAGTGAATTATATAATGTAAATTAATCTTTTCAATTTGTCATGTTGCAGGGATATTAAACCTGATAACTTACTGCTTGATAGATATGGACACTTGAGGTTGTCAGATTTTGGACTATGTAAACCATTAGACTGTAGTACACTCGAAGAAACAGATCTTTCTATAGGTCAAAATGCAAATGGATCTGCACAAAATGATGAACGTGTAGCTCCAAAACGCACACAACAAGAACAGTTGGAACATTGGCAAAAGAATAGGAGGACACTTGTAAGTTTATTGCTATTCTGTGATATATTTTTCTTATTCAATATGATACTGGGTGTAATTGTAATTAGTTAGATTATGGTGACTTTATGATCTAGTAATTTTTATTTTGCATGCATGTTTATGCTTGTAATTGTGAGTGTATAAATGTTGTAGGCTTATTCTACTGTTGGTACACCAGACTATATTGCTCCAGAGGTTTTATTGAAGAAAGGTTACGGGATGGAATGTGATTGGTGAGTTTTTTGATTGCTAAGGTTAACATTAAAGGTTTATTTGAATACATAATTTAGTTAAATATTTATTTAATAAGTTATTATTATTATAGATAAAAGCTTCTGTTATAAATTTGACCATAAAATTTATTACAATAAATTAAAAATAATTTATTAGTATGAATTATATTTAAAAATTATTAAAATAAAATTTTAAATTTTAAATTATTTTTATAAGTTTTTTAAAAGTGATTCCATTTAAATTTTTATGGCAAATTTTTTTGTTCGACAGATAATTATTTTAAAAGGTTTCAATATACTGTTACGTTAAAGTTTTTCTTTTATTCTTGACATATTGTTCGAGACATTGTCCTTTTAATTAGTTTCTTTTACTTTATAAAGTATTTTGTAAGCATGTTGAATTTTTCATTATATATTAGATTTTTGTTATCTTACATAGAATTATGAATAAATAAATGTTAATGAATTCATGTTACATAGCTGATTTTGACATAATGACATTGTTTTAATAAAAACTATAGGTGGTCACTCGGAGCTATTATGTATGAAATGTTGGTGGGATATCCGCCTTTTTATTCAGATGATCCAATGTCAACTTGTAGGAAGGTAATCTTTAATTTATAATATAAATGTTTAAGAAGAGTGACGTTTATTTTACATTTTACTTTTGGTTCTACAAATGTCTATGGCACATTCTTATTATCCATTATAATTGAATTTTAGGAAAGCTATTTGTCCTTTTCTTTTGCATATTTTTTATATAAAATTCTTAGACGATCATCATTTTAGTGTCAAAGTGGTGATTAGATTGAAATCCTTTGAATATAGTGGCATTTGACCTTATCATGTTGTGTATGATTTTTTTCACTAATGGGTGGGTATCTAAGCCTATTATTAAACTATGCAAGAATTGTTTATTAAGTGATTGAAGACCTGATAGTTTAATAAGCAATTCTTTGATTGTAAAGAAATAAAAATTATATTCTTATGGGTTATAATTCAACTTGTTTGTTATTGGTAATAAGAATATGAAAGCCTAAAAAGACTATTCAAGTGCAAATAAATAAATAAATAAAGTTAATTATTTTATTTTTTTTCCCTGGTTTTTTAAAACATGTTATTTTTTAATTTGTTTCATTTGTTTTGACCATTTTGATTGTAAACATAATAGTTAAGATATCTCATATTGCATAATGAAATCTTCTTATTCTTATACAGATAGTAAATTGGAAATCCCACTTGAAATTTCCTGAAGAAGCAAGGCTATCTTCAGAGGCTATAGATCTAATTAGTAAGCTTTTGTGTAGTGTACACCAAAGGCTAGGGTCAAATGGTGCGGATGAAATAAAGGTGTTGTATGGTGTGTCCTTTTCTAAATTCTAAAATATATTATATAGATATTTGGATATAGAAGTTACCTTCTTGTTATTTACCATTTTAGGCTCATCCATTCTTCGAAGGTGTTGAATGGGACAAATTGTATCAAATTGAGGCTGCATTTATTCCGGAGGTTAATGATGAGCTAGATACCCAAAATTTTGAAAAATTTGAAGAGGTATTTGAGTCTTTCAGAATCTTGCTGATTCTATTTTGCTACTTATGCAAAACCATTTACATTGTTACATTATTTTCTTTTAACTTTTTTTTTTTCATCTGTAGTCTGACACACAGATTCAATCATCTTCAAAAGCAGGTCCATGGAGAAAGGTAATAATAGGTGTTTATGTCTCTGTTGGTAATCCTCATATAGATCTTTATAACATTTTGTCTAAATATTGAAAGACATCGTTGAATTTTTGAAATGTAACATGAAAACACTTTTTTTTTTCCCTGAATTTTTAGGAAGCTTTAAGTCATTGCTTTACCCGGTTTGTGTATTTGTTAGGCTTGCTAAAATGAAGATTATGAAACATGCTCATGCTAGGGTTTGTAACAAGTTTAACGAGTTATGCTTGTTTGCACTTGCTTGAGTCTAAGATATATTGTTTTGTACTAAAAGAGAATTATTGTTAGTTCTATTGAAAATAATATTAGTGTATAGCATGCGATTAACAAGAAAAATGGACATGCTTTTAGGTCTTTGGCAAGTTATAGTTAGTTTTCCTTTTCTTAAGCCCATATTTATGATTTTATTTTATTTTTTGTGTGTGTTTATATATGTCTATAATTCTTGACCTTTATAGTTTCAGTTTCTTAAATGTTATCCTTCTCTTTTCTTTTTCTTATTCTTGCTTTGTGTTCTTTATTTGGCTATTGCAGATGCTTTCGTCCAAAGACATGAATTTTGTAGGATACACGTACAAAAACTTTGAAATTGTTAACGATTATCAAGTTCCTGGGATGGGTACATATCCTTTTGCTCATTTTCCTTTTGAATACTTGTTTATAATGCTAATTTTAACTCTCTAACAACTTTGTAATAATGTAAACCACTTTCTTAGCTTTGTCGGCTGAGGATACACTTGTTAGAACAAAATCTAGCACTAAATACACATACACAATAATTGATGCAAAATTAAGCAGTGGGTTTATTTTATTTGAACTCAAGTTATCAAATAGACCTCAACTATATATATAGCTCGTATCATTATTAAACAATAATAGGACATGAGGGAACTTAAACACTTAAAATGTATAACAAAGTATATTTATTTTATTAAATGGCTTCCTTTGGATTTCTTTCTTCAACATGAACGGAGTTAAAAAACTTTTATGAAAACTTATTTCAATGAACCGCAAATTTGTCAAGGGAAGATAGAAAGCATGGACTTTTTAACAGATGTTGCATTTCTTAAGCTTAAGTTGGGCCTTCATTTTCTTCCTTTTTGGAAGGGAGTCTTATATGCACATTAATATATCAATAAATTACCAAATTCTATTCAGCTCACAAACCCTTCAATATTTCAATTAAAAGAATAATTTACTTGCATAATCATGCTATGGAGTTTGGTTGATACTGCTTATGATTCCTTCAATTTCTCCTTGTTTGAAAAATGTTAATTGGAATTCTAATCAAAAGATAGTTTCACATCGATGAGGTGACATAAGTTTTAGGAAGCGACAATAAAACATTTTTGTGTGTGTATGTATATTGAGTGTGTTACATTTAAGAATGTTCTAGAAGTTAAAAATTATCATCTTTTGTCTTGATTTCTCATTCTCCTTTGTAGCTGAATTGAAGAAGAAAACATCCAAAGCAAAGAAGCCGTCCATCAAGTCCTTATTTGGTAATTACTTTTTTATGATTATAATCAATTTTTTTAGTTTGTGTTGTTAATTCTTTGCATACATTTATTTTTGTTTCTTGCTTGTAATATTAACTCATATTATTCAATCAAACTGGGGTGACATATACACAGATTATGAGTCAGATACATCCGAAGTGTTAGAGAGCTCAGATACATCTGCAAGCATGACTAAGCAATATAATGATCAACCTGCCCAATCAATATAAGTGCCAAAATTATAGCCTACAACATTTTTGACCATTTCCATTTTTAATATAATTCTTGATGCTATTCCACGTCTATTTTGTTCTTAGCAACATGAATGGTTACTTGATTGATGTCTTGATGAAAGGCATGCAAGAAGAAAGTGTTGTATGTAGGCGAGTCTTGCAAGTTTTGCTAGTCACCACAACTATAAAACTGTAAATCTCTTATTCTCTTTTGCTTGTCAAACATGCAGCACTCATGCACACGTATTACAAATAGAAATTAATCGTGTATATTCGTGTTATTCTTTTACAATAATAATGGCAAATCATTAAAAGACGTTCTATATATGCTACTTTTGCAAAACGTGACCCGTTTAAAATTAAATTTAAAATTTAATTATTGTTAATAGTTCATACTCTTGCAAGATCAGGGATGAAGCGAGAGAGGTGTTTATCAAGCACTTTCATTTGAGATGCTAAAAAATATCTTAAATTTTGATATATAGGTGCTTGTATTTTTCTACTCAATCATTAAAAAAAACTGTAATATCAAATGAGTCTGTTAAATTTAAAAAATTATCTTTTAATGTTTGAAATTTTATTTGATATCACAATTTTTTTTACAATAATATATATTTTTGTTACGTAATTTTTTTAATAGTTTAATTTATAGCTTAATCCGGACAAATTTAAAGAATTCAAGTTATGAAAGTTTTTTACCAGATATTAAAAGAATCCGGACAAACTATTTATTGATTAAATAATAACCTATGTTTATTATTTGTTATGATATTTTTAATATTATAACAAAAAATTATTAATTATTAATATTATATTATATTATTAATGTTAAATATTTTTATTTATATCAAATATACATTTAATAAAAATATTATTACTGTTAAAAAAATAAATTATTTATTTAATGCTGAAAAATTTAATTAGTATTAATTTAATTATTGAAAAAATATAAAATATTTAATAATAAAAATATTAAAATCATAAAAGGTTAAAAGCGTATAAAAGAATCACGTGAACAGTTAATAACTAACAAATAAATCAATAAACAAAATATTTTAAAAATAAAAATATTGCATAACACTTTCGGCACAATAACTTGAATAATATTTATAAATTATATATATTTTTATAACTATGAAAACATTTATAATATAATAAGAGTAACTCCTTAAACAAAATTCTTTATGCATAAAATTTAAACTTAAAATTTTACTTTAAAGAACAAAATACGTATTATCTCAACAAACCTTTTCTTAATAGAATTCAAGTTTTATCTATAAATAATATCCTAAATAAATGAACTAATTAAATTTAATATTATTTTAATTTTAATAAGTGACAAAAATTGATCTATAGATAATTTTTTATATAAAAACTAAAGTACATAATACTTTAATATAAAACCAAAATAAAAAAAATTATCAAATACTGCACCAAATTTATAAACATTTTTGTTTATTTATGCATTAAATTGTAGTGCTTTCCTTGTCATTATTTTATGCACTTGGGTACCATTTTTCTATATATATGCCGTGTCGTTTAGGTCATTAGGCATCTATGGAAGAAGAAGAAAAATCAGAACCTCTGACCTACAATAGTACACAAGGGCACGTTTCAAATCCAAGCTTACAACTCAATCATCATTAGCCAAATGCTTCAAGTTTCAAGAGGGTTGCGTTCTAAGGAAAATTAAAGTAATAATTAACAATATATTCAATTATTTTAATATAAAGTTTATAATTATATATGAGAATGTATATAACTATTATCGTTTCTCATTTTTAAATATTTTTCTATACAGACATATATTTAAAATATGCCAATAAAAGAAGCATTTGTTGTCTCATTTTCATTACTCAAAAAATATTTTCGATAATAATAAGCTTTGTGTTTTAAACTTTGGTTGTGGGTTGGTAAAATGAATTGCAGAATTGGATGGTTGTTCCATACTCCCTTAAACCCCAATAAACCAACATATTGACATCACTTTTACCTAAATGGTTGTTTAACAACTGAATTAATATATATGTTAATTAATAATTAGTAGTCCAATTACACATATATACCTACTTTTTTAATTTTTAGGCTTGAAGTATATATACATGAATTCAGATGTCAAATTTGGTAAACACCTTAAAATTAAATCTTCTTTGAAGAAAAATTTTCACTATCTTAATGATTTTTGTTTTCAGTCAGAAGATCCACCGGCATGTCCTCACCAAAGTACTCCCTGTTACCTATAAATTAATTATGGAAGTACCTTAACGTCCAAGTCATAGAACATGCATGGAAACCCATCACGGGCAATTTTAGATTTTCACTTAATCTTCACACAATGCATCATTAAAAAATTTATACAGTGGTAGTTGTTTCTACTCCATCAAGACAAATCAAAATGTCCCTCTCCCTTCTGTAAACTTCAATTTTGTAGCACAGCTCAAATGTTAAGCCAATAATTGCTCTAGAAATTATTTAGCTTCACTCTTAATATGAAAATCACAATTGAACCGAACTGTAATGGTTGGCTTCTAGTCACTCATCCTTTTCTTGTTGTCATGAATATGCTTGCCATGCATTACCTGCTGCTTGACATTGGCAAGTTCCTAATATTTTAATTAATGATTCTTTCATACTTTTTTATATTTCACTTTATTTCTTGTATTAGTTTAATTTTTTGTGTTATACGTAATTTAACATAATCATTTTGCCTTACTAACATTCCTTGATATAAAATATACATATAAAAAATGCATCATAAATGACATTAACTAAAGAATATACATACCTGCACTGACTTTTTAATCTTATATTTTTATAATATTTTTAAAAATACCATATTTTAGTATAGATTATTTTTAAATACAATATATATAAAAATAATCCTACATAATCAGTGTTTTTATTTTTATTTTTTTGGGTGCGTACAATCAATTTACTGTGTTTGGACCACATTGGAAAACATTAAGGCTCCCTTGATGTGGAGTTATAAAGCCGAAAGTCCCTTTGCTATATCATTGGATTAATAAAAACGAATAGATTGAAATAAATGCTATATTTTAATATTTTTCTTTTAATTTGAGAGAACTAAACAAAATTATGTTTTCCTATTCTGTCATAAAAAATATATTGACTTCATTTATTTTATTGTACTTTTATTTCACTCGATCGTGACTAAGCATGCAATCTTTGGAGAGTAAGACACTTTGCATGGAGGGTCTTTTTAGGTTTTTTTTTCTCTCTCTCCATGCTCTAACTTTACCCTCTTCATCAACATTCGAGACAAGTTTAGGCAATGAGAATGAAGGATTGAGCTATGCGAGGCATGATTTTGCTGAAGATGCAACCAGTGCTTATTCAATGGGTATATCATTGAGCAAGTTTTGTGAGAAAATTTATTCATAACTTATTTGGGAGTTAACATTTTTTAATCATACTATAAGGAACACTTTAAGGGATGATGCTAACCAAAAGATATAACGTGATCAAACTTTGTGATAGTGGGTTAAGTGTCATCTAACTTTATCATCTCTATCTATTACTACAAAAACATCCAAATAGTATATATTATTATAATTACTGTGAAAAATTCGTCCTCTTAGCTTAGATCAAACAATCGAGGATCAAGAGAATGTTAGTCGATCATCCTCTTAATAATAATATTATTATGATATGATCCCTTTAAAAATTTTGAAGGGTCACGGCCAAGTAAGGTAAAAACATGTTGTATGTTAAAAAAAAAGTTTGATGTATTTATTTAATAATTTTTTATATAATAATTTATATCATAACTTTAACTATAAGTTTTATTAAAATAAATTAAAAAATTATACACTATTTTTCATAAGCATTGTTCCTAAGTTGTTTGTAATAAATTCTAAATCTGATTATTTTTATTAAAATGCATGACTTCATTATTATTATTATTAGTTAATTAATTAAAATTCAAAATTTAAATTATTTTAAAAAAATGACATTTTTTATAATTATTAATTTTATCAAAATGAATATATTTGAAAAATTAAATTAAAATATATTTCTTATCCCAAATTTTTGGTTGTTTATATTTTTATATTAATTTCATTAAATATTTTTGCATCAAGTTTGTTCTTATTTTTAATTTAAATAATTTTATTTATTTATTTTAATTATTAGATAATATCTCTTATAGTTTTAAATATTTCTAAAGTATTTTTAATTTATTAAAAATTGCTTAACTTTAAAATGCTTATGCAATTAACAAAATACTTATTAATTGTGTAAAAAGGTAAAAAAAAAATACCAATTTCTTGCCAGCGTATACTCTATAATGGTAAAAGGAAAAAAAGAAGCTTCATCATTATATTTTTGTTGGCCATTTTATTAATTACTATGTAGTTTTTCTTGAGTGGAATAATAGGATTTATAATTGATCGCACGTTCCTCTCCTTATCCTCGCCATAATGACCCTTTTGGTCTTACAATTATTGCTTTTACTAATTAATATATCCCATTTATACATGCTTATATATTTTTTGCACTCGTGGCAAATCCATAGCAAAATCATTACACCAAACTTTTCATAGTTCCTCCTTTATTTTTTATTAACTGTAAGAAGAAAATATTGCACATATTTTTACGAGCATTATACAAAATTAAGGTGCATTTATTATGTGTTAATATTTTAATATATAACATTGTTTTAAATTCATTCGTTGTCATTATATACACATGAATGATGAATCAAAATAATGAACACAAGAGGATGACTATACAAACTCTGTACATAGCTGTAAGAATTAAATTGTGAATAATGATATCATAGAGGTTTTACGTGTAAGAAATGTCTAAGCAAATTAAATCCTAAAAAGAAGAAACATTTATTGTTGTAAAAATTACAAGTAAATAAATAAAATAATAAAAAAAAAGGAAGAAAAGAAAAGAAGGGAAGGAGTTTGACTGCAAGTAATGGTAAGGGGCAGACAGAGAAGGTATCGGCTAACCCCTCGTCTTGTCATATTCTTCAAATTTTCCTTTTCGAAAGAAAAAAGAGAAAAAATGAAGAGAAAAAAAGTAAAGAATAATTTAAATAAAATAATATTTTTAAATACACCCAAAACACACCAACGATTACTATAATCTTGTGCCAGCTTTTTCTTTTTCTTGTTCCTCTTTCTCTCTCCTTGTCTTTCTCTCTCTTCAAAGTCCAAGCTTTTTGATTTGTGGAATTACTCTTGTTCCTACCTGGTTAAGCACAGGCTCCTCAATCTCCTCCTCCTCTAGTTCTTTCTTTTTTGTTTTCTTTGTGTTTTTGTTTTTATAATTAAAAGGTTCAATTTTTGGTGTTGTTGCTGATATCCATTAGCATTTTCTGTTCTGGGGTCAATGCCGTCTTGTTCTCTGGAAATTAGGGCTTCAATCCGTTGTCTGGGGTGATTGATTTGGGATATGTGTGGTAAGGGAATGTAGTTGGAGAAGGTGGTGTTGTATTCTGGATAATAAAGATTTCATCTTCATTTCTGGGGATGCTTTGATTTGTTGTGAATTTTTCTCCTTTTTCGATTTACCCTTATTGTGGATTTACATTATATTGCCATTTCTCGACTAATCGGATGAATAGATTGGGAAATCTAATTGGATTTGAGTGGATTATTGGATAAAGCTTGGGATTTCTTACCTGCTAGACCCCTTTATGCACAATTAGTTGGTGAATTGGGAACAAATCTGAGCAGAAAAGGCTCCCTATAGTTGCTGGGTGTAGTTGTATTGAAGGTCGTTTTATGATGGATCATGTTATTGCTGGGAAGTTTAAACTGGGAAGGAAAATTGGGAGTGGTTCTTTTGGGGAGCTTTATATAGGTTTGTTCATGTCTCTTGCCCCTTTTCTATTTCTTTTTGAAATATTAATTGTAATCTTCCTTTTGCAGCATTATCATAGAATGTTATATTTGTTTGTAACATATTCATTTTATTCTCTTCATCAGCTGTTAATATACAAACTGGGGAGGAGGTGGCTGTCAAGCTGGTATGTTAAGTCCTCTTCAAGTTTTTGACCCTCTTTTATGTCTAAATGGGGCAAAGTGATTACTTAGTTAATTCTTTTATGAATTTTTACAGATAGATTTATGTTTTCTTGTTTCTGATTTCATTTATGATATCATATTGCAAATTTGCATATATGATCTAACCACCTTGATATACTCTGGAACATGTTATTAAGACTATATAAATGTATTGCACCCATTGGAGTGTAATGTTCCATGCTGTGGACATTGTCACTTAAGAAGACCAAGTGTCCTATTTTTTTTTATCAAAGCTATGGGAGTTCCTATAAGGATATGTGACATTTGATTTTAGATATATTTAATTGTTGAAGTAGATTTTTACTGAGCAATACTTAAGGTTTTCAAGAAATCAATAAGATCACTTTATGGATTGCAGTGGAGTGGCGTGTGAAATGTTACATTGTCTCATGATGGGTGTATACTTTGGTTCACATTTGTACATTGTAGTTTATCATAGACTGTTCATCATATTCTTTTTTTTTGTTGTGTTTTGAGAAATTTCTATATTAGTTAAATATTAGTCTGCTTATTATTATATTCTATGTTTTTATTCTTAATAATCGTGTCCTTGCCCCATAAAATTTGCAGGAACCTGTGAAGACCAAACATCCACAGCTTCACTATGAGTCAAAATTGTATATGCTTCTTCAAGGAGGAAGTAAGTCTAAATCTCTATTTATTTTTACCATTTTGAGTACTAAATTTATTAGCTAATACCTCGTGCTAAAGTTTGACATTAAACTTATTTCTCAATCATTATATGTGTGTGTGCTGTTATTCTGTCTTCTTGAATCTGTAATGTAGGATAATTGATGTCATTAATCTTCTAATGAAATAAAAAATGTTAGTCTTTAAGCCATGCCCTCAAAGTAAAGTTACGGCTGAAAATTTTCCAGAAAACAGTTACGATGTTTCCTTTTGAGTAATCCAATTTGTTTCCTTGTTGAAGCGGGGATTCCCCATCTTAAGTGGTTTGGAGTTGAGGGAGACTACAATGTCATGGCAATTGACCTTCTTGGACCAAGTCTGGAAGATTTGTTCAATTATTGCAATCGGAAGTTAACACTGAAGACAGTGTTAATGCTTGCTGACCAATTAGTAAGTCACATTTTTACTCAACATAGCAACTATAATATAAGGTACCTTGCTTCAATAGTGATACGAATGTTTTGCTTGCTTCATATTATTGTTCAGATTAACAGAGTTGAATATATGCATTCAAGAGGTTTCCTTCACCGTGACATTAAGCCGGACAATTTTTTAATGGGCTTAGGACGTAAAGCAAACCAGGTATATTATTTATGCTGATCTTTTATTTCTCCTATTTATTTTGGAAGATTTTAGTTGTTGTTTTGTTGTTTTTCATACAAATAGAAAGAAATTACTGTTTTACAAATACTCTTAGTCATACAGTCAAAGCACATTTTGGAATTGATATCATGCAAGACCACTAAAATATGTACCTCCAACAGAACCAAACTGTTCTTTGAAGTTTCAAAAGAAGTCATAAAATGACAGTGTCATGCTACTTGTAGTATGTGTAAGAAGCTGAGTTGCACAAGCTTGCTTCAGGTTGAACAAGAAAAAAAGCAGCAGAATGTGTAGCTTTTCAAGGATGAGAAAAGAACCAAATAAAAGAACAATAGTCAATTGAAAAACTGTGAAAACCACTAGTTATTCTATTTTGTCCTATGGGATACATATTTGGTTAAGAGTGATTAAGTGGAGTTTTAGCAGTTGTTTTCTACAACAAACCATGAGGTGGCACATCACACCTCATCCTGCCTCAGGTTTGGCATGTCATGGTGGCCACTTTTACACCTTGAAACTCACAAGGGATTCACGCAAAATGATTGGGTAGCATTTTGAGTCATTACACTTCCTCTGACTCCTTTCTTGTCATTTGGATGGATGGTTTCCCAATCTTATACGTCTATTATATTTCAACAGAATCCTCCTCTTCAGTGCCACTAAAATAAATGATTGATCAATTATGAATTTAACTATTCTATATTAACATTCAAATCCCAGTTCTTTTAACTATATTCATATTGTACTGGATATCCCATTTCAGGTGTACATCATTGACTATGGCCTTGCTAAAAAATATAGGGATCTTCAAACTCATAGGCACATACCATACAGGTAAAATTTGTCATCATTATTTTATGATATTAAGGGGTACCAGTAGTATAAAATACACCCCAGGAAGAATGCAACCTTTTCTTGCCTTATTAATTGCAAGTCTTCCTTGGATTTAAGCATTTACATGTCATCACTTTAATGGATGTTGTGTCATTTTTCAAGTGGACACTTTTCATCTAAATGTTGGTGGTCTTGGTTTCATTCATTCTCATAATAATGATAGTAATAATTGGGGTCACTGTCAGTTACCTTAAGTGTGGTTGTATTGACAAGCATGCATGTATGTTTGTTGCAAATTTGAATTGGTATCGAGTACATTCTGCACCATAGATACCATCATGGAGCAATTTATGACCTGTCATCCATCACTTGGCTTCAAGTCTCTATTGCCTTGTCTGTTTTCTCATTCTAATACCAAATATTCTACAAAGATGTTTTGTTTACTTTGAATGAATCTAATTATAGTTCTATTTCTTATTATTTGTAAAATTCATATATATATTTATTTATTTATTATGAAAAAACTGTTTTTCTTGCATAGGGAAAACAAGAACCTTACAGGCACAGCTCGGTATGCAAGTGTCAACACTCATCTTGGAATCGGTGAGTAATATATGGTATGATGGTCCATTCCTTTTTGTGTTGACAACCAATTATTACAGTTCTTTGTTAATTTACTTTATTGTTCTGGCAGAACAAAGCAGAAGGGATGATCTGGAATCTCTTGGTTATGTGCTCATGTACTTCTTAAGAGGAAGGTGAGATACTTGATAGACACACTTTACACCCTACTAGATTTGGACATCTTTATAATACTATTCTTACTATCTCCTTTCACCGAAAATTTTTTTTTTCAGTCTTCCTTGGCAAGGACTGAAGGCTGGCACTAAAAAACAAAAATATGATAAAATCAGTGAAAAGAAGATGTCAACTCCTATAGAGGTATTATGACTAGTTGGGTTTGTGTGGCTTTTGGTGAAATTTGATATTCCCTCTGGATCTAGTGTTTGATGTTTTAAGTTTAGTTGGGATGTTGACTGGTCTGATCTGTAGTTGGACCTGGGTGTATGATACCATGAGGTTTAGAAGACTGGCCAGGCCAGGCCTCAGAGCCACTCTCATAATACTTTGTTCCTTTGAATGTGAATACTTGTACAAAATGAACAGCATGCTTCGTTTGCGCATTAGAACTAGATTTACTTATGGGATGCTGCAGTTAACTGAATGCTCTCGGGTTGATTTTCGCTTTTTATCTCTTAAATTAAATCATTTATTACTGTTGTTGATTTTGTGCCTGTATAATAGGTACTCTGCAAATCATATCCCTCAGAGTTTGTATCATATTTCCACTACTGCCGATCATTGCGGTTTGAGGACAAGCCTGATTATTCATATTTGAAGAGGCTTTTTCGAGATTTATTTATTCGAGAAGGTCTGATACAGAAGATATCTAATTAGTACACTTGTATTCTGTTTATTTTGATGGAAACCTGGTATGTGATATGATTGCATATTGATCTGGACATTGCTAGTGCAGGCTATCAATTTGACTATGTTTTTGACTGGACTATATTGAAGTATCCACAGATTGGTGGCAGCAGCTCTAGAGGGAGGGTTAGTACTTTTATATATTTCTTGTTTGGGTTTTACCTTCTAGTTGAGGTCACTCACGGAGTCACTATAATTGTTTCAATAAATAGCATGACAGTGGCAAGGCAGCGATGAATGCAGGACCATCTGTACAAAAGCCAGAAAAGATCTCAGGTCCACTCTCTTTTAGCCAAATTAGATAATGAACTTTGTTATTCTACTAATTCATAAGGAACTAGGGTGGTCAGGAATTTTGAATTTAGTATATGCGGTGACATTCTGAATTCAGAAAATAGATAGTCTGAAAGCATTCAGCTATAATTATCATTTTCATTGCTCACATCACTGTCAAACTACATGCTTTTCCCAAATTTATTTTGTATAATCTTTGGTCATTCAATTGCTTATTTCAGTTGGGAAGGAGATTCGAGAGAAATTTTCTGGTGCTGTTGAAGCATTCTCTCGAAGGAACCCAACTTCTAGTCCTCGTGGTGATCACTCCAAACACAGGAGTTTTGAGGAAGTAGCAGTGCACAAAGATGTGGTAAATATTGTTTTCTACCAATTGAGAATCCATAATTCATCACATGAATATTCCCTATTAGAGGAGTATCATTTATCCAAATATCTGGTTGTGAAGATTCTGCACTCAATCATTTATTATCAATTTTTATGTCTGGATTGTCATAGTTGTGGAGTACTTCCATTGTGGAAGAAATGGTTAAAGTTGCTAGTTAGATAATGAATTAGTTAATCTTCTTCTTTAGTCCTATAATTTGGATTTTGAGCTGAATATGTCTGATAACATCTTTCATTTTAAGTAGGTATGTGCTATGTCTTTATGTTATTAATTTGTATATGGCTTTATGGTGTTTCCGCAAATGTTGATTTGAAATTCACTGGCTCATTTGTTAGTACTTAGTCCAATGACATTTAAGTGTCTGATTGGATCTCTGTTGCAAACAATTGCAGTTAGATTTCCCACATCAATTCCTAACAAAACTAGAAATCAAAATGAAAAAAATTGAAAAGAGTTAAAAAAAAATATAATTACAATGGGGTATAAACTTTTTTAAGCAGGAAAAAAGAAAAGGAAGAAGTGGGCAAGGATGCATGTTTTGGCTCTAAAACTAAAGACTGGATTCTGAGTGCGTTTAGAAGAGTTTATAGAGAGCTTATGAAAACAATTTATGACTTCATAGCTCTTTTCAGCTAATTTTGATAAGCTTTTTCATATAACTTATCAAAATAAGCTTTTTTCAACTTATTCCAATAAGTTTCATGGTCAAATTTATAGTGTAAACCCCTTATATAGTAAGTGCTTGTTGAATAAACGCTTAATTAAGCTGTTAACCAAACGGGCACTTTGTCATTTGCTTTTATCACCCTTTATTTTTTTCTCCTTCCTGTTTTACGTATGGCTGAAACATACATATATTTGTTTACATTTTCCACTCACTTATTCTGACGTTTAGTTTTTACATTGTCTTTCAAGTATCATGATCAAGAGAAGGGACGCAATTCCTCTCGATATGGTAGCAGTTCCAGAAGAGCCATAATCTCATCATCAACCAGACCAAGCTCCTCTGGGGATCACACTGAGAGTCGTACTGGCCGGCTAACTTCTACCGTTAGCCGTCCATCTACCACTCATAGAAATATTCAACCAATGTATGAGACCAAACAACCAACTTACACACGGTCCGGATCTAGCAGAGGCAACCGAGATGATCCTCTGCGGAGTTTTGAGCTCCTCTCTATCAGGAAGTAACAAGTATATTCAGTTTCATTTTGTCACCAGACATTTTCTTAATTCTGATGCACCTGTTTATCCAAGAACCATCGATCTCAAGATCATGTTCATGTATATTACTGAATTACCATGAGGTCATAATCAACTTCACTTTTGTGGACTAAGGTGGGACTATTTTATGCCCCCAGCAAGATAGTCTTCTGAAAGAAGATTTCTCGGATGCTGTAACATGTTCCTTAAACATGCTCCAGAGAACTCAAATCAGGGTTCTTTTTTTTTTTTTTTAACTTTTTACTAGAAGAACTTGTTTACTTTTTTGCCCAAAAAAAAAAAATAGATGAAACTAGAGTTGTAGTTCATGATACAATTGTTTCTTCGCAATGAGACCCAACACTGCATCTATATTACCCTTGTTATGAGAGTGGAATTGATAGAATTTGGTCTCAAGTTACAAAAGCAGTTTGATATCCTTCATTATTCATTTCTACTACAATTCTACTACAACTCATGCTCACATGGCGGATATATTTGGTAACTTTGGGGGTTGCTGCTTAACTCATTCACACAAGTAGTTATGTTATAATGGTGTCTGTTTTAAATTTGAAGTGTTAAGTATATATATATATATTTTCTTACAAATCTATGTTTAAAAAAAAATTAGTTCACTTAAAAAACTATTACAAAGTTTTATTGTATTTTCTTTTAATTAATGGTTTCTTTTTTCTCTCTGAAATTCTATTTCTTTTTTAATATTATCTCTGTTTGTCTTTTAAGTTTTGAAATATAGTTTCCGTATTGTGCAATGATTAAAATTTTGTCAATTGATTTAATATTTAATTGTGGTTGCCAAATTAGATTGTCAAACTGATTTAAAGTATTGAGCAACATTTAATTGTAAAATTGATTTAATACAAATTTTAACCAAGCTAAATCAATTGTGGTTGCCGAATTGCCCTTTTGTATCTGTGTCTTCAATTATTTGAGCTTAAAAAACTATTACTTTTTATATTTATTTCTTCAAAGTTACTTTTTGTACAAATATAATGAACAAAGTATTGAAACCGTTTTTCAATTTTCTTAAAATGCATAATTATTATAATTTTTAAAAATATCTTTAATTAAGAAGCATTTTCTTTCAAAATAATAAAAGGTTCAAACAAATAGACTCCAAATTTAACTGAAAGCAACACATAACTGAATCACAAATAAGGATTGGTTTGGCCCAATAGGAATCAAACGAGTGACAATTATTCAATTTATTTCGGTTCTTGTTTAGCCGAGAAACACTTTCAGTTAATTGGACACCTTTTACTTCGTAAAAATATGAAACAATCTTATATGAAAGCAAAATTTAAACTAAAAACACTAGATAATGCTTATATTAATGTCAAAAATGGTCTCTTTCGAAATTTGGGATAATTTATTTACGGGAACTTCATAACGGTTTCTTTAACAAATCTTGATAATGAAAGGTCCACGAGCAATTAGCTAGCGATAGCATTTCCCTTCCGTAGAACCAATTAATCTTATCTCATTTACAAGTGACAATTTCGGAGTTCCACGTGTGCTGTCGAAAAGTATTAACATACCAAATTCATTCCCAAAAAGGTCACTGTAAAGTTCTAGGTGCATTCTTGTGGAGTAATAAAACACTCGTGGTGTACTTGGCAGGAATTAAAAAAATGGTGGCAAGAGAAGACACACAAAACAGTGATACATTAGACAAGTGTTCAATCTGCTTCCCCTTACCCAATTTCGCTCACCCACGTGTAAAGGCTTCTTCGGCCACCCACAACAAAAATTTACTTGGCAACTCATTTACAAATAGCATCAAACTTCACGTTGTTCATCTACATCTAAAACTTCTACAAGAAAATTGTCCATCTCAGAAATTTTAATATTCATACATAATTTCAAGGATGTGTATAGTATATACACTCTAAAATTGTGAAATCACAAGAAAACATACTTCAAGAAAGAATTTTATTTTAAAACTTTGAGATCGAGAATCACATAATCTCAGGCAAAAATTATGGGTCTCTAAGAGCTGCCAAACGTTTCTCGAGATCATCAATGCCCGAGCTGCAATGAGATCAAATTTCCAAGGTCAAACAAACTTACAAAAGAAAGCAAACGGCTAAAGAGATTTTAACTTATTCATGCAAATACACACAAGGAGCCAAATTAATTTCTTCAGGCCTTACAAGTAACACAGAATTTCATATATTTCTTTCTCTTAAGTTACTTTAAAGAGAAAGGGAGAAAGGGTAAGCCAGAAGATACCTGCTGACATCTTCAGTATTCTTTGTTCCGACTCTTCCTTTGGGAGCTGCTGATAACTGCCAAAGTGTTCAAATACAACACAAATTAGCTAGAGAAAAAGCATTTTGACAGATGATAGGAGTGCAGAGATTAATAACAGCTTAGTCCTACCTGTGAGGCAATATCTACACCAATTTCATCGAGCACCTGAAAAAAAAAGGTTGAGTGAAATTACCATCAGTTTATTTTTGTTATGTCAAAAACAAATGTCATTGCCAAACAATAATCCTTGCACTTTGGTAAATATAGACCCATTACTCTCTGTGAATCATAAACCATTCTTTCTAAACGTTAAAAATTAAGGCACAAGAAATTATAACATCTTCAGAATTTTAAACATTGTTTCAGTTCTTGAGAAGGAAATGTGAAGGTAAAAAAGCCACACCCTTTCTCTTTATTTTGTTTTAATTCTTTTTTTCAAAAAAAGGGGGCTATGAGGGGATCCTAAGCTTTTCACTGATTAGTACTGTAACTATCTCAACCAGATTAAGAATTAGCAGCTAAATCCAAATTGTTAGTCCAATGGCAGGGTTTTATTGCTGTAGTTAATAGGGGTTAGAACCTAAAATTGAACCTATGATTCTAGGCACTGCTAATCCCTATGGACTGTTAACGCAAGACAGAGATATACATGTTATTCCTCCTTATAAACTACAAGTGAAATAAATGTCATCAAATATAGTAAAGGTCTTTAATTATTTGAAAAACTAATCGAGTAAAAAGCCCTACAAACATTGGAGCAAATTTTTTTAAAAAAAGGTCGCAAGGAGAGGTAATATAATAGAAAGATTACCTGATTTGTCAGCTCTTCAGTCTCCTCCTCAGCTTCATCATTATCCAAGGCATCATCTATGGCATCTGACATCATTTCAGTCTGCTCATAAAATTATATAGCATTAAAGTCCATAGCTGTTGAAACAAAAACAAGTGTTTCCCATTTTTTCCAACTTGTAAAACAAATAGAATCAAAGCATCATCTTACAGTCATATCCATCTGCGCTGATTGTTTCTGGAAGTCCTGTATAATTTTGGCTTGCTTTGCTGGCGCCATTTGCTGCAATGAATCTTCTAATTTAGCACAAGGGAAAAGATTACAAAAGGATGAAGTTAGGAGAACAAAATTATCATTGCTTCTTTTTTGATGCGGCATTTTTCCTTTTATTTTCTCCTTGATGTTGGATATATCCACACCATCTACTTTTTCTGATTCTCACTATCTTTGAGTGTCCATGTGATGGGAGGGGAGAAGAAGGGAAGCAATATCTTCTACAGTCTCACGCATATTCTTTACAATATCACACAGCAACCCCTAAATATCAACTTTATGCTCCACCTCCTCAACCTTTAACAAACTTACACACTTCTCCATGAATAAACATTAAATCCATTCATGCACTCAATAACAACACTTTGTCCCCCCTAAAAGCACTTTTCTTGTTGTAATAAAAATATAACAAAATGTTGCTCTCATGGCCCAATCAAAAAACTTGGAACAAATATATTATGCATGGACATAAAACATAATTAAAATACAAGATTGAACATGTGACCTTATTCATAGCTGCCATTGCCTTAGTAGCACCTTTCATGCCAACAGCAACAGAAGAATGAGCATGCATTGCCTACATCAAATGACAAACACAGCTAAGATAAGCAGCAGCATAAAGCATGTACCTGCTTAAATACAAGTAGCAGAAAAGCACATCACAAAAACAAACAGTTTTCATCAATAATACACCTGCGTGTGAGTTGCGATGCCTCTCATCTGAGCTCGACTACCTTGAAGATTAGCAATCTGTTGCCTAAGCCTCACTAATTGGCGAGCTAGAGTTTTAGTTGCACCCTGAGAAATACAGTGGCAAACAAAATATCCATAATAATAATAATAATAATAATAATAAAACTATGACTATTAGCATAAAATGCAGATCATACCTCGTTACCCGTCTTAGCAGTTCTCTTTATCTCAGCAAGAAGCTTCTTTTCCTAATGACACACATAAATAACCCATATTAGATATAACACAAAAAGCTGAGTTTAAAAAAGAGTATAGTCACATTCACACGTTAAGTAACTATGTAACATACTTCCAATTGTAATGCCCCAATTTCCCTCTCTATACCTGCATCATATAAGAAAATAAGAAAACATATAATTAATAATGAATACATAAGCAGAAAAGTGTCACTCTAACTTATTCTGACAATAAAATGAGAAGTGATTGATTGATGAAGGCGTTAATTATGCAATTAAAAAAAAAAACCTCTAGTGGCGGTGGCCATTTCTCGTTTACTCTCTCGAAGAGCCTCTGCACGACATAAACAGAAACGTGAATTGGCCTTTTCAGTTTAACAAAAGCAAAACGTGAAAATTGATCAGAAACATAACGCTACTTCAATTATGATAATTAGCTGAAGAAGAAGAAGAATAACCTTTGGCGGTGGGTTTCTTATTGAAGATGTTCATGGCGATGGGTGTCTGTCACCGTCGATCGTCGAAGCCGATTACGGAGAAACGCACAGCACAGCACACCGAAGATGGCTCGTATTGGGGATCGCTAATCCCAAATTTCATGTTTCTTTTATAAGTTGTGATTCCAAAAATGCACAATAAAAGATTAACAAATAACATTTTTTTATTAAAAACTATAAAATTTAATTTTATTGTACATTAATTTTAATAAATTTTTATTATACATCAATTTTTATTAAATAAACGCGTTAGAAAAATCGATATTTATATATAACTTTGTTACTTTTCGCATTCAATTCCACTTTTTTTTTAAGACATTAGTTAATAGAAACCGCGTCGTTCCACCTAATTATTTTAGCTTTGAAATAAATATGGTAATATTTATTTGTTCAGCTGAAAAGTTTTCTGATAAAGAAAAAAACCATTTTCGAGCGTCAAATTAAGGTTAAACACATAAATCAATTTGACATTTAATTTAATTTTTCAAAACATAATCTACCTGTTCATTTTACACAACCCAAAAATGATTTTTTCTTCCGAAGTGTGAGTTGGGCTTTGGCCCGCTAATGAACCCAAAATATTTCATATGATACTATGAATACCCAACAACCTTGTAAGCTATAAATCAATCTATCCATATTATGCTATACATTTTTATTGGCCTTTTGGCTAAATTAACTGTGTTTGGATAATAAAATAGAATAACTTTTTAAACTGTAAATATAATTGTATTCTGTAGTTCACTCTAGAATCAATTCTTTTTTATGAAAAGGTTAAACAAATTCACATATATAAAAAAATTAATTTTATTTATTGCATCGTTGATTTTGAAAAGAAAAACTAAGCCAAATAACACAAGATATTACTGGTCCCTTTTTCTGAACGTCAATTGGCATATAAGGATAATCAAATAAGATAGAGCATCATATGAATTAATTTTGATAGTGTCATTAATTAGGGAACAAAGATGCATTACAAATTGAGAAAGGGAGGAGAACAATGATTAAATTTAAATATTAACTACCCAACACTATTATTATAGCATAAAGATAAAATTTTGATTTTATCTAACTCAAACATAATATCTTCAGTGAAAAATAGCTGTAGTTTAAAAGAAATTCCTTAATTTGGATAATTTTTCAATATATCTTGAGTGTGTCCTCTCTTAAGTTGTTCATCTTCTTCAAAGGACATATGTTTGCTCTTAGATTTGGAACTGAATTTAGAAGGGGATAATGGATTGGAATTGTTGTCCCTTTTCGATCTGGATTTAGTTGAGCCACCACCAACAGAACCATCTTTTGACATCTTAGAACGAGACCTTTTAGGCATGTCATCACTCATTTGGAGTTGAAGTGAATCCATGTCTGCGTGCATCATGGGTTGTTCGGTGTATTTAGATCCTTTACATGAATCATTTGGTCGTGAATGTTTCGATGACTTTTTTTGGTGCCTTGGCCTATCTGACTTTTCCTTTGCTCGGCACTCTCTCATGTTTCCTGATGAATTTGATTGCCTCTTAGATGATTTTGGCAACTCTGGTGATATGTCCTTCTCTTCACCTTCACGATTCCTAGACTTTGAACCTCTTCTTATTGAATCTACGTAGGCACATACACAACCACTAGATTCAAATAAATGTTATTATTATATACAAAACTTAGTTGCTGTTTTTTATTCTATTCTCCAGTAAAAATTGAGAGTTTTATCTTTGATAAATTAATATATACGCATGAAGTAATAAGATAAAGTTTTCTCATTTAATGGATCTTCATATATTAATGATCCTTCTGTGAATTGTGTAGTTTCTTATTGGTAAGAGATATGTCTAGTATTTCATTTTTTAGTTCTATTCTTTTGTAGTCTCTGGTTATTCCTCCTATATATATTACACTTAAATTTTATCATATTATTGTTTTAATCTTTATTTTGCATGCATGTTTCAATTTAACTTAATAATTTACTAGTCATTCGCAAGAATGCATTTTGTATGTCAACTCGTAGCATGAAAACTTAATAATATCTACCTTTAGAGACCTGTTGAGCTGAATTCTCAAGCCCTGTGCTATGAATGTCTCCATTAGGAGATGCAGATGAAAATTCTGGGACAGATTTAAACTCGTTCATCTGAAAAAAAGCGAAATAATGCTCCAAACGCTTTTTTTAAAATGATGCAAAATTTACACAGACACTAAAAATAACACAATTTTATATTTAGAGCACTTAATTTTTTAATTAATGTTCCACAAGTTTGAATATTGTTAATATTTTTTTTTATGAAAATAGAGAATTACCCAGCTAGGAGCACTTTCAACGGGACCATCGCGTCCAATATGTGCAAGATGCTTTACATTTGTGGGATGACCGATCTCAATTTCTTCTTCTTTTTCATTATTATCTGCAAAGTATATGAGTGATAGTCTTTAATTAATCTATCATGCTATCTTCAACTTTATGTAGATGAGAATAGAAAAGAAAAAAAAAGTCATTAGAAATAATACAATAAATAATTACAACCAAGGGGGCCTAATGTTACTTACCAAATATCTGAGAAATGAATCTTAGCCCTTTAAGGAGGCCCTTCACCTTATTATTGTTGGTGTTGTTGCTGGACATGTTAAACAAATCTTGTGTGTTTGAATTCTCTTTACACAACTAATATATAGCTTTACTTAGTCTCTAGTAAAACCTGGAAGAAATTTTGAGACTCTAGATAAAAAATAAAAGGAATTTCAACTTTAATGAAAATGAGTGGGGTGTGGGGTGATGAAGAAAACCAAAGAAATTTCTATGTTGATGAAGGCATTAACTCATAATCTCCCCTATTAAATTTCTTCCTGAAAGGCTAATTCAAGAATCCATTTGTTGTTGAGTTGAATAAATGTTTCATAGAGAGCCCATCAATGAGGATAAGGTGTACATTTTTACTGTTTTTATTCCTAGGCAACAAAAATTACAAACATGGTCTAGCTAGTGATTTTTATGTCATTTGAAGAAATAGAAGAATTGTTTAAAAACTTCAGGCAAGTTTTGACAGTAAATGTGTTATGGAAGGGTCTATGAGGAGAAAATGAATGAATGCAGCAAATCAAATTATGTTTAAAAGCATACCCATTTTTACTTTCGTTAATTCTACGGTGATAGTTTGCTTATTGTTTACCCTTTCAATCAAAACCATAAAGTGATCGAAATTTCAGGTGAATAATTGAAAGGAAAACAAATCAATATTGAAGAAACTAAGTTTAGGAAAGCCTTAACAAGTTGTGTTTCTCAAATGAAAATATGAAATCAATGAATCATATCTAACATGAACAAGTTATCCACAAGGTGTGGTGACTACGTGGCCAAAACTTACTATGAACGAAACACGTAATCGATGTTCCCACACCAAGACGAGAATGTATAATCTAATGTTACATTTTTATTAAAATCGGGTAAAAATATATGTGTTTATTTTTCCTCCAAAATAAACATTAAATAAACGTGTAATTGTAAAAACATTTATGAATTTTTATCTTCAAAATTATAAAATTTTTACTTAGAGTTTAACATTAATACATTATCGGTATAAAATTAAAATAAAAAATCACTAATTCGTCCAATAAATTTAAAACACATTTTAAATTTCTCAAATATTTAACACAAACTCTTCAAATAGTTTTGACTATTTAAATGAAAAAGCACTAAAATATAGTTATTTTTATAATAAAAAAAAAAAGGTAAGTGAGCCTTATTTATAAAAATATAATTTATTTGGGCCTTCAAATTTCAGATGCAAACTCTCAATTTATGTGTATATTCGGGTTGGCCGATCAAACTCAGTAATTTTGTCTATGCTATTATAAAAATTAATTATAAATCCTTTATCAATGAAAATTCCCGCTTGTAATATTATTTGTATTTTTTTTTCTTTATTCGTAGTCCTCGAACATTTCTCTCTTTCTCTTCTCTCTAATAACAAAGTTAATTAAAAAAAAACATTGATAAATTGATAATACACTTTTTATTTGATTTATCTTTAAAAAACTTAGAGCACTTACTTCATAAATTAATTATATTTAAAAATTACGTTCCTCAATTTTTTTTATACCTCCTTAAATAATGCTCTAATACATTTATTCATAACTTGCAATTAATTACCTTCAATAATTAGTTCTTACGCACTCTTCGACTTTCTTAATGTTTTATTTGAAACAAATCCACCTATGCATCATAAACATATATTACATATTTTGATATTAATTATAAAACATTATTTCACTGATAATATAGGAAACTATCAATGATAATAATTAATTTTTTTAATTGTGCATCTAAAGATATACTATAAAAGAAATAATGAATATTTTTTATCAAACATTATAATATTTAAAATTATTAATATATTAAATTATGTCATTTTTAATAATAATTTTAAGCATAAATTACAAAAATTAAATTAATAAATTGTCAAAATCACAGCACGGCTATGCCACTTATGATTGGATAATAATTAACATGAATTATCTTAAAAGTTGATTAGCCTATAACACATTTTCTTTTACAATTACAATAATGAGATTTGAATCAATCACCACCTTTATAATACATTTTTCATATTTAATTTTTTAACGTGTGTCTAACAATTAAAAAATGATATTAATTTTTATTAAAAATTGTAATATTTAATATTATTAATATATTAAATTTTATGATATCTTGTTATTTTCAGTAAAAAAATATTTTATATTATATTCTTACTGTGCATCTTTGTTACATTGTATCTGGTGAAAAAATATACAAATAAACATAAAATATATAAATATACATTGTAATTTGTAGGTGTTAAAAAATATTCAAATAATAGAGCCCCGTTTGAAGTTCCAAAAATCTTATAATGAGGACAAACAAATGAAGGGAAAATCGCTCAACTTCAAACATTGAGTTTGAGCATCAAGCTTTCGCACTATCCATTCCAACACTAGCCTGCAATAAGAATAAAATCAAAGCATTAAATGTGAAAAACAATTTTATATGGTAAACTTCAACAACTTTACATAATTTTTGGATCATATTACATGTAGTATGGTAAAAAAATTAACCATACCAGGAATTTATGATTCTCTACAAGCACTGAAGAGAAACTGGTACAGAATTCTTCCATATCAGACTCAAGATTCCCAGTTCCACTGATTATCTCCATGAATTTTTTCCTTTCTGGGACCAGCTTCATTGCAACCTAGAATTGAATGGTCTGTTAGAATACTGTAGATAGATTAAATAATCCTCTTGTGAGCAGCATTTTGCAATTATATATATCTTCCAAATTGCATAAATATGTCCAACAGTTAAATATGTAACTTATGCAAGATCCCACAGAATAAAACTGTGGTGTGAAACTGGATAATAACAACTAGAGCATGGAACCATTCTGTGTATCCTGAAGCTTAAAGCTAAATGAAGAAATCCCATCTCGAGGCATATTTAAGAGAATTAAAATCTTAAAGCAAGTATTTGATAAAGCTTATTAAAAAAAGTTAAAGTATTTTTTTTATCAAATCAAGGGATGATAGAAAATTTCGACAAAAAAAGTTGTTATGCTCTGATAATTCCATTAACAATTTTGTTAACATCAATCTTCATTTTTAATTTTAACCATATAAAAATAGTAAGTTTTTAAGAAAAAAAATTTATATACTTTTATATTGTTTTTTAATAAATGCTCACATTTTCAATAAAATCTTACATCTTTTGGATACTTAAAATTAATCTTAAGATGCAACATTTTTCTTCTACTAAATAAGCATGTGGTATTTATTTACACTGAAACTGGAAATAGCTAGCCAGCCATGCCACTGTCTCAATGTCTTGTTGTATGAATCAGAGCAAGCACGTTGCATGGTCCAATCTTGATGTTCATGCAAGTTGTTGAACATTTGTACCGTGAAATCCATGCTCCTATGAAGTTGTAAACAAGATATCAAAAACAAAAACACCGTAAGGTTGAGCACAGCAACACTAATATACAAGCATACCTTGATAGCCATAGCAACCCATTTGTGCAACTAGATGAAGCTTTTTCCGTTTTAGCTTCAACCTCTTTTTGCACTAAACTGAATAAGAATTTGTATTCTGAAGGGTCGGTTTGATACTTAGACTCCAACCTCTGACATCAAAGAATATTTACACGAACATGCATGTGAACTAGAAATGAGGAAGCACCAATCAATTAGCCAACAAACTAATTGCTAGCTTACCGAGATGTTACCACCAATGTCAGATTTTACAAATGAAAATGCTCCTCCAAAGTTGTCTGATGCCACATAAAAATTAATACTCAGCGTCATAATATTGCTCTTGAAAATTGAAACTTTAAGACTGAAAGTGTGACCCTTTTTATGCGTCTCGTAAGCTAATGTCTCAAATACAAAATTGTGTATATATACTTGTGTACAAGAATTTGGTAAATTGTAGACATCATCGTTTAATTTTGGAACTCCACTGTTAATTGTCGATTTGTGCGTTATATATGTCAGATATAAAAATTATCCATGTCCTCGCATATATATTTGGAATAGTTGGTCAATGACAATATAATCATTCTATGATGGTCTATAAAGAAAAACATATATCTTCTGCAAGTCCAAGGAATATTGTGGATTAAAGAATGTACCCGTTGAAAAAAAATAATTGATATCATTTGTCTGACGAGTTAAGATATTAATTTCAAGCAGAAAACATCCACATATGACATACCTAAAACAGGTAACAAACTTCTGCATATATCCAAGAAAGGTTTTGTGAGTACTTTTCCCTCTTCAGATTTAACAACCTTCAACCCCTCCAAAGCAGGACTGAATAAAGATCCTTCCATTCTTGTGCTGTAAATATCAATATTGGTGCAATCATAATCACTTATCATAATGCGGGAAACAAAGTTGATACCAAAAAATAACAAATAATTAAACTCCAAATGCAATTTGCAGTTTCTTTAATTTCTCAAGTGCCACAATCTGCATATATCACTCCATAATTAATCTAGTCTCCCCAACAAAACCAGAATGATCAAATAACAAACTTTGCAAAAGTAATCAAATAAATAAATGAACAACAATATGTGTTTTAAGCCACAAAACAACAGTGTTTGAATTGCCATCGATTTTCAATTTGAACATGATTTTCATCCATGCATGGCGACACCGATTAATCTGAGAATTTTGTTGATAGAGAAGAACCTGTTCAGAACGGGAGTATTACCGTTTCTGTTTGCGAGTTCCCAGAAACAGACCGTTAATTCTGGTACTTTGGTTTCGGTGTATGTTAGCACCACAAACAGACAATTTCTTTTCGGTAGTTTGGGCCATTTGTGTCTTAAAATCGTTATGTGTAAACTCGTGGGATTTTTGTAATTGGGCCCTTCAACCCAAGTGTCCGAACTAAGCCCAATTTCTTTTTGAGAGACAACACGGTTGCAGAGATTTAATTTAAACTCTACATCAAAAGCAGCTTATAAATAGGACAAATTACAATGTTTTCTTTTTAATTTAATGTAATTTCACTTGATATCTTTATTTTTTTTTCTATTATATTAACCTCTCTTGATTCATATAACTGTATAAGAAATTAAAGAAGGTATACATTATATTATTATATATTATTTTTAAATATATACTAACGTTATACAATAAAATTTTATAGAGTCATTTGTTGAAAATCATGAAACATTGATACCATTAAATTCTATAATTCTTAATAAAAATTATTACTTATTATTTTTTATTGTATATCTTTAAATACATATTAAAAAAATTATAATATATAAATCAAAGAAAGTTTATGTAAAGTAAAAAAAAATTATCAAGTAAAATTTCATTAAATTTTAAGAGGTGTAAGTATAATTTTTCATGACAATCAATGATATTCACCGGCATATGAACCGTTTGGCCATGTTTTGAACTCTCAAATTTTCACGCTCATTGCTCAGTTTCAACTTCCAAGATGACCTTTTGAAAAATATTTTGTACTAACAAATGAGTTTTTATAAAATAAAATCACTCTTTAACGTGCCATGATTGAGAAATCACAGTGATACTAATTTTCTGTTTTAATGTTATCCATCAAAGATTTTGAGAATAAATTTGAAATTTCCGATGCCCAAAATCGATCTCATTTTACTATTCTCTTTGGGCTCTGTATTCAGCTCTTCTCTAAACTGAATGGATTTTACAAACGATCGACCCCTTCCTTCACCTCATGCAGTTGATTTCGTTTCTGACGATGGCAAGGTCAGTGCATGCTTCATACCTTTCTCTTCATCGCTTATGCTATTTTATTATTTATGTATATGCATTTTACGATATTGTTAATGCCACGAATATATATGTTATATGAAATTAAGGCTAAATGAGTGTCACTTCTCTTTCTCTCTTTTGCTTTGAATGTATTAGTTTAAATGATATATTGCCTGTGAACATTTGCACAAACAATCTTTCACTTCTGTTATGCTTACACTTGAAACCAAATAAGCCGATACTCAACTTGTTTCAATTTTATCCGTCGTTTAAACATCTTCAAAATCAAAGAAAACTTCATTCGGAATCTTCATCAATTTTGTTAAAAGGCTGAAACTTTTAAAATTTCTTGTAAAATAAAAGAAAACTTACATACATGTCCTGGGCATAACTCTATATAGCATATTCAATTTATAGCTTGTTTGGATTTAAAATGATCTAATAAAGCTCGCGTTATGGAGCAAAGCAGTACATAAAATTACACACATACTAGGAGGTGCAGTTTTTTAAGTCTTGTTTATTAATCAAAATTAAATTTTTACTTTGATAATGTGTGATATTATTAAATTTAAATTATTTAATAAAATAAAATTTTAATTTTAATTGATAAATAATGTTAACAATACCTAACTTTTGTAATTTTTAAATTCCTAAAAACAGAGTTTTCATGTGAATCAATGAAGTCCTTACTTGGCTTCCAAAAACATGTCAAGAGTTACTAGAAAAAGACATGTATTTTATGAGTTTTATAATATATTTATGAGACCCACAAATATATGCATTCTTCTCCTTCTTAATAAATTATTCATTAAATAAAGAAAAAAAAATCCTGAAAAGATAGACCAATGTTATTTTATATTGTCTTTTATTCGCATACCTTTGACCAAACAATGCACAGGGATAGGTTTTACTCTTCAACTTCAAGAACACTTCAAAATAATTCATTAATTTGTAATAAACATGTATTTTTAGTTTATTATTAAATTTTTAATTAATGATTATAATGTGATATTTTTAAAAATGATTAACTAAATAACAGTAAGAAAAAAGCTAATGGATAGATCCTAGATATTTCATATTTGACTTCTCACCTAGGTATTGTGACTCAGCCTGCATTTAAGATAACGATCATATTACTTAGCATAATAATTTTTTACCTCGCAATGCCATTTTATTCAATATTATAACATAATCCTTAAAAACAGGCATTAACTTAAGCGAAATTTCTGTAATTCCGAAAATAAGAAAAAAGGTTGACCCAAAAATGATGAAAAAACAAAAACAATAGTTGGAGAGTGTTTGTATTTGGTAAATTGGTAGACATATTGAAGTGTTACAGTAGATAGATAGAAGCTAAGAAAAAAGGGATTTTAGAAGTTAGTGTTGAGTGAGAAGAGAATGGCGATGGCGGGGTTATATCGACGCCTTCTTTCTTGTCCCCCCGCTGTCGAATTCGCTTCTTCACAAGGCAAGGTGATTATGATAACGTTTAAGTTAGTTGATTTGCATGTTTTTCTTCTCTCTCATTATCTGTGAGTTTTTTGAATTGTTGTTTGTTTTGGTTTAATGTCAGCAACTTTTTCTAGAAGCCATTCAGAATGGAACAATGGAGGGGTTTTATAAGTTGGTTTCCTATTTTCAAACACAATCTGAGCCTGCTTTTTGTGGCCTCGCTAGCTTGTCTATGGTCCTCAATGCTCTTGCCATTGATCCTGGCAGGAAGTGGAAAGGTAACCCACCTTTAATATGTTCCCTATTTTCCCTACCCTTTTTTTTTTTTTTTTGAATTTATGTCTTATTTCAAAGAGCTTTTGAATCGTTTATAGAAAATAATTTATGATTTGTTATAAGCTTTTTTCCAACTTCTTCAGCGTAAGTTGTTTTCAGTTTATACCAATAAGTATTATTGTTCAATTTATGATATATGCTATTGTTTAAAAATAGTTTATTGAATAAGGCCCAGTTTCGGTAAACTTATGCAGAAGTCTTTGTAGGAGAACAAAAAATCAGTATAAAAATGTATAAAATTTTCTAACTCATGCTTCCACAGGGCCTTGGAGATGGTTTGATGAATCTATGTTGGACTGTTGTGAACCTCTAGAAATGGTCAAAGTTAGGGGCATCTCTTTTGGGAAACTTGTATGTTTGGCTCATTGTGCTGGAGCAGAAGTTGAAGCCTTTCATGCTAGTCATAGCAGCATTGAGGATTTTCGTAGATATGTCATTGAGTGTTCAACTTCTGATGACTGTCATGTGATCTCGTCATACCATAGAGCTGCTCTCAAACAAGTGTGTGACATGGTTTATGGAACTTTGACATAATAGGAAGTATTAAAGCTTTGTAGTTTCATTATAGATTTCTATCCATCTTGCACTCTTGTTAATTCATATAATTCTTCATTAGTTATCCCACTTTTTCCTATAAACTTTATCTTGGTAGATAAAATTGGTGTGTATATTAAAGGACAAAACTTATGTGTTGTTTACTAATCAAAATTAGAGTTTTATCTTGGTAATTTGTGATTTAGTTAAATACAAACCTTTTATTGAAATGAAATTCTAATTTTAATTGACAAACAACACTAACAGTACCTAAAACTTAAGTTTTTTCCTATATTTAATCCTAGAAAAATGCTGAGTATTGACTTGACTTTATTTTCATGATAGACAGGAAATGGCCACTTTTCTCCTATTGGAGGCTATCATGTTGGGAAGGACATGGCACTTATTTTGGATGTTGCACGTTTTAAGTATCCTCCCCATTGGGTCCCCCTTACACTTCTTTGGGAAGGCATGAATTATGTTGATGAGTCTACTGGACAATCTAGGGGGTAAACTTTCTTTATATACATTTTGCACTATTTAATAATGGCAGTGTAAGCTAATTAATCCTAGACCTAACAACGGCAAATACTTTTGCCCAAAGATTGGTGGTGCTTATGAGCACAAAGAACTGTTTTTTTTTTTTTTTTTTTTTTTTTTTTTGTACATAAGAAATTATGTAGCTATGACTTGACCTAGCCAATTTAAGCAATGAGAAAACTTCTTGATTTCTCTTTTCATTACATGGTTTAAATGATGTTTTCTCATCTTTTCACCCTCTTCAGGTTCATGCTTATATCAAGGCCTCACAGGGAACCTGGCATGCTTTATACTCTGGTATTTTTCTTTCTGTTAAATAGTGACTCAGAACTTTACTTTCATTTTGTGGGATTATTTCACTGTCAGTTGACTGAGGTTTAATTGGATATGCTTTGTGGTAAGTTCATACGGGAAGTTGGAAAATCAATTCACACTCAATTGTTTGGGCTGTTTGTGTGTTTGAAATTGTTTCTTTTTTTTTTTTTTTTTTTTGGCAATCCCCTTCTCAATTTGAAGTTCTATGAATTATGGAACTATGTGAATGTAAGACGCATGCATGTATGTGTTTGCAGTATGTCATGTTTGTATTTTTCATGGTTTGTGTTGGTGTGGGTTTGTTGTATCTTGCAGAGCTGCAAACATGAGAGCTGGATTAGTATTGCGAAATTCCTAATGGATGATGTTCCTCTTCTATTAAAATCAGAGGATGTGAAAGACATTCATCAGGTTCTTTCAATTATAGTCACATCACTTCCGTCTAATTTTGAAGAATTCATCAAGTGGGTTGCAGAGATCAGGAGGCGAGAGGATGGTGGTCCAAGTTTAAGTGCAGAGGAGAAAGCAAGGCTTGTTGTCAAGGTTTAACATGTTTAATCTCAACTTGTCGTACTTCTCTTCAGCATTGTTCCCTCTACTTTGGTTCATTCGTTTTACTCGTAATACTCTCGTGTCATAACTTTTTTGCTGTGCAGGAAGAGGTATTGAAACAGGTTCAAGAGAGAGGACTTTTCAAACATGTATCCTCCTTTTTGTCAAATTCTTGCAGCAGACAGACACCAACTTCAGGTGATGGAGACACGCTACCTGTCATTGCTGCAAGTGTTTGTTGCCAAGGAGCAGAAATTTTGGGTGGGAAACCAAGCTCATCATCAGGGTATTGCTGTCAAGAAACATGCATGAAATGCTGGAAAGCTGAAGATGACAAACCAATAACAATGGTTTCTGGGACTGTGGTAAATGGCAAGACTGAACAAGGGTTAGATGTGCTGATTCCTTCATCATCTGGGAAATTATGTTGCACTTGCTCTAACCCAAGTAAGTACATTAGAATGCACCCAGCTAGCACTGATGTGCTGACAGTGCTTCTACTGTCCTTACCATCTACAACATGGGCTGGCATCACAAATGAGCGGCTTTTGACAGAAATACATAGTCTGGTTTCAATTGAAAACCTTCCAACTTTGCTTCAGGAAGAGGTAGTTATCTCTCATCTGTTGTTTTTTTAAAACTTTTTTCTATTGCATGGCAGCATTGTGATTCTGCTACTTGTACTCTCTTCATTTTTCAACTTCAACTTATTGTAAACCACTTTGCATTTCAGGTTCTGCACTTGAGACGTCAGTTACACCTTCTCAAGAGATGTGAAGAGGGTAAGGTAGATGAGGATCTTGGTTCCCCTCTCTCTTAGCATCTCCCTCATTTTTCCATCATTCATATCAAGGAACCAGTGTCTCTTGACAGTGTAATTTATATTATAGAAGCTGGAATACGTTCACATTGCTTTATAACACGTCGGGTAGCATAGAATCACTTAAATTGGCGCATAATTGATAGATTATTTTGTTTTAGTTTTTATATTCGTTAGTCATTTGACCTGTTAGACAAGTCGCCTTGTTCTAGCAAGCAACTATTCTAAATGTATTTCCCAATTCACGTTGCATTTTACTATATATATATATAAAATAAGATCCTCAGGTAATAAACTTGGTAAAATGACAACTTTAACAGCATTTTATCAAAAGAGAATCGTATAAATTTAATTATTGATTATCGTAACATTATGATGGATGTAAATTAGATAATTTAGACATTTATAAATATGTAATAGTACTTATTTAATTATAGTTTAAAATAACATATTATTTGTTAAAATACGGTGAAGTGATGAAGTATTAATTAGAATTTAAATTATTAAAATTTAATATAATTATACAAAATTTTCTAAAAACTTTAAGTAGGAAAAAGTTTTAAATTAAGGAAATAATCATTTAAAAGGGTTTTTTTTATTTTTAAAAATTAACTTATAAGATACATAATTATCAATTTTACCCCTGGTTCAAACAACATATAGTCTATTTGTTTTTCAATTGGTCACCACTCTTCCAATTTTCAAGGGGAGTTTTATCAAAGTGAAAACATAGTATTTTCCTTTTATCAAAAAGGAGTTGTGTCACACAACCTGCTTTGGAAAGTGTGTTGTCCAAAAATCACTGAAATCAGTCCGTTGACAATTATTTCCCCAAATACCAACGGCTGGAACAAGATGGATTTAAAGAATCTATATACATTTTTAAGAATAAAAAAACTTGAAAAAAAAATAATAAAAGAATGTAATAAAAAAGATACTATGTAAAGTTTTATTTATAAAAGTAAATATTTAATTTATCAAAATCAATAAAACATAATATATCATAAATTTATACTCTATTTTAAAAATCTAAATATGATTATATATTTATCTATTCGATTAAAAAGTGAATATTTTGTTAATTAAACTTTTACAGTAAATAAGACTATAAAAATTAATAATTAATATAGTTAAAAATACATATTTATTTTTTATAGTAACACAATGTTGATAATTGATAATGAAGTAGTGTAATATTTGTAATATAAAGAAAGTTTTATTAACTTTAGTTTTTAAGTTGAGTTTAAAATCTATAACTGAAAAAAACTATTATATTTTCTTAATAAATGATTATTATTATTATTAGTTGGTTCCGGTATAGACATAGCTTAACAAAACCAAAAATATTTAATATTTGGGAATAATAATATAAAAAGCATGATGATGAAGAAGTGGTGTGAGAGAGAAAGAAGAAAGAGGATCAGAATCGGCATAGCAGTAGCATGGCAAGCCCAGGTCTGTACCGCAGAGCCCTGCCTTCTCCCCCTGCAGTCGACTTTGCTTCGCCGGAGGGCAAGGTCAACTTGGTCAACTCTCACTCTTTTCTTCATTCCAATTCTGTTTTTTTTATTCTCTTTTTTAATTCTACAGAAGATTTTCGTGGAAGCTCTGGGGCAAGGAACCATGGAAGGCTTCTTCAAGTTGATATCAAACTATAAGACACAATCAGAACCTGCCTACTGTGCTCTCGCTACTCTCTCTGTTGTCCTCAATGCTCTTGCCATTGACCCTGGCAGAAAATGGAAAGGTAGTACCTTAATCATTTACCACCAAGCTTTTATTGCAAAATATATTCAAAATCCTAAATGCTAAAAGAATTATGTAGATCAAGAAATACAATCGTTATGTTTTCATTATTTGATACATTTCTTAGTTCACCTTATTCTAGTGGGTCTGTTTTTGACGTTTGACTTCTTAAATAGTCTATGCATTTTATATTATTGCACTTATTCTAAATGGATAAAAGGATATCAGTAGAAAAATAATGTTGCTTGAATTTCTATATGGGTATATAAATGAGAATAAATTCATCTCCTTTCTCAAGACAAATAAGAACTAAAAGTGTACTAGTGTATTACAAACACTTGTTTAATAAAAAGTTTTGTTAACTTTTGCCTTTAAGATCGAATTTAAGTATTAAAAGCAGTAATTTTTATTGGAAAAGAACGTATTTATTATATTAAAGTTATAAAAGTATAATAAATATTATTATTTGGATTTTATTACAAGATAAGATAATAATAAAATTTTATTGAGAAGAAAAGTATTCATTATACTTTTATAAATTTAATACAATAAATATATACGTTTTCCATAAAAAAAATTCTATTTATTAACAAAACCTGTATTATTTTTAGTTGCTTAAACTCAACCCAAGGACCGAGTAAAAATAAAAGCTTTTTAATAGCATTTGTCTAACAATAATAATAATACTAATAAGTCACTTAACAGGCCCTTGGAGATGGTTTGATGATTCCATGTTGGATTGCTGTGAACCTTTGGAGAAAATTAAAGCAGAAGGCCTAACGTTTGGAAAACTTGCATGCTTGGCTCGATGTAATGGAGCTAAAGTGGAAGCCTTTCGTGCCAATGGGAGTTCAGTCCATGATTTTCGTAACCGTGTGATTGCCTGTTGTTCTTCTGAGGATTGTCATGTGATTGTGTCTTACCACAGGGCACCACTCAATCAGGTGTTGTATGTGTTATCTATTCATAAGCATTCAATAAGCTGCTGCTGCTTCCTACATATGTATTCTTTTAGTTGGCTTCTAGGCCGTTTTCACTTTTAAGTTTTAACGTAGTTGCTCAATTCAGATTTAAGATCTTTTGAATAAGTTTTTGTGTAGGAAATGAAAAGCTAAGTGAGTTTGTAGAAATGATGGAATTTTGTCATATTGTTGGTAATAGACTGGAATTGGCCATTTTTCACCAATTGGAGGATATCATGCTGAAAGGGATATGGTCCTCGTGTTGGATGTGGCTCGTTTCAAATATCCTCCTCACTGGGTTCCCCTTAACCTTCTCTGGGATGCCGTAAGTACCATTGATCAAGCCACTGGTCTTTACAGGGGGTAATATCTTTTACATTGTTACTTAAAGCATAATAGTATTTAATAGTTATTATTGGATGAAATTCTCGTGGGACTTGTTAAATCATGTGACCTACATATTTATGGTGACTTACATGAAAGTAATCCAATGATACAGAATTTGTTGAAAAGAGCAGAGTGTGTTGCTAGCATTTCTTGGTGTATTTGAACATTTTTGTCAAAACTACAGCCTTTTGCTGTGATTTCCTTCAAATATTGTGCACTTTTCCTTTTGTACCTTGTGCGAGTATTGATTAATGAACAACGGCAATATTTTACTAGTCATAAGATTTTCATCTTATGTGATATTCTTTCTATTGATTCAAGTTTATAAGACTCTCAAGCTGGTTTTTTTTGCCATGCATGCCATGCTTCAGAGAACTAAACTTGTATAAAGGAAAAATTCAGAATAGTAAAACTCTGGAGAATATTGTTGTTTAAAATTATCAAAGATATTTTTACCTCATACCATAGGCATAAAACGATAATTGATTGAAAGCACTAAACTTTTGATTATCTATATATTCTATCCACACTTGTCTGCTATCTGCTAATGTAATTTGGCTTTCCTTTAATTGTTATTTGAAAACTGTACTATTTGAATGTATCGGTATCATTAAAGTCCTGCTAATTGGGATTAAAAGGATTTGAGTTTATGAACTCTTTTAGTTTGTTACCCTTGTTCAACTACTCTTGTTTCCCTCCACTTATATTTGGAAATTTGTATTTCAGGTATATGATTATTTCAAAGCTTAACAGGGCACCATCTGTACTGTATACTGTGGTACTGTGCTACTGGTTGATTCTTTGTTGAACCATCGCAGAACATATATAGTGTATCTAAATTCATGACTTTTAAATAGTGGGGAAAATAATCTGACTCACTGTAAAACTAAAATGGTGAGGTCTGCTAGAAGATGGTTTTATTACTTGAAATTATATTGAACAATAAAAAGACATAGCAATACATTGATTATGTTAAAGGATGAAGTGTCATTGGAAGGTCTGCGGTCCTGCCCAATATTCTTTCCTTTTTCCCATGTTGGAACTGTAGTAATTGAATCATAGAACATATCTATTATTCTAATTTAACAAAAACTTACGTTTTGTTTATTTTGTTTTGCTTCATGCAAATAATTTCTCCCTATAGATTACAGTAAATACTTACTCTAAGACTATCTGCAGAGTTGCAGACACGAAGGTTGGAACAGTGTTGCCAAATTTCTAACTGAAGATGTTCAACAACTCCTAAAGTCAGAGGATCTAAAAGACATTCAGGAAGTACTCTCTGTTGTGTTTAAATCTCCTCCTGGTGAATTGAGAGAGTTAATCACATGGATTGCTGAAGTTCGCAGACAAGAAGATGGGACTCTCACACTGAGTGAGGATGAGAGAGGAAGGCTAGCTATCAAGGTTTCAACACTACTTCCTTTTCGATTTTGAGAAAAAATAATTTCACTCTTGAATTTGACAAATGTGATATTTGCATAATCCAGAGACTTCATCTAATTGAAGAAAATCCATTAAATAAACAAACATAATGTTTTAGCATTTTGAAATTTCAGGCAGATATACTGGAACAGATTCGGACAACTGCACTCTTCAAACATGTGACCAGGTGGTTGGATTCTGAAAGTACATGTTGTAATACTTTTGTGAAGCTCAGTGACAAAGAAATGTTACCAGCACTTGCTGCAGACGTTTGTTGCCAAGGGGCAGATCTTTTGACTGGTTGTGGTAGGCTAGCTTTGTCAAGTGGAAAATGCTGTTCTCAAATAGATGTAAAACAACTGAATGTTGATACAGAAAATCCAGTAACAATAGCTTCTGGAACTGTTGCAACTGGTGGTGGTAGTGTACAAGAAGTTGATGTGTTGGTCCCTTTGTGTCAAAGGGTGCCAAGTAGGTTTTGTCTTTCAAATGAAGGTCACTGCATTGGAATGCACCCGTCTACTGCAGATGTCTTAACGGTGCTTTTACTGGCCTTGCCATTGCATACATGGTCAGGCATTAAAGAAGAAAAACTGCAAGTGGAAGTTACAAGCCTTCTAATAACTGAAGATCTCCCTCCCTTACTTCAGGAAGAGGTAAAGCCCATTTCTTTACAACAGTTTTTCCTTTAATTGAAAATTTGAAAAACAGATAAAAGAAACTCTTGATAAGAATACAGACAGCAAAGAACCAATATGATGATTTTATGCCAATTCATTTGTTACAAAGTTTTCATGCCATAAATTAAATGGTAAAAGTACACTTCACATCTTTTGAAAATTTTCATCCAAATTAATTTTAGTGAACCAAGTTTAAAACTATATTTTAATCCCTCAAGTTTCAAAAGCTTACTCTTCAGTTCACTTTCACTCAAACCCTTTTGAAGATTCAGAAAAGATGGAATTGTTCATAATTTAGTTAAAACTGACAATAGACGGGTCATTTACCATTTCGTTTATATGTATGGCCAAGAACATTTTGCAATGCTCTGTTATCTACCGGTACATCTTGAATTCCTAATATATTTCACTTTTTTCTTAATGTAATTTTATGCCAAAACTGCCACTAAGCAAGAGCTTCCCCTACATGGTTTTATTGAAATTTAGTTTTTGATATATAAAGGAGATGGAGTTGATTGATCCATGCCTGACCCACCTATTGGAATAAGGCTTGGTGGTTATTTGTGGTCACCAATGCCTAACATGAGCTAAAGTTCGTTTGGAATTCAAGGGGTAAAATGTAGTTTACAATCAATTAAATCTGCATATCTAAGGCACTTAAATGAAGCCAAATAGTTCATGTCCATATCATGGGTTCAATACTATCACAATTATTCATGACGAACAAATGAAAAGAACTTAGTGGGTTGGGGGAAAATATTATTGTTTATATTTCAATCTAGCGGCTAAGCTGGTGATACTTACTATCCATTTGTGAAACAGGTTTCGTTCTTGCGAGAGCAACTCCATTTTCTCATGACTGACATTGGTGATCCTTCTCACTGATGATACTCTTGATTTTGACTTATGTAACGTGTTCCTACGACGCAATGACATTAAATAGATTTAGCATCAGTTATGTCATTGAAATCAAAGCAGCATGTGCATTGCTTTGGTGCCATGTTGAACAGATCAGAAACCAGGTATAGTCTCACCTTGAGCAATAATTATGGACTATACAAAGTAATTGTGTACATATGGAAAGAATAACATGCAGATTTGCATAATTCATCGTTGGAAGATGAGGATAATCAATGGAATGTACTAAAAGGATTAAAGAGCCTGGCTATCCTTGGCCTTTTATCTGATACTAAGTGTATAATGTTCTTCTATGATGTTTCTCATTTGAATAATTAATCAGGAGATGTTAACATAATAAAAAATTATCTGCTTGGTTTCCTTATTTCATTTTATACTTGTTATCTGTTAACAATAAGTGAATGAGAAATGCTAGTTGTACTTCATTTTTGTACAACATTTTATACAAAAGGGAAGAAAGGAAGAAAAAAAAGAGACGTGTAATAAAATGGGTGATGTGGTGATTAAGAGACAGAGAGAAAAATAATAGCATTATAGACTGTGTTATATGAATAACGAAACTTTAAGTGAGTAGATGATTATGCATGGCTATATCATTTTGCTATTCTCCAACACCATTTTCGTGGCTATTTAAATTATTCATTTCCTTGAACCAAATGATCATTTTGTCATCTGATAAGTTGCAAGCTATAGTAACGATGTATCTTAGGAACTAAGATGCACGTAGTTATTCCTGATAAGTGATAACTAGTTCCTTCCAATGGCTATCACAGTTCCATTATCGTTGCATATTATCTTAAAATGTAGATTCCTATGGCCAGCAATTTTTGCTAATAAAAGAAGCCCGGAAAGAACATGCGTTTGAGGTCGGCAGTTGGAGACAAGGAATGATTCATAGGAGCCGTTGATGCAATGGCCTGCAGTTTTTTCAACATGTTCCTTTCATAAATTACAACCACAACTTGTACAATACCCAGTATCTATTTTGTTTTTGTCGGCTACATTTTCGTTTTCTGGGCTCATTGCTACTTATTGGTCATAATTCTGAAGGTCCCTTTATCAATCACGGGGCTGGTTAGAGATGTGGACTAGCAAATAAAGACGGTATGGGAGGCCATGCCCAGACGGAATGACCCTTGATTTTTAAGGCTATGTTTGCATCCATGAAAAGGATGGCATAGCTGAAAGGGAAATAAAATTGAATGGTGTTAGTTGTCACTTGTCATTGTTTGGATTGTTCATAAAAGGGTTGGGTAAAACGAACGTGTTAGAATTTATTTCGTATTATTGAGGAGTGCTATAACATATTTTTTGGCACATTCTTTCAGACACTCCTTATTGATATTTGTTGAAAAACATTAAAATATTAGTGAGATTCATTAAATAGGGAGTGAGTTTTATACCATTTTGTGAGCTTTGATAAATTTTAATAATGATGGTGTTAGAGAACATACGGTTGGTATTTCTCTCATATTATTCCATTCAATGTCAGTTTTTTTTGTTTCCTCTAATTTTAAGAATATGGAATAGGTTTGGCTGATTATCCAATTGTTTCTTATTTTAGATTAGGGAAACGTAAACAAACAAAAGCTATATTAGTTTTTTAACTATTTTATTCACTTTCTAAGGAATTGAATGGAATTTATTGATGTTATCATTAAATATTCAGAAAATATTTCATTTTATGTCATCTAATTTGATCCTGCTCCACTCGTTATAAAATATCTGAAGAATAAACTCAACTTGGAGAACAGTTTGGTATTAGTATCACCACTGGCTTACCCCCATTGTGCATGGCCGGTTTTTTTCCCTAAATTTTGCATTAGTTCATCCCTTTTTCTTGCTCTGCTGAATTGTTAAATTTGCTCATGCATATTACCTTTTTCTTAATGTGTTCTCAGTTTTTGTATCATCAAGATTTAACTGGTTTTTATTCAACATTTTGTGACTGATACTATAGTCATTTGTGGACTATAACAGACCATCCTAATTAAATCACAATGGAGCCTATTTTTCATTTTATGCAAATTAATAATGCATACTAACACTAGCAAGTAATGAAAAAATTTAGAATTGAGCATTTTGTAAAGTTTTTAATTAAAGTTTACATATAAAATTGTTAACCTTCATTTATATAATACTAATAAAAGGGAGGAAGTGAATTAGTTCACTGGCCTGTCTAGACAAAGCCTACAAAGAGTATTTGGACACATGCGTGGAAGCAACATTTTCTTAAAGGATGTTTTAATGTGCGGTTAAACATTATGTATAATATATTAATAATTTTATTTATTATCATTTTTAATTAAAAAAATTATATTTATTTTTAATTATGTATCTTTCCGTGCACATTTAAAAATTTGTTTCTTAAATTCTGTCGTACCTCCCAAAGCAACATTTTTTTTCTAAAGCATCTTCAACTATTGACTTAACAGTGACAGAAACGTCTTTTATTTATTTATTCTTTAAAATCTTAGCATTATAAATTTCTTTTTAATTCTAGTTAATTCCGATAGGCTCAGGTTCATGATGCTTCTTTACACAGATAATAACGCAACTGAAGAAACTTATTTACAAATATAAAGCTCTCTTATACTTCTAATTTATGAAATTCAAATTAAAAATTTTAATCACTTAAATTCTGCCGTATATTGAAGATTTTTATTATTGTTAAACCTAAATGCATACTTATCCATATATTAGCACAGCCTCTCTTTTTTTTTTTTCTCTCCAAACATTTTTTATTTACATTTTTTATAATTATAACAAATTTTTAATGTATGCACCCAATGAAACAACGTGTAAATGTAATTGCGACTTTTCAATCATATTTTGTTCTCAAGCAATATATTCTCACTTCAAAGTTTTGGCTCAACCTCCGTTCATTCTTTCCTAAATTCTCACAAAGTTATTTTCCTTTTGACCAAAAATAAATAAAAAATAAACTTAAAAAAAAACATTAACTTTTGTTATTTCATTGGGTGGCACATTTATTATCTTTGACGACAATGAATTTCATTTGGCACGAACAGTCCCCCATCATATTTAATATCTTCATATTCCATGCTTTAACCTTCAAATAGAATGACAAATTTTAATGTCATTATGAATCTTAATAATTTTGTATACTTTAATGTATTAATTTAAAAATAATATATTTACTTGTCTATTTATATATCAGTGAATTTCTTGAATATTTTAAGACGAAAAATTACAGAAAATAATTAATTATTAAAAAAATAATTTATCATTTATTATTAATTTTTATTCTTACATTACTCAAATAAAATAAATATATTATATAAATAAAAAATATTATTAAAAATACTTTGAATTATGCTAACTTCTACACTACGAGATAAATGAAAATACTTTTCCTTCACTCTAAACATATAAATGTATAAAACATAATTACGAAAAGGATAGCGTAAGTGACATTTTTGCACAACCAAACGGAGGCATCTAAATGGCAATTAATGAGATTTGTTGTTCAGCCATCAACCAACTCTTTGCCTTTCTTTGATTTGATGTTTATTACAACGTGTTTTTTTTTCCATTTTAAAATATTTATTATCCAATTTTTTTAATTATGTTTTCAAACTAAATGTTTTTATTTTTAGTTTATTTTTAAAAATTTATAATTTTTTTTTTAAAAAATATTTTATATTGTCTTTGCATATATTCGTCGAGCGAAATAAAAAAAAAATTACCACTGAAACAAGAGCAACAATATAACAAAACCAACTTATAATTTGTTTTTTTAATGGAGAATATTTAAATATTTTCTTAAATTTTAAGTTAAATATTAACATAAAATAAATTTCAATAATCATATTTAAGAGAAATAAAATATATAAAATTAATATAGTATGAGATTAATGTCAAATTTTCAAATCAAACTTAAATTTGGGCCTAAATTTATTCAAGTTTTTATTTTAAAAAAAATAGATCCTTCCAATTTAAATGATATTAAGATTCAAAATTTAAGCTAAAATTAAATCAAGTTAAATAATGATATTTGAGAAGAACAAAAAAATATAAAATTTAAAATCTTAAATACACAATTATTTTGAAAAGGAGATAATTTTGTAGCCATCTAACATATCTTTAGCATGAAATAATTGTATTTGGGATAAGAATATGTAGTATCGTATGGTTAACTTTCCAAACGGAACTTAATTTCCAAGAACATATCTCAAACTTAGAACCTTATTCAAATCAAATATAGATCATTTGAACGAGCAGTGCAGTGATAACCAATAACAGCATGAGGTGTCTAATCCCTTTGAAAAATATTATTGTCTGATCAAAGAGAGGGTTATCTACCAACTTTGCTAATTTTGGGAAGTAGTTCATATGATTCTTTATCAGCTAACAGTTAACAGATACAAGCACTAATAATCCACCACATTTTCCTTCACCTTCAAGTTCCCTCCACATGCAGTATCCAATTTCACGTTAGGAAAACGCCAACTAGGCTCTTCTCTTCTCTTCTTCCCTCACCCTCTTTCCTATCGAGCAAAGCCAAAGAAAGGCACTGAACATGACTGATTCCAAGTGTTTTGTTTCTCATGAACTATTACGTGCGAATAAATCAATCAAATACTAACCAATCACTATTGACCACATTTTCCTTCATTCTCAGATTCAATCCTTTTGAACCTATCTTCTCTGGGCTACTCCCTCTGCTATTGACAAACACTGGCCCAAGGATAGTACTAATTGGGCCACCTAGCAAGTAGTTTCTCATAGCCTATAAAAAGGACTTGTGTTGTGCTAAATTAAAATTTTATTTGAAAAGAGAAAATAAAGGAAGTATCTTTGTGATCACAGAGAGGAATGGAAGGGAGAGAGAGTTGCCATCCTCTGTTAAGAGGAGGTAGGAAGAGAATAGAGAAAGGTTACAATCATGGGTTATCTACCATTCAGATGGATGTCATGGCTTCCATATGTGATACCCTTTTTCCTTCCCTCAACAAGGATAGTTCAAAGGACCAAGCTTTCTCAGCTTTCTACAATACTTCTGCTTCTCAGTTCCCTTTTCCTGATGAGGTAGGTGTTTTTTTATGATCCCGTGTTTTTATTTTATAGAAGGGTCTATATTACTTCAATTTCTATTCTTTTTTAAAATTTGTGCAATGAAAATTAGGCTGCAGAGCTCATGTTCAAGAGGACTGTGCCAGAAGCTTTGTTGTTGGTGAGTTGGGTTCTGTGGATTCTGTCCTTCAGATTGGGGACACTGTTGCTTTGTGGAAGTCTTTGCTTGGAATGGAAGTGGCCTTTCGTTAACAAGTTCTCTGAGATTTCCTTGGAGAAGAGAGAAAAAATTCTGAATCAATGGTCAAGGGAAAAGCGTTGGGTACCCCTGCGGATTGTGTTTGTGCTCATCAAACTTGTTTGCTTCTATAATATCTTCTCAAGGGTAAGGTTTCTTTTTCTCACCCATTCTAAGCTTTCAGTATATAGTTGAATTTCTTTCGGTCAACAGTATATGGTTGAATTGTAGAGGAATATGTTTGCACCTTCCTTAGTAGGTATTGCTCAACAGTTGCCCATAAACAACAGTTAAGAACAATAAATTGGGAGAGGACACATAGGCTCTTTGTAAAAGGACGGATGACATCATTATTTCATTAGGGCTTGATAGCAATCTACATCTGTCTGGTTTGACTGTTATTCAAAATTTATCATTTCCATGTTGGTTTTAATCGAAATTAAAAATTACACCAAACCAGCTGGTTTGACAGGAAAACTAGTGAAGTGGTAGTTCTCCAGTTCTTATGGACCCCCTCTCCCCAAATAAAGATCATTGAAAAATTTAATAAAGAAGGCTTAATTTTACATTTACTTTTCATATTTTAGTTTATATATAATTTTAATTCTTCTAGTTTTAATTGTTTGTGTCTGATTTTTATACTTTTAAATTATTCAAATCAAATCCTTCATCCCAAAATTTTGTTCAATAATTAATAAAAAAAAATAGTATATCATTAATTTATATAAATTTATAAAACATATATAAAATGATTAAATAAAAGTCAAAATATTTCTATTATATTGTATACATTTTTATTATATAATTTTATACTAATTTGAACAAATTAATAATACACATCTATTATATTTTTGTTAATTATTGGATGAGATTTTGAGGTGAGGGATTTAATTTGAATAATTAAAAAAAAGAGAGATTAAATGCAACAATTAAAATTAGAAGAACTAGAATCACACAAAAATTAAAATATTGGACTAAAAATGCAATTAATCTAAGAATAAATAAGCGAGATCCAACACCATTTTATGATTTTATTTTTAAGGAGTAAAGAATATTGCTTTAAATATATGTCATGTATGAACTTAATTTTAAATGTAACTATTGATGTTACAAATTATGAACATTATGTTTGTTAATGAACTTTTATATTTTATGCTATTATTTGATTATAAATGTATATCACTTTGCCAGTGTGTGTGTGTATATATATATATATATATCATAAACTGTGAATCAATAATTTCATTAATTTAATTATGGGTTGGATTTTAAAAACACTGGACGTAACATATAATGATGTCAAACATTCAAATTGAATTTCTCACACATCTCATTCCTAAATTATTTGTTTATTTATTTTGCTTTCTCATATCTTTCCCCCAAATGCTGCAGACTGATGTAAATGGGCAAAATCCCGTATGGAAAGCAATTGGATACGAGGTGGACACAAAGGAAAAGTTGACAAGAAAGGAGAGGCCACTCCAGAAGGGATTAGTAGAAACAATGTATGAAACTGATTCTACTTTAATCCAATCCCTCGCTGAAAAAGGCCTAGAAGTCACTGAAGATCTAGAGCAGAACACGTACAAGATCAAATGTGATGCTGTCATTGTCGGGTCTGGTTGTGGGGGAGGAGTTGCAGCTGCAGTTCTGGCAAACTCTGGTCAGAAAGTAATTGTCTTAGAGAAAGGAGAGTATTTTGTTGCCCAAGATTATTCTTCTCTGGAAGGTCCATCCATGGATGAGCTATACGAATCAGGAGGCATTATGCCAAGTCTTGACGGGAAAATGATTATCCTGGCTGGCTCAACAGTGGGTGGAGGCTCAACTATAAATTGGTCTGCATGCATCAAAACACCTGATTCTGTTCTGAGGGAATGGTCTGAAAAATATAAAATCCCACTTTTTGCCAGCTCTGATTATCAATCTGCCATGGACTCTGTCTGCAGAAGGATTGGTGTGACAGAGAAATGCAATAAGGAAAGTTTCCAGAATCAAATTCTTAAACAAGGGTGTGAGAAAATCGGTTTGAAAGTTGAGTCAGTTGCAATAAATTCTTCAGCAGATCACTATTGTGGTTCATGCTGTTATGGTTGTAGAACTGGAGATAAAAAGGGCACTGACTCTACTTGGTTGGTTGATGCTGTAGGCAATGGTGCAGTGATCCTAACTGGATGTAAAGCTGAGAAACTTATACTGGAAGATGGAAATGAGGGAATAAAGAAAAAGAAATGCTTAGGAGTGATTGCCGCAGCAACTTGGAGGAGTAAGGTAACAAAGAAACTCCAAATTGAATCCAACGTAACTATTTCAGCATGTGGCAGTCTCTCTACCCCTCCTCTAATGATTTCTAGTGGTCTGCAAAATCCAAACATTGGAAGGAACCTCCATCTCCACCCTGTTCAATTTGCTTGGGGGTACTTCCCAGAAGACATGACAAACTTGAGTGGTAATAACTATGAGGGGGGGATCATAACTTCAATACACAAGGTTTTTGCAGAGGATTCCACCCCACGAATCATCATAGAAGCACCTGCTCTAGGACCAGCATCATTTTCAGCATTGCTTCCATGGGTTTCAGGGCTTGATGTGAAAGAAAGGATGGTGAAGTATGCAAGAACTGCTAACCTTTTTGCATTGGTGAGAGACCAGGGATCAGGAGAAGTAAAGGGTGAAGGTAGAATAACTTACAGACTTGGCCAAATGGACAAAGAAAATCTTAGAGTTGGATTAAGAAAAGCCTTGAGGATTTTGGTTGCAGCAGGAGCTGTAGAAGTGGGTACATACAGGAGTGATGGCCAAAGAATCAAATGCAGGGGGATCAAGGAGGAAGATTTAGAGGAGTTTCTAGACACAGTCACAGTAGTTGGGGGTCCAAGGTCGAGGAATGAACTCTGGACCTTATTTACTACTGCACATCAGATGACAAGTTGTAGAATGGGTGCCACTGAAGAAGATGGTGCACTCGATGAGAACGGCGAGAGTTGGGAGGCAAAAGGCTTGTATGTGTGTGACGGGAGTGTCTTACCCAGTGCAGTTGGTGTCAACCCCATGGTAACCATTCAGTCCACAGCATACTGTATTGCCAGCAAGATAGCAGAATCACTGAAGAAAGAAAAGCAAAGCAAGAATAATTAAGTTGAATTATTTAATGCAAGTTTAAACGAAAATGTATATGTGCCTTTTCTCTTTCGTTTCATTTAAATTTAACAGTTTAGAGTTCAGCATTCTGTCCCGGCTATACCGGCAATGTTAGTGGTGATAAGTGAATTTCCACGTAATTGTGTCAGCGTATTTAATGGAAGACTTTATAATATTGTTAACCTGTGTTCTATGGATTGTAACAAGTTCTGCCAAAAGATCACATGCACCATGTCAGTGGACAGAGCGAGAGCGGTAAAATGCACCAGGTTGAGCTTGACGTTTCCAATATCATGCCAGTTTGTTTGGCTAACAACAGCACTAACTACCATATACTAGATGTACATAAAAGAAATTATGTATTTAATGCACCAAACCAACCAAAACAGGTAACGGGACAGACATTGCAACATTTAATTTGTATCACTAGATTAACTTCAAAATAAAATTTAAAAAATGTATTGCACACCGAGTATGTCTCTCTTAAATTATAGCTCGAGTCATACGGGCACCATATAAACGATGTCCTTGCGCTGAATGAAGGATTACATAAGCATCACACAAGCAACAAGAGTACCTACCCTGTGCTGCAATGGTAGAGCGCCTCATAAGGCATCCCCACACATTCAGGATGAGAGATGCTGGAGCACGTCACAACATTATCCATTATGCATATGGAAGAAATGGAAATTGTAATGCAAGAGACAACATAATATTAAACTACCAAACAAGTATATCTAAAATTGAAAATATTAGTTCAAAGGCTATAGGTTTTGGGCTCATTAACAAATCAACTTAACCAACAGAAAGAGTGTTTTCATGGAACTAGCAATAAGAGAGATCTCAAACATGAATAGCAAGAAAGAGAATGGTATTAATAGTTGGAATTGTGTGGGAGGAGGGAAATATTAGGTGCATCAACCCAAATGAAGTAATGAACTATAACGTGAGAATCACTTCCTTATTGAAAAAGCTTTGATAACCACTATAGCTTCAATCGGAACTTCTCTTGCTTCAATTCCCTCGTCAATGTGAATTCTCAGATGAACCACAACTAAGAAAATAAGTTTTAAAACTAAAAGAATAATGATGCATCAAAATTGATTTGTAAAATTTGAACAAAAGCAACCCTTCATTTACAGGCCACTTTCACTGCTTTCTGGGAAGCAGCATCCAAAATTCCAAATCTTCAGCTGTTATTGATGTCCTACCACTTTCCTGTTGAACCAATTAATCATCATCAACATATTAACCGTTGGAAGATTTATTTCTTCCTTCTTTATAACGGATAGTTGGACAAGACTAGAATTTTCCTTCAAATTTGTTTTTCCTTGATCAGCATTGGTGCCGTGTTACGATTGAGAGTTGTAGCAAACTACAAATCATTCACAAATGAGAGTTTCTTGCACATGTAAACCTGTATAAAATAGACAATAGGATGTGAAACAAAAAACCAATCCACAAGCAAGCAATATACCCATTTCAAATGATTATACATAAATGCATTGCATGATATCAGAAGGACATGAAATTTAATTGCAATCCGATAGGCTAAACACTTGAGATGAGGACGAAAAGTATGGTAGGACTTGGGACCCGAAGTTAAAGAAGCTTTAAAGGGGATAGATAAAGGCAAAGCAATTGGACTAGACAATATACCTATTGAGATAATCTTGGACAGAAAAGCATTAGTTGACTCACAACGTTCTATAATGAGATAATGTGGTCAAAGAAAATGCCAATAGAGGAGTTATGGGAGTGTAACTGAATGGAGATTATAAAAAGAGACTTGCGTCGCTGAAATGTAATTTGGTTTTATGCCAGGGATATCGATCACAGAAGCAACTTGCCATGACAAATGATGGAGCAATTTCAGAAAAATCAAAAGGACTTTCATGTGGGTCTCATTAATTTGGAAGTAGCATACGAACCAGTGACGAGAAGTTTTATGGAAGGCCCCAGAGAAGAAAGGAGTGTATTGCCTATCTTCAAGCAATCAAATATATATATATATATATATATATATATATATATATATATATATGCGCACACACATGCGCGAAGGGGACATAACTAGTGTGAGAAAGTAACATCATAGCAGATTTTTGTATAACTACAGGACTTCAACCAAGGGTCAACTTTGAGCACCTACCTTTTTACCTTAGTCTCTGAAGTGCTTACCTTCCACCTGTTCCAAACAGCACAAGTGAATCCTAAGCTATAATAATTGATAATAATGTTGTCAGAAAAACTGTCCCATTCACCAGCTGAACTGTCAGGTCAAACTAGCTCATATGCAGAAATCAATCTAGTAACTGGATAGGATAGGTTTGATCCAGTTCAGTTCCAATAACCAAATTGTAAAGCATCAACGAGAAACACCAACTTGATCCTCGTGTCACAAGGCCTTCAACAAGTTCAAAAATGAGATCTTCTTTCCTTTCCCCAATGAAGAAAGCAAACAATTTGAAAGGCAATTTCACAGTACTGCCTCACCAAAATTCGATGTTTAAAGACAAACAATACTGGCATGCGCACGCATACAAAAGAGCTAACATAACTTGAGTTTGTTTGGTAACTAGTATCTGCCCAAGAATGTTCCCTGGAAGATAACAGTAGCAACAAAATAAAGATAGCATCATAGCAATGAGCAAAAAAATTCACTGAAATATAAATTACCTAGTAGTACTGAATCCTCTTTGAATTACTAAATGAAAAAACTAATAACGTGAAGATCATAACAACAAAAACACATCATTGTTTCTAGAATTTAATCGATACATAAAAAATGTGTTACTTACCAGCTACGTATTCAACCTTTAACAATACGAATTCCTCCGTTGAGACCGCTTTTGAATGTTTTACCAGCCAGAATTTGACTTTAAACCACCAACGGCACCGTAATTAGACAACGTCGTTACAGCGCGAATAACTGCGTCTAATTTGGCGTGATTACCTCGTTTTCGTTGGCATTTTTCAGCTCTCGAAAAAGAGGAAACAGCAACACGTCTGGTACTGGCGGATGTTGAGGCGGTGGAGCTGTCATTTTCCGGCGACAGAGAGGGAGTGCGAGAGTTTAAAAACAGTTTTTTTAAAACAAAAATAAAATACAATACAAATTTACATTGCATTTTTATTTTAAAATTATTTTTTAAAAAAGAAACAAATATGCTCTTGGTTTTTAATTAATAATGCAAATCATAAAATATTGAGTAGTTTCCTTGCAGTTTCTTAAAAAATAAAATATTTACTAAAAACAAAATAGTGCATTTTTATATTTTAATATATTTTAATTTAATTTTATAAAATTCTATTATTGAATAATTTTTTAAACGTTTTATTATTCCTTCTGTTTCTTTTTAAGATTTGAATCAATTTAGCTATACAGTTTTTTATGATGGATTTAATAGTATTTTTACAATACTAAATAAAAATTAAAAAGTAAAATATTTCGTTAAAAATATATTTATTTTTACAATTTATAATTAATTTAATTTTTCAATCATTGTTCAAAAAAACTCTTTAAAATTTTAAAAATTTTGTTTATTGATTCAAAGTTGTAAAAGTTAATATAATGACGCATAATTTAATAAAGGGACAAATTTAACAGTAGGTTTCAGTCACTTTATAAAAGTTCATAAAATATTTTATATATAAAAATATATAATTTAATAATTAGTAACTTAATCATTTATTACACCACCCAAAATCCTTATGTATTCAAATTTATGTGTTACATTTGCTTAATTAGTATCACTTTTGTCTAGTTAACAAAAAATAAATCTTGAATCTAAATATTATGAGTTTACGATAAAAATTTATTAATATAAAGATTATATATATTACAAGTGTATCATATTATTAATATAATTTATATTATTTGTGTTTATAGTTATTTTATAAAACAATTTTTCGAAGTGTACATTATAAAAAGTTGTATATTATAATATTTTATTAAAATTACAAAATTCAATATAATTAATAGCATTTAATATATGAAAATTTATCGTATATAATTTTTTATCCGGTACAAAGTTATACTTATCGGAAAAATCATTCATAAAATTATATTATAATAAAAGTAAATGTAACAAGTAATTTTGAGAAATTTAAAACACTTTTTAAGATTCACAAAGCTTAAGTATTTAATCTTTTATTTGACATTTTTTTCTTATTTAGTTGGTAGAATTAAAGTTTTTCATATTATTTCTTTTAGTAATATACTCCATTTTCAGAGTCTTCAAATCATTAAGTATAGTATAAAATTTTTTATAATTTTTTAACCTTGTGTCATCATATGAATATTTGAAAAGAACACAAACTTTGTTTTGTAAAATGCTTTAGAGATTAAACTGTGTTAATCTAAAGAACATTTTTATCCTGCAATATTTAAGTTGCATAGTCATTTAAGAAAGTTACGTGAACATTTAAAAAAAGTATATGCTTAATATTTATTCATACTACTCTCACATAAAAAAAAATTCTTTTATTTAATACACTACTCTGCAATAAAGAGATATATAAAATTTAAAAAATAAAACTTTATCCATCATTAATTTAAAATTAATTATTATATAAAATACTTGGCTTTAAATAATAATAAATATGTTTTTGTTCATTTTACACGTTCAATCCTATATTTCAGTATCTGTCCCAATGGTCAAAATTTTGAGTATGTTAGTGAGATACATCAATTAGTGAGAATAACTTAACCTCACTGTTATATACTTTACTTCTTAATTAAATAGTTACGAGGGACAACTATGAGAGCAATTCTCACGTGTATACCGTATTTATACTGAATGTGTTTAAATTTGCTAAAAAAAACTATTTTAGAATAAAAATTTATTTAAACATTAGAAAGAGTAAGAAGATTGAATACAAGTAATAAAAAAGCTATCAAAATTCCATATAAATTAAAGTATAAAAATAAAAATGTAATTAAATCCTAGGAAAACATAGGAGAACCCGTATAATATATGTTGGTACAATAAAACTCGAGATAATATTAAAAATATATACTACGTAATTGAAAACAAAATTTATCATTTATTTAATGTTAATGCTATTTGATATGAATGGAATTTTGTAAAGATATTATGAACAGCTTTTTAACCTATCCGGAAAAAATCAAATATAAGAATAACTAGGGTTTATATAGTTTAGCTAGTAGCTTAAACTTTATGTGAATAAACTTTAATTACAAAAGTTAATCTCAACCTACACCATTAAATACAAAGATATGCTTCATACTCAAACAATAGAAAGATATCTCGTAGGAGTAAATAAATAATTTTTCTTTTAAATTGTAAATGTTGATCACCTTAATTATTAATTTTATAAAAAATCAAATTTATTAAATGATATTCATTTTAACTTTTTAACACAAAGTGATACTAAAATATATTTTGGATTATTTTTAAAAAACTTTAATACTTTAATACTATTATTTTAAAAAACTTTAACACAAAGTGATCACCTTAATTATTAATTTTAAATAATTTACTGAAAACTTGTCCATCGGGTCATTCTGTCTTTGAATGGTTCAAATATATTGTCTTTTAGATTGACGCGTTGTTTAAGTCATAAGGACTTTATTAATTTAATTTTTTAAATTGTTAAAAATAATTATTTAAATATTTCAAATTATATACAGTTGTCAGTTTAATTTCTTAAATGTAAAAAATAATATTTAATTTTCAAATTTATAAAAAACTAATTATTTTACTCTCTGAAATTATACTGCCATATTAATTCAATCTCTGAAATTATAAAACAGAATATTGATTTCGTAAAACTATTATAAATTAATTAATTTAATTCTTGAATTATAAAACGGAATTTTTTGTTCTTAAAATTATTTTAAAAATTTATTCATTTTTTTTATTTTCATCAAATTTCTCTCACTATATGTTAAATACGATAAATTAAGTGTCGGTATGGTACTTATATAGCTGCCCAAATTGTTAATTACATAATTTTATTTCATGAAAAGAAAATCATAGAAAAAAATGTGGTGCTTGAGACTTCCTCTTATACTTCAGCTTTGTTCAAAATTTTATTTGCATGAGAGACTTCTTTCTCATCTATTTGTATATCTATTATTTTTGTATAATATACAAGGTGATATCATAATTTATGAGTATTAAGTGAAGATTATTGGTTACTAAATGTTATGTCATACATGCATCACCTTAAGACTTAAGGTGTTGGGCAATGAAATAATATTATTTTTATTAAATAAAATTTTCAGTTAACTAAAAAAATTTACTAAATACACTCTTAGTTTATCACATCATAAATGTCAATACATTATCTACAATTTTATTAATTAATTTTTTTATAATTTTAAATGCTATTATTTTAATTACAAAAATTAAAAATACTAATTTTAATAAATTTTTAAAAATTAGATTAACAATACTTTAAATTTGAGGACTGTTACTCCTTTATTCAGCGTTGATTACAGGGTACAATAAATGAGCAATTTTATGCACCTCTTGGCATTGATGTAATATTAGGTGTTAGCAAGGGCATTTAGTCACAACACCCAATATAAATACCCAATTTCGTGAGGAACCGGTGAAGCATAATAATTCTTCAACAGTCTGCATCATCACCTCGTCAAGATCGCTTTTCTTCTTCCCAGTTCTCCCTTTTCTTTAATTTATGGAATTAAATTGCCTCAAAATTCAACAATTTTTATCATCCTCCTTCTCTCCAATTCGCCCTCGAACTTTCAACAATTCTCTATGGTGACCCATTTTCACTGAGATTGTGGGCCCTCACTCAGTGTTTTGTATTTTAATCTTAATTTGTGTAATTTTATTTGTATTTGAGTGTGGTAGTGACGTGGTATGCAGTATAGAGAAAGCATGAGTACCAAAACGATGCGTCCTCCATCTCGCCGTGTGCCCACCGGTGATAGTAGCGTCTCTAAGAGCAAGGAGAGACATGGCGGTTTCCAAAAGCCCAAACCCTTGCCCACGGCCCCAAAAACAAGATTGTTCAGGCAAGACAAGCCCAGATCTGAAGGTTCGAGCCCGAGGCCCATCGACCACCTTCTCGCGGGCTACTTGGCCCATGAATTCCTCACCAAAGGGACTCTGTTGGGCCGACGAGTGGGCCACTCGCCGGGCCTGCAAGAGGAGTCGCAGAAGCGGAAGTATGAGAGGTACGTGGAGCTAACGCTCTTGCTGAAGACGGATGGGCCCCACATGTTCCGTATTGCGAACCCAGCCCAATTGGCCCACTTCTTGAAGTTGTGAAACAAATGTCTAACACAGTTGACTGAGAAAAAAGTAGACATGAAAATATTGAAATCCTTTTTTTTCCCCTTTTATTTTAAAAGAACTCAGAAATGTGCCATGTGGGCATCCATGCACACAAGCACTTGTTGCTATCTCAATCTGAGGCTGATGATGTATCCATGGCATGCGACTTTCAATCCTTTCATTTATGGATTCCCATCTCTTTCTTTTAATCTTTTGCTCTCCATCGAATTGGGTTGTTGGTGTTATCTTGTTTTGCTCATGTCTGCATTTTCTTTCCTTCTTATTCTATTAATAATGTATTTTTTAAATACATTTTTTAACACTGGTTGCCAAAAGTTAAATGATTTTTTAAAAAAATAAATGATTTTTAAAGTAAGTACTTTGACTTTTAAAAAATGCTTACCCTAAATTTAAATTTAATTTTAAGAATGCTATTCAGTGTCTGCTGGTACCACTGTGTAACCTCCTTCAAGTTACTGGAATGTGGGAACTTTATTTTCCTTTTGTATGATAAACAGGAAAAGCAATGAAATTTTACTAAAATTGTTTGATTGAGGGAAGAAAACGAAGAGGGAGGGAAGTATGGAAAAAGAATGGCGTAAGCAACTTGTTTGAACGGAGGAGATGGGACCCATCAAAAATGACTTTTTTTTCTAAATTGACCATAAGTTGAGGAACAAATACGTTGGATTTTTTATTTGTTTTTCATGTTTAATTTTAAATAATTGATATATAATATTAAAATAATATTTTTTTTCTTTAAATTTATTATAACAAAAAAGATAATTTGATTTTTTTATCATTATTATAAATCATTTAAATTTGATATTATTTACTAATTTGAATTTGATAAAACACATTGACGTTTTGTTTTGATGGTTGCATATCAATGCCCTTTTCAGCTTTATCCTTTTTTCATTAATTCATGGTTTTGATAAATTTCTACCTTCGTTCAATTTATAAAAAAATATTATTTTTATTATTTTAAAAATATAATAAATAAATACTTATTTGTAAATATATTAATTATTAATTTATTACATTTATTATTAAAAATATGTTCCTAAAATACTTATTATTTTATATATAAATAAACACATTCATTTATTTAATACATAAAATAAAGTTAAAAATTCATATGACATATGAGTATTTTATTTTAAAGTAAACATATATAATTTAATAATTATTTATTTTTTATATTTTTATAAATAATTATATATAAAAAAATAAAATTTTTAAATAAATATTTTAACTTAACTCTGTAACAAAAAATAATATATATTAAATAATAAAATTACAATAATTTTAGAGTATAATTTACTTTAAAAAAATAAAAAAATATATTAAGTATTATGAATTTATATATAAACAAATATATTGGAAAAAAATTAAATTATTTATATAAAATAATAAGAAAAAATTATAAATATAAATATAAGAATTTATGAAACATATAAACATTTATATAAGATAATACAAAATCAACAATTTTTATCTTAAAAATTTATAATAAATATATAAAAAGCAAAATTAATATGACAAAATAATGTCTAATTCATACATTATTCTCAAATAGTTTTAAACTTAAAAAATTACTCATAAAAAAATATAAAATAAAATACTTCCATTAAATACTTCCCTTCCCAAGCAAACTACTCTTAAATGTTGATATCAACTAACACTATATATTTTTAAAATTTAAAGTATATATTTATAATTTATAACTATTTTTATTAATTTTTATTAATTAAATATTTATTTTTTATGGAAAATTAGAGATAATAGTTTATAAAAGATTTAGTAGTTTTTATAACGTACATCTAAGAGTACATGATAAAAAAAATTAATTTTATTCAAATTATAAAATCTGACATTATTAATGTATTAAATTACTATTATTATAATTTTTTTATTACTTGTTTTGATGCACAATTTAGCAAAATTGAAGGTTTAAATGCATTATTATTTATTGTAAAAGAGTAAGCTTGATTTTCAAGCGTGCCTCTGGTCTCCAACTATGTAATAAAGCTCACATGAAATGATGAGTGAATAATGTCTGAAAAGGCAACTCATTTAAGGTTGGGAATTCTGAATTTTTTCAGATAAATATTAAGCTAATAATATTAGACATCAAATAAATTATTATACAAAAATAAATCAATACAATAAAATTATTATAATTCCATTTATTAGCACAACAAAAATTCACTAATTTTTGACAAATACGTCTTACTTCTTACACCAAACAATTTAACTCCTACTGCTTCAACAATACTATATGAGAAAAAATAATTATTATATTTATTTTACGTACATATAAAGAGCATTTATAAAATACTATAAGTTCTTCCTAAAAATGTGTTACCTTAACCTTAACTAAGCAATCGACAAATAACAATTCAAATTGAATAGATTGTTTTTATTAGAAACTATGTTCAAAATATATTAAAATTATCAAAAGTCTATTATCAATTCTTTAACTGGTTTGTTTAATTTCTATCCAAAGATATATTATAAAAAATTATATTACTATTTTTATCAACAATAATCAGTATACTTAACAGTATTAAATTGTATAATTTTTAATAAAAAATTTGTTTTTTATTTTTAATTATACACATTAAAAATGATAAAACTTAAATATACTTTTGTAAGCTTAGGTAGATAAACAATTTTAGAAAAAAGGAATACAAAAGTAATGATAATTTGGTGATAACGTTTATTTAAAAAAATAAAATTAAAATGCAAATAAAGGGTGTTGATAAATTTTGTAAACCTTCTAATTTTGTTTAACTCATAGTTTTAATTTTCTCAAATTAATGAATTTTGTGTAATTTTCACTATCTCTCTCTTCTTTTCTATTATCTTGTTTTTTAATTATTTTCTTTCTTTCTAAACTTTCAAATAAAACTATATATACATATGAAGATAATGGTAATTATTACTATATAAATTCACTTAAACATCGCAGTTTGTAATCTATCGAAAGTTTGACAAATATTTTTATTTTTTTCTTTACATGGTAACAAAATTTTAAATGTATATATATTTTTAGATCCATTTTTAAATATCTCAATCGTTAATTTTTAAATTAATAAAACACTTGTTTATTATTTATATAAATAAAATTATTTATTCAATATTTTAAATGACTAATTTACCATTTATTATAATATATAGTTTTAAAAATACAATATAAATTTATTATATATAACTACTTTATACTACTCATACTTCTAAACATAAGACTTTCGGACTTTGCCATGGTCCTTTTTACGAGACCATTTGCAAGTATTTATTGCATTGACTTTTTCTTTTACAAAAATACCTTTAGTAGAAACAAAGTATTTGCTTTGTCTTTGTTTGGGCTATGTTTATATTGATTAAAAAAGATGAAGTGGGATTGAATGGATTGAAATTAAACCCAATGCAATGATTATTTTATTATAGAATAAAACAAAATTTTCATTCCATAAATCTAAATTTAATTTATTTATGTTTAAATTTAAACATGGTAGTAAATTCAAATTTAAAAATGAATATAATAATAAACATATAATTTTCATATTAATCAATATAAACTACAAAATCTTTTATATAAAAAATTAAAATTTATGATAAGAATATTATCTTATATTTTTTAGTTATATATATTAATTTAAAAATAAAGAGAATAAATTTTTAAAAGGAAAAACGATAAAAAAAATCTTAGAGTATAAGAGAAAAGTAACTTTTCAAAATCAACTATGCTTCGAATGAATAAAATAAAATGCTATATATATATATATATATATATATATATTGTAATTAGTGTATGGACACTTTGTTTATTTGATTTATGATTCTTTATTCTAGTATTTTATATTTAGGTGTTCAATTCAATTACTTCAAAAATTTTAATTATTGTATAGATTTTTAAAGATGTTCAACATAAAAACGTATTTTAACCAACACAAAATTCACGATGATCAAGTAAGAGAGTTTGACAACTGTGGAGAGTACAACAACATATATGTTATTCAATTAAATAATAATAACACAAAACAATAATAAAATAATCACTTTATGATCTTATAAAAGATTATATTTATAGTTTCATTTTTTTCTTTCAAATTTGATGAGAAGAAGAGTAAGCATAAGTAATAAAATACAATAAAACAATAAGCAGAAAAATAATAATAAAACAAAATATATTTAATTCATTTTTATTTTATTAATCTAAACAACAAAATAAGATGCCACGTGTCATTCCTCTCCATTCTATCACACTCCATTGATCATAACATAGACTTGATGTTTACGGTTTTGCACGTAATTAATAAAGGATTGGTATTTTAATTTTTATAAAAAGTTATTACTTAGACTTTTGACATATTTTTTTTTCTGATAATTTATCTAACAATAATCCTTTTAATGTTTTATAAGGCAAATAATAAATATATAAAAAAAACATGTGTTTATCATCTACTTTAGCATCATTTTGGTCAGCTGGCATAACATTACACGACCGCAATAATGAAGCCGTCATATCTATAACACAGAGAAAGAATAATATTATTAAATAAATATGAATCATCAAATAAATTATCATACAAAAACAAATGAATACAATAAATTTATTAGCACAACAAAATTTCACAAATTTTTAACAAATACGTCTTACTTCTTACAGCAAACAATTTAACTACCAGGTACTTCAACAATACTGCATAAGAAAAATAATAATAATCATATTTACTCTTTGTACATAAAAAGTATTTATAAAAAAAAAATTATGTTTTTATATCAATAAAAATTAAATTTTTTTATATTTAATCTAAATCTCAATCTTATATTTAATAATCAATAAAATAAAAATCTAAATAAAAAATTTAAATCAAATTAAGAATTTTTAAATTTATACTAAAAAAATTCTTACTCTTTATGAAATATTAAAAGTTAATTTTAAAAATGTATGACCTTAACTTTATTTAAGTAATCAACAAATATTAATTCAAATTAATAGATTATTTTTATTAAAAATATGTCCAAAATCAATAATAAAAAAGTTCTTTAATTAATTGGACGCGATGCATTGAGGAAAATAAATTAACTTAACTAGAAGTGGTTGGTAGGTGCTAAGAAGTGGACAATATAGTTAATGGCCGTTTAGTGGCAGCCATCAAGAAGAAGCCACGTGGCAAGAAATAATCTTCGCGCGTCCTGATGGAGGAAAACGCACAGTGGGGCCTACCATAAAACAAAACGAACTTTCCACATGCGATTCCGTTCCGTTCCCTCTTCAAACTGGTGTCTTCTCGCTTACGCTTCCTTTCGTTTGTTTTAGCTAAAGTGATTCCAAACAAACATCAAAAGCAAAAGCTGAAGAAGAGAAAGAAGCTTTCGATGCTTTTATTCACTCAAAGCATTCAAAGGTGCCTTTGATTGTTCAAACTCAGCAATGGCTCCACTGTTCATGTTCCCTTCCTTTCATCTCTCTCTTTCTTTCTCTAAAATCAAAAGGTATTTCTAAATTCCTGATTTATTCTTTATTAGTTTATAGGGCCCAACCTCAACCAAAACTCAACCGTTTTTCCTTTCACCGATAAATTATGTACGGAATTTTATTATTACAATTATTTTGCATTTTATTTAACAGTGCTGAGTTATTGTGTTTTTTTTTTTATTATATTCCGATAGCATCGGAGTGTAACATAATTAGGATTTGTTAGTTTTATATTAAAAGCGATTCGAATTGAATATAAATAAAATAGAAAACATTGATTACTGAATCAGAAAATTCGGTCAAATCAATCTGAATTAATTGGATGGGAAACGTTGGCTTTTGGTGATGATTGTGGTTTAAATTCAATGTGTTACAGTGTTGTGGAGAGGTTTTTTGAGTGAAGAGAGACGGCATGGGGAGTAGGGTTAGGCGTGGGAAGAGATTGCAGAAGATGATGAAGTGCATGTGCACGGGTGAGCCGTTAAGAGGAGATGATGAAGCGGTTCCTTCGTTGGATTCTCTTGCAATTAAGGATTTTTATTCTTCAACAGCAAGTGGGAGTTTTGGCCAAGATGGACAAGTTGAGAGAGGACCGGATTCCGGGAACATCGGAGAAGCCGAATCGTCCTTACAAGAGAGTGGCATCTTGAACAATGAGGTTGGTTTAGTGAAAAGTTCGTTACTTTTACTGATTAATGATGCAGTGAATAACTAGACTTTAATGTGTGATTTGCTCTTTGTTATTTACTCCAGAGAGACTGCAGAATCATATGTATGTTTGGGGATTTGTGTATACCCAAATAATCATTTCAAGTTATTATTATTAGTTTTTTTGGTTATGTTGTTCGTAGTTTATAAATTACTTTCAGATCTTTTTGTCTTTACTTTTTATTTGTGGATTGTTTGAGAGTGGCCAGTATCGATTAATTGGTTATTTAATAGAATTATTCTTTTTATCTCGTTTTTTTGTGTATATGAAAATGTAATCAAGGCTGTGATTTCTGTAGGATTATGCGTGTAGTTCTTTGATGATCTATTTATTGGACTTTATGGGATCTGTTACATGCCTGTAATCTGCAGGAAGCTAGTGCTTTGTTAGGAAGATATGAATATCAGGAAGGAAATATAGAAGCTGCTTTACGTGTTTATGAGAAAATAAATATAGGCGCTGTGACTCCCAAGATAAAAAATTCCCTTGCCAAAAGTAGAGAACGACGTAAGAAACATTCCCGTCGTAATGCTACTCCCCCAATGTCTATACATACAGCTGGATTACTGCTGGAGGCCTTTTTGCTAAAGGCAAAATGTTTGCAGATTCTGGGAAGGTTTAAAGGTACCCTGACTGGTTGTTTGTTCATAGATTTGCCCTTTGCTCATTAACTTCAGGGAAACTGTGGGCAGTGGCTTATCATGTGTGTTTTCTTTCTTTTTTAGCTGCAATTATGCAAATTGACTTTTTTTTTAATATATATATTTGAACTGCTATATTTCTTCATGCTTGCTACAGTAATTAGTTTCCATGCTTTGTCGTTGTCAAGCACCTGTTAGGCAGAGTGTTCCTCTGGAACTTGTTCCCATCACAACAGGATGGATAGTAGTAATCCAGGTTAACTTAACATATGTGTTCGCCCTATATACCTTATCCTTTTAGTTGATAATTGTATTAAATAGTCTGCCTTCCCTGTTTGAATGTAATGCTTGTTTGGCCTTACTGAGGCATTTTCCAAGGTTTTTTCCCTTCTGTAAAATATACATAAAGAAACTTGACTTCAAATATTTTTTCTACTTCTGCTTTTGTTTCAAAAGAACCGATATTTTTTTTTGCCTTTGACATCTGATTTTCGCCTTTGGTTATCATATATTAGTGCTTTTATACTTATAGTGCTTAACATGACTGTTTTTTTTTTTAATACCTAAAAAAGTAGCTTTCATGATTTTACAACACAATTGAAGAAAATCTTCATTACCCAGAGATCCAGGCACAAAATCAATGTTTCAACAATTTGACAGGAATTATCCAATGTCAAGCAAGACAGACGTTCCCTTTGAATTTTGCAGTTTTAAAAAAATTTATAGGAGTTGAGTACATGAGAAGCCAACATGTTATCTAATATATATTTCCGATCGTTCTTGCAGAAGCTGCCCAAACTTGCAAGGTTATTCTAGACATAGTTGAATCTTCATTACCTGAAGGCTTCCCTCAAAACTTAGGCGATGAGTGTAAATTGCAGGAGATTTTGAATAAGGCAGTTGAGTTACTTCCAGAGTTATGGAAACTTGCTGATTCTCCACGTGAAGTTATCTTGTCTTACCGGCGTGCACTCCTTCACCAATGGAATCTAGATGCAGAAACTGTAGCAAAGATTCAGAAAGAATTTGTTGTTTTTCTTCTATATAGTGGAGGGGAAGCAATACCCTCAAATCTTCGTTCCCATATGGATACCTCATTTGTACCTAGAAACAACTTAGAAGAGGCTATACTTCTTTTAATGATCTTGCTAAGAAAAACGTCTGAAAATAAAATTCAGTGGGATCCTTCAATTTTGGACCACCTGTCATTTGCCTTATCTGTTTCAGGGGATTTGGCAGCTTTAGCCAATCAATTTGAAGAATTACTCCCTGGGACAATCAATCGAAGAGAGAGGTACCATGCCCTTGCTCTTTGTTATTATGGAGCAGGTGAGGACTTGGTAGCGCTGAATCTTCTTAGAAAATTGTTGAGTAGTTGTGAGGACCCAAAACATATTCCTGCTTTGTTAATGGCTTCTAAGATTTGTTGCGAGAACCCTGTTCTTGCAAAAGATGGGGCAAACTTTGCTCGCAGAGTGCTTGAGAACTTTAATGGAAGATGCGATCAGTTAGAAAGTCTTGCCAATTGCTTACTTAGTGTTTCACTTTCAGCACACTCAAAATTTGCTATTTCTAATTCTGAGATGCTTGAGGCACAATCTGAGGCACTTCATTCCCTGGAAACTGCAAACAAAGTGGCCAGAATGAGTGACCCTCTGGTACTTTACTATTTGGGTTTAGAATGTGCAGAACAAAGGAAGTTGGATGCTGCACTTCATTATGTAAAATGCTTTCTAGTGTTGGAAGCTGGGTCTAATGTTAAAGGGTGGTTATTGTTAGCCCGGATATTATCAGCTCAAAAACAGTTTTTGGATGCTGAATCTATTGTCAATGATGCTCTGGATCAGACTGGAATATGGGATCAAGGAGGGTTGTTGCGGACAAAAGCTAAACTGCAAATTGCACAGGGCCAGTTAAAGAGTGCCATTGAAACATATACTCAGCTTCTTGCTATTCTTCTAGTTCAGAGAAAAACTTTTGGTTCTCAGACGAAGCTATATAAGGTTTGTTGATTATAATGCTGATTGATTTATAATTCTGAATTGTAGACTCTGTTCTTGTGATCATTATTATCACCATTGGCAGATTTGGTCATCCGTAAACTTGTGAAATTTATATGCTGCAGAAAATTATGATTGTTTGAACTGTGAATGAAAGAAGTGTGCTGCAGGTTCATGCCTGATCATATTGTTAGGAACAGTCACAGTGAGAGTAGTATTGTCAATGGTCATCATCCAATCAATTTGACCTAGATGCATATCTTGAAAAACAAAGGAATGTTCCATAGAGTTACTTTGGATATATTAAGGAGAATAATGAAATTGTTTGAAACATGGTACACACCTTTAAAGCCTTGCTACTGCTGGGTTCACATATTGATGTGGATGTGAGTATTTCTTCTTAGCGTGACATTGTGTAAATTATGTGGGAAGTTTTTTTGCCAAGTTAAATTTGCATATTTGGTTGTCGATCGATATTGAATTCATCTTATTCTATTTGCCTGTATGGCCTTGTAGAGCTGTTAAACTATTTGGTCGAAGAATGGAATTACAGTTCAATGGCCGAGCTTTATATATGCATACTATAGAGTCTAGATGCAATTCATTAAGACGTGGCTATTTGTTAGGGTTTTTTTTTTTTTTTTGTTTTTTTTTGTTTTATACGCTGAAGCGTGTTTGGTGAAAGAATATGTGCCACAGAGATGTGATTGGAGTTTCTAAGTATCTGGAATGCTTATGCAATTGCCTTAAGCCAGCTGCTTTGATCTGAAAATCCAAAAACTAAGTCCTGCTCCTAACTCAAAGATTGTTGTAATTGACCTGGATTATTATTTTTTATTTCTCTTGCTACGATTTTCCTTTAATATTTTTTTCTTGTTTTTCCTTCTTTCTCTTACTTGTGTAAGAATTGCATTTCAGAGGAGACATTGCTTCTTTCTGCTTACCCATTTTTTTTTCTCATACTTATTGTAACAGGACTACATAGATCATGCTAAGAACATGGAAGTGGAAATATGGCATGATCTTGCTTATGTATACATAAATCTGTCGCAGTGGCATGATGCTGAGGTGTGTCTTACAAAATCCAAGGCCATCAAACTATACTCTGCTTCTAGATGTCACGCAATAGGTAAAAAATGTGGTTTATCTTTTGAGTTCTATGATTTTATAAATGATGTTAATGGATTATAATCACTTGAAAATAACTTGCAGATATTGTTTAAATTCTAGGATAACATTCTTTGTTTATAGCTACGTAATAATATAGATGCAGTGAGGTGCCAAGTGATCACAGAGCCTGGGTGTGAAAACGAAGTATATCTTAAAAACAATTAAGTTGCCGTGTTCGATAACGGGTAATATTTGATAAATAATTGATGTTATTAGATAGTGTACTGTTTGGTTATACATGAAATTAGTTATCAGTATAGCTCAGGAGAACAGTATGCTCGGCATTGTATATTTATTCACATGTTAACTTCAACCTGAATAAGAGGGATCCCTAATAACCAAGTTTCCATAGGATTTTTTAATGCTGATAAAAATTTTGCTTACCGTCAAATGAACAGTGCACATATTTTCTGATTCGTGTGAGTTGAATAGTCTTTGAGCCCTTTTTATGCATCTAATTTTTAAATTTATAACTTCGTTGCGTTGCATAAGTTTGTATCTGCTTCGTTTTCCCTTCGTATGCTTTGTTTTTCAATAAGGGGTGGAAAAAAGGGAGAAGGGAGTGAATGCTCGAGAGCATAAAAATTTTCCATTGTAGTTACGTCAGATTTACTAGTAGTGGGTTTTATTTTATTTGTTCGATTTCACAGGTACAATGTACGAAGCAAAGGGCCTTTACAAAGAGGCTTTAAAAGCTTTTCGTGATGCTTTGAACATTGAACCCGGAAATGTCCCTAGCTTGATCTCCACTGCGGTGGTTATTAGACGGTGCAGTAATCGATCAAATCCTGCTATCAGGAGCTTTCTGATGGATGCACTGCGGCTTGACAGATTTAATGCTTCTGCTTGGTATAATCTTGGCCTTTTTCACAAGGCTGAGGGCACAACCTTAGAAGCTGCAGAATGTTTTGAGACAGCTAACTTTCTTGAAGAATCAGCACCAATCGAACCTTTCAGATGACTGATTCTGCAAGCATTTTTGCGACCCCATCTCACACTCGATATATTCATGTATAATTTCCATGTGTTCCTGTAGACGGCATAGGTCAATAAGAAAGCATGTTTCATGATTTGGTTTGCTCTTCTTGGCTGTCATTTTTTAAAATTATTTTTGGTTGTCGCTCAAGGTTGAGCACCCTCTTCCTTTTTAATTAACACAACACAATGGAATGCATCCAATCCAGCTAAAGGCTATAGAGCAGGAGGAAATGTGCTGCTTCTGGATTGAGACTCTTTACTCTTACAAAATAATAATAAAAAAAGGTATGAATTTATTCCTTATCCAACGCTTCTACCAACAATATTTTGTCATATACTCCGAAGTACCTAATTCTTCCGAAGTGTAAGATGTTGACATATCGTCGAACATGCATTATTAACTAGTACAAAGTGTAAATCTACTTTTTTCTATATAAAATGAGAGTATAATAGTGTTTTTGAAAATTACTTCTCTCCCTCGTTAAGTCATGCCATGTAATTTTTTTTCTTTACTGAAAGTTTTAGTAATTTAATCGTATTTTTTGTTTTTTTACATTTTATTTATGTATATAAATTCTTATTGTGTGTATTTTTAGATGCACGTTAAAAAATTATGTATATCCTAATAGCTTTTAACGATTGAAAACTAATAATATGTATGTTTACATGTTTCATAATTATGTAATTAATTTTAATTTAATATACAAATTAGAACTAATAGTGTTAAAATAAATATGAATTTATTGCAAATATGGAACTAAACATGCATAAAATATTTTTTAAAATAAGGTTATGTTTACTGACGTTGGCCAAGTGTTTGTGGAACAACCCAAATTGCAAAAGTTACAATTTCATGTTTTGATGGGAGTTATAAATCCCAAACATTACATTTTAAAAAATAAACATAATTTAAAATTTGTGTTATCGTTAACGTTAATCTAAACATGGATATTTCACTTAAAAATTTTTTTTAATTAAATTAAATTCTATTAAATCAATGTGGTTCAAAGTATTCAAAAGTAATTATAATTTTTCTATTTTATATTAGTTGTTATTTAGTACTGATGTACATGTCTTAAAAAAGTAGTTTGATCAATTATTGTAGAATTTTTTTTTATTAAAATATTCCTATTAAAAGTACTAAAATTATTATAGTAGTTAAGCGATGACTAATTTTAAAATTATTTTAATTGTTAGTTGCAAAAAATATGTTTAACAAATAAAGATATTATTAAAAATAAATTTTTTATTTTATAAAATAAAAAATAATTCAAAATAAATAACAAATATTAGGAAAAACTAACATGATGACCGTGGGAGTAATTTACAATTTTACAAATATGGAAGCAGACAGAGGCAGAGAGGAGTACTGTGGAGAGGAGAGTTGGGCATGCGCTAACAATGGACACAGTTTGTGGGGACAAATGTTAATGAAAATATCGAAACTGAAACCGACAGATGCACCCTAAATTGTTGGTGTCAGTCAACATTTGTAACAAAGACAAGACATTGTCAATGTGAATGTGTCACTCTTCTTTTCCCTTCTCAACCTCTCTCTCTCTCTCTCCCCCTTTGAATATTGTATTGTGCCCAAAAATCCACACACAAGTCACTACTATAACATAACACAATAGCTGAAGTAGTAAGAGAGAGAGAGAGAGATGGAAGGTGGGAATGGGAAGAGAGCACAAGAAGATGCAGGCCCTTCGTCTGCTTCTGGGATTGATGGAATCAAACAAGAAATGACTGGAAGACCGTGTGAAGCCTTAGATGATGGTAAGAAAGAAGAAGAAGAAGCAGAGGAGGAGGAGGAAGAGGAAGAAGAAAGCACTCACAGTGGTAAAAGTGGTGTCTTTGTTCCTGGTCCTCTTCTTTCTCTCAAGGAACAGATCGAACGAGACAAGGTTTTCATGATTTTCACCTCCTCTCTTTTATTCTACATTTCCCCTCAATTTCTTTGATGTTCTGATTTGTGGGTTGTCGGGAAGATTGAATTTTTCTGGTTTCTGAATGTTGTAATGGGTTCTGTCAGAAACCTCTCTTGAATTGCAAAGCTGAATTTTCACTAGATAAAATGTTTAAAAAGGAATGCCAAACAAAATGGAATGGTGAAATACTCTGTAAGGTGTATACAAAATGGTTCGACTAATTTCAGGTATTTTAAAAGTTTTTGTGAAATATCCTTTTCAGAATACTGTGGCTAAATTGTTCAGAATTTATTTATTTATTTCAGTAGATGCTGCATATGATATCCAAGTAGTATCTCATAGGTTGATTTGCATCGTTAATTAATAAGGTGATTTTTACTAATGTACCTACAGAATATTGATATTTACTAGTCTTTTTCTGATTTTTGAGGTAATTGTGCTGTGCAGGAGGATGAAAGCCTAAGGAGGTGGAAGGAGAAGCTGTTGGGTTGCTTAGAAAGCGATTTAGATGGTTTGTTTGAGGAGTTTGTTTATTATCCTTGTTTATGCTTTATAGCAGTTTTTTCTTGCTTCTATTTTAAGTTCTTTCTTTTTACAGGTCAATTGGATCCTGAAGTAAAATTCCACTCTATAGGAATTCTCGCTGATGATTTTGGTGAAATTGTTACTCCTCTACCTGTGGATGAAAATCAGAATGGTCGCACTCTATTCACTCTCGGAGAGGGTTCTCGCTATCAGCTTAAGCTAAAATTTAGTGTTCTGCACAACATTGTGTCTGGCTTGATGTACTCCAACACTGTGTGGAAAGGAGGGCTTCAAGGTGCACAGCTAATATTTTTCTCTGTTTCTGTTGGTTAGATAGTAAACACTGTAGGTTTATGATTATTGAGTTTCAAAAGCCAAAGGTTTGAAACTATTAGTATCTTGTTCTATGACTCAGTTTAAAACTGTCTCTTAACCTTTATAGGGCAATGCTAACAATGCTCAATGAAGTATTAACTTAGATAAGTTCATGAGTTTTGAGTCTGTAACCTGAATTCTATGATGTCAGGCTTCCTGATAAATGTTTTGGTATGTTTGAGAAACAGTTGGTAATAGTACCAAGTATTTGATCTATTCTCATATCATCCTTGTAGTCTGGAGTTGGCCTAAAATGTTGCATTTTTGGTGATGATTAAGGTCCTTTCTTGTTTTATTTTTATGCTTTATTAACCTCATATTGGAGGACAAAGGGTAGCACAAGGCAGCTAGCCTGCAAATAGTAAATGCTGTCTGGTAGGGTTTCCTGCCGTCAAGGAGATACTGTATTTTAGTTCAGATTTAGCAGTCCAGAACTTTATGTTAAAACACTGGGTTAACCTCAAGAAAAGGCCTCAAACAATATTTAATGCTTGTTAGTTGCAAAAAACTTGTTTTCTTGAATAAGAAATTTTATGTGGTCTGTATGGTATGGCATAGAAATGAGAGCATAAATGGCACATGACAATTGAGTTGCATTACTGCATTTATTTATTGACATATATTGTTAGAGATTTGTCAAATGGTAATGACATCTTTTTTTGTGTATTCTTACATTTATAATTTGATTGTATTCTTGGGCTTTTTCAGTTGATCAGAGCAAAGGAATGTTGGGTACTTTTGCTCCTCAAAAGGAGCCATATGTGTATGCCTTGAAAGAGGACACCACTCCCTCGGGTGCACTTGCAAGGGGTGTTTACTCAGCCAAACTTAAGGTATGGGAAAGTAATAATACATTTTCTTTTTTGCTTTGATTTTGGTTATTCAATTTAATATGCATTTTTTTAATTTTGGTATAACATAATACCTTCTCACTCTTCACTTTCAATTTTACAATGAACTATTATTATATTGCATAAACTTGTTCCTCTTTGGTTGCTGTCTCAGTTTGAAGATGATGACCGAAGGTGTCACATGGAGCTCAAATATTTATTCGAGATAAAAAAGAGAAGCTAGTCCGTTATTGTTTTTATGTATCATTTTATCGTCCTCCCAAAATCCTTAATTAAAATTCTGAAGACGTGTTACTGATTCTACAGCTTTGTATTTGCTTACTAAAGCACAAAAAGGTAATGAACTCGTTTTATCCTCCGGAAAATGACTATACCGAGCCAGCCAGAGTCACAATCCACAAGATTTGGCAATTAAAAGTTCATGATTGATTTTTAATACTTTAATTATATACGTTTATGAAAAATTACTCAGGCCAGAACATTATATTAAATTTGAGTACAAGATAGAGAATACTTTTTGAAATTTCCTTTCTCATTATATATATTATATACTTCTTTTTTTCAAATACCACTGCAAAAAAAAAAGAAAAGAAGAAATGGTATATCATAACAACTTGGTATTAAATTAGCATCTTGTTAACATATTTTATGTCTAACAGAAATTGAACAATTAGTATAAAAAAAGGTAAGGTATAATATATTATATCATATTATCAAGTGACTTTGTTAATATACAAAATTAGCACTACAGCAAAAAAATAAAAAATAAAAATTTAACATATATTATCTGAACATTAAATGTTAATATACTGCATTATTCTGTTACTGTACAATCATAAGATTTATAATAATAACTCAATTTCATAAAACAATAATTATATTAATAAAAATAGTTCTAACCTGTCATTTTTTATTCGTTACTAAATGACATTTTTTTGTACCATACTATTACTTAAATTTAATTTATCACAATTTGAATTTACATTCTAAGTTTTAACACCATATTAATTCAAAGGGAATAGAGATGATGTGGTTCAAGTCAAACACAAATTTTCTTCAAATTTAAAAACATTATCCCTCTAATATATTTTTGAAAAATAAAATCAACTAATAATAATAAATATATATTTTATCATGGGTTATTTTTAAAAAAATTTCATCATTATTTAACTAATAATAATATATTTATTATATATTTAATTTAAAATTTATTTTTAAACCGTTTGTACAATCATGATAAATCTCCTAATCAAAGTTTTCTCAAATAAAATCATTTTTTTAATTTTAAAATCAAATATCTAAAGTATGAGTGTCACAAACATGGATAAGAATCCGAGGCCAAATAATTCTTCTAGCATTACATGCTCTTCTGTAGAAATATCTTCTGTAAACCACGATTGCTAGCTTAAGGAATCAACATATATTTCTAGACCAACAATGGAAGCAACAGAAGTGTTTAATAATAATCTAGTTCCCGCGTTATCATAGCTGTGGTTGCCAGTTACAAGTCTTGGTTCCATGGCATTCATGGCCATCTCATATGGAGAAAAATGTCTTTTGTGGTTTGATTTTATGGATTCAACTTAACCGTAATCTATGAAACACCAATTAATTTCTCATTTATTGGTCTAACTGCTGGAGATAGCTTTGTGTGTGGACTTCTAATGGGTTCTAATCAACCATATTGCTGGGGTAGCAGTGTCTACATTGAAATGGGTGTGCCTCAATCAATGATAAAATGAACTGAATACCTAGAAATTAGTGCTGGTGATTACCATGTTTGTGGCATTTGATATGAATCACATTTCTATAGCTTCTTTGCCTGGAATGTTTGAAAGGAGATAGAGAGAGAAAGCATTTGGGAAAGGAGAAGGACTAACACCTCATATTTTATGAAAGACATTGACTGCACACTTACATTCGGGTAAGTAAACGTTTTAAGCAAAAAGATTATTTAAACAAAAATAAAATTGAGTTTTCACGTTAATCGGAAAAAATCTGAATCCAATCTCAATTTGCCAGGCAAGTTAACCAAATTTTAACAAAGAAAAAAACTCAACCAACAAAAATTTCGAATGTAAAAACAAATAAATTCTTTTTTTCTCCCAACAAATAAAAAAAAAATATTTTTTCAAACGTAAAAGACAAACAGAACCTCATTATTTACTTAGTAAGTTATATCAAAAACTTTTTCATCAGTTATTTAATTTAAAAGGTTACATTTTAGGTCTTTTAAGAAAATCTTTAATAGTAATGAGAATGTATCAAATCAAACCTTACCCAGGCCATTTCTACCATCTATAACCAAATAAAATCACAAGATCCCATAAAAAAAATGATCGAACATAAGATTTGCAATGGAATATTTATTACTATCCCTATTTCAACCGAGTAAGAAAGAATTGGATTGAGTAAAAATTAATTAATGCTTGAAAAGGTAGTATCTAAAAATAATTGCAGTAATTTTGTCAAATGCCTAGATTAAAAGGAATTAGTTATGGACAAATGTTAAATACAGTTCATAAATATCGAGTGTTATTCACCAATCAAAATTAAGATTTTATCTATATATGATAATATTAAAGATAGAAAATTTTATTAAAATAAAATTCTAATTAACAGCACCTATAAAAGAGTTAATAACTTGTTTCCATTGGTTATCCCGTTTGCATTTTAAAATATTACGCTCAACTCCCTTGTTGAGGGGGGGTAGGGTAGACCATAAAACCAAAGATAGCTGATAATGAAAAGGAATCTTTCTCACAAACAAGAGCTTATCACATTACAAAATTGTTTTTCCTTTCCTGAGAAGGGGCGTACAACATCAAAACTGAACAATTTAACACATGATTATAAATCTTTGGATTATACATCTTAGACTAACAGAGCCTCAGTTTCAGAATATGTTTGTGGTGTAAATCTTAGGCAAATAGAGAGAAGTAGTAGATATGTGCAATTGTAGTGAACGACAACAAAGTTGTCAGCTTCACTATTGTCATTTATACGTTCCCATGTCAACTTTTTCTAATAGATTATACATATCAATATAGCCCGTATGTTTCTTAGATATAGGAAACTGTCAATCACCAACCCATAGACCAAAATTCTTTGTTATTTCTTAGAGATGGCAAAATGGAACTGGTCACTCAAGTAACCAACGGTAAAATGATGCTACTAACTTAATCAATAGCAGGGTAAATCATGTTTCAAAAAATAGAAGGCAATGGCCTGAATTTCATTTTGCAGACCATATGAAGGCGCATACCAGATGCCACCAGAAATATATCAGCCATAGGTGCCCGCTACTAATAACAGTATAGTACAACATTGACTATGATCTGGCCCAATATATACTTACTGTGCAAATTGTGAGAATAATAAAGGCAGCTACTATTAACAGTATAGAAGTTGAGTCAAATTTTTCACACTAGCAAACAAAAATTGCTTGCAAACAGTGGCCCCACAAGTTTACAATGCAAAAGAATGACCAAACTCCAAAAATCACAGCTAATCCGAGGATGAATTCTGGTATTCAAGAGTACTGGGCCAACTGGTAGAAAATTTGACAGAAGGAAATCTCGTCAGCACCTGCGATGAAAATGCTGAAAGCTCATCAAGCAGTAAAAACAGAAACAAAAGTCACCACTAGTCTATATATCATTTTAGATTCCAAACAATACTATAACTGTATGACTAAAGATATGAAATACCATACAAGAAAAAAAAGCAAAAGACTGAATAATTGAAGGTTCAAGGCCAACTGAGCAATCGTAATTTGTAACTATCTTATCTCTTTAGGCTACCTACTCAATCATGTTTAAAATCAGATAATAGTGTGTTAAAACCCAATAATGAACAACAACTATAAGGAACGTAAGAAAAAGTACCTTCTTATTTACAGATAATGCAACAACAAATCAAATGAAGTATATTTCAACCTGCAGCTTTGTCCCAAGTGAACATCACCAAAAATGTACCTGCATTATTATAAGAAAAATGTTAACATCGGCTTTTAAGAAACTAAAAGCGACAAGAATTTATTGGAAAGAACATTTATTACATCGAAATATGAGTGTAATGAATGCCCTTGGAGTTGCATTAACAAATTCTGGGATTTATGTTTAATTCAGCTAACGTAACTAGTACCCATTTGGTGAACGTTGTTTTTTAAATTGTTTAATTCTTCCTCAATTGGAAATATGTTGGCTAAGATATTCAAAACCATGATCCTCCCAGGAAACTAAATCAAACCTTAAGTGTAGGATAAAGAAAATAACCTGTATTCACAGTAATCTGGCCATGCACAACGAGCTCTCCCATAATCCCAATAACAGTCCTCGTCTCTTAAAGGTCCACGCTTAGCTGTAATGGAACAATACCTCAAAGTAATTGGGCATTCTCAGCTGAACATTGGAAATTGTTAACAAATGCAGTGAAATACCTTTAGTGACAAAATTTGATTTTGCATCAGGATGGGTATCATGCCACAACTCAAGCCATAATTCCCTCATTAGCACTGGTGATCTAACAATGTTCCTGTGATTTGCTACAAGAATATTGTGTCAGTTTACTTGCATGTATCCTTGTAGTCAATATTTTTTTCGTCAACAGACTTGCAGATATTGAGATCATAATTCTTTCTCATCCATAAATTATAATAATCAATAAGACAAATTGGTAAATTATTATGAAACTAATAATAAAACATGCAGGTAACACTTTTCTGGGTTAATACATAACATTTAACTAAAACCTTTCCCGTGCAAAATATTTGATTTCGTATTTTAAAACCTTAATCTTATGGCTAAGTGAATGAATAAAGTGTGTGTAAATTTTATGAGCATTAACTTCTACATTCATTCAGAAAATAACAAGATACTTTTGAACTCTGAATTAACTTTACCTATGAGGCCATCATAATCTAGTTGGCTTATTTTAGTTGTAAGAAAATAGAATCAGTTAGTTCACAACTCCAAGGACAAGTCATGCACCTTTATCAAGCTCCCAAACTGCTGTCCTCTTTCCAAGAAGACTTTCAGAATCTTCATAGTATGTTATGTACTTAACCTTTGGCGATCTTTTCATGTTCGGAACAATATCTTCTCCTGGGTGATGTTCCACATTCAATTTAATCTGTACATCTGAACCATCATGCTCCGACTGAAAAGTCAGAACAAAGATAAATATAAAGATTGTCATACAATTATGAATGTGCATGCAAATGAAACTGTATGAAGATAAGAACAGGATAAATGTATGACAAGAAATGTCAGAGTTGAAAAGATAAGCTTCCTATAGATCAAAATGCATGACTTAAATTTGGTTGCTTCCAGTTTAAGTTGTTTATTGTCTGGAAATTATTAAATCAGAAATTGAGTAAAATGTCTGGGAAGTGGGAACAGAAGATAACAATTTTAATGCCCCTTTAGCTTTATCAGAGTGAAGAATTAACATGGTTTCTAGAGCCTATGAATGCTAGAGTATTTTCAGTCCACACACACACAGTATAAAAGCAGAGGGAGTGGGGGGAAGAACAAAAATCAACACCACCACATCAATCAACTATAGACATAATGAAGTGTAAAACAAATTCCATGTAGGTTTCCGTGTCAATTTCATTAATTTTCATCACAGACTTTTATGGGCTTAGAACTCGTGGTTATGCACCTGTCCTCCTAATAGCTAAGGACATGCAGCAATAGTACAACTTGTAAGTCTCAGGAAATTAATCATTTAACAAATTTGCAAATTATTTAAATTAATCCCAGAAACATAACTGTGAAAAACCCCAACAATGACACTTAATTGCAAATAAAAAGAGAATAATCAAACAAAACTCGCACATCAATTTTACACTGCAATACCTGAGGAGCTCTTGTTATGTTCACCCTAGGTCCAAGCCAGTTCTTGCACCATGAAAGGGAGTGATATGGTACCTGTAAAAAATTATTGTATTGTAATCCAATTGTTGAATGTAGATGTATGCATGCTTGAAAGTAGGAAAAATGGACGATCAATGTATTCTGCTTCCTTTATAACCACGACCACAGTAAGGGAAACATAATATAAGTTTACCGTCTCATCACCACTCATGGCTCCAGGGTTCCCTTCAACCAAATTCCCCGACCTGACAGTTGATACTAAAACACTTCAACATGTTTAAATAGAATATCCGCACCAAAAATGTGCAAAAAGTTCTGTAATGGTAATAACAATTTCCCTATTATACACATTGATTTATCAAAGATAATATTAACAATTTTAACCTACCATCCCCTCGCCCCCTCTTAACCTGCAATAATAAAGGATGTGACTAACAAAATCTAGTCTAGATTTTCTTCTTACAGGAACTGGTTATGATAAATTGGCACAGCCATGACCCAGGAAATTTTGTTAGGATTGTCTTGAAAAAAAAAGCTTATAATTCATTAATGTTGTGACACGCAATAAATCAATGTATAGCAAGACAAAGCAGTGACATAATATCCTGCACACAATTTCTATTAACTAGACAATTGTTTTCCACAATTAATGTACTTTTCATTGAATCCCTCTTTCCCCCCGATCCCTTTCTTCAAAGGTAAAAGACCAAACAAAAGAGAACATAGAAAAAGAATGAACAAGAATTCAAATATGAAAAAAGGAAGAGATGCTATTCGTTGAAGCCGCAAAATCAGAAGACCATAAACATACGGCACAGTATACATATATTTTGTAACTTTACACAACAAGACATGCTCCTTGAAGTACCAAAAAATGCACAAGAGAGAGAGAGAGAGAGAGATAATAATAGAACTTTCATTCCATTTACAAATATGAAATACCAACACACAGGAATGATCTAACAGTTACCTTGAGAATAGAGATCCTTCAAACTCATAAATGACATCTGTAATGATCCAGTTATCAGGGTAGGGCTTGCCACTAGGGGCAAAGTAGTAACCAACCTATTTTTTAAAAGTTCAAGATGCCACAATTATCTTCATAATAACACTATAAATGATCACAGACTCCAGAAAGAATTACTATATATAAATAAAGAATCTTAGGATACAGGTAAATGTTGACAATCAGAAAAAGTATTTAATATACAAAGATTTTGACAATCAACATAATTTATGGAGCTCAATAAAGCATACAAATATTTTAGCCATGGGAACTGCAAGTTATTAAGGTGCCAGTATATCAATGTAACCCCTACAAGAGGCCAGAATAATCCTTTTATTCCACTCATTATGAAATGCTTCTTTGTTGTATATTCCTCCTTCTTGTGACCTCTACTTAACACAACTGACCATAATGAGAGAAAGAATGTACGGGGTAGCAAATAAACATGATGGGAATATAAAATGTGATACTAGTACTTGTGAGTTCAACAAATGTAGATATTCTAGATAACTAAAGGAATGGAGAACTTCATAGCTTTCAAAACCAAATATAGCTCCTTATTTATGTATGCGGGTGCACCACATATATTGGCCCATTTTTTGTTACTTTTTGAGAAAAAAATCAAATAGTAATGTCAAACATGGTAAACTAAAATATAAATTTCATTTAAATGGAGTACTTTAGTATTTGCTTTTGAACTAAACATTAGAAATAACAGCATGTTCATTTGTAGAGGGAAATCGTACCTTGGTCTTCGAATCAGTGCCATAAATGCAGAAGACATTTTTTATTGGTGGCCGGTCCCAAGGTGTAAGGGGATTAACGACAGGATCATCAAGATATGATCTGAAATATTAAGCATTCAAACATATGCCTTTTCAACACTAAAACTACAAATAACAATATGAAGTTATCAACTTGTTTAGTTGTAAACGAACATCCCCCCAAAAATAGTACATAAAAATAGAAATTTATAATGGAAATGGAAACTCACTTTTAACAGTAAAACATACTGGTCAAAAGCTATAGTTCAGGGCAGCTAGTGCAATCAATATTATATAAGCATCTTTTTTTTTTTTTTTTTTTTCACAATAATGAAGCACCCTATATTACAGTTCTTTCTTTTAAAGCTCACAGTTGTAACCATATTTATAAATTAATGTGTTTAAATTTTTTCTTTTGGGAAGAAAGGGTTTAGACATTAAGTTTCATGTTCAGAACAACAGCATGGTAGGAAGATATTTTCAATCAGATAACTGCCTTTTGGCATTGTACCAAAAAAAAAAAAAAAAAGACCCCATAATGAAGCTTTACAAGTCTCAATTCTTGGTTTTTCATATAAAATTATCAAAATAATCTAGCAAAATGTAATTTAACGATTATTGAGATAATACTAACTTCTCTAACTGGTACAAGAGCCTCTTGCTGTCTGGGTCATAATCTTCAATTGCCTTGAAAAAGGAGCCATCTGATATTTCACGAGCTGAGAAAGATAATTGAGTAGGCAATCTACACTCCATGCTGGACAAGTTAGCCTCCGGTATTTCTGAGAATGAAGGATATGCATCAAATCCTGCAAGTAGATGATATAGATAGGCAGTTGGAGACCATAAGCACTATAACAAGATTGCTCACTATCAAATGCAGGGGTCAACAATCTCACCACGAGTTGCGGGAATTTCAATATTGATTATTTTCGTTGGCCATCCAGATGTGTTTGAATGAAACTCCTGCTCATCACAGTGATACGTTTGCTGACCCATGGGCCTTTTCCCATAAAAATGCTGCCAATATTTATCATCAGTTCTACAGTATTGGGAAAAAGGCATCATCCATAATGATGAACCAAAGGAGTTGAACATCAATCGAGCTGTTCCCTGATACCTCAAAAAAATTTATGATAAGCAAGTAATAAGACAAATAAAACAGCATAAGAAATAGTAAACACGGGGACATATGTCCAAATCAATCCATCTATTAACCAATAGCAGTTTGATGTTTATGTGGGAGTGGATTATCATATAGGTTCAGAGTATGATATAGAATAAAAAGGTGCAAGGTCAATAATTTCTTGACAATCATGATGCAAACTGCTAAGAATTCAAGATGCTACTTTTTATGGAATACCCAAATATCTATTCAGAACAGTATTTTCTAACATGTATGCATGATAGCCAATTGTGTAAAGTCTCATGTTATCTGAAAGATTTTCTGTCAGCAGGTTGGCACTACCAAGAATTTTGAATTCAAGTCAAGCAAAAAAGGACTTAGAAACGTGAAAATTTATAGAGGGAAATATGGGATTCCAGCAAAAAAAGTAGCTTAAACAGTTCAGCATAGCTTAATTGAAGAACATTATAAATCTCTTCAGATTCATAATTTTCCAATAAATTTAATAAAACTTGGTTTAGGGGAAAAATACATCAGCTAGGTTTCCAAAATCCAAAATATATTTTTTCTCTTCATTTTTCCAGTGATTCAGAAAATTGATTCCCTGCAGGAAATTTTAAAGTAAAATGCTCAATTTCCAGTTTCTCATGCATGGGATGATATTGAGCATTTTCATCAATAAGGGAGTTTCCTTCTCTGTTTTCTCCCCTACAACAAATTTCATCGAGACCAAAATCACACATAACTCAAACTAGAGAGACCAAAAATGAAATTATGCCAAACATAAAAGAGACACAGCATTATTCCTTAGAGAATCTTTTGATGTCTAGAGACCTCCAAATTTACTCACTATGCAGCTGTCTTTATTGCTAATGTAGCGTTAATCAATTATTCATTTAAATCAAATTACTCCACTCTTCTGCATTTATATACATCAACTGTGTCCCAGGCAAGCTTATGCTATTGTGATAAAAAAAACTTCTATTTCATAATATACCCTCTGCTAGTTATTTTATAGTCCAGAGTCTGGAACATAAAGAAGAATTCCCAGGCTCTGCCCTAGAAGAGAGCATCAGAAATACAGAAAGCCAAAAAAGGTTTATAGCAAATTGGCAATGACTGAAAGAATAACACAGCTATAATATTGGACAAGAAAAAGCCTAGATAAATTAAAAGACAAAAAAATCAAAAGTAGAAGCAAAGAGAAGTTACAAAAATTAAAAGGTAACCTCAGATACTGGAAGGCCAAATGTGAAACCAGAAAGTGTTGCTTCAATGGTTTCAGTTGCACCAAGAAGGGGAGGTCCTGAGACAACCAATCAAAGAAGGAAATCAGTATATCAATTATTCCATATCAAGAATACCCTCAAAGGGTAACAAATGTATGTAAGTAAATCATACCAACAGCAAAATAGGCATGAATATGTTGATCCAGCCATTTGATATAATGTTTTGGTGGAATTTGTAGCTTCAGCCACTCCAAGAAATAACGAAAAACATGATTACCCAATGAATGGGCAAAAACTAAGGAAGGGCCACCACGAAGTTTAAAAGCAGTTTCAAATGTCAATCTGCAATGACAAATACAATTTGGAATACGTAAATATCCTCAAGGTAACTACCAAACCAATTTCATCTATTTGCCTGACTTTTTAGAGAGAGAAAAAAAAAAAAACTGTTTGGAAATGGTGCATTCACATTGTAGTGTATGTGCATATTTGTTAATGTGCTAAGAATATATAGATTATTAGAATGACAAGGCTCCTGACAGAGCCAATTTTCAATTAATGCATACGAAGGAAATAAGGTGTAGCTTAAAGGATGAGTAGTAAAACGGGAGATAACTCCTGTTTGGAACAGAAAAGGAGGGAGGGAGTTGGAGTTTTAGTCAGGAAGTTGCAATATTAAAAATAGAGGGAGCCTGCTAGGAGTCAGTGTGTGAGTTGTGTAGAAACTGATTTCTGTTTGAGAGATTGGGACTCCCAAAATCCCCAACCCCTGTGAGAGTAAACACTTGATTATTAGTTTGCCCTGATTCTTCAATTTTGAAAGCACATTGGACAATAGTTGGGATTATGATTCATTTATTGCAATAAAGATTGTCAATTATGCTATCTGATATATAGATCCCTATCAGTGCCAAGGGTTGAAAAAGATACATCAAGAAGAAACAAAAGCCATTAAGAATGCTTAATCTTTTATGATACTTGACTTCAGTTCTCGAGTACAGACTGCATGACTGATTTGTTATGTAAGTCTTATTATTACTTTTGTTTGAAGAAGTTGAACTGTAAGAGTTGTTCAGATGAGGAATAATGAAGGGCATGGAATGGAAACAACTCCTGTGTTAGGGAGTTTAAAATTTATGAAGAGAAAAAGGGAATGTGGTAAGCGCTATTCCAAGTAGAGCGGCTAATTAAAGAAAGTAGGATTTTTTTATTTTGAAAACTTGTTTAGTATTTTACCTCATAAATTCAGTAACTTAAAATATATAGGATTACATTAAAATTTTACACATTCAGCCCTTTTACCTCCTGCCTTCTTCCCTTATTAGTCATCCAAAAAAAGTGGGAAGGGTATCTATTTTCAATTTCATCCTTATCCTTTCTATTTCATACCATTCTCTATAAAACTTCCTAACATAGACTAAAGGTAGAATGGGCAAATTATTTACTTCTGAGGTTTTTATAAATGCAAGCAGAGAATTTTACAGACAACCCAGCTAGATTCTCTCTCTAATGTAGATGTTTGAGAGAACTTTTAAGCACTGAAAAATTAATTGGTTAGCAGCAACAAATTGACCCCTTACTAAAACATACAAATCAAATTCCTTACTGAAATTTTGAATGCACTTTTAACAAGAATTTTATCCAAATCATTGCAAAAAATAACTGCCCGGCTTACAGAGTGCATGTACACTTACTTCAGCTTATGAAAGTAAAGGTCACGCTTTTCAAGCATGGAGGGTGCCAATCTCCAATCATAAGGAACAGCAATTATTGCATTAGCTTCTATGCCAAATTCAATACACCACTTAATCCATTCTTTCCACACCGAAGAAAGCGGTCCTTCAAATAAAAACTATAAGTACAAAAACTATAACTAATACAATAACAGAACAAAATCATATTTGACACAGCAATGAGAGATGAATACAAAACACACCTGTTATATAACCTGGATCAAGTTCTGTAATACCAGAAAGACCACTATCGGGACGGGACTTACAATCAGGGTGATCTGTCTGGTTGTAAGGGTCCAACACCATGCACTTGAGCCAGCAATTGACAGCAGAAAGGACCTGCAAAACAAATGAATTCTCATATTCCATAGTCAATTCCAAACTCGAAACTCGATGGGCTAATTTCATATACAGAAAAATAAACAGAGGAGATAAACCAGTGCTCAAATTCTCTGGACGCATTGAAATTCTTTCAGACGCATTGTTTTTAAAATCACGTCTTCATTGGCATATAAGCAAGCATTAAATTAATAAATCAGTATCAGTCACAGTTAATCGTAAACATCAATCATTGAGTAAAAATATCTCATGCTCTTTTCTGGGTAGCTATACATGGCAAGATTCGATTCTCATGCAGTTCAACCCGAAAGAACAGAGAGAAAGAGAGAAGGTGATGTACTTTGGTGGTGTCGAGCCAAACCAAATCGAGAGGGTTGAAATCGAGTGGGGAGTAGGGGCAGTCGAGAATGGACCATGCTCGGAGCTGAGTAGATGCAAAGCCCGGAATTATAATGCCGGAGAGCTTGGAGTAGTCGACCTCAGAGGAGGAAGCTCCAGCAATGGCGAGAACAGGGAGGAGGACGTAAAAGCAGAGCAACGGTTTTTTCTCCATTTCGGTTACGAGAGAGTGAGAGAGAGGGTGGTGGAGGGAGGAAATAAGCGTGACTCTGACCATAACTTGCCAATAAATGAAACCTCGAATCCAGCTGATTTTTGACCTTATTTTGGGATTTGAAAGTTGAATTTCTATGGGCCTTTCTGCTTCCACTTTACGGGCCGTGTTCGTACTTCTATTATTTTTTCCAACTTTTGCAATAATAAATTAAATATTTATACTTTTTAAAATTAAAAAAATAATGATTTTTATTAATTTTATATTAAATATTTATAATAAATAATAATATTACTAGTCTATTTAAAAATAAATATTTTTTAATTTAAAAATATTATAATAATTATATCTGTCAATTTAGAAAAACTGTAGTAAATTTTTAAATTAAAATTTTGTTTAAATAAATAGTTATATAAAAAATTATAATTTAATGATAGAATTTATAGAATAAATTTATTAAAATGAATTAAAAATATTACAGTTAATTTTTAAATTCTTTTAATTAGTATTTTTTTTAAATATTAAATACACATGTAATAAATTATAAAATATTTTTGTTTGTTACTATTATAGTTGTTATTCTAGAAAGTGAAAGGAGAGACTTGTCAAAGTAAGGAGTGGATGGGCACTGAGAGGCTTCTTGGAAGTTTATGCAAAAACGATGTCTATTGGATGTGGTTGCTGCAAGCTGCTTGCTTGTGAAAGGTCGATTTTGGACAAACATTCTGTATTGCAGCAGTTAACGACCACTCCTCTGTGTTCAGTTTTGATTGCGCAGTTGTTTTACAGTGTTAGACAAAAAAGGTTTTTGGTAGTTTTTTCCTTTTTCTCGATAGTCGATAAGATTGCCTAAAAAGACGATTTGTGAAATAAAACTTAAATGTTATGTTTTTGCTTATATTCATCTCACAATAGCCAATAAATATAGAGAATATGAACATTTAATTTTGAGAAGAAGAAAAGATAACTAAATTCATCCAGAGAGTTTTTTTATGGTATATTATATGAAATACAAAATATTTTATTTGTACTTTGGAGAAGCACTGTGCCTCATTAAAATGTTTGACTTGCAAGAGTTAAAAAATAGATCATCCTTTGAATAACTTTGATGTTTTTTTTATGGTTATTTTATATGAAAGATATTTAATTTATTTTAAACTTCTGCGGAAGGATTGTACATAAATGCACACTTTAAAAACAGAATGAAATTGATTTGACTTATTGAAAGTAAATTAAATACAATTGTCTGAATTGATAATGGATGAACTTCTCAAATACATGGAATGTATAAATTAATTTTAATCTATAAAACATGTTTTTTTTTAATTTTATATCTTTGTTTTTTTTTTTATATAGAAACTTATTCAATTTAAGTTGCATGTAAAAATACAAGTTAATAATATAAAAAATATAACGTTGAAGTCTCAACTACTTAAAAATAAATAAAAACTTATAAGAAAAAAATATGTATGATTGTGAGAAAATATCATGTTAATAAAAAAAACACCATACTTAAAAAAGGTTCATTTAGTTTAGAAAAATCTAACCTTGATGGTTAAGACCCAGTTTGTACTCAATGGTGATAATAGATCAAAACTGACATTTGACACGCCTTTTAACTCCTATTCTCTTATCAAATCAGAATTTTAAATTTAAGGGGATCTTAAGCTTCCATAACCAGCACCAACTTTAATTTAACCCAACTGTATCAAAAGGCTATATAAGTCGAAGGTAGCCATTGATAGTTGCTGTATAAATGTCACATCTACTTTCAAACCAAATTCAACAACTTTCAACATCGAGAGAGAAAATAGGCCAAATTTGTAGATTTTCAAATCTCCATGCATTTGGTTATGGTAATTAAATTTAAAAACTCTTGCTGTCATTAATATTAGGTCGGTAAATTTTTTTTTAGAAGTTATTTAAAAGTGTTCTTTATATAAATAAAGATATAAATAGAGATTTGTGGTCTTTTTATATCTTTCCTGGTTTGAATGATTTTATACAAAAACTTATGGCATACAAAGGTGAAATAAAATGCAGCGGGAAAGGAGCATGGAAACAGGAAGATGAAAAATTCGAAAGAAATTGAAAAGAGAGAGAAAAAGAAAAGTGGCGCGAGTGCTTCAAACTAAAACGTCATCGTTGTGGGCGCCAATCAAATCCTTTACCCGCCCCTCCGCTCACAGTCAACAAATCTGAGCCGTCCACATTTACATCCAACACATCATTTCTGAAAAGACCGCCGCCCCATAAAACCCGAATAAAATCTAAAATCTCACCACTCTCTCCTCTTCCACACGACCATAAGGAATGGAGGATTCTAGAAAATCTAGCAGCAGCAAAACTAAACTGTTGAATCCATGGATGCTTCACTTCCAGAAACTCGCTCTGGAACTCAAGTGCCCTCTCTGGTTTGTTATTTTTCCCCCACCCACTTCTTTTTCTTCTGTTTCGTTGCTCATAATGAAAATTTTCCCTCTCTGTTTGCTTTTTTTTTTTGCCCCTACTTCTAGGTTTTGGTACTGTTGTTTTCTTTTTTAATTTATTTTAATTTCGAGTAGATGATTTGATTTGCTGTTTCTTGCAGTTTGAGCTTGTTCAAGAGGCCGGTGTTACTTCCGTGCAACCACTTGTTCTGCAAGTTCGTTGCTCCTTCTTCTGTTTCTTTGTTCCTGTGTTGGCTTGGCTATCTAATTGTGCGATTTTCTTGGTGGATGAAAATTATTGACGATATTTTGATTTTGGCAGTTCCTGCTTGGCTGATTGCGTAACTGTTGGGTCTGAATGTGCTGTCTGTAAGACTAAGTATGCTCAAACAGGTAACTTATCATTTTTTCCCCTTCAATTCAATATGTTATGTTTCTGAATCTCTCCCCTTGTGTATGTAGTACGAAAGTGAAAATTTACCAAGGGCATGTTTGGAAGAGCTTACAGATAGCTTATGAAAACAACTCATGATTCTCGTAGGCTTGTTTTAGTTTATTTCAAAATAGTCTTGTGGTATACTTTATTAAAATATGTTGTTTTTATGTGGACAATTTTGTTGTTAAATTTTGTTGCATAAGTTGTCTTTTAAAAATAGCTTATTTAATAAGCACTTCAATAACTTGTGTATTTAAACACACTCTAGTATGGTTTTATGTTCAACTAGCCTTGGGTAGCCAGATTTTTTTTCCTTTTAAAATATGATATCTTTTACTCATTCTTATACTTTCTATCCTGTGATTGAGGATGGCAGATGTAAGGCACATGCCTTTTGTGGAAAATATGGTAGCAATCTATAGAAGCTTGGATGCCACCTTTTGTGCTAGTTTGTTTCAGCAACGTTCTTCTGGTGAAGCCACTTTGCTTTGCTTTTGGATAGCTTTTCCAATTGATTGTATTGCTTGATGCTGATTTTTGCTTGAATTTGGTTAATGTAGATGATGTGAGGGTTCTGGAACCATGCCAGGCATTTCACAATTCCACTTCTAGTAGCATAAAAACTGACAAGGTTCCACGGAATTTACCCAATTGCAATGAGATTGGGGTTGGCAAGAATCACAGATCTAAGATTGCAGTGCATGATAAAGCTGATGAGCTTGAGATGTCTTGTGGGAGAAGGAAGCCTAATCTGATCCAGCAGATGGAACTTGGGGAAATGGATGTGAATCAAGTGACACAATCAGCACCTGACAGCCCTCCATTTTGTGATACCAAAGGTTCAGATAATGACTGCAGTGATCAAGACAGTGAGCAAGTAAGAAAAACTATGCTTTTTTGTGGTTTTCTATACTTACACAGTCAAATGCAGCTTTCCATGTATAGTCGGTCCAATACTCCTTGAACTTGGTGCCTTATTCTCATAATTAACTCTTCATTTCAGCGATTACCTCCTGATAGTTTGGGAAATTCCTCGTTAAAGAGAGCAAGCACTGGAAATGGAAATTTGAAAGAAAGAAGGGGACAGTTCAGGTCTGAAAGTTCAGCATCTGAAACTGAGGGTCTTGTGAGAGATGTTAAGAGACAAAAGGTTTTGGATCCTAAATCTGGAAAGGACCCTGATGAACTATTGACCACAGATGCATCAAATGACTTGTGTCAAAGTGCAAGTATCTGTTCGTTTTGCCAATCCTCTAAAACCTCAGAGGTAATATTTGATTTGCATAAATTTTCTGCACATCACTGCTTGCACATCCCCCTTTCCTTGAAAACTGTTATCCTCTTGTTATATATGCTGATAGACTGATTGCTGAAACTATATTTCCTGGCCTTCATGGTGAATTTTTGTAGGCTACTGGGCCAGTACTGCATTATGCAAATGGGAATTTAGTTACGGGAGATGCAACAAAGCAACCAAATGTCATACCTGTGCACAGAATTTGCATTGACTGGTATGTTAACATGATATTTTGAGTATAACTTGTTCATTACTGTAGTCTGCTAATCTATATTTTGGTGGAATTTTTGTGACTTGTAGAGCCACCTAAAAGTAGATACTGAATCTTGAATGATCATGGGTTGTTCAAAACTTATTAAATATGCAGTTGTTGAATACTTTTTCTATCTGTTAGATTTTTATAAGAATTTTGCTGATACTGTGATATAAACTTTGGAAATCCAGGGCACCACAAGTGTACTTTGTTGATGAAACAGTTAAGAATTTGAAGGCAGAACTGGCAAGGGGAGCAAAACTTAAATGCAGCAAATGTGGTCTGAAGGGAGCTGCTCTTGGATGCTATGTCAAATCCTGTAGAAGAACTTACCATGTTACTTGTGCAATGGACATCTCAACTTGCCGATGGGATCATGTACTTCTTTACTCTATTAAAGTTAATTTTTATAAAATATTTTTGTCCTTTTTACCTGCTGTGCTTTATCTAAACTTTGCTGGTGCGTTCACTGGTTCAGGAGGATTTTCTCTTACTCTGTCCTGTCCATTCTTATGTCAAATTCCCAAGTGAGAAATCCAGGCCTAGACAACAGTCAAAGCGTCCTACTTTGTCTCATCAGTATGTTTTCTTCCAACTTATTTACTATTTAAACATTATTTAAATTACATGTATGGTCAATAAGTGATACTTTTTTGTTTTGAAACCATATGTTAGTGTTGGGAAATTGGAAAAAGCCCCTAACTTTGGCTTGACTTTGCACTCAAACAGGCCTTTGATGGCTTTACAGGGTTTTAATTCTAACATTTAGGGTGCGTTTGTAAACATAAGTTTTTATTCAATATTTTTTTACATGAGGGTTTATTTTACTAATTTGATTATTAAATTTTTTGAAATAAATTAAAATGTGCTTATTCTGTTAAGTTATAGTGAAAAGTTTGTTGAAATAAGCTAAAAAAACCCATGTTGTAAATTATTTTCATAAGTTTTTCTAAACATCCCTTTTGTGGTGGTTGATTAGAGTATAAATTAAAGTACTTTGCATACTGATCTGATAATAAATATAGTTCATTTCATTTCTTAAACCAGAGAATATTGCATAATTAGTAGATTCTAGATAGTGCTCTGATAAAAGACTCAATCTGTTATTATTGAGTAGATTTCAGGGTTCAGTTCACACCCGTTTTGTTTTTCATAGTGCCCATACTCTATTCATATAGAAATAACTTATTTTGGTATTATAAGTTAGTTTTCCTGTCAAACTTTGATACTATTACTAAGTAACTCTCCTGTTTACAGGCCATCTCACCCCTCAAATCCTCTTGAAGCTTCCCAGGATGACAGTAGAAAATTGGTGTTTTGTGGATCTGCTCTATCAATTGATGAAAAGGTTAGAACAAGTTAGTATGAATATTGTCTGCTTTCTGTGATTAAGTCTGTTTGTTATCTTCAGTATCTTTGGTATTTTTATTTCTTGGGACATCTACTTAATTGCAAAAAGTACAAGCTGGTTGCTCAGTCTTTTGACAAGTTGAACTATCTGGCATTGATAAAATTTCTAATTAAAAAACCTCTTTCCGTGCTCTGTTTAGCTAATTGATATCCTTTTATACACTTGATGAAGAGCATGGTGCATCATACTGTGCTTATATATGTTTGACTAATTGATATGTTTTCCTGACATTTTGTTTTTGGTATTCCCTTCTTGATGGTGCAGGTAATTTTAATCAATTATGCAAGCAGTGTTGGTGCTGTAGTGACCAAGTTCTGGAGCTCAAATGTCACCCATGTGATTGCAGCAACTGATGCAAATGGAGCGTGCTCCCGAACATTGAAAGTTCTCATGGCAATTCTACATGGACGATGGGTTCTAAAAATGGATTGTAAGTTATTTAAGTTCTATATTTTTTAATGTTGCTTACTTGAATTGATGCTTGCCTTTTAAGATTCACTCTTTACAAACATTGATGAGTGATTAATGGTTTCAATTTGAGGGTTTTGGCTTGGAATATACCTTTCATTTTGGCAGACAATGAAGTCAAAGTCAATCATGTTCTCTGTGTTTTGATCTCTTGCAAGTTATGAATTGCCCCCTAAAATTTTGACATTGTGGTAGTAATTATTAAATTTTATTTAACAACTTGTAAATTAAAACATTGAATTTTCAACTCATGAAAACCTTGAAATACCTGTCATTTAGCATGACATCTTGATAGTTAATTAATATAACATGCCCCCTTTGTTAGTATAATTATTTTGGCAATGCTAGGACCCACACTGTGGCCCTGGTAGAGGGGCCTGCTAATGGGGGTGGGTGTAGGGAAAAGGAATTGCTATGGAGAGCATTTGTGTAGATCCAACCTTGTATTCTGGTTGCATACTTGTATGACTCTAGCTCCTACCACTTGGTCTACTAACACTAATTTGAATCGATGCCTGAAACTTAATCTTCTACACAGGCTTGTGCCTTTTAATGTTATTTTCCTGTTTAATCCATGTTTAACATTCTCTGTCTGAGAATTGTTGCATGTTTTTCATGTGTGTGTTAGTGTTTTTTAATGCTAATTTGTATTCATATTTTTGTCTTCATGTTGATGCTATATATTTTTGTATTGCAGGGGTAAAAGCATGCATGGATGAGATGAATCCTGTTAACGAAGAACCATATGAAATTAATCTTGACAACCAAGGGTGTCATGGTGGCCCAAAAGCTGGCAGACTTAGGGCAATGGCCAATGTAAATATTCTTTTATTGAATCTAATGTTCATGTAAAAGGCATGAACTATCTTTTGCACTGTCAACAATATCAAAGTAATTTGATGAACGCCTCTTGTTTTTGTTGTCTAGCAACTGATGCATCTAGATAGATATGTTAAGACCATATGTTCTGTCTAGCTTGACTTTTTACTATTAATTTCTTGTCTTTTTGAGGCTCCTGCTGTCTGGTGATATTAATTGTTAAATTAATTGGGAAATCTCATGAATTCTGTTCTAATATTCTATTTGTTATGATGGTAGGAGCCAAAGCTATTCAGTGGCTTAAAGTTTTATTTTTCTGGGGATTATGTGTCTGCTTATAAGGAAGATCTTGAAGAATTAATTGAAGTGGGGGGAGGTGTTGTTTTGAAAAGCAAGGATGAGTTGGAGGCCCAAAGAGATAAATGTGAAGCTGATTCTTCCAAGTTGCTGGTTGTTTACAACCTTGATCCCCCACAAGGATGTAAGTTGGGGGAGGAAGTTTCAATTCTTTGGCAGAGGCTAAACGAGGCAGAGGATTTAGCTGCTAATACTGGTTATCAAGTCATTGGTCACACGTGGATCCTTGAATCAATTGCTGCTTGTAAACTGCAGTCTTTTGTTAGCTAAAATGCATTAGGTAGCTAGTATTTTGTCCATCTCTTGATAGGGTGTTTATTCTACAAAAGAACTGACCAATCCTGTACATGATTTTGATTTGAATTTATTGTCTTTCCTTGGCTGTCAAGCTATTTTGTTTATGTAACATTTACTGACTTAGGTCTGGCTGCTTTTTGCCTCGTCATAATAACTTGGTATGGAAAATTATTACTATCTTATGTTTTTGATTAACTGGATCTCATCTTTTTGAGATGGATCATGAGAGTCTTCATACAATACGTAAATGCCAAAAGCCATTTGATTATGTTCAGCTTAATTTCACGAAGTCTCAGAAAATTGCGTTCATGATGGTTGGTTTTTCTTATATTTGCCCCCTCTCTTTGCTATGCCCCTGAAACTGAAATTTAGATTCCGGGAAGTTTTAGAAGTATTTAGCCAATAAAATTCTGCATTTTCTTAATATTGGCATGCAGTAAAGACGTGTGGGGGATTTTCTTAGCAGAGATGTTTTATCGGGATATGAAAATTCTCATGAATTTGTTGATGTACTTAAACAAGCACACTGCTTTTTAGCTTGAAAAGAGCTCAGAAATGACGAGGGCTAAAGTGAAAGTGTCACGGAAGGTAGATTTGAAGCACTTTACATTCCCAAAGGGCTGATATAAGAAATGAGGTTTTGTTTTCCCTAGGGTTTGCCATCTAGTTGGAGGGCACTTAGGGTTATCCCAGTATTGTCTTGAGACGAGGCTGGGTTCATCTCCAAGCTCGATTTGTTTTGCGTTACATCAACATTATAGACAAAGAGTTTGGCAACAACCAAAAAGCAAAGGAAGTTGAGAAAGCTTAATATGGCCATGAAACCATAATAATAATCTAAATGGGAGACGTTTAGATTATCCAAAACCCAACCCTGGTGACCATGTCTCTTGGTGATATCAGCAACAACTGAAAGAAGAAAACTACTAAGAAAACTTCCAACACCCAAGCTGGTTGTGAAATATGCTGTTCCGAGACTTTTCATGCCATCTGGTGCTTGGTCATAGAATAACTCTATCTTGGCAACTTCAACGAAGTTATCAGCAACCCCTGCCAAAGCAAACTGAGGAAGGAGGATGAAAACAGTGAGAGGAATTGTATCATGGAGGCCTAAGAGGTGGTTTTCCTTTGCAACCCTTAGTCTCCTCCTTTCAGCTAAGCATGCCGTGACCATTATAATGATATGTAGCAGAAGTCCAATGCCAAGTCTCTGCAGCAACGTGATCCCTCTGGGGTTCCTTGTGTAGCACCGGATCACAGGAACAAAAACACGGTCATAGATAACAATGCTTATCAGCATAAAAATAGAAGTAAATGCTGTAAGACATGCAGGGGGGATTTCAAAATGGGATCCCATTTTCCTGTCTAGCGTTGTGCCTTGTTTGACAAAGAGTGTGCCCGTTTGAACTATCAAGGTACTTGGAACAACCGTTGTAAGCAAAATAGGTATCATTTTTGTCATTTGCTTGCTTTCCTCAACTTGGGTCACAGTACACAGCATCCAAGATGATGTTTGGCCAGTCTTAATAGCTGCTTTGTCAAGGAAACTGCAGCCGAGAAGGGGGTGATTTATGCCAAATTTCAGTGACATGTAAATAAATATGAAGGGCTGAAAAGTAAATGGGCTTATAACCTCAATGAAGAGCTGTGGTCAATTCTGTTTCTTCCATTACTTGCATATTCTTCAACGCTTAGCTCATGTAGTTCTTTTGTATCGTCTGGGACAAGTAGCTTCCACTTCCTCCCAGCAGCCACATAGACCTGAAGCATCCTGGTGATTGGGCTGCCTGAGGGCAATTTGTGCCGATAAAATGGAGTTCCTACTAGAAAAACCAATACTGAAATAGCAAGCCCAAGGGTGGGAAGGCCATATCCAATTGTCCAACCTACATTGTCTTGTATGTAAATCAAGAAAGTGTTGGAAAAAAGGGTACCAAATAAAATACTAAAAAACCACCAATTGAAGAAGGAAAGTTTATAGGATCTCTCTTTAGGCTCAAACTCATCAAATTGGTCTGCTCCCATGGTGGAAATGTTGGGTTTTGTTCCTCCTGTGCCGACTGCAATGATATAAAGGGCCAAGAAGAAAACACCCCTTTGAAATGCCGATGCCCGTGGACAATTCTGGTCTTGAGCACATGGTGGAGGCCTCAGTGCTGGCAGGGAAACGGCTAGAGTCAATAAACACATTCCCTATGACCAAAGAAATTAAAACAGGGCAAGTCACATTAGTACTTACAAAACATAGTACCATACATAATCACCAATTTTGTCTGGATAATTGAATGGTTTATAGAAGACCACAATGTTTTTCCGAGATTGTTGTCAACTCCAACCCTTCTTTACCACCAAATAATATTCAAATGATAAAAAACAATATCTCATTACATACCAAAAGATAAATGCATGATGCAATGACAAAGGTCCTATATCGGCCAAGATAGGCATCGGCAATGTAAGCTCCTGCAAGCGGCATCATCCATACTGAACCCACCCAGTTGCTAACGTTGTTTGAAGATTTCACAGTGCCCTCATGGAGCTTTTTACTTAGATACAACACTAGGTTTGATGCTATCCCGTAGTAAGCCATCCTTTCAAACACTTCATACCCTATAAAATACAAACACGTGCATGTCCATATTCATATGAAATAATAATATTACTATACGTGAAAACAAAAAGATAGAAAAGAAAGGATTGGGTATATGTCAAGGACACCAAAGATTTCATTTACCAACTATGAAGGAACATGCTTTCCATCTTCCCGTCTTTGATCTCAAAACGGGTCTACCTTTTAGGTCCACTGTGCCATCTTGAGTGTAATCTTCGTTCCCGTTTGCTGGGCCTTTTTCTTCTACCACTGCCATGATGCTGGAAGAAAACAATTATCTTGGGCTCTTTTGTGGAGAATCATGCAAGCATTCTAGCTTCTCTCAGGTGCTTTTTATAAAGGTAGAGGCGGGTACAACACTGATTTTTGAAGCTTAGTTTTCCCAACCTCACGTAATACATACATTGTCCACTTGCACGAGCTAACTGAAAAAGAATCTTGGGACCGAAAAAGGAATCAGTTGTATTTTGTTTTTTACTGTTTGTCATTTATTTACATATTTTCTGTGTCTTTCTTAATTTCCTCGTGTGTTTGGTGTTTACCTTCGATTAATCGACCAAGCTGTTGTTAGATCCTAGAAGTTAACGTGAGATTGATATGTCACAAAAGTCATGAGCTAAAGGCTAAAAGGCAAAAAATTCTGTAGATTCAATTGACATTTCCTGAATATATTATTTTCATTTCTCTTTATAAGTATAAAATAATTTGTTTTTATTTATTTGTCTATTTAGAAGTTTAAGGTGATATTAATTGTTATTTTTCTATTAATATTATTTTGTTCATATTAAATATTTATACTATTTTAATAGTAAAATACCTCACTAATATGAGTAAATTAGAAATTTTTGTAGTTGATTCTAACAAAATAATTGAATTATTTGATGTGTATAATTTTTTTGCTCTTTATGAACAGATAGATACAAGAAAAATATAGTATATACTTTATTCCATTTTTAGTCGCTAGTCATCTGTAATGCTATGGTCCGCTTGTCTCTATCTCATGTTTCATTCTTGCTTTGATTTTCCTATTGTATAAATTTGACTTTGAAGCAGGAGCAAGAGGGTTGAAATTGCCGAAAGCATTTTCTTAATTCAAATACATCCATAGATATATATGGCACCAAGTTAATAGTTATTACTAGTAAATAAACATATCTATAAGGGTGCATGAGATGGGGACATAACTTGTTTACATACTGATCGAAAAACTGTACGATCATGTTTTAAGGCTGCTATCAATTCCTGCGCAAAAAAGAGACAAACTTGATTATGGAAATATAACGAACGACTATTTACTGCTTGTAAACTAAAAATGATTAATAATAGAAATGTTGAATTAAATGAGAATGCACCTTAGCTGAGACAGTACTAAAGCTGGACAGCCAAGTGGATGACTAAAACCAGCAAGCTATAGAAATTGATGATGAACCAATTGGAGACACAGAAACCTTTCAGTATGTCTATCAAAGATGTAACATTGCCGTCTTAGAAGTTAGGACCTACCAATTACTCAGAAGCAAATAAATTCCTTCATTGGAGAAAAGAAATACATAAGGATATATGGGATGATTAAAAAACATGAAGCATGAAAGACTGAGTAGTGTGCATATGGCTTGGGTGTGAAAAATTATAATTGATTATAGATGTAGTCAATTATATGACTTAAGTTTTATGTGTAAATATGCTAAGTAAAAAGGTTTAAAAATGACGTGTTTCATTTTTATTGTCTCAAATAATTGTTTTTTATAATTAAAATATATAAAAAATTGATATAATAATAATAATAATAATAATAATAATAATAATAATAATAATAATAATAATAATTGATTTTGTAATACTGGATATAAAATGAGAAAACAAAAATTAACTGAAAAATAACCTGTTAACTTTTAATTATAATGTCTAAAATTTTGTTTATCATAGGGAACTCGTATCCTTTGTTGATACTATAATTGAAATTATAAAATAAATTTGAATTGTAATAAGGACATAAAGTTTAACCCAATAACGTTGCATACTTGAGTTGCTTATCTTTTTTAGTGTTGTTCTTGACGAACATTGATGGGAGACACCTAATGGTTTCGATTTCAGGGTTCTGGCTTGGAATATGGCATTCATTTTGGCAGACAATGAAAACAAAGTCAATTATTTTCTGTATGTTTTGATCTCTTGCCAAGTTATGAATTGCCCCCCAAAGAAAAAGTCTCTCTCTCTCTCTCTCTTCTAAATTATCTATTTGACAGTGAGGTAGTAATGATTAAATTTCATTTAACTCATGGAAACCTTGAAATACATGTAATTTAGCATGGAACCCTGGGAGTTACTTAATATAACATTCCCTTTATTAGTATAATTATTTTGGTAATGGTTGGACCCACTCTATTGCCTGTGGCACTGGCAGAGGGGCCAACTAATGGGGGCGGGGCGTAAGGGAAAGAAAATTGCAATGCAGGGCATTTGTGCATATCCAACCTTGTTATGCTCGTTGCATGCCTCTGCCTCCTCCTATACTTATTTCTGTCTGTTAACACTTGGAAATTTATATTGATTTAATGTTTTCTTTTCCCTGTTTAATCCATGCATAAACGTTAACAACGTGCTTTTTAATACATCCTTTTAGTACTCTTAATTATAAATTAAAATTTATTAAAAATTATTTAAATGTGATAAATAAATATTAAATTGAAAAAATACATAATATTTATAATTTTTAATTAATTTCAATATAAAAAACTAAAATATTTTAGTATATTTGTTTAATGCTTATTCATATTTTCTTGAATGAATGATATGGTTTTTATTTAATGAAATGGTAAAGAGAGATTATAAAAAAACTTTAAACTAAATTATTAAAAGAGATATAATAATAAATAATAATTTATAAAATTAAGTTTTTGACCGTAATTCATGTAGCTGTGACTTAGGAGTAAAATCATGCATGGAAGAGAAGAATTCTACATGCAAAAGAAAAACCGTATGAAATTAATCTTGACAACCAAGGGTGTGATCCCTTTGTCGAAGTCTTTGGGTTATTCCAGTATTGTCTCGAGACGACGCCGAGTTAATCTCCAAGCTCGATTTGTTTTGTGTTACATCAACGTTATAGACAAAGAACTTGGCAACAAACAAGAAGCAAAGGAAGTTGACAAAGCTTAATGCGGCCATGAATCCATAATAATAATCTAAACGGGAAACGTTTAGATTGTCCAAAATCCAACCTTGGTGACCATGTCTCTTGGTGATATCAGCAACAGCTGAAAGAAGAAAACTGCTGAGAAAACTTGCAATACCCAAGCTGGTTGTGAAATATGATGTTCCAAGACTTTTCATGCCATTGGGGGCTTGATCATAGAATAACTCTGTCTTGGCAACTTCGACAAAGTTATCAGCAATCCCTGCCAAAGCAAACTGAGGCAGAAGAATGAAAATTGTAAGAGGAATTGCATCATCCGGACCAAAGAGATGGTTTTCTCTTACAACCTTGAGTCTCCTTCTTTCAGCTAAGCATGCAGTGACCATTACCATGATATGTAGCACAAGTCCAATGCCAAGTCTTTGCAACAATGTGATCCCTCTGGGGTTCTTTGTGTAGCACCTGATTGTAGGAACAAAAACACGGTCATAGATAACAAGGCTTATCAACATGAAGATAGTAATAAATGCTACAAGACATGCTGGGGGGATTTCAAAATGGGGTCCCATGTTCCTGTCTAGCGTGGTGCCTTGTTTGACAAAGAGTGTGGTCGCTTGAATTATCATGGTGCTTGGAACAATCGTTGTAAGCAAAATAGGGATCATTTTTGTCATTTGCTTGGTTTCCTCAACTTGGGTCACAGTACAAAGTATCCATGATGATGTTTGGTCAGTCATAATAGCAGCTTTGTCAAGGAAACTGCAAGCAGAGAAGGTGGAGATTTGTGCAAATGATTCAAGTCAAATTTGTGATATAAAGATGAAGGGGAGAAAAGTAAATGGACAACCTCAGTGAAGAGCTGTGAGCAATTCTGGTTCTTCTATTATTCGCATATTCTTCAATGCTCAGCTCATGTAGCTCTTTTGGATTATCTCGGACATGTAACTTCCACTTCCTCACAGCTGCCACGTATACCTGAAGCATCCTAGTTATTGGGCTCCCTGAGGGTAATTTGTGCCTATAAAATGGAGTTCCTACCAAAAACACCAATACTGAAACAGCAAGCGCAAGGGTGGGAACGCCATATCCAATACTCCAACCTACATTGTCTTGTATGTAAACCAAGAAAGTGTTGGCAAAAAGGATACCAAAGAAAATACCAAAAAACCACCAATTAAAGAAGGAAAGTTTATGGGATTTCTCTTTGGGCTCAAACTCATCAAATTGGTCTGCTCCCATGGTAGAAATGTTGGGTTTTGTTCCTCCTATGCCTATTGCAATGATATAAAGGGCCAAGAAGAAAACACCCCTTTGCAATGTCGATGCCTGTGAACAATTCTGGTCTTGAACACATGGTGGTGGCTTCAGTGCTGGCAGTGAAACAGCTAGAGTCAACAAACACATTCCCTATGATCAACGAAAACATGGGCAAGTCCTGTTAGTACTTAGAAAACCAATTAAGTCAAGCATGAATATAATTGAATGATTTATAAGAGACCACAATGTTTATCCAAGATTATTATCAACTCCAACTCTTCTTTACCGCTAAGTAATATTCAAATGATAAAAAATAAATTATCATTTCATACCAAAAGATAAATGCATGATGCAATAACAAAGGTCCTATATTGGCCAAGATAGGCATCAGCAATGTAAGCTCCTGCAAGTGATATCATCCACACTGAACCCACCCAGTTGCTAAGGTTGTTTGAAGATTGAACAGTGCCCTCATGGAGCTTATTCGTTAGATACAACACTAGGTTTGATACTATTCCGTAGTAAGCCATCCTTTCAAACACTGCATACCCTATAAAATACAAACACATTCATGTCCTATATAAATTCATTAGTGAAAATATTTACTACACGTGAAAATAATAAGGTAGAAAAGAGAGGATTGGGTATATGTCCACTAAAGATTTCGTTTACCAACTATGTAGGAACATGCTTTCCATCTTCCCGTCTTTGATCTCAAAACGGGTCTACCTTTTAGGTCCATTGTGCCATCTTGAGTGTAATCTACACTTGCTTGTCCTTTTTCTTCTAAAACTTCCATGATGTTGGAATAACACATCTATCTTGGGCTCTAATATGTGGATAATCATGCAAGCTTTTTAGCTTCTCTCACGAGCTTTTTATAATGTAGTGGCGCGTACACGACAGTGATTTTGAAGCTTAGTTTTCCCAACCTCATGTAATACATTTGTTCACTTGCATAAGCTGTATTTTGTTAGTACTTGTCATTTATTTACACATTTTCCGTGTCTGTCTTAATTTCCTGTGTGTTTGGTGTTGCTTACTTTTGATTTATCGACCTACCTATTACTAGATCTTAGAAGTTAACGTGAGATTAATGTGTCATCACAAAAGTCACGAGCTATAAGCTAAAAGAAAAAAAAATGTTGATTAAATTGGCTTTATCTGAATGTATTGTTTCTGTCCCTTTTTATTTGTTTAGAAAGAATTATCTGTCTATATTATTGTTATTCTTTTTTGTATGAAAAATTGTTGACTTTAATAGTAAGATTTTACTAACAAAATATTCATTATATTTTTATAATTTTAATATAATAAATAGCTTTTAATAAGAACTTGATATTTTTAAATATTTCAATTTATTTATATAAACATTCTTTTCTTGACACCCTTTGGTTTATATGAAACATTTATGGCCCGACTGTCTAAGTATGTGTAAATGAAAAATTGTCTATTTACACACGCTCCATAACATATCCTGTGAGACAAAAAAAAAAGTATTAATTTATCTAAAATAAAACTACAAAAATAATATAAATATCCAAAAATAAAACTTTATCATCTACAATAATCTTAGCTAGCTTAGACAAATTATTTTTAGTGATACTTATAATTTAAAAACCAAAATAGATATTTATACTATTTAAGTAATTTTTTTTGTTGATGTATTATTTAAGTAATTTAAGAGCTAAAAAAATTCAATAAAAAGTGAATTAAAAAATTTACAATTAATTTTTTAATATGTATAATTTATTCTGTCTATCAATAAATAAACATAAACGAAATCAAGTAGGATATACTTTATTCTCTTTTAGTCAGTAGTAGTCGCTTGCAATGCTATGACCCACTTGCCTCTATCTCATGCTTCATTCTTGCTTTGATATTCGTATTGTTAACTTGACTTTGAAGCTGGGAACAAGAAAATTGAAATTGCCGAAAGCATTTTCTGAATGCAAATACATCCACATATACATCAACTTGGCTGTGCTGCATTATTCTCATCTTTAATTCAACCTTTCAGTTGTTAATCATTTTTTTTTGTTCCCAAGCTTCTATTGCTATAGCCAACAAAATTTCCTTCTATTGCAATGCATTATTCTCATCTTTAATGCACGTATTGATAGCAGCCTTAAAACAGGATCGGTTCAGTATGTTTACGTAGAAATTTAAGATAATACTATTCCTACGGTGATACTTTTTTATTTAAATAAAAGATTTTTATTGTTTGAATAGTTTAAAAGTTAAAAAGAGACTCATTAAATAAATCTAAGAATTAATTATAATAAAATAATTAAAGTCACAACAAGAAAAAACATGATTAGTCACCAAATTTAGCGACTAAAATAAATTTGTAGCAAATAGTGACCAATGTAGCGACTGAAATTAATCCGTTTCTAATAACAACCGAAATAAACCCGTTACAAATAGCAATTGAATTAGCAACCAAATAAAAATTTGTAGCAAATAACTACTAATTTTAGTAACCGAATTAAATCAGTGACAAATAGCAACAGAATTTAACAACCAAATTAAATCAGTAATAATAACAAATGTGCATCTTTCTTCCGAGGGTGAATAGACTAAGGTAGTGAAGTCATCCTAGCTCAATGCTTTCCTATCTGGTCCTGGAGCCTTAAATAAAAAAAAAAGACCTTACGGAACGGAAAAATGGAATCCTCTGAGATAGGTTGAGAAAGCGCGTTAATATCCTGTTGAGAAGTCATCTTGCCACTAAGACTTTGATCTAAAAAAAAGAATATGAGGAATGATGGTCAGTAGTAAAGAGGTTCTGGTAATCTCGCACGATGTGGCCGCCAAGGATATTGGTGTGATTAAATATCCAATTTCCTACAGAGTCCTTAACTTAACTTAAGGGCTAAAATCCTATTACGCCTTCCGCGGGGTGGATAACTGAAATGAATAGTCTTGGACTCCCCTTTTAAAATCCAACTGATACGGGATTTAAGAAAGAAAAAGTCCTCTTCCCCCAGAGTTCAATGTGTTAGGCGGAATCGCATATGAGGCAAGGTTTTTCTCCCTTAACTTCTTTTTTTCCCACCAATCAGCCGGGACATAGTCAAGGAGGGGAACTGCAAGTAAAGTAAGCACATATGTCATTCTCTTCCTCTTATCTAGCTAACTAATTTTTTTTGTTTTGAAAGGCTTTCAGGTTGTGTTGTCCTCCAACCGAATTTAGCAACGAAAAAAGTCGTAGCAAACAGCTACCAATTTTAGCAACCGAATTAAATGAATTAAACAGCTACCAACGGAATTGAATCAGTTCCATCTATTCCTCAAAATTTGGAGGGCACGACTACTCTTACCAGCACACAGCCTCCTTTAAGAGTTCCTTCTATGACTTCATTGTTACTAATTCCTGGAACTACAGATTCAACTGATAAGAAGATATGGCTTGACCCAGGAGTCAAACATGAGTAAGTTAGTTTTGATATACACATATTATATCAAAATGTTTTTTTTATAACTATCTAATTATATGATATCATTATTTTTTTCCAATAGTTATCTACCTTCAGATGGTCCTTCAAAGGTTATTTCCAAAATAATCAAGTCCAAGTTTGATAGTCCATAACCTACTTGGACCAAAGTGCCACAAGAAGTGAGGAATATGTGGTTTGAAGAGTTTAAGGTAACATATTTTAAAGTCATTATGTTATGTAAATATTAAACCCATGTCTCTAACATACACCGAATTCTAAAATAATTGTCAGACATATATATTTATGGGTGATTATCTTAAATATTAGAGGGAGGGGAATAATTTTAACAAAATTACTGCTGTATGTTATTGTATATCTCTATTTGATTTATTTTTTTATTTGCAGAAAACATATAAATGGCTCTCTCAACATAATCTTATCATTAGATCTATTTTTGAGCATAAAAGCTATGTGATTTTAAAGAACATAATGTCTAAGTTACGAAAGGGTAAAGATAAGGGCTTTGGATCACTCCTGATGTCAGGAAGAGCTACACACTCATTGGGTAGGAGAAGAGTTTTAGAAGAAAAACACTATTACTAAACAAAATAGAGCTGGTGGAACATCTTTTTTTTTTTTTTTTAATTATTGCATCATGATAGAATGGTAATTATTTAAATTATCTTTTTTTAAAATAATTTTCTTCATTGGAACTTTACACTTGTATTATTATGCAGACTGAGCAACTTAAGCGAGTTTCCACATCATTTGATATAATGAAAAAGACAAAAAAGAATAAAGCTGGAGAATGGGTCAATGACAAAGCCAAAAACATTGCACTATATACTTGTCTAAATATTACTTTTTTAAAATTTTAGCCTCACTTTTATTATAAATTATGACTAATAACAGTATTAATTTTTTAGGATAAGTTTATTCGACGTCGAATTGAAGCCCATGCACATGATAATGATGACCATAGATGTTGACAATGCCATTTTTTTAGAAGTTGTTGGAGGAAAAAATAAGAAATGTCATGTGTATGGATTAGGACAACTGGGTGAAGAGTTTGTCACATCATTCTCTCCTTGTACTCAGTCTAATCCTAGTTCTAGCGTTAACTATCAGCAGATCATTGCCAACCTTAATGCATAATTAACAACAAAGGACACACGTATTAATATTATGCAGTCTGAATTACAGAGGACCAATTCAAAACTACAGAAAACTGAGATTATTCTCCAACAAGTTGTTAAACACTTGGAAATTTCTACTAGTACCCAAATAGATGATTTTCATGTTGATGCTGATGATGTTGATTCTCCTCATGATGGCGTTGATCCGCATTCATGATTTAATACTTTCTTTCTCTATTTGTTATGTCAATGATTGTACCTTTTTATAAAATGAGCTACACTTTTGTTATGGAGTGAAATATGTATTGTTATGGATTGTAAAACGCATTTTACTTCTTTAGATGTATTTTTTTACTATGTTTGTAAAATTTGACTATTACCAGGTTTTGTTATATATTATGTCTTATATGAGCTTGTTTTGTTATATAAATAGGTTTTGTTGAAAAAAAATAATTTTAAAAAAGTAAAATTATTCATCATAGTTAGCTACCAAATTTAGCTACCGAATTTAGCAACCTAATATTTGAAAAATTTTAGCCACTAAAATAGCAACCGAAAAAGGTAGATGCAAAATATCAACCAAATTAGCTACTACCAGAATACAACGAATTAGCAACCAAATTAGCATCCGAAATTTAGACTTATAATTAGCGACCGAATTAAGTGGTCACAGTTAGCAACCGAAATAGCTACCGCCTTGATAGTGACAATTACGGACAGAAATTAGTAACCAAAATTTAGCGTTGCAATTAGCGACCGAATTGAAAGGTTACAGTTAGCAACCGAAATAACTATCACCTTGATTGTGACAAATAGTGACCAAATTAGCAACCAATATGTGGGGTTGTAGTTAGCAACCGAAATAGCTACCACCTTGGTTGTGGCAAATAGCGACCGAATTTTTCGATAGCTAAATTCAAATTTCTGCAACTGAATACATTTTCAGTCGCTAAATATTTTTGCAACCAACATATTAGCTACCAATTTAAATCGGTGGCTATTTCGATTACAAAAAAATTAGCAACCGATTTTTATATTTTAGTCACCGATTTTTTGGTCGCTAAATACCTTTTTTCTTGTTGTGAGTTTTTATCTATATAATTTCTTTTCCTTTAAACAAATGAACATGAATGACGATAAAATTTAATTACCAGTGATAACCATTAACTGGTATCTTTGTTTGAGGCCATGTATATATGGATGTATTTGCATTAAAAAAAATGCTTTCGGCAATTTCAATTTTCTTGCTCCAGCTTCAAAGTTTTACAATACGAATATCAGAGCAAGAATGAAGCATGAGATAGAGACAAGTGGTAGACCGTAATTAAGATGTTTTAAAATCAATTGGTGTACAAAAAAGAGACAAACTTCACATCAGTGATCCTGAAAGGAAATTTTGTTGGCTATAGCAATTTAACCAAAGGCAAACAAAATTACATTTTAAAAACTAAAATAAATTTTTTTGAACATGCTTAAGAACATATGTTCAAAATATGAATTATATTTCATTATATGCTTTAAATTAATATTTAAAATCTGTATTATTTTTTTTATAATTTTGAGATGATAGATATTTTAGTTTGTAATAAAAAAATTATTTTTAAGTGTATAGACATCATCAAAGATGTAATGTTGCTGTCTTAATTAAAAGTTAGAACTTACCGATTACTCCGAAGCAAATAAATTCCTTCCTTGGAGAAAATAAATGCATAAGGAGCTGGAGATGATTAAAAATAAGTGTGTTTATTGGTTGTGAAAAATAAATTACTGCAGAATCAATTATAACTGTAATTAATTATACTAATTTTTTTACGAGATGTTTAAAAACATATAATAAGAATTTATATATGATAAATTTTTATAGAAATTATGAAATATTGCAAGATTCAATGCATTAATATCATTTAATACTATATTTATAATAAAAATTTACTATTTAATCATTTCTTTGTTATCTTGAGTGCATATTAAAAAATTGTTAATTATCTAACATAACTTTTATGTTTAAATAGATTAGACAAAAAGAAGTTTAAAAATAATATGTTTTATTTTAATTGTCTAAAAGAATTATTTTTAAAGCAAAAATATAAGGACAGGATATGAATTTTTTTTGTAGCAGTTAATTTTGTATTTAAATTAATTAAATTTTAGGAATAAAATGAAAAAATTAAAATTAACTGAAAAATGATTTGTTAACTTTTAATTATATTCCAGATTATTAAACACTTTTGGATAGAAATACGGACACTTTTTTTTGTATCAATCAAATTATAACCTCGAAAATTGAACTATTGAAATTATGCTTCAAGTTGATTAGAGTAAAATAAGTGTTGGAGACAAAGTTTAACTCTGACCCATCAATCAATATGCAAGCATTAAGCAAGATTAATGGTTAAGGGGTACACTTAGAAAGAGCAAGGAGTAGACTACTCCGAAACCATTACCCTAAAAGCAATGTGTGACACCGTTAAATTGCTTATTTCTCTGTTGCTCATAAATCTTGGCAAATTCGTCAATGTGGCGTGAAATCTCCATTTTTAAATGCCATCCTTGAAGACCTTGACGAACAACTCTATAGTGACTAGGGAGGTTGTATTGATCAATTAAAATGTCCCTCGAGAAATTAATTAATTTATTTATTGATCTATCTTTTTTTGTTTGGAGCTTAATTAAAGAAACATGAAACAACAGCTATTGCCTCTGCTGCGAACCAAGCAACATGATTAGAACGCTTTTATGATTCAAATGTGGTAGCCTTTTTGCAGTTGCAATGTCAAAGAATTCTTGTACTCATAGTGAAGTTATACATATTACAATAAAATTTCATATTATAGAAAAAGTTCAACAGTTCAGTGTTTTAAATTGCAGTGCACAACTCAATTGTCGCAATATTGCAGCTTTTGGTGTCATTGGTCACGTTTGTCTGAAACTTTGTAATCAGTAATCACAATGCAACACGGTTACAACCACAATTAATTTATAATCAGTTAGTAGATTTGGTAGCTAAAGCCTTGCGAAGGACAATTTGAACATAAGGCATACCATAGGCTGCATAATATACCTTGAATTTCGTTATTGTTCTGAACACATTTTGGAAGACTTGAATTAGTTGCACGTGCAATTATGAATTGACATTAGGAGTGTTGTCAATAGAAGTATTGTCTATGTAATTTTTTTTAATTGTATACGTTTTTCCAGTCACACGTTTCCTGATTGGCAAGTTGAAAATCACCTTAAGAAAATAACACAGAAGGAAAATTAATGGCAATCCATGTACATCTATGAATTTTGCTTTCACTTGATATGTATAGTGGTGCCTCTTAGCAGCCCGAGAAAATAAACATTTAATTGTATTGGAAATTAAATTCTAACAAGAATAGGCTTGATTATTGTTGTACTGTGAAATATATGAAATTATGAGTTATACATATATTTGTTCCTTTCATTCTTTATTTCATAACATCATCTAATATCATAACTATTTCACCAAAAAAAATCTAATATCATAACTTTTGCTAGCAACATAAATTAAATTTTAGGTACGGTGAAGATAGTTTTGACATAATAAGGGTTGAAAGCAGCTGAGAAGAAGCTGCGTTACATATTTACTTTTATGTTTGTCTCATTGTAACCAAGAAAAAAAATCAATGGAAAGCCATGAGAAGCAGATAAAAGGAGGCTTATAGAATAAACAAAGAAGCTATATTCCCTAGGACTGGGAATCTGGTTGTGGGGTTCTTTGGCTTATTCCAGTGTTGTTCTGAGAAGAAGCAGGTTTCATATCCAAGTGCATTTTGGTTTGTGTAACATCATCATTATAGACAAAGAACTTGGCAACAAGCACAAAGCAAAGGAAGTTGATAGCGCTCAAAATGGCCAAGAATGCATAATAATAATCCAAACGGGACACATTTAGATTATCCAAAATCCATGCTTTATGACCATGTCTCCGGGTGAGATGAGCAACTGTTGATAGAACAAAAGTACTAAGAAAATTTCCAATGCTCAAGGTGGTTGTGAAATACGATGTTCCTAGACTTTTCATAGCTGCTGGTGCTTGATCATAGAAGAACTCAATCTTAGCAACGTCAACAAAGGTATCAGCTATCCCTGTCAAAGCAAACTGAGGGAGAAGGATGAAAATAGTGAGAGGAATTGTATCAGGTTGGCCTAAGAGGTGGTTTTCTCTGGCAACACTTAGTCTTTTCCTCTCAACTAAGCATGCAGTGACCATTATAATGATGTGAATCACAAGGCCAATTCCAAGTCTTTGCAACAATGAGATCCCTCTTGGGTTCTTTGTGTAGTGCTTCATGATGGGAACAAAATGACGGTCATAGATTACAACACTTATGAGCATGAAGATGTTTACAAATGCTATAAGACAAGCTGGAGGGATTTGAAAATGGGGTCCCATTCTCCTGTCTAGTGTGGTGCCTTGTCTTATAAAGAGTGTGCTGGTTTGAGCTACTATGGTGCTTGGAATGCATGTAGTCATCAAAATAGGAATCATTTTCATCATTTGCTTGGTTTCCTCAACTTGGGTTACCGTACTAAGCATCCATGGTGATGTTTCTCTTGTCTTCACTGCGGCTTTGTCAAGGAAGCTGCAAGCATTTGTAAAGCTTATCTGATTGTTGTAGTTCCTAACACAACTATAAGACTTCTATTATTCATATATAAATTGATATAACACTTTTATTATCTTTCCTCATTGTATCAATCATTTTATTTATATTCACTTTTTTTCTCTTATATCACTTTGGTTCTATTTTTTTGTACTAAGTTTTATGTACTAGAACAATTTTTAAGAGATATTTACGTAAACGATCTATGCCAATATATATATAATTTACTAACAATTTAACATTAGAATAATATATATATTTTTCTGACAAAAGAAAACTAGTATATAAATATTGAGTTCGTATATATTATATTAATAAATAGTTTTATTAGTATAAAATATGAATGTGTATTATTAGTCCTCAAATCTTACATTATTTGTTAATATAAATCTCTTAAAAAAATCTATATTAATGGTTTAACTTTTGTAATGCAAAGACTATATAGACTAACGAAAAAGTTATTCTAACATTTAATAATTTTTTATATTAATAAATTATTTTTTATGGTACTTTTTTTATGACATGAAAAACCAATCCAATAAAACTAGAAAAAGAACATACATCAATTTGAATTTTTTTTTTTTTTAGTCTTGAATCAGTCAATTTGGTTTATTTATGCCCATTAACTCTAGGACCAAATTGCTAAAAATTAAGTGCTAAATTTGTTTTTATCATAATGTTAAGAACCAAGTAAATTGATTAATGGTGCTATTACTAACCTTAATGAAGAGCTATGATAAATTTTGTTTCTCCCCTTACTTGCATATTCTTCCGTGCTAAGCTCATGTAGCTCTTTAGGATCAACTGGGACATGTACCTTCCACTTCCTCACAGCAGCCACAAGGACCTGAACCATCCTTGTTAATGGGCTCCCAGACGGCAATCTATGCCTATAAAGTGGAGTTCCCAAAAGAAACACCAATATTGAAACGGCAAGCCCAATGGTTGGGATCCCATATCCAAGGGTAAAGCCCACCTTGTCTTGTATATAAACCAAGGCAGTTTGGGCAAAAATGGTACCAATTAAAATATAAACTACCCACCAATTATAAAAGGAAAGCTTCTGGGCCCTCTCTTTGGGCTCAAACTCATCAAACTGGTCTGCTCCCATAGTAGAAATGTTGGGCTTGGTTCCTCCTGTGCCTGCTGCAATGATGTACAAGGCAAAGAAGAAAATTCCCACTTGCAATGAGGATGCTCTTTGGCAATCTTTGTTTGCTATACCTGGATCACATGGTGGTGGTCTCAATGCTGCTACTGATACTGCTAGGGTCAACAAACACATTCCCTACAGCCATAGAATACAATCAAATGTTCTGTTCATAGCTGTAGCAACAGAAGACCAACATATATCACAACCACAATTACCTTGTTCACAAGCTTGTTATATATCAAGCGCACCCTTTCTTGATACTTGATTATAGGTCCGTTTAGTTTAAAGTTAAGTAGAAATTTTTTTGATAAATCTAATTTTGAACTGTTAAATATTTTTTAAAATGTGTCTACATTAATTAATCCAAATCATGTATTTTTATTGAAATATATGTCTTGCATTAAAAAAAAAACGAGAATTGATTCTCCAACCATAAACTTCTAGCTGGCTTGGCAAATCATGGTTTGGTCTAATCTGACGTTTTTGTTCCCCACTTAAACCATATTTTGAAATTCAAGAACAACTAAACTCAACCATGATTTTGTCAAATATGTTACTTTTTTTTATGAAACTTAATTTACAATTTCCCAAATTAAGATTTGGAAAGTATAATCTATAATCCAAACAAGTGCTAAATCAGCAGTTTCATACTAGAAGGTAAATGGCTGACGCTAATATGAAGGTCCAATATCGGCCTAGATAGGCATCAGCTATGTAAGCCCCAGCAGCTGGCATAATCCACACTGTACCCACCCAATTGGTAACGTGGTTTGAAGATTCCACTGTGCCTTCGTGGAGCTTCGTTGTTAGATACATCACTAAGTTTGATGATATCCCATAGAATGCCATTCTTTCAATCATTTCATACCCTATAAACACGTTCAAAAGTAACACTCAGTTCTTTGTAGTCTTGATATTTTTCTGCATTAAGATCTACTTTTTTATTTTATTTTTATTATGCATAGTTACTTATTATAGAAGGAATTGTATTTCCATGTGACATTTTTTTTTTAATTTAAAGGAGGAAATTCTGTAGAAACAACCTGTTAAACATGCTTTAAGACTACAATGTCTATAATCAAGTAAATTGTCAAATATTTACTTTTGTTACAAATATTTAAAAACCTGTTAAATATAAAAGCATATTGAATTATTGTCTTGTCAATAACTCACTGTGATGTTGCTACCCAAAAGAAAGGATGAGTAGGTAAGGTATGTTCACATACACTCAATTAAGGATATTAAAAATAATTTATTTTGATAATATTTTTATAAATTATTATTATTATTATTATTATATAGTATGAATTATATAAAAATTATATCTATTTTTTTTATTCTTTTTGTATATACGTATGCATTTAAAAAATGCTCTATAAAATTAAAGGAGATAACAAATTAGGAGTGAAAGGGCTCAAACTAAAGCGAGTTAATTTCAACATGGCATTAGGGCACCAAGAACCATTTACCAACTATGAAGGAACAAGCTCTCCATTTTCCAGTATTTGATCTTAAAACGGGTCTACCATTGAGGTCCATCGTGCCATCTTGAGTGTAATCTTCTCTTCCACTTGTGAGAGCTTTTTCTTCTACCACTGCCATGATGCTGCAAGATAATGTGAAGTTTGTAGCCTTTAATGAACGTTTTATATAGTTAGATGGGAGAATCATATTTTAGAATTTTGGCTTCCTTTACCTAAAGTCACAATTGTCCACTTGCACCAGCTTGCTAATAAAGAAATCTATTAACAAAAAATAGAGCCATGTTTTGTTTGGTCCTATATATCTCACTCTAATTTGAAATGGTCTCGTCAAATAGTGATCCTCTCTTATCACATGAATGCGTTTGAGATGGACGTGAAAAGAAAAAGAAAGAAGTAAGAGATGTAATAAGAAATGTGATAAAAAATAAATAAAAGAGAAAAAAAAAAGTGAGTGTAAATAAACTAATAATAATAACAAGATATGAAAAACTAAAAATAAAAGTTGATTCTATGGGGATGCATCCATGTACATGGCTTCAAAGGCTAAAAGCCAGTGTAGTCATTGTCAATTAAATAAAATAACACTAGGAGAGTATTAATTATGTCAAATGTTCAAACAAATGCTAAAAGCCAGTGTAGTTATTGTTAATTAAATAAATAACACTAAGAGAGGGTAAATTATGTCCAAGATTCATACATGATGTATCCAATTAATTAATTTTCAGCTTGTTATATATATATATATATATATATATATATATATATATATATATATGTGTGGTCAGGGTCAAGAATCATGAGTGCTTATGGTCATGATCAAGTTGAATTCGATTTAACTTGGCTTGAACTTAACTTGATGTAACTAACCAGACCAATATTTTTAACCCAGATTTAGCTTCATCATAAATATACTAATGATTTGATCAAAATCAATCTGATTTGGTATTCAGATAATTATTTTTAACTATAATGCAAGATTAAGTCATATAATTTTTAAAATTAGACTAATTTGTGTTTTATAATACGCATTTCGAAATAGTTATATTAACTCGAAAATATTATTGTATGATATATATGCATTAATTTAAATATTGAACATCGCGTGGACGAAAAGATCAATATAAAATATTTTATTCTGTTTGTCAAAGGGGGTGGTGGCGCAGTTGGCTAGCGCGTAGGTCTCATAGCTTCTGAGTGATCCTGAGGTCGAGAGTTCGAGCCTCTCTCACCCCATTTTTATTTTAGACAATATCTGAAAATTTATGCCATAAAATTTAGCAATTTAATTTCTACAGGAATAGGATCTGATTGTATACCCTTTCTATAATTTATCAAGTAATATAAAATATTTTTTAATAACTTGAAAGAATTAAGAAATATTAATTAACATATTGATGATATGAGATTTACTAATAATTTAAATTTTCTTCAAATATATTCTTAACATATTGGACCCATAAAATTTTTTTTCTATACGTTATTAATTACTTTATTTTATCTATTAGTATTTTTACATAAAAAATAATTAAAAAAATAGTGTAGGATTACCTAAATGCTTTTTTTTAATATATATTCAAAGTCACGTAATTAGTACTTATGCATAATACTTTTTATTAAAAATTACAAGATATTACATAATTTAATGTATGAATAACAATAAGTGTTATAAATATCAATAAAAATATACTATTTATTACTTTGTTATTGTCTATTCTTGGTAAATACTAAAAAATCGATACTTAAATTAGATTAGTTTTAATTTATCTACAAATAAAAATGTATCAAATATTTTGATATGCTGAACTTATTAAAACAACCTTTAAAATTCATATAGACTATTTAGCAAAAATATGTTTGTGAAAATAAAAAATAAAAAATTTATGACCGTTCTTATAGTATTATATTTATGAATAAATTAACTAATTGTTTTATTTTGATTATATTAACTAATTGTTTTATTTTGATTATATTAACTAATATATTCTTAAATTGTTTATATGCAAAAATTTATGAAATGTCTATTTAAATACCATTGAATCTTACAAATTATTATGATATTTAAAAAAAAAAGTCTATTCAAAGAAATGCTTATCAAAGTTATTTATTTATTATTTAAGCATAATTCGAATAACTCATGATAAAAAATAAATAAAAGAAATGAATATACACAAAATAAAATTAATATCATTTTAAATAAGATTTTATATTGAGCATAAATTATCTAAATTTGAAATTTAAAAATAAATAAAAATTATAAATATATCTCATTTATATTTTTAATATCATTTAATTAAAATTTAAATAACATATTATTATTTTGAATTTAATAAGAAAAAAAATTGATGCAACAAGAAGTAGGAGTTTTCATTGGGAGAGAAAGATACTTATTTTGCGTGTCGTGGAGCCAAACGATCAACTCTGCGTCTTTACACAGAAAACAACGAAATTGCATGTTCCAATTCCATTACAGCCTGTCATCACATTCTAACGGTCATTTCTCGCTTTTTGTCCCTTTTACATAAATAAAACAAATCATTTTTTTACTACAAATTCGAAGAAACCCCTTTTTACTTGGTCAAGATTTTCACTGTCACTACCACACTCCCCTCTGTGTTTCTGTGGCATTCCATTTGATCCCAATGCCATGAAGAAAAAACCCTTTGCCAAAGCCTAGCAGTGCTTTAATTCAAAGAAAAAAGAAAGGTTTCTGTCATAATGGGTTGTTTTCTTCATTGTTTTGGTCCCTCCGAGCGCAGACAGCAGGGGCGCAGGACACACCATCCCCACGTAACACCCTTCACCTTCTCTTCCCCAAGTTTGCATCTTCTTTTGAAATCCCCTCACCCTTTCGTTTGCTTTAGAAACTGCATGCAAAAACAATCAATTTTCGCATTTGCTAGTACTTTTTTTTTATTGTTTTACAGTGTTTGTTTGTTAAAATCTTTATGGTGTTGCAGCGAAATGCTTGTGGCAAGCCAGAACAACCCAGAGTCTTTTCTGTTCAGGATTACTCCAAAACCGTACTTAGCACTGCATCTCAAGTCCAGTAAGCAACTGGGTTTCTGATCTTCTATTTTTGTTCAACAAATCATGTTTCTGTTTTATTTTTCTTGGCATTGAAGTTTTTGATTTAGATAAATGGGTTTGGGATGTAGGGCCAAATCTGAGGAGAAGCTAAACGTCAGCACCAGAAAGAAAGTAACTTTTGATTCCAATGTGACAACGTACGAGCCTGTTTTGTCGGATGAAGTAGATGGTTTCCAACAAGAAAAGAGTGAAGAGGGTGGAAAGGACGAACCTTTGGTGAAAAAATCAAGCCCATCGAAGTCTCACAGTGAAGAAAGTTCGGTGACTTCAATGGGATCTTATCCAACAAGCCACAGGTACCACAACTGCCAAGATAGTGATGGTGAGGATGGAGAAATGGATTATTGGGATAGTGATCTTACAGATGAGGATGATGGTGATAGTGACATGGGAGAAGAATATGATGAAGTGGGAGAGGATTTTGAAGATGAAATAGTATGCTCAAGGTCAAGAAATGATGCTAATCAAGGGGTTGTTGAGGTGGAGAACTCAATGCCAATGTGTGATAAGGATGCGAAGTCAATTGGGTTAAACCCCAATGCTAGAGATAGGAGTGTGTATGTTCATCCTGTGCTGAACCCAGTAGAGAACCTCACTCAATGGAAAACAGTAAAGGCTAAAAGGGCACCATCATTGATGTCTCACAAGGGGAATTTCAGTTTGGATCAAGAGTCTCAAGCTGTGTTTGGTGCACAATCACCAAAGAAGTTGAACTGGGAAATCTCTGTTGATGCTAGTCTTTCAAATTGGTTGGTTTCATCAGAAGCTACACCTGTTAACAAGGCTAGTTTAGTGGCTTTGCATACCCCAGAGAGGAGCAGCTCACAAGGGTCAAATTCTGTGATAAGCCATGAAGATAGGCCAATTTTAGGGGCATTGACGGTTGAAGAGCTCAAACAGTTCTCAGCTTCTTCTTATTCACCAAGAAAATCACCAAGTCTTACCATGGATGAGAAGCCTATTATAGGCAGCGTTGGGACCTGTCGGAAATTTGGGGGCCATGCTGAGGATTCTGGCTCAGCAACTTCCTTCAAAGGAGTGACAAATCGAGCAAGTTCAAGAGGGGTACACTTGAAGTGAAATTTGAGGGAATTAAGCATTGGTTGAGTGTCAATTTTGATTAAGAAGAATGAGTGAAATTGGCACTTAAACCCATTTTAGACAATGTTAGATGAAGAGAGAGATCTGAATGGAAGTGCTTATTACATGTTAGACAATCTTCCAATATTTGATTTTGGAGAGTGTTTGTGTTCTGAGTGCATTTTTTTATTCTTTTGTGAATTTGTTTGTTCGAGTTTTTATTATATGCGGTTGGAATAATAAAAATACCATTTATTTTTATCCATACATTGTCTTTGCGTTTTCTTCAATACTTATGAGTGATGAAATTATGGGGAAGTCTTGACAATAACTTACGGTAACAACGAAGGAAAATTTCAATTTGACTTACGGCGAAGATAACTTTAACCTCAAATTAGTGTTTTTGAAGTATCTATTCTCCAAAACATAATATAAAGGTCAATTTTAATATTCTCTTTTCTTTTTTGTAAAAAGTAAAAATAATATTTTTTTAATAAGTAAAGTGAAATTAACTTTAAATTATCGATATTTGTAGATAAAAAATAAATGATTAAGATTAATTAGTAAAAAGATTAAAAATTAAGAGTAGTAGATGATTATATTGGGTAATAATATATTAACAAAAAATAAATAAGTAAATTGTTATTTTTAATTAGTCTCTCTTCTCTTTATTTATACACAACTCCTCTCTCTATTTTCATCTCTCCTTTCTTCTCAACCTCCTTCATTTCTAGTTTTTTTTTTATCAAAACTTTGAAATTAGTTGGATAAAATTAATTAAGGTTTGATATTGATATAGATTTTTTTTTAAAAAAAATTCTAAAATAAAATGAAATCTCACTCAAAAATGAGTTTTCATAATTATCCTTATCTCCTTCATTAGATATTTCTTTATCTTCTTTATTTATCATACTCCCAACAATGATTTTGTTCAATTCATTTATTTATTTTGCAATTTGGTTACAAAAACTTTGTTTTTTTTTTAAAGAAGAAGAAAGTTATTGTTGCTAATGCCAAAATTGAAACTCAACATGTGGTTTTTCTTCATTTTTCTCCATGGCCTTTTTCATAATTTTTTCTGAATCATATGCATTGCCTATCAATCAAAACTGTGTTTTAATATTATAACAAAAAACATGCTGAGATATGGCTAGAAAAACCTCACCGGAAAGTGAAAGACCTCCAACAAAGCTAAAAAAAAATTTTTGAATATTATTATTTTTAACGTCATAAACTTTGAAGGTGCATATATAAAGGAATTTTGTAATTTTTAACACAGAAAATTATAGATAAGTTTTGACTGTCTGCTTCTAATAGTACTGAAAGCTATTGTTACAATATATTAATAAACATAACAGTAATTTGGTATCCATAGAATAGCTCTTGCAGCTAATCAATAAACAATGTACAAAAGACATTCCATATATGAATATTAAATTGAATTAGATAGAAAGTGAAAGAAAATGTCTTTTTATTAGTTTAAATTTATAATTTTTCTGTGTCAAAAATTCTATCATTTATGAATATTTGATGGTGTTAATGATATGTGAATAAAAAAGAAAGATGAAGAAGGAGAAATACAAACAAAATTTTAAAATTCTTAAATTTTTTAAATTTTTTAGTGTTATATTTTTCTAGATAAAGGTTCTATCATTTGAGAATCTTTTATGTGATAAGAATAAAAGAGAGAGAAAAGGAAAAAAATAAATAAAAAGAAGAAGAGAACGATAAAGACAAAAAAAAAAGAGAATAAGAATAACAACAAGATCAAAAAATTAGAAACTAATATTCAAAAGAAATAATTGCATAATTACATTATTAATTTTAAAATCTATATATTTTATAGTAACTGTATTAAGTATTATCCAAAAAATAAATTATGTATTACTCATAAAGAATATGAGCTTTTGACTTATAATTATTACTGATTGAGAAGGAAAAAAAATGAAATTATTTATGTATCTTTTTATAAATCTAATTTAAATTACTAAATTTTTAAAATATATTTTTAACCATTTAATTAAAATTAACTATCCACAATATTTAATAACTTTTTTTAAAAGTTATTTATCTTATTTTTATTTTTTTTTAGAAAAGAAAGGAAGATATTAGAATTAACCTAATATAAAGGCATTGAAATATTCTGAGTATCTTCTAAAAACTAATTGGGCTATAACAACTCAGGCTTAGTAAAGAAGAATCTACTTAATAGGCTAATTCATATGCTTTTAAAATTTGCTTCACAATTTTCAAACTCGTAGGCACTCACCGAAGATTCTCTTCATTCTATTTTAAGTTTTTAACAACACAGCTCGACATTTTAATAAGAAATCAAAGTTAACTAAGCGACTCCGCAGGTGTATAACAATTTCTCTCGTTACTAGAAATTCTTAAAGAAAGATAACTTGTTTACCGTTACATTCCACTTGTGTTGGTATATTATTTATTTAAAGTTTAAATATATTTTTAGTTGTTATAAAAGTATCAAATTTGATTTCACTAGTTAATTAAATTTTATTTATTTTTATATTATATTAATAAAAATATGATTTTTAAAAAAAATTTAATGACATTATGTGATTTCAATTTCACTTAATAAAATAAAATTTAATTATCTTATTTAATCAAAATGTGTTTTGATTTCAAGTGAGGGACTAAAAGCACATTTTTTATATTTTTTTTAAGAACTAAAAATAAATAAATGTCAGCATTTCCCTCTTTGAGATCAAGAATTTTTTTAAGCCAGGCTTTGTGATATATATATATACAACAATTGCATTTATGAGAAACTTACACTGACAATGTGTGCTTGTGACTTGCAAGAACCATTATATCTACAAACATTGAAACTAAAGAGAAATTGCTATCTCAATCTGAGAGTCTAGTTGGGAGTGAGCTAGGGACAGAGAGTGAGCAACATTTGGGACACATGATGCATGGTGGGTCGATACAAAGGATCTTTGTCAATACATTTTAGGATCAGGGTTGCAACCAGCATTAAGAGTTGGACTTCAGGACCTTCAGGAGGAGCTAGTCTCTTATCTAAGAAATCTATAAACTGTTGTAGATCAAATTCTCCAGACTCTAAGCACAATAGGAGCTCATAAGGGTACCTCCCTACCATAATTTCCAATGCAACAATTCCAAAACTGTAAACGTCACATTTTTCTGTCAGCTTCCTTGCAAATGCTAGCTCTGCATAACATTAAACATAAAAATGAAAAATTATTAAGAAAATACAAGTATATAAATCTTTAACAGCTTGTGATCATGTATCACTTAAGGCCTTGTTGTTGCAAGTCATAAAATTTTTGCTAAGTCAAATTAATTAAAGGAAGTTATGGTCTAAGTTTTGAACAAACCTGGTGCCATATAGCCATATGATCCAGCTGGTGCTGTCCAATTTGATTCTCCTTTGTTAAGCAACCTTGCTGTACCAAAGTCTGAGATCTTAGGTTCATATTCTGTGTCCAACAGAACATTGTTTCCTGAAATGTCTCTGTGAACAACGCTGGGTATGCAATCATGGTGCAGATAAGACAATGCATTTGCCAACCCTTTTATCATGTTTAGCCTCATGTCCCAGGTCAAGAACTTTGCCTCTTGTTCCTTCTGCAGCACCTTTTCCAAAGAGCCTCTTTCCACATACTCATATATGAAAAACATGGACCCATAACAGTAACTAAATCCACACATTGTTACAATATTTCGATGGCGAACATTAGTCATTGCATGAATTTCAGATGTGAAGTTCTTTGTTAGGTGTCCAGAGAAGTCCATTTCCTCATGTTGGTGAAGACGTTTCACTGCCAAAGTTTCACCTGTTGGAAGCACTGCCTTGTATACACTACCTTGTCCTCCTATCCCTATGCAATACTTATCACTGAAATTCTCAGTTGCAATGCATATGTCCTTGAACTCTATCATATTCCTATAATTCCATATGAATAATGTGGTCTTTCCATTTGAAATCTTTTCCTTTTCATCTTGATCAACTCTATGATATTGCCAGAAAAAGAAGACTCGAAGGGAAACCAATAGAATGATTAAAGCAGCAAGTGGAATGACTACAGCAATTACCAGCTTATGTTTATTAACTTCGTTGGTTTTTTCTCCACCACATGGACTCAGATTTGCATTGCCACCAGGATCAGCACACAGACCGGCATTACCAATCAGTGCTTCTGCTGGAGCATTATGAAATGCTTTTAGTTCTGGGAGGGGACCTTCAAGTTTGTTGTAGGATATATCAACTGACTGAAGGCTGATAAGTCCATTGAGACCAGAAGGTATTGTCGCAGAAAGCTGATTATGAGAAAGATTCAAAACCTCCAAGGATATCAAATTTTCCAACTGTGTGATTATCTGTCCAGTCAGTGAGTTGTGACTGAGATCTAACAGTGGCTGCAAGTTCACCAAATTCCCAAGCTCATATGGCATATGTCCATCCAAGTTGTTCATACTTAGTTTCAAGAATATAAGTTTCTGGCAGTTTCCTAGTTTCCTGGGAATTGGCCCACTTATATTGTTTGATGATAAATCCAGATACTGCATCTGTGAGAGTTCCCCTATCCCTTCTGGTATCTGACCTGAGAGATCATTGTTGCTCAAATTTAGTTTGAGTAGAATGGAAGATGAGCTGAAAAGCTCCACTGGGATATTTCCTGTGAGACTGTTATCTGATAGGTCAAGATTTTGTAACCTTGGCAATTTTCCTATCTCAGGAGGAATATTCCCTTGTAGCTTATTGGCAGCTATGCTTAAACTGGTGAGAGTTTTGCACTCTCCCCAGTTACTAGATAATGAACCATAGAGCTGATTATGTCCTAAATCAATGAAGTCCAAATCTGGGTAGATGCCAAATGCATTGGCAATGTCTCCAGTGAGATGATTGTTTCCAAGCAGGACTCTGATTAGTCCGCTGCAATTTCTAAGACTTTCTGGGATTGGACCAATTAGATAATTCATACTGGCTGCCAAGTAGACAAGGTTCCCTCCATTGCAAATTCCTGAGGGGAGCCTTCCAAAAAAGCTATTGTTGGCAAAGCTCACATTCATTAAAAAGGTAGGTCCAAAATCTTCAGGAATAGTTCCTGAAAAATTGTTGGAATGAAGGTAAAGGAGACTGATATTTTTCAAGCGAATTATTGATGAAGGCAAAGGTCCTTCAAATTTGTTTTCACTCAAGTCCAGCACTTGTAAGCTTTCCAAATCACCTATTTCAGGAGGAAAGCCCCCTGTTAGTTGGTTTGAAGCTAGAGTTAAATTGAGGATATTGTGTAACTTTCCTATAGTTGGGGGTATCGAACCATTAAAAGAGTTATAGGACAGATCAAGATATTGTAAGTTTGATAAGTTTCCAATTTCTGGAGGTATCTGGCCAGAAAACTGGTTGGAGAAAAGGAGCAAAGTAGTTATATTGTGAAGTGAACCAATCTCAGGTGGAAGAATTCCTGATAGGTCATTCAACTGGAGTTGCAAAGAATTGAGTTCTGACCAACTGGACAGAAGAGATGGATGAAGTTCTCCAGATAAAAGGTTAAAAGAGATTGCCAACTCTTGGATCCTTGTTAATGAAGCCATGGAAAGAGGCACAGAACCTGTCAGGCTATTTCCTGACATATCAACATAAGTAAGGTTGGTGCAGAAGCCTATCTCAGCTGGGATGCTGGAATTAAGCCCTGACATGTGAATATCTAATCTCTGAAGCATAAGGAGATTTCCAATTGATGATGGTATTGGACCCTGAAAAGAATTTTGATTCAATTCAAGCACCTCAAGGTATGACAAGAGACCTATCTCCTCTGGTATTGTACCATTAAGCTTGTTTTGTCCAAGCTGTAGTTTTTTGAGGTTTGATAGGCTCTTAATTTCTTCTGGAATTAGCCCTTCTAAATTGTTGTTTGTCATGCATAGGATTGTAAGATTCCTAAGATTAACCAGTAAATGTATTGGAATCTTCCCAGAGATACTATTGAGTGATACATCAAGAGACACCAGCTTTGGACATTTAGAAACAAATGGAGGAACCTCAGTGAGGAAGTTATAGGTGAGATTAAGTTCAATTATGGATGCCATGCCCTTAAATTGAACAGGGTCAGGATTCTCCAAATAATTAGCCCCTAGATCTAGAAGCCATAAATTCTGCAAATTGCTAAGTTGAGTTGGTATTTGTTTTAAGAGTGAATTGTTAGAGAGTACAAGAACTTGCAGCTCTAGAAGGTTTCCCATTTCTGGGGGGATTGGATAGGTGATATTGTTGCTACTCAAATCAAGTATTTTCATCTTTGTTACATTTCCAATTCCTGCTGGTATCTCTCCAACCAGGTTATTCATACTTACATTGAAGTTACTGAGATTAGGAAAGGCTGAGAAGTCAAACCTGTCAAGCGTTCCATCTAGGCCAACATTAGAAAGCTTTATCTCAACAACACTGCCGGTTTTGTCACATGTAATGCCATTCCATTTGCATGGACTAGTGCTTTTGTTCCATGAACGTGGCAAGGGAGAGTGCAAGCTCTTCATCCAGGTTATCAGAGATTCTGCTTCTTTCTGTGCTGAAATCTCTACAAGTGTACAAGACAAAACCAGAGAGAAAATTATCAGCTGACAAGTTTCCTTCATTTTGGTAAGTCCTGAAGTTCAACAAAAAGAATACTTGTTCAAATTGAAATTTGGACAAGGATCTAATAATACATTATTTATATTGAAGTTTTGGTAATTGCTACGTTGTCTGATGATGTTTCTTTTTGTTTGCTTTTACAGCGGCTTAATTTCTGAGGTGAATATTATAAAACAAATGTTTATTGCAGAATTATTAAATACGGCATCTTCTGCTTATCTTTGTCACGTTAGGGTGTTGAGATTTTGTATGGATTATAGATAGAGTTTATAAAGATTATTTTTTATTTTATAAGTTAGTTTTTTAGGTGAAGATCGTCATAAACACAAATTTAAACTCTAAATACGGTTAAAATAAAGTATAGAAGTTAAAGCAATCTCATCTTTTTTGGAATTAAGTTAATTAAACCCAAATTTAACATGCTATTTTATATCATTTAGTTGTCCCATATCATGTTTTTGTTTAGTGTTGTGCCGAACATTTCCATTGACGTTGAACCGGGAATAAGTCAAGACATTACAAACAATTATTATATGAATGGTTTTTAGAGTTTTTTAAATGATGGATATGGTCGTGCATGTTTAGTTCCTTTCTGGGGAGGCGACAACCTATGATGCAGAAAGTTTGAATATATATATATATTGACAGTTATGCAATGTATTTGTATTTAACACCACCACCACCAGATCGTCTTCTTTCAAAATTTTGACTGCTAAATAAGAACGAAGTGGTTTGGACCATAGAACTTTACATGAGAAAGTGAAGTTGAAGTTGCATCATATAATTTTCAGTTGAACCTCTTTGGCCGGCATAAAACTAAAGTGATTAAGGAAATGTCAGAATAGTTTTTATTTTTAACGAAAAGATGTTAATGTATTTTTATCTTGATTCTTATTTTTATGTATTTGTCAAAAAATGAAACAGACAAAATTTACTTTGACTGTATAATTTTTTAAAATAAGAAAGTTAAAAATTTTATAATTAATATATTCTAAAAAAACCCTTAATTCAACTAATTGTGCCTTTTAATTTTCATCCAATTTAACAATTAGTTTAATATAACTAATACATGTTATGGACATGCTATTTTGCTAAAAATAACATTTTTAAATGATAAAAATATATACCTCTTTTTTATATTTTTGGGATATTATTTGTGCTGCAATCTGCAGTTAGTGACCATGTTAAACTTTCTTAAAGGGTCAATCAAGAAGGCTGCCACTGGAATTCCAAGTTGACACAAGGAATACATTCAAAGTCAGAAAATAGGGAAAAAGAAAACTTTCTTGTTTTGTGTAAGAAGAATCAAAACACAAACTTAACCTTATTATTATACATGCACGATGAATGGCTACACATTTAGTATTGTGTAAAAGGAATCAAAACTCAAACTTAACCTTAGTACTGAGAGGGGAAGCATCAGTAATTGAATTATTGCAGAAGAAGAGAAAGAGGATATACCAGCACTCTATAAATTATATTTAATTTGCTTTCAAAAATTAGTTTAAAGAAAGGATTACCTAAACTTTAATGATAGAGTATTTTTCATTTTAACAATTAACATTAAATTTACTAAATATAAATTATAATTTTTATGATTTAGCATAATTATTAACGATTTTGAAATATATGTATACTTAATGAATAATTAAAACATAATATATGAAATCAACTTTTTTCTCTAAAATTGTTACATAATCAACTTTTATATTAGTTTTTGGTAGTTTTTTTTTTCTTTTTCATCTTCATCTTTTTATATTCAAAACTTTATGTTCTTGTCATTAACACCAAATACTCATTCTCAAATCTCAAATCATAGACAAATCAATTTTTTAAATATTCATTTTATATCTTCAGCAGCAGTATATCTGCCATAGCAGAAACATGAAGCACCCTATGATTTGCAGTTAGAGTGGGAGAACCATCGTATTTCATCACTCTATGCTTGTTTTGAGGCCATTAGCCCTAGAAAACACGAACCCTGCAATGTCTTCTTTAGGATTGCTGGGGGAATGACTCTTGAAAGATGCTTGCGTGAATTACCAGAACATATTAATAGCTACAATTTGAGATGAGTACGAAACGTGTTTGTTCTACACGAATCATTTCAAAGAGTAATGCATTAATATTGTTGATGGCAAAAAGTTGATTTTAGAGGAAATCTGAGAGTCAATGTGGAAATACATAAGTTGATTTTAAATTTATCATATTGGAGGTAGGTGCTTAGTGTTGTTGATGGCAAGAATATGAAGTTTTAAAAATAAGAAGATGAAAGAGAGAAAGAAGAGGGAGAGGTGTTGGAAATAACGTCGGAGATATAAGAAAAAAAAAAAAGATGTACAGTGCCAGTACATGTGTCACAAAATGACAAATTTTTTTAACGGGGTTAGAATTTTTAACAGAGAATGGCCTATTTGAAACTTTTGTAAAAGTTAAAAGATTAAAATGAACAAAAAAAAAAGAAGAGAAAATTAAATTTTATTTTAAAGTTAAAGGACAAAAAGAGTAATTTTGTCTAAATTAAATGTTTATTTATTATAAAATAAAATACTTTTGCATAGTTTTATAAAGTGATATTTGTTATCTCATTGTAAGAGAGAAGCAATGATTGTGGGATATTCTATAAACATTGTGGAGCCCATGACAGGTTTGTCCATAATTGGTGCTTAATGCTTATAATTAGGGACATTACAAAATTTTGTTAGACAATGTTGACCATTTTTCTTGTCACGTTATCTTTTGGTGTGATTGGGCTGTGGATTTCTAAGAATTGTTGAGTTTTGACTGATACTGTCTCAACTTGAAATGTGAATTGTGAATTGTAAATTATAAATTATAAATTGTAAATTGTAAATTGTACTAATCTAAATATGATAAAAAAATTAATTATGGTCAAATTCTCATCTTAATAATAATTTTGGCCCACATTCATTAACATGATTTGAATAAACTCCACTCAAATAAAAAATTAATCATGCCATACCCTTCGTTAGTGGGACATTTGGCATACTGGATTATGGACACCCTTTTGTGTGTGTGTGTGTTTTAGTATAGATAATTATTATTTTTTCTATTGATAATAAGGGCATCCAATCCAAAAAAATTTAGTTTTGAAAGTAATCTATAAATTCATTATTATTAATGCAAAATTAATAAGCAATAATGTGATGATACACACACGTATTCTATAGATTTTTTCTATTATTATTACATGATATAACTTATTTATATATTGTTAATTGATTAATTGCTCAATAAAATTATAGGATAAATTCAATTTAATAATTTTGGAGAATTAATCATATTTTTAATTAGTTACTCAATTAGTAAATTTATTAAGATTCCACTCTTTTCTTAATTATTATCTTGGATAATTATTAGAATAATGCTTTAAGAAAAATTATTAGCATTACATTATCATTGGATGCTATAAATTTTAAATAAATAATTGACACTTAAACGAAAATAATAGGTTATAAAAAAATTGAATTACATGCACGTTAATAATCATATAAGTAAAATCAAACACACTAAAGTTTTCATAATTTAAATATTATTTAATATTGTTTGTGGGTTTAGAATTTTTTTTATCCTTTTTTCTCCCCATCTTTATTTCTTTCTTGACTTATTTTAATCAATCACGCAATCAAACGAATTAGGGCCGTAAATTACATTAAGGCAATAAGATTGTTTTAGATACATTGACTTTTATATATAATTTGTGGATATTAATTCTTGAATATTAATATTTTTAAATAATAATAATAATAATTTTAAATATGTTTATCATGATTGTGTTCGGAATAAGAATATTAAACAGTTAATCTACTTAAGAAAAATAAAATATACAATTAATTAATTATTTGGCTATAGAGAGTTTAGCACTACGAAGTGTCTGATGATGAATCAAATCGTCCTAGATTGATACAACATATTTTCAGAATTCCACGGGCAAATTATTATTCGTTTGATTTTTAACATAAGTTGGAAAGGTATATGATTATTTTGCTATATTTATATTAAAAAAACCAATAATTCAATAGTTGTAATACAGTGATTTTATTTTATTTTATTACAACAGCCATCAAAAAATTTCTGAAACAGCAGTACAGAGATTTGAATATTGTGACTTAAATGGAATGTTAAACAATTGTTAAATGCAAACAATAATAGACTAGATATATTAAAAATTATAATACAAGTCTTATTAAACAGTACAGGTTAAGGATTTAATTATAATTTTTATTGAAAGTTGTGCTAAAATATATTAAAAATTATACACAAGTATATTAATATTGTTTTTATTAAAAAAATATTAACATTAATTTTAGAACTAGTTTTAAGAATTTAAATATAACAAGTTATTATGGAAAATAAATTATTTATTATATTTTTATTTTAATATTATAAATTTTTAATAAAAATTATCAATAATTTTTTAAAAAGTAATTCTAAAGAGTTGAAATTAATAATTTTGTATTTCTCTAAAAATTTTAAATAATTAAATAAATATAATTTTGAAATTAAAAAAATATTTTGTAATTATTTTAAATTTAATAAATTATATAGATGTAAAGAGTGGATATTACAATTTATAATTGTTAATGATAAATAAATTTATACACCAAAAAAATTTTTATTTTAAAAAACAGATTAAAAATTAGAATTAATACTAAAAAAATAATAAATACTTGATGTAAAAAATTACTTCACATGATGAAAAAGAACAAATCTTTCAAATTATTCCTATTAAAAAATATACAATAGGAAGGACATGATGCCTTCACATGGGGATAGATAATATGCAGCCATTTTATTGTCTTTGATCTGTGTTTTAATTTAAAATTAGTATGAGTTTGATAAGGCTTCTCAAGATTTAGTTATTTGTCATAAAAGCAGTATATTTTGTAAATTTTTGTGGTCCATAACAGAAAGAAAATGGTAAATTTGTTTGCTTATAAGCTACTCAGATTCAAGAAACAAGACTCCAAATTTTTAAATTGGTCTATATATTCCAGTCTCCTTATATTTTCAATAAAGTTTTTTTTTTCTAAAAGCTTTCAACACTTTAATCTTTGGATACAATCTTAAAATATTTTACCTTTTAGTATATTGTCATAACTGATATGTGCTTCAAAGATGTTGAAGTTGGAGACCTTTCACATTGCTTATTGTGCAAAATTCTTCACCTAATTTAAATTGAATATAATCAATGAAAAACTTAATATTTTATGGTTTCCAAAAATACTAGATAGGTTGTTATTTGATAGAAGATGAAATTGAAGACTGTGGCTCCTAGGATCTAATTTTTCAACAAAATTTTCAACGAATTTGAATGAAAATTTATTAAGGGTACAAGAAAAAATATCATTTAATAACTTATTTCACTTGATAGTTATTTATAAATATTAAATTTATTAATCTAACTCAATTGTTATCATGATAATATATATTAAAATTAAAATAAAATAAATATTTATAAATAAATAACTTTAAAATTAATATTTATTTATATTTTTGAAAATATCTATATATATATATATATACAAGGAAATAAATTTAGAGAATGTGTGTACAGTGATCAATGTTCACAACTAGCAGACCGAAAAGTGGTCACAGTACTAACGTTGACAAAGACTTTTTTATTTTCTTAAATATATTTTTGTCTTTCTATTTTAATAAATGTTAATTTTTAATTTTTTAAATTTAAATTTTTATGTCTTAATAAAGACATAAATATTTTCACATATTAATTTTTATCACATATATTAAACTTAAAAATTTCTAAAAAAATATTTTTTTAGTGATTAAAATTAAAAGTTCAAAAAAAAAAAAGACTAAAAGTAAAAATATATTTGAATATAAAAATGCATCTAATTAAGACAAAAAATATTAATAACTATTTTTTATAAAAAAAAAAAGGTAAGAAAGTATTTTTTATAAAATATAAAATATCAATTATTTTTAAATTTTTTAATAAAATTGTATAAATTCGTTTTAATTATTTGCTATATGTCTAATGAAAAAGCCATTAATGATCCTTGGAAAATGAAAAGTCAAAGGAAAATAAGCAGCGACAGTGGCAACGACTTGGAACTTTGAATTTTTTGGCGACATTGAAACTTTCACTATATTTAGAAGTTTCATTGCAAGTGCAGCAAACACTGGGTAAAGTTTTTTTTTTAAAAAAAAATAAAATCGAATTATGCTTCTAATTTTAACGATGTAGTCAACCAAATAAATCAACTCCAAGTAAGACTAATCATCCTCCATTTCTTTCTTAAAAAATAATCACATTACAATCCATTCAACTGAACATGGCCCACACCATATGGTTTTTATTTCCTTGTATTTACATTTTTGAAAATAGCTAACAAGTATTTTAAGGTATTAATTAAAGAATTTTAGATTATTTTATTATATATGAAAATATTTTTAATGCATTTCAACGTAATTTTTAATAAAAACTTGTAATTCACTGATTCTATTAAATATGAAAATAGGAAAACTGGTTAAAGATTTAGAACATACTTGTATGTTGTGCCCTTACTTTTGCCACAATACCTTTTATCCACAGATTCTTTAACTAATTCATAGTTGGATTCTAATGTCATAAAATGTTTGACAGCTCCGAAACCTTTAACAGAATCTATTTTCTATATAAGATAGCAAAATCTTAAGAGAGACGCCATAAGCTAGACATGACAACTTTTCAAAAGCTTAATGATCTTATTTTTCATATACTCTTGATATCTTTGCTTACACTGAAAACCACTGCATCACCAAGAACAGAAGCAGAAACCCTTGTCAAATGGAAAAACACTCTATCTCCTCCTCTTTCTCCCTCTCTAAACTCATGGTCCCTAACCAACCTTGGCAACCTTTGCAAGTGGGATGCCATTGTTTGTGACAACACTAACACTACTGTCTCAGAGATAAACTTCTCTGGTGCCAATCTCAATGGGACACTCACAAGTTTGGATTTTGCTTCCCTCCCCAGCCTCACACGCCTCAACCTCAATGGCAACAGTTTTGGTGGGTCAATACCACCATCTATTGGCAACCTTTCCAAGCTCATTTTCTTGGACTTTGGTAACAACCTTTTTGAAGACTCACTGCCTTATGAGTTAGGCCAGCTAAGGGAACTTCAATATCTTAATTTTTACAACAACAGCCTCAAAGGTATTATTCCGTATCAGCTCATGAATCTCCCTAAGTTATGGTACCTTGACCTTGGATCAAACTACTTTACAACTCCTCATGACTGGTCCCAATATTCATGCATGCCTTCCTTAACTCACCTTGCTTTGCATATCAATAGTTTTACTGCTGAATTCCCAAGTTTCATACTGAAGTGTAAGAACATGACATACCTTGACCTCTCTCAGAATAACTGGGGTGGCACAATACCAGAATCCATGTATAGCAACTTAGTCAAGCTTGAATACCTTAACCTCACCAACTGTTGGCTAGAAGGAAAACTTTCATCCAACTTGTCTATGCTCTCTAATCTCAAAGAACTTCGTATGGGTAATAACATGTTTTATGGTTCTATTCCTACAGAGATAGGATTGATATCTAGGCTTCAAATTCTTGAGTTGAATAACATTTCAGCCCATGGGAAAATTCCTTCTTCCTTAGGCCAACTTAAGGAGCTTCAGAGTCTTGATCTTAGAAATAATTTTTTGAACTCTACAATTCCTTCTGAGCTTGGCCTATGCACAAATCTTACCTTCCTGAGTTTAGCAGTGAATAATCTGACTGGTCCTTTGCCTTTGTCATTATCTAATCTGACCAAAATATCACAACTAGGATTATCTGAAAATTTACTTTCTGGTCAAATATCACCTTCATTGATCTCTTATTGGGCTGAGTTGATCTCTTTGCAAGTCCAAAACAATAAATTTAAAGGAAAGGTTCCTCCACAGATTGGCCTATTGAAAAAAATTAATCGCATCTATATGTACAAGAACATGTTCTCTGGTCCCATTCCTGTAGAGATTGGAAACCTGAAAGAAATGATAGAGTTAGACCTTTCAGGAAACTACTTTTCCGGTCCAATTCCATCAACAATTTGGAATCTGACAAACATTACAGTCATAAATCTTTTCTTCAACAATCTCTCTGGAACCATTCCAGTTGATATTGGAAACTTAACCTCACTGCAAACCTTTGATGTCAACACCAATAGCTTGCATGGAGAGTTGCCAGAAACCATTTCTCAACTAACTGCTTTAATTCACTTTTCTGTGTTCACCAATAACTTCTCTGGCAGCATTCCAAGCGAATTTGGAAAGAATAATCCTTCTTTGACTACTGTATATCTTTCAAACAACAGCTTCTCAGGAGAACTGCCTCGTGACTTGTGCAGTCATGGCAAGTTAGCAGCTTTGGCAGTCAATAACAACAGCTTTTCAGGGCCACTGCCAAAGTCGTTGAGAAATTGTTCATCACTCAGTAGAGTTAGGCTTGATGATAACCAATTAACTGGAAACATCACAGAAGCATTTGGGGTTCTTACAAAACTTGTGTTTATCTCACTAAGCAGAAATCAGCTTGTTGGAGAGCTCTCTCCAGAATGGGGTGAATGTGTCAACTTAACTGCGATGGAAATGAGTGGAAACAAACTTTCCGGAAAAATTCCATCTCAGTTGAGCAATTTGAGTAGATTGGAATACCTAAGCCTGCATTCAAATGCATTCACTGGCAATATCCCTCCTGAAATTGGAAATCTAAGCCTGCTCTACAAGTTGAACTTGAGCAGTAACCATTTTTCAGGAGAAATCCCAGAGAGTATTGGCAGATTGGGTAGGCTAAATCTACTTGATTTATCAGATAACAACTTCAGTGGAAACATTCCTAAGGAGCTCGGTGACTGTAACCGCTTACTGAGCCTGAATTTAAGCCACAACAGTCTATCTGGGGAGATACCATATGAACTTGGCAATCTGTTCTCACTTCAAATCTTGTTAGACCTCAGCAGCAACTCTCTTTCTGGGGAAATTCCTGAAAACCTTGACAAGTTAGTCTCATTGGAGATTCTGAATGTCTCACACAACCATCTATCAGGGATAATCCCACAATCCTTTTCAACCATGCTCAGCCTTCAATCTATTGATTTTTCTTACAACAACTTGAGTGGTTTAATCCCCACAGGTGGTGTTTTCCAGATAGCAACTAGTGATGCCTATGTTGGGAACTCAGGTTTGTGTGGTGAGGTAAAAGGATTAACTTGCCCCAAACACAAATCCAGGGTCAACAAAAAGGTTCTTCTTGGTGTTATTATACCAGTTTGTGGGTTATTTATTGGGATGATTTGTGCTGGAATCCTACTGTTCCGAAGGCAAGCCAAACAACACCTTGATAAGGAGTCCAAAAACATTGAAAAAAGTGATCAGTCTATTAGCTTGGTATGGGGAAGAGATGGACAATTCACATTTTCTGATCTTGTTAAGGTCACTGATGACTTCAATGAGAAGTACTGCATTGGAAAAGGAGGATTTGGAAGTGTTTATAAAGCACAATTACTTACTGGTCAAGTTGTTGCTGTTAAAAGGCTCAATATATCAGACTCTGATGACATTCCAGCAGTGAACCGGCAAAGCTTTTTGAATGAGATAAAATCACTTACAAGAGTGAGGCACCGCAATATAATAAAGCTATATGGGTTCTGTTCTAGTAGGAAACAAATGTTCTTGGTTTATGAATATGTAGATAGAGGAAGTTTGGGGAAAGTACTGTATGGAGAGGATGGGAACTTGGTGCTGAACTGGGCTACAAGGGTGAAAATTGTGCAAGGAATTGCACATGCAATTTCATATCTTCACACTGACTGTTCTCCACCCATTGTGCACCGTGATGTTACATTGAACAACATACTCCTAGACACAGACTTTGAGCCTCGTCTTGCAGATTTTGGCACTGCCAAGCTTCTAAGCTCTAACACTTCAACCTGGACCTCAGTTGCTGGATCCTATGGCTACATGGCTCCAGGTACATGATGAACCAATTTAAATTGTAGTTATATAGTAGCAGTAGTAGTAGTATAAATCATGCTAACCACTAACCAGTGTTACTAGAGCATTAGTCAAGGAGCATTGAATATTATTAACATATTAAGGGTGCTTTTGGATACACAACTTATTTCAATTTTACGCGCTTATTCAATATGTTATTTTCAAATAAAAAATTATGCCATAAATTGAATCGTGAAATTACCAGAATAAGTTAGAAAGTAGAAACAACTTATTTTTTTATAAGTCAGATGCAATATATTAAAATAAGCTGAAAAAAGCTTTGAAGTCATAAGCTGTTTATAAAATCTTCAAAACATACCCTAAATGTTTCTAATTACTTAAAAGGTAAGAAATCAATGACTTCTGTATTTTCAATATAATAGGTATTTTCTGTTTCAGAAAAAAAATTTCCTCCTCTGTTTCCTTAACTAGTGCCTTAATACCTCTTGTTATCTACTGGTTTAGCATTTGCTTTTTAATACTTTGTCTTGTTATATGCCTTAAAGGGTCAGTTAAGTCACTAACAAAATTTGAAATTTGCAGAGCTAGCACAAACTATGAGGGTCACTGACAAGTGTGATGTTTATAGTTTTGGAGTGGTAGTGTTGGAGATAATGATGGGAAAACACCCTGGAGAACTCTTGGGTAACCTTTCTTCGAACAAATCTTTGTTATCAATGGAGGATCCACAGGTGTTTCTGAAGGATGTTCTTGACCAACGGCTTCCACCTCCAACAGGCTATTTAGCTGAGGCAGTGGTGTTCACAGTGACTGTAGCTTTGGCATGCACACGTGCAGCTCCAGAGTCCAGACCCGTGATGCGTGCTGTGGCACAAGAACTATCAGCTACTACACAGGCTTGTCTTTCCGAGCCATTTGGCATGATAACCATAAGCAAGCTTACAGGGTTCCAGAAATAGAGCCATGACAAGAAGGGCTATAGGATGTGTCATAACGAGCACAGAAATATATTTTGTTTACATTTTCCGCACACAAATAATGTACACACAGACACACACAATAATGTGCCATAACTATAGTAGAATTACGTTTTGAAGCTTAAATTTAAAAGTACAATAGAGTATAAGCTTGTTGATTGAAGCATCTATACCTATGTTTGAATTAGTCATGCAAGGTTACACTAGTCTTTCAGGAAGCAAACTTGCTTGTGTATACATATTTTAGCCTTATAAATTGTTATGGATCGTTGGATCTGTTTTATGGATACAGTAAAGGGTCATTTACATAGCACCCGCTTTTTCTTTCCTTTTTTTGTTTATATAGTTTATGTAAAGAATCGTGTTTCCCTGTTTTAAAACATGTTGGTTAGAGGATATGCCGGGTAAAGATAAAAAAGGTTCAACTCAAATATTGTACGAGGCAACTTCAACTACCCTTTCACATGTAAGGTTATATTGGCTATAGCCAAGCCATTTTATGTTCATTTAGCAGTTATGCAGATGCCAGTCAAACTTTCTACATCTTAGGTTGTCATCAAACCAATAAATTTTTGGATGGTCCACAGTAAGGTGATTTCAACTACTCACATTTCGCCTCGTGCTAATTTTTCTATAAACTGTAAAATTTATACACATAACACAACACGATTGGTCCTCACATAATACCAAACCATGCAAGAAATTTAGGCTAAAGTCCAAATTTAAAAATATTCATACAAATCAATTTATATAAATTTACATACAATACATTTTTATTTTTCATGATTAGTCTACTGCACCTAACTTAATTACACTAGCTACACGCCAGATGCAACTACAACCTCCCTTTCACATGAACTATTCTATAGTCCAAAGCATTTCGTGCTATTCCAAAGAAGATGGTCTCTCGAAGAGTTGAACAAACCGCATAATTATAAATAAGCACATGCTAACGACATTATTAACATGTCCTGTTGTCTATGAAGATTACTGATGAAACTTAACGAAAGTAACCTTGCAAAGAACTTTTTCCACTGAAACCTCTACCTTGATTATCGAACTAATGTGTTTGTCAATAGTTTTTATTAAAAAATAATTTAAGTAAATTAAATATTTAAATCTAAAATAATTTTCTTTGGTACTAAATCCCATTAGAGCTAAAGGTAAAGTTAAAATAATATTCACATACCGAAAAATATGAAAAGTCAAAGGAAAATACGAAGCGGCCATTGCAAGGACTTAGTCACATATGCCAGAACCCAGTAAGTGTTTACTATCTGGGGAGATATCATTTGAACTTGGCAATCTGTTCTCACTTCAAATCTTGTTAGACCTCAGCAGCAACTCTCTTTCTGGGGAAATTCCTGAAAACCTTGGCAAGTTAGTATCATTGGAGATTCTGAATGTCTCACACAACCATCTATCAGGGATAATCCCACAATCCTTTTCAACCATGCTCAGCCTTCAATCTATTGATTTTTCTTACAACAACTTGAGTGGTTTAATCCCCACAGGTGGTGTTTTACGGATAGCAACTAATGATGCCTATGTTGGGAACTCAGGTTTGTGTGGTGAGGTAACACTGTAAAAGGATTAACTTGCCCCAAACACAAATCCAGGGTCAACAAAAAGGTTGTTCTTTCTGTTGGTATACCTGTTTGTGTGTTATTTATTGGCTTCTTGGTATTGGAATCCTACTATTTCAACGACAAGCCAAACACAACGATGAAGAGGCTAAAATCATCAAAAAAATTGATCAGTCGATTGTGCAGGGAAGAGATGGAACATTCACATTTTCTGAACTTGTCAAGGTCACCGATGACTCTGACGACAAGTACTGCATTGGACAAGGAGGGTCTGGAAGTGTTTATAGAGCATAACTACCAACGGGTCAATTTTTCGCTGTTAAAAAGGTTCAATATATAAGACTCTGATGACAGCCCAGCAGTGAACCACCACAGCCTTGAGAATGAGGTAAGATCACTTACAGAAGTGAGGCATCGCAACATAATAAAGCGCTCTGAATTTTGTTCTTGGAGGAGACAGATGTTCCTAGCTTATGAATACGTACAAAGAGGAAGTTTGAGGAAAGTACTGTATGGTGAGGAAGGAAAATTGGTGCTGAACAGGGCTACAAGGGTGAAAATTGTGCAAGGAATAGCACATGCAATTTCATACCTTCACACTGACTGTTCTCCACCCACTGTGCACCGTGATGTTACATTGAACAGCATACTACTGGACACAGAATTTGAACCTCGCCTTGCAGATTTTGGCACTGCCAAGCTTCTAAGCTCTAACACTTCAACCTGGACCTCAGTTGCTGGATCCTATGGCTACATGGCCCCAGGTACATGATCCAACCAATTTCAATTCTAGTTATATAGTGTAGATCATGCTCACCTGTGCTATTGGAAAATTAGTTAAGGGGCATTAATACACACTATATTATGGGAGTATTTAGAAGAATTTAGTACATAGTCTTGTAATATGCATTGAAGGGTCAGTTAAGTCAATAACAAAATTTGAAATTTGCAAAGCTAGCACAAACTATGAGGGTCATTGACAAGTGTGACGTTTATAGTTTTGGAGTGGTGGCATTGGAGATAATAATGGGAAAGCACCCCGGAGAACTCTTGGCTACCCTATCTTCAAAGCAGTCCTTTTCATCAACACAAGTGCTCCTGAAGGACTTGCTTGACCAACAGCTTCCACCTCCAACAGGCCAATTAGCTAAAGCAGTAGTGTTCACATCACAGTGACCATAGCTTTGGCATGCACACATACTGCTCCAGAGTCCAGACCCATGATGCGCTTTGTGGCAAAAGAACTATCCGTTACCAGACATGCTTGTCTTTCCGAGCCATTTGGCATGATAACCATAAGCAAGTTTATAGGCTTCCAGAAATAGAGCCATGACATGAAGGGCTAAGGGTTGTGCCATAACTAGTTATAGAAATATATTTTATTTTCAGCCTTTGCAACCAATGCATTGGTTTTCACTTTGAATTCTTCATACTCTCTCTGCAAAACAACAAACTTCACACCAATTAAAGCCTGAAACCAAAATAATTAATTTTGCGGCAGAGTGGTTGCCATTCACAAATATCAAATCAAAACGTGAGAGTTTGAAAGTCATGCTCTATTTCTTGCCATGCTACGTGTGTTGTACTAATTCGAAACATGCATGCATGTATAGGCATAGCCGCTATGAACTCGATTGAATACGCAAACATCTTGATTTTGAGAACTATCAAACATGCCTTGCTATAATGGGTAAGTGGAAAGGTGATGTATGTTGTGTTTATTACTTCCTTGCTTAGTAATGAGTTGTTTTGAGTTTATTTTAGGAGAGGAAGGAAAAAAAGTTTTTTTTTTTTAATTAAATTGTTTAATTTTCTAATTTGTAAAATTAAGATTATAAATTAATATAAATTTAATGTATTAGTTAATTAATTAAAATATTATATAATTTTTAAATTTAAAAATTAAATATTTTTACTGCTTTCTTCTTCATTTTGAAAATTTAATTCTGAATAAAATATACAGAATAGGCATTCTAAGTTGACTTAAATATTAAAAATGTATAAAAAATATGTAAATTATCTATGATTTAAAGTAAAGTATATTGATAAAATATTTTAAAATAAATTTAAATATATTTATTTATTTTCTCATTTCACGTACTTTTTTAAATTATAAAAATTACATCTAAGTAGAAGAAGTTCCTAAGTTATATATTAAAATTTATCTATACAAAGACGATTTTTAATTTTCATATTTAATCATATCTTTGATATATGTCTTTTATCTATTAGATGAAAGATACTTTAAAAAAAAATACATATTTTAAAAGTATATCATTGTAAAAATGATGCGTTACTTTTTATGTACATATCACTTACATTAGAACATGCTGAAGCACCTCAAATTGTTAAATATTTCTAAGGACCACCTATCAATGTTAGTGAAACAAGATTTTCTTACATTAATATAAATTTAAAAACTCTTATATCAAATCTGAACTTTTTATTTAACTTAAATTTAACGAGTTATGATTTATTACTTTACTAACCATTAAATTTAAATTAAATAAAAAATTTAGATTAAATATAAATTTTTTTAGATTTATACTAATGTATATATATCTAACGGGTTATATATATATATATATCTTTTAGCTAAAACTTACATTTAACTCTATTCCAAGTGAAACAAAAACACTCTTTTGTGGAAATAGAAATAGTGGCCATAATATCATTACTAGGCCCACTTGCAAATACGTCCTATGAACGAACTTAAGACCTAGAATTGTACCCTTTTTTATATTATTTCGGTACAGTTAAAATAAACAGTTCATATTGAAGATATGGCCCATACCAACATGGAAATTTGGATGGAAATATGTAAGATGCTGTCCTAATTCCTCACTTATGATTTGAGAGGTAGCCATTATCTGTACTGTACACTAGAATCTCATCCTAACCAGGATGCTGAATATGATGTTTGAAGAACTTCATGATCAAAACTTTTGACTCATCATTTGTAGCTAAATGAAAGGTACACAAGCAAGTCCTCATTGAACACAATAGGACAGGAGGAACTCATAAGTTGTGGAGCTCTAGACATTGATCAATCTACCAAGTCTTCCTTACTAAAATAAAAACCTTAAATGAATCAGTATTGTCTTGTCAGTTCAATGCTGATTCAGCTGATCATATGGCTTACTCGTCTGTCCTTGCACGCTTTGGGGCTTGAGGACTATCTTCACTAGCATGTTGCTTAGGATTCTCAGAAGCTTGACTTTTGGGAGCATACTGCTTCCCACCCACTTCCTGTGAGGTTTCCTCAACCGTGATACTGTCATTAGCTTGGTCAGATCCTGGCTTATAATGGTCCACTTTGGAGGCATCTAATTCTGTTTTGGCGGGTGAATCTTTCATGGCATCAGAAGACACTGCAGATGGACTGTCAATGGCAGAAGATGATGCCTTAAATGTTTCAATGCCAGATTTACACTGCTTCTCAAACATCATCTGAAGGTACCTTCCTTGTTCTTCTATTCGCAACTGGAGATTTCTTTGAATCTAACATAGAAAATAGGAGTGAGAGAACTGTATCAGATCATTATACCTTGGAAAAAGGCATGAAAAACAATAAGAGAAACAAGAACAATGCCTAGGACATTTCATTTATGTGATATAACTGAAGCACCATACCCACCCCTAAATTCTATTGGAGTAACCAACATGCCAAAAAATATAATAGAAATTAGTTTCAGACTCCAAGATGAAACAAAAATTATCGTCAACAAACCAAATATAACTGCAGTCCACATGGAAAACTATAGTATCCATATTCTTCTGTTCCTATTAAAATCAAAGTGTAAAAAAGAACACAAGGTTCAAAAGAAAGCATGCAAGTCGTAAAGATGATAGTTCTCTCTCTTCTACAGGTAGGCAAGGGCAAGGACATCACCCCATGCTCTCTTTAGGTTAGTATCTGAGTTTTCTAATCCATAGCAAAGAGAAACAACCAAATTTCAATGGATAAGATCATACACAAAATTAGCATCACCTCTTTCTTGTTTTGAGATAGTGGGGTAATTTTGGTGTGAGCTGTTTGGGCTGTTCAGAGATTGCTGGATATGTTTGCCTGTTTTGCAAGTTGTGAAGGTTTTGGAAGTAGAAAGGGCAAATAAATGCTATGGCAGTGTCCTCTTTTTGAAGGAACCCAGTGTAGTCAGCTGGAATTTAATTCCAGAAATTTTAGCAATACTTATATTCCCCCACAACTTTATGGGACACGCATGCTTTCATAGCCTCTTTGCAGGTTTCCTTGACGGATTTTTTTAAGTGTTTCTAAGTTATACTTGCAAAGGGGCTGGGTTGCTCTTTCCCTCATTCTCTTTTGCCACTAAGATTTAGAGGAATAGTAAGCAATATTAACTCCTTTCTTTATGGGCAAGTTACATTCCCTCATTTGTTGATGCTCATAATACTATTAAGTCATAAAAGAAGTCCATTCTCACTAATTTTGAAGAAGTTATACAACAATAACATCTAAATCTTATCTCACTAGGTTAGATTGGATACACAGGTCACATGTCACCATTGAATTTGGTAAAAAATCAAATTCTCTGATATATTATTTATCACTAAATCTCTTTTAATAATGTTTCCTAAATTTCTTCTACGTCTCCCTTTACCCTTTTTCACTAGACTAAAAGTCATGTCATTTATTCTCCTCACTGGTGCCTCCAATGGCTTTTTTTATGTGTCCAAACTACCTTAATAATTTTCAATGGTCATAGCAATTGCAACAGAAACATAGGTTGCAAATGAGCCTTTGAAGTTAGAACCACATTTCTAATCTTTTAACAGGTCAATAAACACATCAGAAGGAAATTCCTGAAAGATCAAAGTTCATACCTCAAGCTGTTCATGCAACCGTTTCTGAACTTCCATCTGCAGTCGCAGAGCTTCAGTGATCTCAATACCACTGTCAACAATTCAAAGATAAAGTCCGCATAACAATTAGTATTCACATCTGTGCATATCTATGTATCAAATCTGACCAAAAACTTTACATAGTGCCATTAACTATAAACCCTCTTGTAACCCTAATCCCAGATCCCTGAAAACTTTAAGAACGTTGCAGCAGCCTGTATTGATGTTCTATCTAAAAAACCTCAAGTTTTATTCCTTATATTCAATCCAAAGCTTCCACTAATTTTTTGTTTATCTGTTCTCTTCTCAAGTGATGAGATATGCATAATTACAGCCAGTGGAAGAAATAAACTTAGAAGGCTAAAACTCCATGCAAGTTGCATGCCAATGTTGTAAGCATCAATGTCAATCTCTAGGATGCAGTTACTAGCAAGCATAATTGGACATAGTTACAACTTCTCCCTCCAAACAGAACAAATATGAACACCAATGATATATGGATAAGATATGCCCACATTTCAGGTTTCAAAAGCCACATTCTCTTAGACCTTTAGATCGATTTAGATGTTGATGACAGTAAAAGCTAGAGAGAAATATATAAAATATTTAAATCTATTGAGTCGTATTAGCAAAGTCACATTAGAAAACAAAATGTTGCCTAACAGTAGATAGTTTACTTACGTTTTCAAATCTAAAGATGACATTTCTTCAATGGGATTTAGTTTTTTCTCTGCAGTTCCTGCCAACAGTAATCAAGAAATTGTACATTATATGACTACACAAAGAGCATTGCTCTATGTTTCAAGGAAGACATTTACAACAGACTACTTCCAGACATCAAACGCAGAACTTCAGGTCAATAACAGATTTCATGTAGTTAGGTATCACAATCTCTCCAATATATTAATCTAAAATTAAAATAAAGGAAAATGAAGTTAATGAATACTTAGGTAATTGTTTAAAAATTCAAAACTCTTTGATTCTCTTTGGTATTAAAATAATAAACAAGTGTGTTTCCACACATGCTAATGCATGCTGACATACTTGCACGTAGTCCATATCTATGGCACCAGTAGCCCATTTTTAACCAAATTGCAAATCCCATTGTCTTACTTTACTGAATCCAATACTTGTATGATCTGTATTGATCATATATGTGAAACATTCACTTCTAAAACACATTACATTTAGCAAATTAACAATTAATTTATTATACAGAATATAGGAAAAGAATCCATGGGAGCTTGCATCTTAAACAGCTTCATCATATAGTAGAAAAATGAGTGTAAAAAAGGTCTGATACCATAAACAAAAGGGTAAGCAAATAAAAACATATAATGAAATTACTATACACAAAGGTCTAACATCCACTAGCAACAATGCTAGGCTTTACACACTTACACTAATCAATAACTTCTTATACAAGGTGATATTTTCTTATGTTTGAAATGCATATTTTATGTAAATTCCATTTTTTTTAAACAACAAATTAGTTTCCAATTAATATGAAGTTTGACTTGGTAAAAGCTTTTAATCCTATGGTAAATTTTGCAAAAAAAGGTCCACACTTCATACTTCCAAGAGTTATTCAATAGCCAATGATCTTCTCATCCTAACCAACATGCAAAACATTATACATACATCAGGTATATTTAATACAATGCATAGGCTAACCTTCAGATGATTCTGGTCTAAATCTAGCTGTCCTGTATTTCTGCATTTCATGGAGAAATATGTTTCATCAAAAGCATGCAAGGAAAAAAACCTAGGATGATAAAGCAAGTTGTATATATACCTGTAAGTGGCTTTTAACATGATATATAGTTAATCCTTCAACTTTCATGAGCTTCAGTACACCCTTAGGGGTAGCTCCTATTTATTATATAAATAAATAAATAAATGAGGCGGAAATTTAACAAACTAAGGTCTTTCTTCGCAAAGAGACAAAGAAGATAGACATACTTTCACTCCCACCAAGTTGATTGACAGCCTCCACAAATGCCTCATGAAGCTCAGGTGTCCAGCGCATCCGTGGTTTGGCAGGAGCAGAATTTGCTGACGAAGATGGGGCAGCACCCACACGATTTTCTCCAGATGAAGTAGGAAGTTGTTGATGGCCTTGGGATTGATGTCCTGTTGGCAGTTGTGAAGACGATTTTGAGACCTGGTACACCACCTAAAGAAACAAAATGAGTTCCAAAAACATTCCTTGAATAAATTACTAATCAGTTCACTCTGCAAGCTAATATTGATTTGAGAAATGAAAATCTTAACCTTTGGTTCAAGATCTTGAATGTTGTCAGAAAGAAGATCATTCCAATTAGAAGTCAAAGGATCATCATCACTGATTAGCTGGTCAGCCCACTCCTGCCAATCACTTCGCTTAGAATACTCTTCAGTTGCCATAATATTGCAGGCGCTGCTCTCTACTTGACTATTATCAATGGAGGTATTACCAGGGAAATCAAGAAAGCTAGGCAGGGAATCTGTATGCCAGGAAACACTGTTTCCATTGGAATAAGGGGTTGATGCTGTAGAAGGTATTGCTCCACTATTTGAAGAATAAGATAAGGGCAATGAGGCCATGTTACTCAATGACTGTGAAATAAAATGAGTACTTCTACTGTGTTTTTCATGAGGTGAAAAGGATGAGTGATGAAGATCAGTTGAATATCCTGGGGAAGATGAGAACAAATGCCCAACTGCTCCGCTGGAATTTAAATTACTTGAATGAGTGAAAGGTCTTGTTTTAAGCTCTTTCTCCATAAAAGCTAGCTGAGAATCAGATAATTTGGGGCAGGTCTCTTCTAGAGGCTTTGGGAGGACAGGCATGGATGAAGGCAGTGCTTCAGACCCCATGTTATTGAGTTGCTTTGCACTTGATCTTTCAACAGAGAAAGCAGGGCGTGCTTCCATTACTTTCCTATGTTGTTAATTGAAAAGATAAATGCATAAGCTATCAATTCAAACTAACAAAATTCATATTTTACATTTTCCCTCAGATGGTAATGCTCACCAGCAAAATTCTACAAAGGCTGTTTTTCGTTCTTGATGCCCAAACCAGACAAGTTGTCATCAATCTTCATAATTATGAAAGGAAAAAAAACAGACACCTTTGCATCAAAAGTCAAGAATGTAAGCAGCTCCCCAGTGAGAACATTGCTTCTTTAGATTACAAAACCTCATCAAGAATGTAAGACTAAAAATAAACAGAATGGATAGACTTAAACACAAATCTAAACTTGATAGAAGAAATATCTGAACATTTGAAACTTAAACCATTAGCTGTTAATCACAAACCTCAAAGTTCATATAAGATAAATATTCAATGCCTTTGTTTGTAGTATAGGTCCAGAGATATGTCACAACCCTTTATCTATCATCAAGTAGTAAGACATAATCAGAGATATGAAAGATATCATAATGTTTGCAATTAGGAATAATTACACTGACCTCTCTTGAAGTCACAGTTAATTACACTTACACCCTTCTTGATTGGAAAATTACACCTACATCGTTTGCAACTTCCTTGCTTTGTAATTTTAAGAATAGTACGTATGGTCCATATATAAATATAGGGAGGTATGCATACTTTTTAAAAATAATGACTGTCAATGTGTAGAATAATATATAAAATGAGGCACATATATTGTTTCAATCAAGAAGGATGTAAGTGTAATTAGTAGTAACTTCAAAGGAGGTTAATGTAATTATCCCTTGCAATTATGCAGTTTGTTTTAAACAAAAATAGCAGCCATCATTAAAAAAATGTTACATTGAGCTGTGATTTTCTTTCCAAACCATCTACATGTATATCTAAGCATAAAAAATGTCAATACTGAATATGACACAACAGTTTGTACACTTATATTTTGTCACAATAAGCTGCAAAACTTTGATACAGTACAATAAAAACCAGACACCCATGAAGTACTATGGCAGTCAACTATAAAGAGAAAAGAATGCCTTGCTTCTAAGTATCACAACATGAAATGAAAAAGAAGGGGGGCTGAGATGAGTAAAAATTTTAGGACCATGCTTGATTATCCTTTAAGTATGATAATACACTAGCCTAAATAACAGATGGTGAAGCAAGAGATCCAACCAAAAAAAGAGACTTGCACAAATGTTCTTCACATTAAAAATATACATATATCATCATGCAATACGAACCAAAGTCTGAAAATTACACTTCCCATCAAAATGAATATGTCAGAACTTCATGGTTCACAATCAATTTTTAATTGATACTGTTCAGTACAGGTTTAGTTTACACATAAAACACAGGTCAAGAATGGTAAGCTTAAGCTGAGATACAAAAGTTGCACAAGGTTTAATTAAAACACATATTCTCTCCCATGTAAAAGATAAAATCGCGCTTCACAGTTATATTATATATTAGTCATAATAGAGAAACGAGCAACAATAAGTGCTTTCAGTATCTTAGTTTATACCAATTTTCAGTTTCACCCTATTGTTTCCATACAGTTCAAACTTCAAAGGATTAGTTAAGAAGCAGAAAACAACACATACAAAGCACTCCAACATGCGAAAAAGCATCATTCATTGACTTCCCCCGTTCTTTCAGAAAGAATATAAAAATAAAAAACAATGCATCACTAATGATTGAACATCTCCTTAGCCAATATCCCATAAATAAATAAATAAAAATTCTTAGAAAGCAATTCAAATTCCACAAAGAATTCTTCACATGATGTACATAGCAACATGCATGCAAACTCATAACCTATTCAATTAATATCAAACACCAAAAAAAAAATTTTTTTGGGGGGGGTAAATTAGCTTGAGACTTCCTACCAACGAAAAAGGGAGGGAATTGAAGTGACCCAATGCGAATTGGACCCAAAAAACAAGGAAAAGGGGGAAATTGAAGCAAAAGGTATTTTTGAAAATAACTGAAAAGACAGAACATAAACGAAAAATCACGAAATGAGTTGCATCAAATTCTTACCCAAAAAGGGTTAACGCGAAACTCAGCGAAATTGATGGTAGATAGAACACAGGCGGGTGATTTTAAATTCCGTCACCGGCAAAGGCAAAGTTGGTTGTGTTGGGTGATGGATCAGATGGGTGCTCGCGAGAGTGAACGGTGACGAACGAATGCGCTTTGCCCCCTTTTGGAGGAATAGCCACTCCCTTTCCTACGCGCCAATGTGGCGCGTCGACTCACTCTCGGTTATTAGATTGGTCACAGACAATACTATGTGACATTCCCCAAAGCAATAATGTTTCTAACGTAAGACTTTGAGGCTCACATCATTTGTGTGCACAGACAATATCTAACGGTGTGCACGTGAGCTTTGGTTTGCACCACATGATTAGGAAAATGAAACATTTTCCTCAAAGGCCCAAAACAAATTACTGTGCTTGCAATTTGGAAATACAATCTCAAGAAGATTAAAACAAAAAAATTGTATTTTTAAAAAATAAAATATAATTGTTTTAATTAAAAATTTATTAACCAGCATTTTATAGGTATCTGTTAAAAAAATTAAAAATAATAAATTTTATTAAAATTTTCATTATAATGCATTACAAATTTACGAGAGTAAATACATTTTTAACTAATATCTTTAATATTTAAAAAATATAAAAATGAAATTATGATAACATGTGAGTATATGTATAAAGAATTCTAAAGTTGTTAAAATTATAATTATTAATGTTTTGATTAATGCTTATAAATCCATTTGATTTTTTAAAGCATATTTTCTTGCATAGAGGAGTTAAATTTTAAAAAGATGAATAAAATAGGAATGTCTATTGTCAAATCCATGTGTCCATTGTCACTATAATTTAAAATATATATATATATATATATATATATATATATATGTAAAATAACCTTACTAACGATATAATTATAAGAGAAAACAAATATTATAAATAAAAAACACTTAAAAGAAAGTAATAATTAAAGTACGGATGTGGCAATAAATACACCTAAATAAAATATTATTTTTGAAATTAGGTTGCTTTTATATTTAACTAATATAGTAAATATCTACCACAAAATTCTTGCAAGTGGGAGGGTCAGAGGGCAAGGAAATCCAATGAGGGATCCATCGATTTTTCTATGGCTCTTTCACTTGATGAAGTGTTGAAAATATATAACACATTTGCACACTGTTAATCTTTATAGCAGTTAAGCAAGAAAAAATCGAAACCTAGTTCTACCTTGTCATTGTTAAGACCCTCCCCACCCTCCATTGTGCATTTTTGTTTTCTATTAATTATGTATGGACAACGAGAGAAAGAGTGTACTTTGGGTGTTGTCCTATAAAACATGACAAGGACAATTAACGAATTGACATGGTGAGAAATATTTGGTCCATGTGGATCTCAGTATCTCCACATTTTAGTAGTATTTGTTAAATTTGTTAATGTTAATGATTTATAATCCAATGAAATTTATTATTATTCTTTTTATGATATTAAATGCATTATTAAAAAAACATATTAGCAACCATGTGACACTAGAGTATATTTTACAACGCATCTATTTAAAAAAATGGATACTGTTTGAGGCAGCAAAGAAACAAAGCTGTGAACCTGGTCATGATCCTTATAAATAACATTTTACTATGCCCACATAAAAGCCCATTCATTTTGATTTGGCTCAAAAGATTGAGTAATAGAATAACAAAAGTTCCATACATAAACCTTTGACATAGATGAAAGGACAGTAGCTTATGCTAATGCAATAAAGTTAAAAGTATGTTCATAGAATAGGTAAATAGTGAGAATTTTATGCAATATAGTATATGGAATTGGGTAGCTTAAATGTTCTCTTTGCCATTGGAAGACCCTCAAAGCTGCTCCATTGGTCTCCTACAATACCCCAAATGCGGTAACCTTCATCAACCAATTGTTGCCTTACCTTGGAATGGTATTTTCTTACTTCCAGTAATTCATCTTCAAGACCCCTGCCCACATTGGTCACACACTGTTCCTTTAGTACAATAACGATTGCTTACACATAATAAAGGTAAGTTGGGGGGTTAACTTAATGAGTAAATATTGGGTAGGCACAGTACCAGAGTCACGTGGTGAGTGAGATCATGAACTCAGTGCTCAAATGCTCATAAAAAACATTTCAAGAAATTAATGGATTCTGTTATCCATTGTTTTAGAGATAATTGTTTAAAAATTAATGAATAAAAAGTTTTTATTAAAAGTATGTTAATAACATTAAGAGTTTTGTTCATGAAGGTTGTTAAATTACTACTTAAAGAATTGTAAGTAAATTTTTTTTCTTGAAAAATGTGTTAGGCTATATTAAAAATCATATGGGAAGTTAATTAATTATATTTTTAATAAAAAAATACTTTTAATTACTTACCTAGTGTTCTTAAATCACCGGTTAGCATTTGTTTAACATTAAATATTATTTTTTAATGAAAATTTAACTTGTTTGTTTTATTTATTTTTATAAAAAAACCACTTGCATCTTAGAATTACTTTAATTTTTTGTTTTTTAAAAGTGATTTTTGTAATTGTAAATAAATACCTTTTAAAAATAAGTATTTTTTTGAAAATGTAAACAAACAAAATACAAATTTAATTTTTTATAGAATCTCAAAAACTTAAATAATTTTTTAAAATCTTAAACAAAGAAATCCTATTTTTTAATTCCTTAATATCTTTAAGGACAATAATTAACAAAATCGTAAATGAATTACCTCAATGAAAGACGAGTCCATCCATGGTAACCAACTTTCACAAGGTTGTCTACAGTAGGAGATCTAAGGGTTTCCTTTCTTGAAGAAATTAGAAAGATATTGATTCCTTTGTTCTTGATTTCATGGAAGAGCTCAAGTGTGTGATCTAGAGCCGGCGCCTTACTTTGCTTCATCCATTCTTCTAAAGATGTCCCATTTAGCTTTTCTCCCCTGTTGTTTGTATTCCAATTATCTATTTCAATACTATTAACTAAGACTACATATTTCAAAATTAAATCCTAATTAATCCTAAAACTAACAAGATTCAATATACATATACATGTAAAAACTGTTAGGCTAAATTGGGTTATTCATCTAAATCCTTCATCAAAAGTTTTATTATGTGCTTATCTATCATAACTGGTTATAATTTTCATGTATGGGAAGTTTTTAGATAATTATAATAATAAAAGTTTTTATAATGCGCTTTCGAAGATAGAAAATATACATGATTCTTCTCTCAACTATTTTCTTGTATGAATGTGGATGGAAATAGGAATGATCATAAGTGATGTACATAATGTCGTGATTAAGATAATAGTTGATGAATAGTCAAATGTAGTTGATTGGGTGTCCTGGTTACATCAACGTAGCTAATCACCTAATTCACTTTTCATTCTTTGAATAATCTTTAAACTAAAGCATCAAGCCAACATGAGGATGGGATTTTGGCTAAAATTCTTGGAACAACTTTGAGAAATTTCGTCAGTGGACATAAAAGATGGAGTAATTTACACATATCACAAAACCATTAATGACAAAGAAGGTAGAGTGAGTTACACACGTCACTAAATGACGCATTGCACTTCCTAGCTAAAAAACAATTGAACATAATAAACAAATTGAACCTACAAAACTAAATTGATTCCATTAGACCTTTACCATTAATGACAAACCAAGTTTGCACCACTTGGATCCAAATTGTGACAACTAGATCTACCCAACATGACAACATCCTAAGTAACTGATCTCATAGAACGGCCTAAATATATTCCAAATATAGTAAACATCATTGTGGATACCTAGTCATAGTCATCATTCTCACAAAAAATTAGACAATGTGGGAAGAGCTTCCACGATTATAGATTATAGAGTGACACCAAAACAAGTTAGATGTGCACTATAATAATAAAAACAAAAGGCTTACCATTAGGCACTTACCCAAAACCATGGTTCTTATAATAAGGAATTTTGGACAAAAGGGTCTCATCAATATCAAAAATCCAAGAATCTTTGCCATCACCTTTAAAAGTGCAGCATCCACTCAAATAGAGCCTGACCTCCTCCACTGCCCTAAAGGAGTCAGATTTGTACTGAGATGAAGTCATGTATTTCTTCACGTGCTCCACACATTCTTGAGGCACAACACTGAACCCCCTAATGTTGTTTAGCTCTACATTGATCCTCCAACTCTCGCAATAGTTCTTCAAGTTGGCTTCAACTCCTTTTCTCAATCTTTGGTTCAATATGTTCCAATCAGCACTCACTAAGCCAATGAAGAGGTTTGAAATTATTAGTGAGAGTGCCAGAAAATTGGCCATTTGCTCAAAAGATGGGAATGGAAGAATTCTATGAAAAGGGAAATTGGGTGACGAAACATATAGGCGTGAAATGCAGTGTGGGACATACTGTGATGACATTGCTCTTTCCTATACAGAAAATCACATGGTGGAATAAGAAAATGGTTCCTCTACTTTCCAAAATAGCTAGGTGATATTCGTCGACCAAAGATTAAAATGGGGTAAAATTTTAAATAAAAATTAATATTGTATGTAAATATTCAAGATTATTGTATAATATATTGAAAAAGTTTAATGACACCTTTTTTTCTACAGTAAAAAATTATGAAGTGTTTTTAAATTTAAATAGCCTAAGACATTAATTTGTACTTGTTATTTATAGTTGATGGTGATTAAAAATATATATATATGATAAAATTAAAATTTATTATTAAATAAATCAGTCTTATACATGTAAACGCATCATGTTTGAGAAGATGTGATGACATAAATTATATGGACAAAAACACAAATAGTGCTAATTAAATTGGGTTATGCACGTAAATTTAGAGGGAAAATAATATACAGAATGTATATCAGTGCAAAAAAAACAACAGAAAACAAATGTGGAATTGTGGACAGCATTATACTCTAGTAATTTACTATATCGGATGGCTTTGTAATTTAACCTTAGGGGATTGTTGACAACTCAGAGATTGTCCCCCACTTGTGAATACGTATTATTACTTTAGTTGCAATGAGCTATAATTACAAAGCATCAACTTCAATAGCACTCCATTAAATGGCATGCATGTGAGCCTTATTATTTCGTTCCACTTTTTTGGTTGTGTAGTATATGTAGCTAATAGCTAATCATATTGGTTTAGTATGTGAAGTTTGAGAGAGGGAATTTTGTAAGAACTAACCGTATCCTCTTCGATATCCTTAAGACTGTTTGTACGTATGATTAGTATAAGACCTATCAAGTTATATATCCACCATGGTATAAGATACATAATATTAATTGATGTTAAAAAAATGACACCACTGATTTTATAATATAGATACAAGAGATGAGTATGTTTTACTAATTTATTATAATAAACTAATATTACGTTTATGTATATAATGCATTTTTCATTTTGCCCCTCATTGAGGATTCAATTTAAAAGCTCCAGTCTGAAGAGGAAATCAAAATTTTTTGTATGTTTTATGTGCTTTACTTTTTATATGGTTCTAATTTTATCCAAAGACAACTTGTAAATTTCAATGGTTGATTTTGATTGGCAGAATATCTACACATTATAATTCGTCAGGCACATAACATACTTAACCTTGAAATAGGTAACCTTGTAAATCGCACATTATTTATTTTTAAGTTAAAAGAAAAATTTAGATAGCTTTGATCATTTTAGGCTAGCTAACCTTTTTTCAGTTTATTTATTATTACTAAAGATTTAAATTATTGATATGTCTGTTAATCAATATTTCAGATTCAAGACACTTCTTTCGGCTAATATTCATTTCTAATAGGAATTTAGGCCCGTCATCAATGCCACATATCACGGGCTCCTTAATCAAGGAAGACATGAAATTGTATAACTTTGATTTATAATCATCATACTTATTTAATATCTGTCATTTTTTTTTGTCATATTGCATCATCTATACATTTATCCTTTTTTTTTCCTTCTATTCTTTTGTGCCTCTTGGTGTAGATTCTGTAATTTTATCAATGATATTGACAGATCAAGGGCTCTATAATTAAGCTATTTATTTTATTCTCTTAAGGAGTCTTCAAAAGAATTCATTTTCCCCCCTCCATCTCTATCCGCATCTTAAAAAGTTCAATGCTTTACTTCATCACAGAGAAAGGCTTGCTCGTCTTCTTAGATAGAAAAAGTTACAAATAAGAACCAGTAAGGTATTTTTGGCTAAAGGGTCAAATAATCACGCTCACTATTTATTTTATGCTTGTAAATAACTATTTTAACATATTAATTACCCCTTAATATTATTATTGCCATGGACAATTCTAAATCCAGGTTCCGTTTTAAAAAGATGTTTATAGGCCATATCAGCTGGTCATCAACCAAATATAAATAATTATAAAACAATCTCGTACTTATTAAATAAAAATATTAAATTTTTTTATATTTTTAAAACATGAAATACATTTATTGTTATGTAACTCTTCCCTTATAAAGTATTAAGAGAATTAATATAAAAGATTTGGCTTTACTCATCAAATATCCTTGGTTCACCTTCAACCTTTGGATTCCCGGACACATACATGAATTTTAGCAATTGATTAACTTGCTAATCATGTCATTTGACAATAGTGCTGATAGAGGGGACCCAGAAAGGAAACAAAGCTAAATAATATATGTTCCAGCTAAGGTGAGCCATTTTGCCAACTTTTTTACCTTTATTTTGTTGAAAAACGAATTAGGTACTGACTGACCTTGGGTAACCTTTATTTTATTTGCATTGTTTCTACATCCCTGCCTAAAAAGTAGATGTGAAAGAATGAAAAATTAACTGGAACAAAAAAAAACCAACCCATGAAAGAGGATATTTAAGAGGACAACTCATCTTTGTAGTGAGATACATACCAAATGAATTCAGAACAGATCCCAAGAAGAAGGAAATGACGCAAATTAAAAATATATATATATTATATCTTCCTACTATCTACAAATCTTTTTACTCACAAAAATAACATTTTTAAAAAAATATATTAATTAACTTTTATTTTTTAACCTTTTTTTCTTTAAAAGGTATGTATCACTTTTATTTAAGTAGAAGAATTTATAAACCTAAATAATAGGAGGATTTAGCATTTTTCCTTAAATTATCCTTAAGACACCAAAAACAGTTCTATAATCACAATAGCAGAAACTGAACAAGGTTAACTAAAATTCATGTGACATATGCCTTATTCCAAATTTTAACTTCTGAACCAAGCTTATGATAACAAAAGATTGAATGACAAATAGATTAAATAAGTTTTCAACTACGCAATTTGCAAAGTACTTCATCATATGACTATTTAATGGACAATGAACTGAAGGATAACTTATTCATAAAGAAAGATCATCAACCAACACGAGAAGGGATGTGGATAAGGTCATTTGAAGGACCATCACTGAAGTTAAGACAATAACTGTGAAAATCATAGCTGTATTGTGGACTTCTCTTATGCCATCCCATAACTTGCTTCCAGCTATTCTTCAATTTGCAAACTAGCTGTCTGAGAACACTTGAGGCAGGGCCACTGCCAACTGAGCCAAGTAACCCTCTTGTTTGGACATTACCAAGTGACACTAAAGGGCTCACTCTCATTTTGCTCTGAAGTTTCAGGAGCTGAGTTCTTTGAGGAATATTAACCTGTGATTTTCATTTGCAATGTTTCTTTGACGCTTAATGTCAACCAAAAACCTACATGAAATGCATCATGAGGAATATGACTGGATGAAAGCATGAAAGGTAGGTTATCAAGTCACACAAGCAGGAAACTAAATACAGGATGTCAATTTTTTATTTGTCGTAGATGCAAAACATAATCATGAACACTGGATCATGTGATCAAACTTTAGTTTTCTGCCTTTTCAAAGATTAATAATGGTCCCAGCATGAGTGTGGATTGAAAATATGCCCTCTAGTGGTGTAACATCAATTGGGTACTCAACACTTTTTGGAAGAGTCTTCTATACAAGTAGCTAGTTACTTGCTAGTGTGCATCATTTGCGATGTACCGTGTTTCACTCGAAGATTTGGCAAATTCCATACCTATAAGTATGAGAGCAACCAGATCAGAAATCACTAGTTTTTCTTTGTTTTATTATAATGATATAAATAAAGTCCTCCAATAAGGATAGGATTGAACTACCCCGAAAAATAAATCAAGTTCCAAACGAATTCAAAATGTCATGCTTACATACAGCAAAAGATAAAACTACAATTTGCATATTTTTCACAAAAAAGAAAACATATAATCCTACACCATCTTTCCTCACAAATTAAATCCTGATTTCAACATTTAAAACTAGAACCCTTTTTACTTTTTGACATTTAAATACTGCTTTCACACACACAATGCCAGGTTACAAGTAGTGATGCAGAAAACTTCAACAAGAAAGTGATGGCATTTACAACTCACTGGCAGAGTGAATAGCCATAAAATAAATGGATGAATAATTTGGTTAGAAAATTGGGATATCAGATGGATAGCTAACCATAGTACATTGATGGACAGAGATCCAAACAAGTTGATCAAGGAAGGAATAAGGACAACCTAATATTTTATGCTTTCACTTTTTGTCTCTTAGAAGTTACAGTCACCCAAGTCCAAGAAACTTACCTAACTTTTAGTAACATTAAAAAAAAGGCTACAGAACAGCTTCAATCCAGATAGGATCAACTCAACTAGTAAAACAATATATGTAAGGATTTGAATCTTCTGAAGTATGGAGATATGCTTTACATGATATAATATGGATATAATTAAAATTTTGATAAATTCATAATTATTATACGTGTATATTTTATTATAATTCACCTTCTATTTTTCAAAGTCTACGTTTATAATTTCACACTCCATTCCAAGTTTTAGAGGATCCGAACACTCCCATTAATGCTATAATACTAAAAGAAGCTAGATAAGTGGCAGTTTTCATATGTCACAACTTCATAATACCACAATTCTAAAACCAAAGAAAAACGATGAATCGGAACTGACAACTATTCTGAGTGATATTTAATCTGAAAATAAAAATCTGATAAAAAGGGGAAGGGGAAATATCTTTCTTACCTTCAATAAAAACGGATGCTGCATATTTTACAAAAAATAAGGTACAGTATGGTAGCAATTAATTAGAAAAACAATATTTAAAAGTTTAACGACTTCATAATTTATCATACGTCTACATTTATGTTATCACAATTCAATCATTAATTTTTATATCAATGCTCTCACTAAATTGCGTTGGACGAGCTTAATATGCAGAATAGGAGACATGATTAATGACCTAGGCTGAAGGCTGAGGTAGAAAAATATGGCTCCTTTTAAACAAAGGTCTTGGCCACTTGGGTTCGATTTTTGTTAGCTATCCTTCTTGAATATATCATATGTAAGTACGATGAACACTCATTGAAGTTTGTGGCATAGAAGTCACATCGGCAACCTCCACTTTCTTAACCTTTTCGGCACTAAATGAATTCAATGTTTGATTTGAGATACAGATCGTGTCATGCTTACATACATAAGGTAAAAAAAAAAAAGTTGGCTGATTTTCATCAGAAGAAAAGGAAGATATAGAGTGTGTTTAAATCCATGTTTAATCAATCACAAAGATTCACGATTGCTTCAATGTTACTAATTACAACTTTTGCATTAACGTGATTCAAATGCAATTCCAAACATGCTAATCATCTTCATCCAAATTTAACACGAATTAAATCCTCCTTTCAACATGTAGAACTAGAACCCATATTAATTTGTAAGGAATGATGAGTCATAAACAACGTACGTGTGTCTTCCTATAGTAACAATTTCCAGTCTCTACCAAAGCAATGACATTGGCTCTTGTCATTCACGGTCTTGTAATTTTAAAAAACATACAATTTGTAGTTAATATCAACAGTACACTAACAAGATTGTTGCAACTTCAAATTTGAAGCTCAAGCTGGAGCTATTTCATCGATTTATTTCTACACTTGCTATGTATCATGTTAACAATGGTCACTATTGTAAGTTCATAGTTTCTTTTCTATTTTCCTCTTTGAACACATCACCAGCTTCCCACTCATATTCACTTTAGTATTTATCATACACTGCCTTCCTCTATCTCTTTTTTTATGTTGCCTCGAATATTTAATGAACGAGCACTTTCAATCTTCATCATCGTTACATGTTTCACTCGTGAATAAAGCGTGGCAAATACTGTCTTCTCTACTCACGAGATCTACAGCATGTTTTTTTTTTTTTTTTAAACGGAAACAATAGTAATCTTTTCTCTTAAGTATGCGTCACACAAAAATGTAGCCATTAGATTTCACAACAGTTAAAAATTTATTATAAGCATATTAACACTAGCAAATCATTATTCTACTAATCTACGTTGCTTTACTAAAAACTTTGGAGGTAGGAAAATACGGCTTCTTTTCAAATACTTGATTATAATTTATTATCTTTTAGACAAGATTTAGTTGCATGACAGAAACATTGAGACAGAGACACAGAAATATGCGTATCATGTCACAGGAGACATAAATTTGAAGGACACAAATGTCCTTCCTGAAAAAAGACTCAGCTCCAGAGACAAAAAGTAAATTTGTAAAAACAAAAAAAAGAGACACTCAATACTACATGAAGAACATAAGCTCGATTAAAGAACGGGAAGACTTAAGATGTAGAAAATCATAACATGAGTGATTCGACAAATTTGAATTCCTATATATCCACTCATGGTACTTGATTGTGCAATATATATAAGAATTCTACGATATATATAAAATCCATCTGTATAGATATTATCATCTATATCCATAAAGTCATATGCTTTAGAAGAAACTTATTCAGTTCGGAAAGGAGTTTTGATTGATCAAAAAGAAAAATCTACTTCAACCGATATGCCCTTAAGCACGGCCATACATAACATAAAAATCACATTTAGAAAGGGTGGACAATTAGCTAGAGCAGCAGGTGCTAAGAAGGACACCAGTGTCCTTCCTAAAAAAAAGAGACACTATTGTCTTAGCTCCAAAGACACGAAAGGTAAATTTGTAGAAACAAAAAAGAGACATTTAAGCTCCAAAGACAGGAAAGGTAAATTTGTAAAAACAAAAAATAAAGACACTAAATCTCTCTGTCTCAAACGCTGCCTAATAGAACACCATTCACAAAGCCTGCTACCTTCATTTTAAAATATATCACATCATTCCCCCAAGATTCCTCGGGAGTTTAGAATTGGGACGTAATCATCACACACCTTCCATCAATACCTCTATTAAAAATTATATTTTATTTGCATGACTGGAGACCAAAACAGATGTAGCAAAAATTGAAGGGTTTAAATGCAATTGGTTCAAAAAGACTCATTTGGTGATACTTAAGCTTTAAACTAGTCTCACGCTCATGTCTTGCTTTCGAACTCACAATTTACTTGAACAAATTTGCATAGGACAAAAGAACATTACAAGTGCTTTTTGCACTTATTTTGCTATTCCCCAGCTAAGATTTATGTTTAACATTGGTAATGTATGCCAACTTTCAACGTCAAACTTTATTGAGTAAATTAACAGCGTAAAACACAAATTTTAGTTAGAGAACAGCACTATCCTGCGTCTAAATTTTGTTCTTTTCTAAAAGGAGCCCAACACGAGAAATTCTACTAAGTCAATTAAAGCGAAATACGCATGTTGTCAGCAAAATACCAGCTAATCAGCAATAAGTTCTTCTGTACTAGCAAGAAAATTATCCAAACCTAAAAGTAGCAATTTTGAAGTTTTCTAGTTAAGAAAATAACATACTAATAGAGTCAGTGTGTTCAAATTATATGAAATATGAAATTTAGGCCAAGGCCAAACCTGTCTTAAGCAAACTAGCGTCCATCATCACTACGCAGGACAAGTTATTTCCTCAACATTCAAAATATTGATAAATCCATGCAATCACAATAACACAAACCGAATAAGCAACACAAACAATTACTAATTAGAACACAAGAATAAACAAGAACAACTCTTATAACTATAAATTAATCTCTTCAAAAAACACTTCTCATTGAGAAGTCAAGGAAAGACAAACTATCTGTGACACTTTGAGTGCAATTAAACCTAAAACAATATCAGAAACAACTTAAAGTAGCAGAAACATAATAACACTAGAAACCCAACTTAAACAATAGCATTAGCCGCACTTGCAATCCTAGGCCACAGATCAGCACACTCCTTCCCAATTGGACCAGTAATAGCAGAACCTACAATTACAAATAACACCAAATCAACACCGGAACCAAAACCACACAATTATACTCCAATTTCACATAAAAAATGAACATACTAAAAGCAATTGATGAAACCACTAATACTATGTAGAGATATTTAATACCTTTCATTTCACCCTTGGGATTCACAATAACACCAGCATTATCTGCAAAGACGAAGTTCCCCAAGTAAAAACCTAATTTCGCTTCCACAAATATAAAACCATGAGAAATAGTGAAAATAAAGAAATACCTTCGAAGTACATATAAACACCGTCCTTTCGGCGCCAAGGCTTGCGCTGACGGACGATGACGGCAGGTAACACCTTCTTACGGAGATCGGGTTTTCCCTTCTTGACGGTAGCCATAACCATGTCTCCGACACACGCCGACGGCAACCGGTTCAACCGTCCCTTGATCCCCTTCACCGATATGATGTAGAGGTTCTTGGCACCTGTGTTATCGGCGCAGTTCACCGTCGCCGCCACTGGTAGACCCAGTGACATCCTAAACTTGTTCCCCGCAGATCCACCGCGACCTGAAACATCAAAGCTTTGTTCATTAACATGCTAATCGAGCTTTTAAGCAATTGAAACATCGAACACTGGAGCCACACCTCTCTTTGACATTGTTGTTTCTCGATCAAACAACACAAACCCTAGTTGAAGTTCTTTCTGTTCTATATATACATGCTCACTGACGCCTATGTGGCTCTTACTAGGGTTTAATCACCATGGACCTGGGCCTTATTTTCGGCCCATTATTACACTGGACCAGTTTGACCCAAAAAAATAAAAGGTATTCGTTATAAAAAAATTGCAGACCCGTACAGACGAAAAATAAAGTGACACAACATATATAGTACCCTTTTTTTGGTCTTTGGTTGAATACGTACACTTCGATGCAATTCAATTGACACATCATTACAGTTGGATTTGAACCAAAATAATAAAAAGGCTTTTACATTGTATTTTTTATTTTAAAAAACTAAAATTAATTTTAAATCTTATTTAATTATCGTTATTTTTATATATTATTTTGATTGAAAATCATTTTTCTCAAAGAAAAAAAAATCTTTAGCTAATTGACTTTATTTTCTTTATTGTGTGCACATCCCAAATACGAGTGTCTCAACTTACGAACTTGTTTGGACTTGCGTACTTGTTCTAAAAGTAAATAATTCAATTTACTGTAATAAAGCATCCATCCGTTGACATAAAAGTTTATAAAGTAATGTTAAATAAATTCATAATATAATGCCCATGTAAAGGCAACATAAAGTATCAACCAGAATTTTCCTCATAACTATTCGAATTTCTAATGGCCATTGTAATTTTTTAAAATAAATTATGTTTTCCACAAATCATTACAAAAACCACATTTTTCACTTTGCTTAATATTTCTAAAAACATGCTCAGAAATAATAGACACAAGAGTCACTTTATATAAAGTTCAAAAATACAAAAAAAAAAAAATATTTCTATAACTATTTAAATGAAAATTCTCAAATCAAACGGCAATACTTTTCCCACTATGCTTGAAAGCCAGCTTTAGAGCAAAATCCCCGACATGCATTCGTGATGTGTTTGTAAAATGACTAACAACTTTGAGGGTTGGTTTTTTCCACCATCATAAACAAAGGTTCCTGCTTTTAATTTTCGGCTAACTAGCTTTATATTTTAGGGACATGAGTCAGGTTTAAGTTTGGCCACTTTGGTCCCTTTGTTTACAAAAAGGGTACGCGTTATCTTGATTCCACATTGTAGCAATAGCAAAATGGAACTTTTTTCCATCTTTTTAAGCTTTCAACTAGAAAGAGAAGTTTTCTCAACAATTAATCTGCCATGCATTCAGCACAACATAAAACATCAAAGATTCAGAGTTGCTAATGCCTGAAGGATATTTTCTTTCTTACTTTTTTTGGGCCATGACTGCCTAATAGTTTCCAAAGGCTGTAAATAGCAACCGGTATTCCACCTCCAGCCAAATTAATGATATATAAAAAAAAAATGGAGACGAATTCAGTGGATTGGATATTGTTTTGACTAATGATGGCATCCCTCAGACAGTAAAATCGGTTAAGCAGAGTGACCATCATGCTACTGTCGATCTAATGGATCCTGTAATATGAAAGAGTTAAATGAATAATTAGAAAAATCATCAGACCCATAAAAGCCAAAAAAGAAAATAAATGAAATACATATATTATTTGATAGGCACGAAAAAATATTAAATCATTAAGAGTTTAACAAGACATCTTTTACCAATAACTTGCATCCAAGGGATTTATATTTATCATTAACACCAAAACACTTGATACCCCAAGAGTTTTTGGAAAAAGCTCACCAGTTTGCCAGTTTGGAACAAGTTGTTTTGAGTTTCAAAAACAAGGCAATTTACACTTACACCCCCTACCTAAGGTGTAATGAAATTAAACTCAATACCCCCTTTCTTGATATTTCGTTCGTATAACATAAGAAATCAAAAGATGCTGTGTTAATGAGAAGAATATCCAGGGTTATGCTGTTTAATTGAAGGTCTAAGTAGGATTAAAGAAAGGTCTAGTATAATTTCATTAAACATAAAAAGAACTTTATTCAACTCTAATAATAGTGTCCCAATATGCCAAATTAAAAATAAAGTCGGGTTCCTTCCTCAACCCACACATTATGAGGGAAAGAAGATAAACAAGCAAGTCAATGAGATACTTTGTTTCTCTTACATGTTTGGCTCAACTTATTTTGAAGAATAATCGTTTTTTTTTTTTTTTTTGGGGGGGGGGGGGGGGGAACTATTATTTTCCCAAAATTATTCTAATTGAGAATTTTTCGACAGCTTTTTTTTTTAACTAATTTTGAGCTATATTCACAACCTAAAATATTTATCTTTCTACAGTCATTCTCCTTTCTACACATGCACACAGAAATACTTACCCAAGCAGACATGGAAGCAACCAGCATACACACATATAAAAGACAAACTAACAAATTAGGCAGTAGTCATATGTCACAAGTCAAATTTGTAGTCTTCTCTTTTGCGTACAGAGAGAACCCAAAGAGCAAGAGACGTGCTAATTAATGGATGTTGCAATAACGCTAAGCTGAGCTCAAGCATCAAATATTCAACTTGATCCAATGCTCATATTTATTCGGAACGTTTGAACCCTCACCATAGCTCCACCAGGCCAATATTTGTAAAGGTCGTGTTCCAAAACACTTCCACAAAAGGAAATTAAACTCAAAAGTAGCAGAATCAATACTATGATTATTATACACAATGTTGCTCCAATAAATTACCTGTAATCACTAATCAGAAGTAGTGCCAATACTTTCTGAAATTAAACTCAAGTCTATGATGCCTGGACACATCAATCGACACCCACCAAAATATAACTCGCCCTTTTTAGCCCACAAGATAAATACTTTTGCATAGTAAGCAAATCGGAAAGTAACTAAGGTTTACAGAAGATGGCATCAAAGTGACTCTGTGACCACTTCAGTATAAGCAAAGCATGGGATTGTGAGTTTGTGACAAACAGTTATTGAATATAGAACATGGCAAGAAGGAAGAATCCAACAAGCAAAGCACAAACGTGATAATGAGCCTTCAATTTTTACCGAAGTTTCATTTAAAGTTTGGGTAGCTTGGCATTACACCAAATCAGCTACACAATCAAATGAACCCAAATGGAGAATATATGCCATAGGTGCAAACTCAATAGGGCCAAAAAGTTAGCTCACAATTTCTAACAAAAAGCATTCAAATTAAAGATAATACTTCCACTTCAGTATGAACCAAGCATTTTCAACTATCAATCATGCAAAACGAGTAAGTCATGTAAAGCATAATGTTATGATGATCAAGATTGCCTTCAATTGACAATTACAACTTCCAGATGATCTGTTTTCAATAATTCGTTTTTACAAATTATTATTTACTAGGGAACAAAACCATCAACCACATATTCATGTGCTGAACAAAGAATAGCTTCCATCAAATAAAACCAAAGTCCAACTCGGGAGTGGATGCAGTATATTTCATAACTATGAGAGACTAAATATCAAAATAACGACCTAAAACAAATATTGAAACAAATTAGAGAAGGCACAGTATAGGAATTGAATCTTCCATAAAAGAGATAATGGAACACTTCTTTTTTTAAACTTTATGCACTTTAGACATAAATGGACGACTGAACTTACTATTTGATCGCTTAATATCCCTGCAGAATTTACTACCACATCTGCAGTGGAACAGCTCAACAGGCTGATCATGGTCATCGAAGTTGATGCCATAGTCCTGCAGAAACACTATGCACATAAGCTTTTCTAGAGAAAATTAATTCATACATTAAACAATTTGAAGAAAGTGAATTATGTAAAAATGAAAACCTATGATTATGAAGACGTTCCATAACAAATGGTCTACCAAGAGCCAATTACCCAGGGATTTATAAATTGGTAGCTAATAACAATTAATACTATATTTCAATCTTGAATTCATGATTTACTCAAATTATCTCAAACTTCAATAGCTAACTTATGCCCAACTTCAGAACAAAGAGCAATTAATGTGCACCACAGAAAACAGAAACAGTCAATGCAATATAGTCACAAAACAATGCTACAGAACCAAACCACGCACCCAAGTGAGCTCTTCCTGTGCTGCTATTTTTCGGGAAGTGAAGAAGGCAAACTGCACATTCGAACACATCAAAACATCATTAGGCAATGGGTTCTATAGAGTCTGTCTTCCCAAATGCCAACAAAGGTAACTAAAAACTGCAAATGGACTTAGTGGATTTGTTAACTTCTCACATGATAGTAGTGATGAGCTGGGACCTCAATTTCAACTGGGATCTCAATCAAGTTTGCATCCAAACATCTGTCAAAATGAAATAGAAACATTAAAAATGACCTGATTTACAATTTCAAATAATGAGGCCAATGTCAACCTGGCCACTCTCTTTCAGAAGTTTATAGTTAACAGTAACACAATCATACCATCAACAGCAGATGAAAAGAACCTTGGTCTGCTCAAATGTAGCCATTTCTTTCTTAATTTGTACATGACAAAATTGAACCACTTCCTTCCTAATTCCGCTTCTTGTTTTAAACTTAGTACTTTTTGTCTATGTAATTCGATAATATAACAAATAATGTTCCTTTTCTCTCAGGATAATTGAAGCTCACAGGTCAAAAATTAAAAACTAGGTGATATTTGATATTTGACAGTAATCACTTGTTTGAGTTGAGACGATTCAGAAAGTTGATGAATTAAAGTGGGAAAAACCCATTACTCTCTTCTTGGATCACTAATCAATAAATAATCATGTATGACTCAACTCAACTCAACATCAATAGAACTAAGGGTAGGTTTAATTCAGATTTTGAAAGAATTGAAGCTAAAAATATTAACTTGTCTCTGGGAATGATATTTAAATAGTGAGCTTAGAAGAATTTATTTTTACGTAATAAGGTAGAATCACCTTTTTAGTATAGGTAATTTTTAAATTTTTGTGGGTCACACACCCAAAATCAATTGCTCAACTTGAAAACAAAATATCCACCTACCTCAAAACCAATTCTACTCATTGCAGATTATTTTTAAACCTAAAATGTAAAACAAACCATTATAATCACAATAGAAACTAAATTGGTTGAGGCAACCACCTATTTGTGTTGAACCAAGCAAGCAACAACTAGGACATAGAACAGGAACATTTATTTTTAGATTTTTCTATAAAAAGAAAAAATCAGTAATACATGCTAAAATATTTATCTTAAACAAATCAATTGCAAAAGTACAATAGTCTCTAGGGTTAAACTTCTATAAATAATCACAAAAGACTCCTGTTGAAGCTTGAGAAATTTCAATACCTGTGATTAATAAACCTAGCAACATTTCCATATGATGCTGCATATAAGCAAAGAGCTTCTCTATCCTTCACTACTCCTGAATCCCATTCTGCATCCAATAAAATTGGGTATGTATAGCTCCCATTTTGGGGATATTTCAAGTTCCTCTCGCGCAACTCTTTGACAGTTAAAATTTCCCCAATAAACTCACAAACAAATGCACCTTTTGGAAGATCCTCTAAGGTCCGAAGACCCCACCCTTTTCCATCTAAAGTTAAAAACACCTGAGTAGCAGATAATTAATAGGGAAAACATATCTAAATGAAGTTCTAACAACAAAAAAATGTGTTTGAGAACATAAAACAATGAAATGTCGCCTCATTGATCTCAACATTGAAGAAAATATGTTTCTTACTGGTAACAAAGATTGCTTAATGAATCACCTGCAAGTTGTAAGTCATCCCACACTGGACAACCCGATTGCCACAATGTTTCCCACAGCCACATTTGCTCCAACACTCCTTAATAAACCTCCTCTTTAAGTGTCCTTTACATGGTTCTAAACAATCATCATTCTTTGATCTTTCAAACGGGCACTCTTTGCAATAGAAATAATTTTGAGAGTCACGGCTGATCGCAATACACTCTTCCAAAAACTCTTTCTTTAGTAGTCCTTGTGCAGTGTAAGCAAATTGACCCCCAGTTTTATTTGTACAAGAACATGGTTTAGATGACAATACACAGTTGCCCATACAATATGAACAACAATCTCCATTACCAATACAAGAAAGAGAAATATTAACGCAGGCATCTCGGAACACAAGGTTTCGGGGCATGTAATGAAAGGGTGGTGGTGAGAAATCATTAGTAGTGTTATTCACCCATGAAACTTTCACTCTTTCTTCTCCCTTTGTTAGATCATTAACATCATGAACAGCCCTTATATCATCAGTTGTAAGCTGATGATTTGGAAAAACATCTGAAGTACGTGAATTTGGGGATATAGGATCCTCCAGCTCCTTCTGACCACCACTTTCTAATAAATCATTCACTCCAACCTTCTTGGAAACTAGCACAGCATCATCCAGACCACCCAGGCAGGGTAGAGAATTTTGACCTTGAGGTGCATCAATGGCAGAAGAAGACTTCACATTGATTGATCCATTTGCAATGCAAGAAGGCATAACCAAATCTTTATTTCCTCTGGCAATCAGTGAGTCATTTGCCTCAGATTCCTTTGAAACGTCGTCAACAGATTGCATTATCTCTACAGAACCATCCTGTGAGATATTACACAAATCAGTACTGAAGTCCAACATGTAGTCATATATATCTCTCAACAATTTCATGACAGAAATTAGGGTATGATTCCAGCCATTTATCCTCCATCTTTTTTAGAATTTGATCATGACTAGGCAAATGAAAATTTGGTTCCCTAGAACTGAGCCATAGCTGAGAGAAAATTTTTACCTCTCCCATAGATGACAAGCCTAAATCTACATTAGAAATTGCTTCTTCATTTGAGGAAGGAAGAATATCTTCACCTTCAACGTCTACATCTCTGCTTTGTAATGCAACAGTGTCATGGCCATGTTGCTTTCCAGCTGCACCTCTCATCAGAGAGTCTCTTCCACTTGATGGTTCTTTTGAGGGAAAATAAATCAAAACAAAACTCATCAACACAAAGTTGAATGTGGGATTAGATTTTAGAACCAATAACAAATAAATAAAAGACCCAAAATAACTTTTCTCTGGTTTTAGACCAAAATATAAGACCATTTCTGATGCCAAGAACCAAGGATCCTCCACATATATAATCAATAGCAAACAGCGATCATCATATAACAGACTTCTTTGAGAATGCAAAAGTTATACAGTATGCAGGTAGAGACTTGCATGTGCCAACAGAAGCACAGGGATGCCATAGTGAAATGCTAGCATTTAAGGAGGGAAATTAATTGGGTTCAATTCAACTAAAACTAATTTGCAGTTATGCCAAATTTGCATGTCAAATTATTTTCTTCTTTTGAGATATGTTAGAATTAAAGTTTTTTCCTGTATTTTCCTAAAAATAGTGCCCTTTAATTGGCTGCTTTACCGGGAAAAAAAAATACTGTACTTGTTATATGATTCAACAAAAGTGACCATGAAGTTAAAAGTCACTGCCAAGATGCCATGACAAAAGACAAACACAGATACAGAAAAACAAGAAGCTTGTCATCAAGGCATAGTCAGCTGAATACCAGGAGGAATCACTGCAATGGGAATCAGATAATCTGGCATATCATCAATAGGTTCATCCTTGGGCTTGAGCAAAGTAAATTGATGAGACACTTTGTTTTTTGACAACAAAGAGGCTCCTGGTTCAATTGTTGGCTCTTTAACTGGTTCTAGACGGTGAGTTCCATCAGAAATAGACCACCTCCCTCTCTGAGTAACTTGAGGTGATACAGGTTTCTTTCCCTTATCAACAGTGGCATCTCTTAATGGAACTTGACCAGCTTCAATCCTTGCATTCCCATCGGATAAAGCTGTTGTACTCTGAGGCTGTAGTCCGAAACTACTTTCAGGCACTGTGTCATCTTCTAACTTAGGCGTTTTCAGTGGCAAGGCCGCTGTGCTGGGGCCACAGCTAGTCAAAGGACGTGAAGAATGACCATCTTGACCTCTTAAACGCAACCTCTTCAATGGCCGCACTGGCTCATCATGCATATGAGCTTCTTCATCATCCTGAATGTTTGAAAAGCCAGAAGACATTTCAGCAGCCATAGGCTTACTTAAGAGCAAGAAATAAATGCAGACAAACTCAGCAACATAGAATCACAACTTCACAAGTATTGTACATCAACCTTCTTGCTTGTGTTTTCCTGGTCCGCCTCCGACCCCTGTTAAATGATACCAGACAATGGATGAGAGTGTGAAAGTACTAGATAGAATAGGCCAGAATGTGGATAGGCAAAACAAATAAAGATAATGCAGAAAATAAACCTTATTTTCGTCCTCCTCAAATATGGCATCTGCCAGAGCCCTATAACTCTCTTCTTCGATGAGTTCCCAATTTTTATCATACAATTTAAGTAGTTTCTTTAATACTGGCTTCACTTTGGATTCATGAATCCCAAGATTGGCCATTGCTCGATAGGCCTGCACCACTCTTGGATTGGGTGCCATTTATGATCAGCCAATAGTTACTTCTGCTACAGGCTCCCAAATGCAAAACACAATCAAAATTCAAAGATTTCACATATGGAAATATCCAATATACAATTTACGAATAATTAAGCTACAGCCCTCAACAATATTTAGGTACTAAGTTAGAAAAAACAAAAAAGACAGGGAAGATAACGGAAACGTTAGTGACCATTACCCCACATTTCAGTAACCACAAAACTAAGCACGTCAACCAAAAAACTTCACAATAATTAAGAAAATAAATTCAATCAAAAGAGAACTCCGTATTTGTCCTATTCAATCAACATTCTGTTCGGGAAATTTCTTAAAACTAAATGCCATCAAGTTCGGAACTGATATGCAGCATAGTTTAAGTCAAGCGTTACACTTGCATGTAGAATGTGCCATTTCTCACAACTAAGTTAAACCGTACACACAGTGACAGAGAACACGATATGGAAATTTTGCATCATTTTGGACATGATTTTAGTTGCAGAAACTTAAATAACAACCCAAACCCGTAAGTGACCGAGAAAAATATAAATTAACGGACAGAGGAACACGGAAAACGAAATTCAAAGCGAGAACTGAATGGCACATGAACACACATTGCATAGTGGGGGGGAAAAAACCATGAACCTGCGAGAAACGAAGAACATGATCAAGAATGTTGAGGAAGGAAAAAATGGTTTCGAGTATCAAATAACCACCGCATTTTGGAACTGTGAATTTTTAATTATTTTTACTGTGGTTGCGGGAGGGAAGAAGTTTGGGGGTGAATGGGAATAGGGCAAAATTAGAATTAGAATATTGGAAGAAAAAAATGGATGAAGAGAGGTGTGGTTTCACTTAACCTGCTTTAGATTTTGACCTTCTCCTTCACATTGATTCACTTGGATTGGATTATTCATTATTCATTATTGAATATTGGTTTTAGCTCGCTGGCTAGGTTTTACAGTGATGAGTGAAACTGCGGCGATGACTGTTCTAACGGTAATAGACCCTCCCCTCCAACGGAAGCGCGTCCTGCTCACGCCATCAAAGCTGGGTATAAGAGTCAAGTTTCACTCCTCAGTTTGCATCATTTGCGCGAGGCATGACATGTGCAAGTATTTCATTTTAAAATAAATAAATATATATATATTATAATAATTAAATAGTAAAACTTTTAAATTTTTTAAATTATTATATATATGATAAAACCATTTTTAATAATAATTTTTAAAATCATTTTTAATTTAATTCTATAAATAAAAAATAATAAACAACTTATAAATATAAACATGAAAATTCACCAAAAAAATAAGAATTATAACTCTTATTTTTAAATATAATTAAGAAAAGTAAAAAATAAACTACAAAACACAATAAAATTTATATATTATTTTTAGTCAATTTTAAGCTTGAATATATATATTATATAACGGTTAAAATATAGTTATTATAGTAAATTTTTTCAGATAAAATATTATCGTTTATAATATAAAATTTGATTAATCTTTTATATTAAAAAATATCAAAAACAAACTTCAAGAATATTAGGGAGAACATTGTATATTTATATTATATTAACTGTTTTATATATAAATAAAAACTATTGAGTATATTAAATAATATTGATATCAATAAGTATTGTTTTATTATATAATACGAAATTAAGAAAAAATTAAGGTAAGGCATATGATATGTTAAAAAAAATTTAAATTAATTAATATTAAAATTTAATTTACCTACAAAATCAAAATATCTATAATTTTATATAATGTAACAAGTTTTAAAATGAAAAAATAAAATAAAATATGAGATTAAAATTGGGAAATATTATTTGACATGAAAATAATAAAACTATAAAAAAAATGTTAAAATATAATAAGTTACATAATTTAATAAACAAAATATGTCTTAAAAACATTTGCATTAAAAAAAATCACTATAATATGTAATATAAAAGTAATTAGGTCTAATTTGTGGTTGCAAATCAATGCATTTCATTAATTATGAACTAAGTATTTAACTCATTGAGACTAAGAAAAGTAGTTAGATGTAATTAATTTATACTTTCTTTTAGAAATACTTATAGTATTAAATGATAAAATTAATGTGTTACATATTAAATGAATAAATATATCACTTTGAATAATTCTAAATTTTTTACCTTTATTTTTACAAATCTTCAGAATTATTAAATGAAAAAATAATTTTTTGCTTTATGTTTTCAACATAATAATTAATGAACAAATTTTATTTGATACTTACTTTATAAAGTAGTAAAAAAATTAGTAGAAGAATAAAGCAAAGCTCGTCCACTTTTATAGATAGATAGTAAATACATTATTAATATAAATCTTATAATAAATAAGAGTATAGAAAATTTAATAATTAATTCTGTTGAAAAATAAAGAGATATAATTTGTTATAAATAAAATTAGAAAGTAGTAGTGAATATTAAATTTAAAGAAATTATAAATACAATAAAAATACTAAAATGAATGATCACATAAAAGATGATAAAATATAAATTATGTATATAAGAAAAATGTTAAAGTGACGTTTACTATAAAAAAAATACAAAAAAATAATAATAAATGATTATATTTAAATTCAAAGATCTTAAAAATTATTAATTATTTTAAATAATTCAAAATCATTATCACTAGAAGTTTGTCAAAATCAGATTATAGAACAAGATTTTATAAGTACTAGTCAACAAATTGGAATTCATTTATCAACAGATTTTTTTCTTCCATTTGAACTCATTTCCATAATGCTTTGATAGGTGCAATTGTTGTGGCTCGCCAATAAGAACTTATTCTAACTAATAATCTAAATCTGAATTCTATTTTGTTTAATTTTCTCCCAGTTATTTCCGTTGAATTCTTGTTCATATTGATGAAATGAATCAAAATTGGTAAGGAGTTGGTCAATGATGTTCGAGCATGTACTTATTTTGAGTGCCTATTTATTTTCTATGGGTATCTATGGATTAATCGGCAAAAAAAAATTTGGGTTCAAGTTTTTATATATGTAAAAAATTTTAAATAGTAAATTTATTTACCACATCTAAGTGTACAATTCAAATAGAAATTCATCACTTATTATTTGAAATAAATACTCATTTTAGACTAATGAAGAAAAAAAAATCATGTCATGAACAAATATTGTAGAAAGTTGTATTAACTTTGGTTACTTTTGGCAATTACAGTTAGTGTTTTTCTTCAATAACCTTCTCAAAAGATCGTACACACCCCTCACTTTTAGGCATTTATTTTTTCGTATCAATAATGGTGCGCATTGTAAAAACAGTAGTTCTGTTGATAATGATCGTGACACGGGTTCAAGTTGACTCATTTTTTTCTTAATTGCAGTAATGGTTCACAGAGATGTAAAATATGCAGGTCATTAGTTTGGTAGTTATTTGTTTGCACTTTGAAAATGACTAGGATTGAAACTCTAATCCTTTTATAAGTCATTGACAACCTAAAAATGCTAGTTATGTCGAATCGTCGCCAATGTGCCTTATGACAAACTACCCGTGCAATTATATGAGTAATGAAAAGTGTTAGACAAACAATCACCAAAGACAAACACAAGAGTTATAACTATCGTATATCGTAACACAAGCTATTTTTAATCACTTTGTTCAAATATTTTAGCTAAATCAACTAGTTTAAACTAGCAAAATAAGTTTGATTGAGTTTTGTTTTCTTTTATATGTAACTGTGTCAACTTAACCGACTCATTTTATGCATAATTATTAAGTTTTTATACAATTGAATTAATTGAAGATGATTGTCTTTATCATACGTAGATATATTGAAAATTATTGTAGATATAAGTTGTGCTTGGTAAAAGCAAACGTATCGCTTAATTATGTGTTTATAAATTATTGACTTGGTTAACAAATTTATATAACAATTTAGTAAATGAAAAATAAAAAGTCATAATATTTAAAAATTAATTTTTTTAAATATAATTTAAAATAATATTTAACTTTAAAAATTAACTTATATTCTTTATTTAAAAATCAATAAATTAATTACCATACAATTAAAATTTAATATACATGCATTAGTTTTATTGTCTTCTGTTCTCTTTACATTTAGAACACATTTAAAAAAAATGATTAGTATTTTTTTATTTTTATCTGTTTCTCATTTTTTATACTCAAATGTATTTGAGATTAAAGAAAACATATAAATCATATTATTTCATGTTCAAATATATATATAAAGAATTTTTATTTTTGCATATAATTATTTTTTAATTAGTTTTAAATAAATAATATTTAATTTTAATATTGTATAAATATAATATTACATATTATTTTAAGTCATTTAACATAAATTAATTAGTTATCAAATAATTTTAATTCTACAAACTATAATTATAAACTTTTAACTAATTTCACATCTAAAACTTAAACATAACTTTTTACTTATTTTACCATTTATAATAAATAAAACCTCGAATTTATTTCTTAAAAATAGTATCGTCACTTTGGCAACTAAGTCAAGATGTTACAATAATTTTACAAATCATATATATTTTATTGCATTATTTTCCAACACAAAGAACTAAAGTAAAATATATTTTATATGTAAGGTTGCTATTTTTCCCCTTAAATTTCACTGTACAAACAGTGTTATAAAAATAACAATGAGTAGGATGTAATAAAAAAAACCAATAATACATTTCTCACCCATTTTTAAGTATTTTGTGTATAAACCCCATTAAATAAAAAATAACACCATGTGATTTAGTAAAATATACGTAACTTTATAATGTAACATATTGTGTACAATACGATGAAATATCTCTTTTAATATTTAAACTGTAAATATTGATTTTTTAATTTTTAATTTTATCAAACTTTTATTTTATTAATAAAATATGACAAAACACTAAAATTTAGTTTGAAAAGATAAAATAAAATAAAATATGTATAAATTTAAAATGAAGGCACTCGATTTCTATAATTTGAAAATTTAGAATAAATATTTTAGAAGCTCATTACGGAGGGGGCCCACGCGTTCAGACCGTGGTGGGTCCCATCGGTACCGCACCTGAACACGGTCCACCCCTGACTGCAAAAATTATCATTTTTCTGTTGATTTTGATTCGGTGCATTCAAAAGTTACCTTTGACTCCTTTTGGTTAAAAAAACTTCCCAAACTTCACACTAATGTCCAAATTAGCAACAGAATCAAATCATCAAATCGCATCCCCTTTTAGGCCACAGTAATCACTTCTCAATTTTTAATCAAGCCACCAATAATTTAACCTCATTCACAAATAATTCAACACTAACATGCCAACTTCCATATACACTCATCAACTGTTTCTCTCTTTCTCGGTTAAGCATTAATCAACAAGGATTAATTCGCTTAATTCAAGTTTAGGAAGCTCAGAAAAATTAAAACCCACCATAACGGCTCTACTACTACGAGTTTCAGGTAACAGTTGCATATAAATGAAAACAAAGAGCACCAAAGAAACCCTCTCTCATCATAAACCTCCCTTCATGGAAAAATAATAAAAAAAATGTCTTTCATTCCAATCTCCCAAATGGGTATGTTCCCTTTTCTTATTCTCTTAACAGTTTCGGTTCCCCTTCTTGATCCTACACTAGCCTCAGCCTTGGACACCACAAACTTGGTGTACAAAGGTTGTGCTGACCAGAAACTACAAGACCCATATTCCCAAAACCTGAAACCGTTGTTAGATTCTCTGGTGGCAGAGTCAGGGCAAAAGGGTTTCGCCGCCACCACCCAGAGCGGCATCACCGGCGTTTACCAATGCAGAGGGGATCTCACCAACTCCGATTGCTACAACTGCGTCAGCAAGATTCCTTCCATGCTGGACAAGCTCTGTGGTGACGTGGCAGCGGCAAGGGTCCAGCTCAGCGGGTGTTACCTCAGGTACGAGGTGGTCGGATTCAAGCAAGTTCCTCAGACTCAGTTGTTGTACAAGGTTTGTGGATCCAAGAAGGTTAGTGACGGTGGTGGGTTTGAAGCGAGGAGGGACTCGGCGTTTGAGATGGTGGAAAATGGTGTTCAAGGTAGTGGAAGCTTGTTTTACACTGGGAGTTATCAGAGTCTCTATGTGTTGGGGCAGTGTGAGGGTGATTTGGGAAATGGGGATTGTGGGGGTTGTATCAAGAGTGCTGAGGAACAGGCTAAGGTTCAGTGTGGTGACTCGATTTCTGCACAAATTTATCTCCAAAATTGTTATATTAGTTATAGCTTTTACCCCAATGGAGTCCCCACCATGTCATCTTCTCCAGGTGAAGCAATTGAGATTAATCATTATGTATCTTTTTTCAATTGTTTTATTATATCACAATGAGCCTAAGGAAGGGAAAATTAATCTTATGGGATAAAAAATGAAATGTATTATGTATATTATATATTATATTCACAATATGACATGGTATTAATTGTGGGATTTAAGAAGTGGGGTTGAGGAAGGATCTGGGTAGTTGGGTCTCTCTATATGTGCAAGATTTGTGGTTGTGGTTGGTTGTTTGGTCAGAAATGAATAAAAGATTGAATTTTTTTGGTGTTTAATTGGACCAGGGTCAGGAGGGCATCAACACATTGAGAGGACAGTGGCTCTTGCGGTGGGAGGGGTTGCAGCTGTGGGATTCTTGATTGTTTGTTTGTTGTTTCTCAAATCAGTGTTGAAGAAAAGAGGTGGGAAGCGTCGAGGTTGATTTGGATTGCATGTATGTATATACCTCAGGGATTCATAGATCTAGTTTTTTAACATCTTAGGTGAAGAATATACCTTGTGCTTTTGTATAGTTCTGATCAAACCAAATTCTTATGATGAGTGAATCCGATTTGCGGTATGAATGGGGAGAAAGTGAAGGGTGCCACACAAGTTTATTGGGTGCTGTGTGATAGATCTGTGTCCCCACTTATATGATGACTTTAGCAATGAGATAACACCTTTTTTCTTGCTCTAATGCACTTTGAGTTGTTGCTTTACTTGCCCATTGCCATGCATACCCTCTCCCAAATCCAGCATCATGTGCATCTGAGAGGAGGCAAAACAATAGATGTTGAAGGTAAAAAGAAAAAATTTATTAAGTGTCTATAAGTATATGCTATATGCAACTCAAGGTTATTTGGAATACCCCCATCCAAAAGACTAAAGAAATAAAGTGTTTTACATCTTGGCTTTATTGTTTAATGCTTACCTCTCCTTGCTACCCTCTTAACTCCAATTTTATTGGTTGTTTAGTTCTGAAAAACGTTTTATATTTTTATTTTAAATTATAAATTTGTCACATTTTTTGTATTTTAAAAAATTATACAAAAATATTTAAAAAGTAACATTTTTTATAAATATTTTAAAATATAAGATATAATAAAAATGTGATGACGATTTTATAATTAAAATAAAAATATAAAAAATATTTTCTGTAACATGGATCACCACATTTGTTATATTTCTCGTAAACACTCCATTTTTTCTCATTAAATCAATGAGATATTTCTATGATGCCGGCATTGAACAAAAAAAATAAAACACCATTAAGGTATGCATAAAATAACATGGGTCAATTTAATTTAAAGTTTGGTATAATATATACATATATATTATTTATTAAAAATATTTTAAAATTCTATTTAAATATTAAGTTTGCTGGAATATATATAATTTTGGACTTACTAAAATGTTTAAAGATAAATTTATCTATTTATTTAAAATATCTTATTACGGAAGTAAGTTTTAAAATAATTTTATGATAAATCTTTAAAATATTTATATTGAATAAATAAGTTTATATCTTATAATTGTAGGTGAAAATAATTTAAATTTTAATAAAATCTATCTTTAATTAGTTATTTTATTTTTAAATAATAACAACGTTTCTTGCACTACTCTTATAAGGAATCATAATTTATTGACACCATGTATCAAACTTTAATGAGAGTATGGTTACAAATTAAATTTTTTTATATCATCTTAATAATTATGTATATCATTTTTTATATATTTTTAAAAATTGTAAGTATGGTGTTTAAAATTTGATTTTTTAGTTTAAAAGTATAATATCTATTAAAATAAAATAATATGATAGAGTATTTATTAATTTTATATTTATATACAATTTTGCAAAATTAATTTACTTAGTAAAAACATTTGAACCAACCATTAAATTCATAAAATTATTAAATAATATAACTAACTAAATTTAACACTTAAATTACTTTTTGAAAGGAAAACAATAATGCATATAATTAACGTATATTGCTAGCTACAGTGAGTGGTACAATTCTCATTGGATGTCTGGTGTCATTCTCTGGAAGATGTATACTTGTGTAAGGTAGTAAATGTTACCCAAGTGCAATTTTTTCCTTAGTTATTAAGCAATGAGAAGTGGTCTTAAAAGGTGTTACCATACTATGCATTGGACCATAAAACCTTTCTTCTTTTTTTAATGCGCCTAATAACACATAAGAAACATCAGGCATAAAAAGTGGGGAAAAAAGAAGGAAGAAAGGTGAAAAAATAAAATAAAATACCATTGCTAATGGAAACGTGGCTTGATATCGAAAGTAGCGGGGAAGAATGGCAAGGTTTGTGGCTGCTAATGATTAGGGAAGTGGAGGTCTACATCAGGGCAACTCATTAAAGAATAAAGAGACAGGTGTAAAACCTAAGTACAAGATTGGCTCATGATCTTTTTATTTTATATCTTTTTCTTTCAATATAAAATAAATAAATAAATGTACAAATATTTTTACTGATTCCATTTATAGATACTTTTTAAACTATAACATAATTATATCTACTTAAATTTTAAATCTGAGATAACAGAATAAACTGAAATAATTCCCGTGAATTGATCTGTGTTTACCGGTGATTAATTTTATAGTTAAATGACTTTTAATGCAATAAAAATATATATTAAAAAAAAGTATTAAATCTAATATAATTGCAAGAGAAAATGCCAGCCACCAGCCAGGTAATCAAAACAATAAAGAAAGCAGCAGCAGCAGAGAGACACGGGATATTAATTGTTGTATATTTTTGTTTCTTTGTAATTATAATAAATTTATATTTTAAAATAAATACTTTATATTTATTATTAATAAAACTTATTTACTCGTGTGAATAAATAATGAGTTAGCGAAATACATCTGTGCCTACAGGCAAGGGGATGAAAGAATGCCAATAATGGGGAACGTTTATTTGAGTAACGTCGTGATGCATTATAGGATTCGCTATTCAGTATCGTTTAGCAAAAGAACGGAAGTCATCGATGCTACAAAAAGGACACACGTCTGTTACAAAAATATTTTTAATTATCTTAATTTTTGTAACTTCTGCAACTTTTTTTTTATTGTTTTATTAGTCTTGTTTTTCAGAATTGAGTTTAAATATTAATAAATAATTATTCTTTTAAAGATGTGAAAATATAATCAATATTTTTTTAAATTATAAATTTTTTGTTATTCAATGTTTACATTTAAATTTAAGAATTAAAATTAATATTTTTATTATAAAGTTTTTTATTTAAATTTAATATTTTATTGTATATTTATTATAATTGACGTTTTCCTTTCAAACATTTTTCATCCTATATGTTTGTGTATTTATTTTTCCTTGCTAATTGTATGTTTGTGTATTTAGCCTCAAATGAAAGTAAATTGTGATAAAATCTTTATGTTTAAAACATTTATTTCCGATATATTTGTCTAAACATGGGATATGATAAACTTATCGAATTTCCCATTATAATGTTTTTTATTTTTTCAATTATTTTTCAAAATTAACTTAAACAAAATATACTATTGATAATAAAGTATCTATCCATATCATTAATGGACAAGAATTACTCCCTTTTATCTTATTTGTAAGATACTTCTTGTAAAGTTTTAATAATCTTTATTATAAAATGTTTTATAATTTTCTGATGAATCATTGGCTGTTATTATTTTATTTTTAATAAATAAAAATTATAAAAATATTTTACTAAAAATAATCCTATCTGAATCAGGTAGAATTATGGGCAGGGATAATTTTTTTAATATATATTAACGGTAAATTAAGACAAAATTTATGAACAATTATTCTTATGTGTTGTTATGTTAATATTATTTATTAATAAAATTGAAATATACAATAATATTAATTAAAATGTATGTGCTGTATGAAAGCACAAATGCCACGAATCCAGGAGCCACTTGTCAGGGCCACAACTAGGCTAATAAACAAAAAGCCCATTGCAAATGAAGGCATGGTTGTTGCTCAATCTACACTGCACAATCCCAAGCCTAATCAACGGTTCAGATCGCAGCATTATCCACCACGGACGGCGTCAGATCTAACAGGAGCATCATGTGCCATGGAGCCGCCAGCTCCTACTACTCCGCTATATAAAAGCAGCACCTCACATTTTTGGTGCCCTATTTCTCAAATTCCAATTCTCGATTTACCACCAAAAACAGCCACCGGAAGCAACTGGAGTTCCAATTTTCGTCTTCGTAACAAATAAAAGTTCTCTCTCTTCTCTGCCGGGAAGCCGTTGCTCTCCTTTGAGGTACTTCGAGTGTTCCCTCCACTTTCGATTAGGGTTTAGGGTATGAAACCCTAGGGATTTTAGTAGATTAGAAAACATATTTGAATGTGTTGCTGTTACTATTTGCTTAATTCCAAATGCTGTATTCTGATGATGTCCGCATTAGATTCTCTGGTGTTGTCGATCTTGCATTTCGAATTGTCGTTACTACGATTTTATATTGTGATCATCGTGCTCTCCTAGGGCTTAGGAAATTAGGAATCTACTTTTTAATTCAGGTTTTGCGTTCAGCGTCCTCGGCACTTTGGTTATTCTTTTCTAATACATGTTTTCTGATTTTTCCGGTGAAGGTTAAGACCTTCTGTTCAAGCATGGGAGATAGCGAATCAGTAGTTACAGAAACATCTGCCGCCGAGGCTTATGCTTCGGCTGGTTATGCTGACAGTGCGTCGAATCCTGTTCCTGAGGCAGGTGCTGCCGTTGGTGAGTCTGCTGGAGAAGCTGCTCAGGCCCATCCAGCTTACAGTTATGGTTATTCTAATGTTGGTGATGGGAATGGGAATACTTATGCTGGGGATCCTAATTCTGTTCTACAACAAGCTCAATTCAATGCAAACGATGATTCCAAGCAAACTGCTGGAGTGACTGATGCTAGTGAGGCGTCCACTGGGCTCGGAAACATGGCAACAGAATCTAATATAGTTTCTGCTTACAATTCATCCCTAAATGGCGGTGTTGTCAGTGCAGCAGCAAATGTAGCAGGACTTGAAAACGGGAATGCGTTGGAGAGTGTTGATGGACAAGCTGATGAGAAACAGCTTACAGATGGTTATGGTATGATTTTGACCGTTACTTATATATGTTAGTAATAAAGTAATCCCTGCTTAACTGTTATATAAATTTTGTGCCAAAAAAATCAGTAGCAAATGTTAACATTAGGTGCAGAACTTAATCAAGTGTCAAGCCTAAGGTTTAAGTGGTTTATTAGCTAGCAAGTATTTAATTCAGGTCAGGCACACACACATTATCAGTGGAATAGTTTGTACCCAGCATATCAGGACTAGCAGAGTAGACATATAATGCTATTATGGTATTTCAGTTCACTTTAGTTTCAAGTGGCTTGATATTTAGCCAAGCATCAATTTATAATTTGACGTGGTTCTCAATCATTGATAAAATGAATAGCTGTATTTTGTGTATAAATGAGCTTGTGTATTTAAAAATTGATTTGATTTAAATGGTTGACTAATGCAGAAGAATTGTTATTTTGGTTTAGTAATTTTTAAATCATATGTTTTGAGCCACTTCTGCAACTATTTTTTCCTTCAGTTATTGTAATAAATAAAATTGATGCTGAAACTTTTCTGTTGAAGGATGCGTTTTATGTTACTAATCCAATGCTTTCTTTCAATATTTTTTTGGCAATGCTATTGCAATTTTTTACCAACATGTGCCTATCAAACCAAATTATGATTTTATCCTGTTCATTTGTTCTCACCATTAGCAGCTTCCTTGTCTGCTGAAGAAGATCGATTGTGGAATATTGTAAGAGCTAATTCTTTAGATTTCACTGCTTGGACTGCCTTGATTGAAGAGACAGAGAAGGTCGCAGAGGTATGTTATGCTGACTTGAATTCCATGTGGGATGCACTAGTATTCACATATTTCTTTTGACACTGACTAGGAGCTTAGTACATGTCTATTTCAATGGCCATTGAGTTATTTGATGCAATGTCTTTTTTGAGTATGCCATGTTTGTTGTATCCATCATTGTATATAGGGGGTGGGATTACTCTTCTTTTGTTGGGGTAGGGGTGTAAAGTTGGATGGGTGGATTGTTACTGGTATGTATCTTGTATCTCTGGTTATTATGTGATAAAAACTTTTTTGATTCTCTTAATTGTTAATGTTGACTTAAGCTCAAATGCATGTGAGGTTTCTCTTTCGAGAATTCTGAGATATTTTTGTTATTCCTGTTACTCATTTAACTATTAGTATGTGGCAGTATTATAAGGCGGACTTTAAATAAATGACTGATTCACATTGCTTTCAGATTTGTTAAATATATGATACAAACATACAGTATATGTACTATTATGATGGTATAAATTATGTGTGCTAAGACAATTAATAATATATATTTATAAATCTGTATCTCTTTTTCTTTTGTATTATTTATTAAATGTGTCAATATTGTATACAAAGTTTTGTGGTCGATTTCTTTGTTGTTTGATTTGCAATGGACAATCAAATAGCTGTGTTTTGTAATTTGTTAGATGCATTTTAGAAAGAATGTTCTTTAGCTGTACCTACCAAATAACATCCTTTTTTCCCTCCTTTTGTCTACGTCATTCTTTGGAAGCCTAAGGTCTCTTTGATTTCTAGAATTTTTTTTTTCACTTTTAATTACAACACTGTCACTTTATTTTCATTATGTTTTCTATGATCTGTACAGGAAACAGTTAAAACAGAAAAAAGTTGTTTTCAGTGTTTCTTGAACAAATATCGAAAACAGGAAACAGAATAGAAACAGTAAATGAAAATAGAAAATATTTTCTGAAACCAAATAGCTCCTCCTATTCTGGAAATGCATGTTCGGTTGATGGCGTAATTGTGTGTTTTATCAAGTTCGTATTTTGTGTTCTAATGCTTAAGAAACTTATTCATTAATGATTTCTCCATTGAAGGACAATATTTTGAAGATTCGAAGAGTTTATGATGCTTTTCTAGCAGAGTTTCCCTTGTGCTATGGTTATTGGAAGAAATATGCTGACCATGAGGCACGTCTTGGCTCTGTGGATAAAGTTGTTGAAGTGTACGAACGTGCTGTTCAAGGGATTACATACTCAGTGGACATGTGGTTGCATTATTGTATATTTGCTATCAGCACATATGGGGATCCAGATACAGTTCGTAGGTAATGGATGTTTATGGTTGCCATTGTTTTTTGCATTTGGGAGATTTTGATCTGATTTTCCATTCACTAGGCTCAGTTGTTTCTTGCCTGCTTTCTAACCTAATTTCAGAATCCGTGCAACAGTGGTATCTCCCTTATATGGCGGGAAAGCTTTGATGGGATTGCATATCAGAATGTTTTCCATTCTGATGTTTAAATCCTTGGTTTTGAGTCTACTAGTTATGGTAGTTTGAAACTTGTAGGGCCATTTTCCCCAACATACTTCTATTTATTTCAAAATCTATAGTTCAGTAGTTTTTTTCCCTTGTTGGAATGGTAGCTGTCTTTATCTTTGACACTCTTGAGGTGCATCAATTGCAAATTGCTGCTGGGAAGATCTCGTCTGGTTAAGGGCTAAGATGGCCTCTATGACTGCTCCATTTCTCGGACATAGTATGATTTATTGCAGGAAGGTAAATGCAGCGTTTGGATGTCTTATATGATGTTACGAGTGATTTGTTTGTTCTCCTTCAGCACTAGTGCTGCTGTCTCCCATATATGGATGTGCATCAGTAAATAGATGCTTCAGGTCACATGTTAACCAGAACTGTGTGTTCACATGTTTCAGGCTTTTTGAACGAGGATTAGCTTACGTTGGAACAGATTATTATTCTTTTCCCCTTTGGGATAAATACATTGAATATGAGTACATGCAGCAGGACTGGGCCCGTCTTGCCATGATTTACACCAGGATATTAGAAAATCCAAATCAGCAATTGGATCGGTATTTCAGCAGGTGATTACTTGTTTTAATGCTATTACCCTTCCCCAATAGTTTTAAAAAATAATTTCTTGATTTTTTATTTTGTACATCATCTCTCCTTTTTTTGGGGTTTAATATTACTTCCTTGGTGGTAATGGTGTTTCAGCTTTAAGGAGCTAGCTGGAAATCGACCTTTGTCAGAATTACGCACTGCTGATGAAGCTGCTGCCGCGGCAGGTGTAGTTTCCGAGGCTACTGGCCAAGCAGTTGAGGGAGAGGTTCGTCCTGATGGGGCGGAACATTCTCCTAAATCTGTAAGTGCTGGCTTAACAGAAGCAGACGAGTTGGAGAAGTATATCGCCATTAGAGAAGAGCTGTATAAGAAAGCTAAAGAGTTTGATTCTAAGATCATTGGTTTTGAAACAGCTATCAGGAGGCCCTATTTTCATGTTCGGCCCCTTAATGTTGGAGAGCTTGAGAATTGGCATAACTATCTGGACTTTATAGAACGGGAAGGTGACTTAAGCAAGGTAAATGAGCTGATTTCTGATAAGTGTGCAGTTTGTTCCTAGATTTTCTTGTTATAGATTGACTTACAGCACGTGATATCTGTTGTATCATATGTTTTATTGGCTAATCCGTTGGATGAAGCAACTTTTTAATGGGGAAATTGAACTGAGACTAAAGCATGGGCCTTCAATTTGGTTTCTTGAGGCTAAGTACTTCAAACCCTAATTTGTCAGTGGACATTCTAGGTTCATCATGTGTTTGTAAAAGTTTATTCTTTTTAAAATGCGAATGTTATGCATGCAGGTGTCTTCTAATCTTCCTAATCATCTCTCTCAGGCAAGGAGGGTCCCTCCTTTCATATTTGAGGGGCCTCTCTGTCCCGCTAAGGAGTATTTCTTGATGCTTTGTATTTTTCTTTTATGCTTTATATTATTGATTTTGCTTGTGTATTAGTCGCCAGTGACAAATTTTACAACATTGTTTTGTCTTGTGTATGATTTAGATTGTCAAGTTGTATGAGAGATGTGTAATTGCATGTGCCAATTACCCTGAGTACTGGATACGGTATGTTTTGTGTATGGAAGCCAGTGGAAGCATGGATCTTGCAAATAATGTCCTTGCTCGAGCAACCCAAGTCTTTGTTAAGGTAATTTTTTAATAAATGTCAGTTGTAGGGTTGGTAATTGGTTGCTACATTTTAAGTTATATGCATCCCTACACTTTTTAAGCTTTAATGAAAAGTAATATATCTAATATACTGCAGTAAATAACCGCCACTTGTTGATGCTGGTTTTTACATGAATAAATGGTTGACTCTGACTGGTGTAATAGTTCATGAAACTGGAACTTGGGTTGTGATATGCACTCAAACATGTGTGTCTCATTCAAGCAAAAGTAGTTAGTTATTGCTGATGCTTTAGAATAAGGGCGTTTAGTGATGATGTCTGTCTGTGTATTTATCTGTTTAGAATCTTGTTTCATCCTAAAGAAATATATGATGATTGCTGCCTGTTCCAAAAGGTGTTCCAATCATAAGCATAATTAGCATGTTGTCTGGTTATGTACACGACAAACATAATTCACACATATTGTGCCAGAGAGGAAATCCACTTAATTTTTCTGTAATATAGTCATTTTGTTTTGTTTGTTACTATGCAGAGACAACCGGAGATACATCTTTTTTGTGCTCGGTTCAAGGAGCAGGTTGGAGATATAGATGGTGCTAGAGCTGCATACCAACTTGTGCATTCTGAAATTTCTCCCGGTCTTCTTGAAGCAATAATCAAGCATGCTAATATGGAACACAGACTGGTACGCTGAATTACAAAAGTGTTTTTAGATTGTGAGTTAATTTTAATTTTAATTTGAATTGTTTAGAGCTTTTCCATTCATTGATGTTACAGGGAAAGTTGGAGGATGCTTTTTCTTTGTATGAACAGGCCATTGCTATTGAGAAAGGAAAAGAACATTCACAAACATTGCCAATGTTGTTTGCACAGTATTCTCGATTTGTATATTTGGTAACATATTTGCACACAAATACTCTTATTTCATTGTTCTTATGTTTGAAATGCATTTTTTATTTTTTTTCAATTCTAATTCTTCCCTTGGTTTTTTAGAAGGTTTACTACTGATAGTTCCATTAATTAAATTTAGCTTCTTTTGTAGCTAACCTGACTGCATTCCATTAAATGATAATGATCTTTATTCTTTGAGTGCATCTATTTTCCAATAAATAAAGCATCCGGATAATTCTATGAAAAGAATGACAATTTCTAATTTAGAAGTACTATTCTTTGTTTAACAATTTTTGTAGTTTTATGCCTCTGGTTGTGTAGATGAAATATGTGGAAATGATCTTGTCTTGTTCCTAAAATCCTTCTGTTTCACATTGTCATTAGGCTTCTGGGAATGCGGAGAAGGCAAGACAGATTCTGGTTGATGGGCTTGAGAATGTTGTGTTGTCAAAGCCACTACTTGAGGTTCTCTTCTCCTTTTTACTTTCCAGGCTCTAAATTCACTTTTATTATCCAGTTGGAGATTCTTATCTTTGTATTTCCAACTGTTCCTCAAATCTAAGGTGATTCTTTAATTCCATGTTACATGCAGGCTTTATTGCATTTTGAGGCCATTCAACCCTTGCCAAAAAGAGTTGATATTGACTTTCTGGAGTCATTGGTTGTTAAATTCATAATGCCTAACCCAGAGAGCTCTGGTGTAGCTAGTGCAACTGAGCGTGAGGATCTTTCTAGTATTTTTCTAGAGGTAAGTCCTTATAAGGAGAATGCTTTTTAAATGTTTGTTTGAGGAAGAAAGTTTTTGTGTGTGTGTGCACGTGTGAGTTTATTAGTAATAATTGTTTCTTGTAAACTCGGTGGTTTTGCTGGAATTTTGTTTTCATTGTGTGCTGGGTTGATTGATCCATGTACGGTAACCGACTCTGCTCAATGATACAAGGCCTTGTTGTTATTGAGTAATGCTAGGCCCTCATTTTGAAACTGGTTTGTTCTTTGGGCTCAATTATGTATCAGACCAACTGTTGCGTATAAGTACAAGTAACTAGTTACTTAAAACTTAATTCGAGGAGGAAGAGAGGGGATGGGCATGAAAGGGACATGTAAAAATGTTAGAGAAACAATAATACATCGAAAAATACATGTCAGACCAGATCTATTTCCGGTTTCCTATTCGAAACACGCAAATCACATCACTTCCCTTCCCAATAAACAAATATGTAACTTATTTTACTAACAATGTACCTATTCTTAACCTATGGGTTTGTGGTAAGTATGATTAAGTATAACTAACTAAATGATTAATCATAGGTAACTTAAAATGAAATAAGTTTTATATTTACTTAATTGAAGTGATGTTATGCAATAAGTGTAAAAGTGTATTGTTGATTGGATAAAAACATTGCTAACATGCACACGAGTGTGGAGGTGTATCAAGTAGGATCATCTGAGGAGCTAATCTTGATCATCAAATAAGTGTACCATAATGGCCAGTTGCTACATGATGCATGTTCATTGTATTGTCTGGTTTATAACTACCTTAATTTAATACATTTTCAACTGTATGGTACACTTATTTTATGATGTTTTGTTTTTATTTTCAAAGAAATTGTTATATCTTTGTGTTTCTGTTTCTTGAAAGGCCTGCCTGCTCCTTTTGTATTTTACCTTCCAAGTTATAGCTTAGGAGGGTATTAATTTATCATGAACTGTTTATTTTCCAGTTTTTAAATCTCTTTGGAGATGTTCAATCTATCAAGAGGGCCGAGGATAGGCATGCTAAATTGTTTTTGCCGCATAGAAGTATGTCGGAATTGAAAAAACGTCATGCTGAGGACTTCTTGGCTTCCGATAAAACGAAAGTGCCAAGAAATTACTCTGTTCAATCACCTGCCCAATCCCTGATGGGTGCATATCCAAATGCTCAGAACCAATGGACTAATTATGGAGTACAACCTCAAAGTTGGCCACCAGTCACACAAGCACAAGGACAACAATGGACTGCTGGCTACACCCAGCAGGTAGAATACTTTTTCCTCTTATTTGGCAGTATTTTGTGCGCATGGGGTTTTTCATGTGACCTAGGAGAGCTTCTTTTGGAAGCTAGTTGGTGTGTCAAACTGTAATGCTTTCCACTTCTGTTTGTTACACTTATTAATCAGAAAACTGCAATATTAATGGTTTCTGTTGTTAATACTTAGAAATGGATGTGGACATGTAAGGTGTGACACAAACCTGTCCATAAAACCAGTGTTGCAAAGCAGCATATTGGCATAGTTGAATTAGAGTTTCTGCTTTTAAATCATGTTGCAATTTAACTTAAACATGCCTTGCAGCTATATAAGACTGATTCATGCATCTTTATCTACATGAAAATCATGTCATGAATACACTTTATCTATTTTTTATGCTTGCAGTTTTCATGAACTGAAATTGTTAGGGTCTAAGAAGTAAAATCAATAAAAAGACTGAAGAATATTGACAATTGTTATTAACCCCTTTGAAAAGAATCAGGATTACTAGAATCCTCCAGAGCTATCCCTGCTCCTATACAGAGAACAATTCTCCCTAACTGTATTTTTACAGCAAAAAACCAAAAGTCCCCCTAGTTCAGAATCTAACTCTATTTAAAGGATCTATTAACCATATTAACAACTAACTGTTCTATTAACCATATTAACAAGTAACTAGCAGTTGGCTCCTTCCTTCCCTTCCTCCTAACATACACTCTCCACACTTTAAGTCTCTTATTAGTATCAATCATATGTTCTTCTTCCATGGTCCTAACAGAAATGATATATCAGTATTCTGAGGTAACATTTTGTTTTACTTGTGTGTTTGTGCATTTATTATATTATATAATGTATGCATTGATATAGGTGTTACTGCTAATTCATTATGTAATGGATCTTTAACTGAACCTATTTTGTTGTTTTGTGGTCTATGTTGTCATTTTATCTGCTTTTTAAAGCTGGTTTATCAGGTCATATTTGTTTTGAACTGATTCATTCTGATTTGAAGCAGGCTTCCTATGGGGCTTATGCTGGATATGGGGGCAACTACGCAAACCCTCAATTGCCTACATCAGTTCCGCAAAGTACTGCTTACGGAGCCTATCCTCCTACATATCCTGTACAGGTAAAGCAGTTTTATTGAGATATTTCCCCTGATATGCTGTGTTTAATGAGTACGGTTCTGTTGTGTTTCTGTCATTTTTGTTTTCCAAATGTCGTTTATGGGAGCGTTTATTGTAATTTTGTTGCATTGAAGAAGGGGAACTTGAAAAATAAGGGAAATATTTGAGTCGCCGAGGGGGAACAATGTAATTGTTTTATTATAGTCTCATTTCGAATTGTATTGAGTGTTAATCAGTTGTCTGAATTTCAGCCGGCACTTCCTCAACAAAATTATGCACAACCTGCTGCAGCTCCTCAGGCCTATTACGGGGGGAGTTATTACTGAGATGAATAGATGAGATGGCCACTTTTTGCTTCCTGTAATTTTCTCTCACTCGATATTTTAGGTAATTTGAATATTTTAGGGAATTTGGAGCACAGGTTTAGTGTAAGCTTAAGTTATACCACTGAAGAAAAAAATCATTTTGACTAATTCGTAATTGTATTTTAGTTATTTTGGTGCTTAATACAATTTATTTTTATTTGTCTTTTCAGCGGTTAATGCTTGTTATTTTTTATGCGGAGTTAAGTCAGTAACAGTTGGTTTCTTCCTTGACAAACGTTACATACGTTTTCGTTTATTTTAAATTTTACGGATGTTCAAAATATTTTCAATTAAAAAAAATGAAAATATCGATAAAAGAATATAAAATATTTTGGTGAATCACAGAACCTTATTTTTCCTTACCATTTAACAAAAACTCCACCCAAGATCAGTTTACTGAATTTCAGTGTTTACAAGCATGATATCCTGAGTTCGTCGCTTTCGTTAATTTTGGAAGCATTTTTTTACTAAGATGTATGTATAGGTGTATATATTAATATACTTTGTTGCAGACTTAGCTGTCAATATTACTTTTGCAAGTCAGAACTTCGAAAGGAGTCCGTATTTTTTTTTTATCTGTCAACTGATTTTGCTATGCATTATTCTTTACTAGTTATATAAATGACTAAATTATTGTGACGACGCAAAATCCAACGCTTAATATTTCATCTTGATGTAAGTAATTTTGTGCACATAAGCAAGAGGGAGAAGTACATTTATAATCTACAAAATTCCAAATTTGTATGAAAACTCTCCTGCAAATGTTTCAAGGTAGTTGTAAAACGGGTAAAGTCACACTTTAGTTAACAAGGAAGTGAAAGTGCGAAATTCTTGCTTAAATAAAGTAAACATTAGTATGGGAGCCAAATTTGGAACGATCAAATGAAGCAAAATTAGAACAATCAAGTATCTACGTAAAGATAAGTGTTGAATTCTACTCTGGGGATGATAAGAAAAACAAACTGAGACGAAAGGGAAAAGAAGGTAAAATAAGTACTCATAGTCAAAATATTTCCTGGGTGAATGCAGTCCTACTGGTATGGTCTTAAGATGACGAAGACAATTTCTTATTATTTCGACCTAATTTTAAATTAGTTTTGAAGGGTTGAAAATTTAAGAGTTAAACTTAATGTGTATGGTTGACCAACAAAATGCACTTATCGTGTTTTTAAAAACAAGATTTTATTATATCTCGAATTGTTCCAACTGAGCCCAGTGTCTCGTATTGTATTAAAGTTTATATATATTTTTCAATAATTGCATATTAATAATAAAGTTTATCTATTTAATTGATAATATTTTTATAGTATACCATTAAATTTGTGCATTTTTTTTATTTAAAATTAGTTTGCTATTAAAATGTATATAATAGAAATTGATTAATAAATAATATATTTTTAATTATATTATTAACGCATTAAATTATGTGATTATTTTTAAAACGTTATATATATATATTATTTGATTAAAATTAGAAAAAAAAATTAAAAATATAAAATTATTATTTTTGAAGTTATACATTTTAGTAATTGATTGTGTTAAAATTAATTGAATTGGTTGAATGATGCGTAGATTGTAATTGGGTTGAGTGGGAATTGAGAGAAAGGAGAGGAGATTAGAATGTAAATGCGTGTGAGAAGGAATCCCACAACAGGCGTCCCAGTCGCACAAGACAACATAGGAAGGCTTGTAGTGTCTGATTCCGAAACCAAACCATTGAATCTAACCCGTCCAGATATTCAGTTGGAAAACAATCTGACCCTTGACGTTGTACTAACCCAACGTGAGACACCTAATCCGAGGGCTACGATTTCGTGCCACAACCCTTCCCTCGACGATAGATTATAAAGAAGAAAGAATCCCACCCGACTCCACTCACTCACTCACTCACTCACTCACAAACACTCTCTCTCTCCCTCTCAACATCATTCCCCCTGCACCCCACTCTCTATCTCCGATCTATTCATTTTTTGATTACTATATATTACTTCATTCCCTTCACCACTCTCTAACCAAATTCACTTCTCTCCCCTTTTATTTCTAAAACCACCAACAAAACATCCTTAACTTCAACTCCCTCTCAGTTACACGAGCGATTTAGGGTTTCCGCACGCTCTCTCTCTTCTCCTAAGAGAAGCTCCGCATGTTTATTAAGCCCTAGCTCTCTACTCCATCTCTTTACTATTATGGCCTCTTCCTATCAGGGTTCCGTCAGTGCCGCCCAGGTATTCTCTTCTTTTCTCGCTGTTTCATTCCCTCCTCTGATCCGTTTCAACTTTTAACTCACTCAACTTTTCTCTTCTTCCAGGTCGGTTCCTACTTCGTTGGACAGTACTATCAGGTTCTTCGCCAGCAACCTAATCTCGTTCATCAGTTTTACTCTGATTCCAGCAGCATGCTTCGCGTTGACGGAGACTCCGTTGAATCGGCACACGATGTGTTGGTATGCTTACTCGTCATGCCTGTCATTCATCTCCCTGTTTTTTTATCAGGAGTAATGTGTTAGGTGTTTGTATGCTGGCTGTTCGTTTTATGTTCCCTATGTTGGAATTGTTTCACGATGCGCATGGTTGGGCTAATTGTTGATTTTTTCTGGTGGTTGTGGTGACTGTGCGGCTGAAATGCTGGCCGTAATGTGATAGTGTGATTTTATTGGAAAGAAAATGTTTATCTCGCTTTTATGTCTTCAATGTAATAAGTGTGTTTTTTTATTAAAAAGTTATTTCATTTGGATGCTTAAGTTCTAGTTGTAAGGGGCGAGGTTAATGAATTGAAACCGTGTCTGGAATATGTTTGTTTTCTTTTAAGTTTATTTGGTGGTACTAATTTCCACTGATCGAAAAGGTTTGTGCTGAATCTGTCAGTATGATGATGCCCTTGATTGAAATCTCGATTGTTACAATTAGAGGATTAGTGCTTAGCTGTCATTTCAGCTTTTGAATAAAAAGCTTCTTTTTGTTTTTTACTTCAATAGAATCCTGTTCTGGCGGTTTATTGTTTCAGATACATCTGCTAATGATTGGCATGCTCTGTTTCTATCTGTTTTTAGGGATGGTGGGACAAAAATATTGGCTGATAGCTGATCTGGTTTTATTTCTCTTATGCAGCAAATTCATTCAATTGTCATGTCACTGAATTTTACCACAATTGAGATCAAGACAATCAATTCTCTCGACTCTTGGGATGGGGGTGTGCTTGTAATGGTCTCAGGTTTTGTGAAGATAAAGGATGTTGGTGTGAGGCGAAAGTTTGTTCAAACATTCTTTCTTGCTCCACAGGAGAAGGGTTACTTTGTATTGAATGATATGTTTCATTTCATTGATGATGGAGTAGCGTACCCAAATCTGGTACCAACTGCGTCTGAAAAGATTGACACACAACCACATGTATCTGCTTCTCTTGCTGAGCCACCTAGTAAGTTGATTACCAAATTAGGCTTTCCAAGACATTTATTTCTGACTACTTACAGGAACTCTTTGTGCTGTAGCCTGTTATACCAACATCTGGTTAGAAGATTCATGACCTGTGCATCCTCTCACATCCTAGTTAATAAACATATTTTTTAAGCAGTAGAGCATAGCTGCACAGTATATTAGGTTTCCTTGTGACAATGATTATAAATGAGTTTTATGTGTACATTTTTATCATCCCAAAGATGCAAACTTCTGTGTAGAAGTTGAGATTTTCTCTGTCATTCTCCAAACTAAAAAAGTATGTATGCAATGATCAATTTTTTTTTTTAAATATATTGCATTTCTTTTGGTTCTGAGTCTCTTATTTTAGCAGCTTCAGACTATGGTTTGGAGGAAGAAGCTAGTGAATATGTCAACTCTGTTCATATAGATGATGATCCAGTGGATAAGTATAGTCTTCCTGAGCATCATCAGCAGCTGCAAGAAGATCTTGAAGCAGAAATTGTGCTGGAGGAAACTCCTGCACGAGAGGTGTCTCCACCAATTCCTAGTGTTGCACATACCATCCAGGAATCCCCTGTCACTCTTTTGGAAGAGTCTTTGGAGGAGCCTCCTAAAAAAACTTATGCATCTATTGTATGTAAAACTTTCATTATATGTCTTTTTTTCATTTGGCTCACTACTGTCTTTTTTTTTTTCCTGCCTCTCTGCACTATCCATAAACAAGTACCACAGCATTGTTGTAACCAACTTGCAATCCAAAACAGTCTTTAAAGTAGTCCTTCATTTTTCCATAATCCTAATTTCCTGATTTATTCTTCAATCAAGAATTTGTGTCTTGTGAAACTTGTTGAACTCACCTTGTGATGTGGACTTTTGACTGAGCTACCAGCATTCATTTGGCTTCTTCATGGTTTTTACTGTGGGCGGGAATATTTTTGTAGTCTCTTAGTCTTAGATACTGGTAGAAAATCTAAACAGAAAGTGAGGCTAAGATTGAGGTCCTCATATTGTAGATTCTTTCTTTGTCCTAAGTTATTGCCTTGGGTGTTCCTCTTTTTATTTTATCCTCTTTGTAATGTAATATTTATGCATAAAATATTGGGGAATTGTTAATTTATTAACCTTTACTGTATATTGGACAAACCTTACAGTGGAATAAATTTTACATTGTTGGTAGTGTTTTATTGTGACCTTACCTAGTGAGATAAGGCTTGATTGTTTGTTGTTGGTGTTGTCTTAATGTAATCATGTTACAATGCAGTTACGAGTCTCCAAAGGGCAGCCAGTGTTGTCAGCTGCTCCACAACATGCTCCACAACATTCTTTTAAAAGTGCTCCTCCTCCTTCAGAGTTGAACCATGTAGCACAGCCTGCTGTTCAGCAGTCAAGCTCCGCGTCTATGTATATTCCTGAGTCTGGGGCTGAGGCAGCAGAGGAAGGCTATGGACTAGAAGATGAAGGTTTAATTTTTGTTCCTAATAAAATCTTTTTCTTGGCACATTTAGTGTCTATACTATTGAATACTTGTGTCATTTATGCTAATGACATGTGGGGAGTTCGTTTGTTTATTCATTCTTGATGAGGTCTTGACTGATTCATTCGTTACCTGTAATGAGTGAAAATTGTTGTACAGTTCAGCTTGCCAAAAGATTTTTTGGGCCGAAATTCTTTTGGAAGAGACATCAGTGGTGGTTAGGGGCATAAACCTTTTGATCCAAAGGAATTTTTGAAATAAAAATTTCAGTAATCTTAATGGTAAAATGGATGCTTTGTTCTACCATTCTAGAAACTGAATTTCTGTAAGAGTGTCATATGACTTACCTCATTTAAGGTTTGAACTTAATATTGTCCAAGAGTTTCTAGAATTAAAACATCAAGTTGATTTCTGATCTATAATTGGTCCAGGTGAAGTAACATCTGTCTATGTGAGAAACTTACCTGCTACTGTTACTGAAGCTGAGATTGACCAGGAATTTAAGAATTTTGGCAGAATTAAGGCAGATGGAATATTCATTAGGGTCCGAAAGGTAGCCCTCTAGTTGCATTAAACTGAATGCCCACATATCCATCCATAAAGGGAACAGAAAGCTAAAATAGAAATTGATGTATACAGGAAATTGGAGTTTGCTATGCATTTGTGGAATTTGAAGACATTATTGGTGTTCAAAATGCACTTCAGGTTCGGAGTTATTTTATTTTTTCTTCTTAGACCTAATGTTTGTTTTATTATCTAATTATTCAGTACTTTAATAAACAGAAAACACGTTCAAGATCAATGGATATTTTTGTCATCTCTTGACTCAGCTATTTGTTAACCAAAATCTATGACATCAATTTTCCTATTCCTTAAAGCAAGAACTTCTCTTTGCTGATTGATTTGATTTATTGTCAGTGTCGAAAGTTTTCATATGGCTATGATGTCGAATTGGGTAGTTTCATTTTATATTCTTAGGTTTTATGCAATCATTTATTTTTTATTGTGTTTACGAAAACCTTTGCATGTAATTTCATTGGTTAAATTTGTAGTGCAACTATGAACATATAACACCTTCCCTAACAGATGCCTAAATTACACTCAACACCCCCCCCCCTTGTCTCTCTCTCTCTCTCTCTCGGAAATGCAGATAGTTTAGGATTTTAGAAGAAGTGAAGTTTAACAGCCGTATTATTGCCTTTGGATATATAGGCAAAAGTGAATTTCATCATCTAAGTTCCACATAGGAACTAGGTGTTGATGATGCTGAAATTCACAGATAGAAAAAACAATTCCCTAAGAAACTGGTTTTTATTAAAATGGGCTAAGGTGTAACACATTCATCTCTTAGGAGAATGGGTGTGATTTTTAAAATTAGAGCAGAAGACAGTGTAGGAGAATGTAATTTAAACAAGAAACTGATATCTAATGCTACTTCACTAAATTGTCATCGACTGTCTTGTTCTGTTGCAATAATTTAAGCGTCTAAATTACTCTCTCTCTTTTCTTAACATGATTCTTTGGCTCACATCTGTCTCTATTATGTACTGTTATTGTAGGCTTCTCCCATACAATTGGCTGGAAGACAAGTATACATAGAGGAGCGGAGGCCAAACAGTGGCAGCGCAGCTCGGGGAGGAAGTAATGTTCTACATCTTTTTCACTTTTTGTCTCTCTTTCAAAAGTTGTAGCTTCTTAAGTTATGTGGGCTTTACCTAATAGTTAGTCTTTGGAAGGTGTTTGTTGCTGCCATTGCTAGTGTTGGAGTGCACCTAACATATAAGTCTGCAATAGCTTTAGTGATCAGAGTGGTTGCCTTATGGCTGTGGATGCTAGGGCACTGGTTGTTGTTGCATCACTTAGTATTTTGTGTTAAAAGGCCCTTGTAGATCTATATTAGGTTAATACTAAGTTCTAAATGGCATGTCATATTAGTTCTTGGAGGGGACTTATGGCTATACTCACTAACTGGTTGTTGCAATAGCTGTTCACACCCAAGTGGATATTCTTGTACTGTGTTATGGCCATGCTATACATCAGCGGATCTGAAACACCTGTATTGTGGCTGTGCTGCTATACATCATGGAATGTTGGTGTGATACTTATTGTAGTTTAGATCCTTGATGATGAGGGCTGGTGAAGAGTTGAAATTTCATCATTACTGGTTTTGTTAGTAATTAAATTTAGATGTGTGTACATTTGTTTAGGTTCCATTGGTTGTCAAAGTAGTGGTGTGTTTAGGACCCAAGGTTGGTTGTGAGATGATTAATGAAGGGATAAGTGTTTCTCTGACAGTATTTTGCTGCTATTGTATCCAAAAGGAATATGCTGGAAGTTACTTTCTTGTAAATTCATGGCAGCTTTAGGTGGACGTTAAGAAACATTTTAGGTCACACCCTGTTTGTTTGTGGTAGCAGTTGATGATGTATAATTTGAAGTGATTTGCAAATAAAAATAACAATGTGGATAAGAAAATACAAATATAGGAAATAGATAGAACTGATGTTGAACTATATGGTTGCAAATTGCCTGGAGTTAAGGTTTTGGAGAATATAGCCGTGGATTAAACAGAGTGGACAAAGAAATTTTGTGGAGGGCACTGGTAATTTTTTATTTTATCTTTTGTTTTATTTCAAAAAATTGTGGGGCCCACCTTGAATTGAAGCCCACATAAACTTCACAGATATGTCAAAGTTTTATTTAATTACACACTATGCTAGCAGAAGCATATATGCAATGTAATTCTTTTGCCTTGCTTCAGATGAAATATGACTATAGGATTGCACATCCTTATTTGGATGGTTGTACATAAAATACCTCGATAGGTGCAGTTTTTATTGGTACTACGGTTTAATCCATGGTGGATGACCAAGAGAGTACTTGTAGTATACAAAATTTAATGTTGAGCTTTACTTGAGATTTGAAAAATGATCATATCAATGTTATTCTGGTGTTAGATTTGAGTGACTGGAGATTTTTGACGAGTTTGTTGGTTTCTTTTGTGAAAGACAATAACTTAACACATTTCCTTCTTGACTTGTACTGCTTGGTTCCGTTCTTTTATGAAACTTCTTCTATGTAGTGAATATAAATAAATTGATTTGAAAGTGGTATCTATTTATATAAGCTTTTGATACTTTTGGTAGTCTTTCTTCAGTTCTGAAGTGTTTTGTCTTTTTGTTTTCTGATGTGATATTGATATCCATTTCCTTTTGTTTTTTGGGTGATCAGGAAGGGGAAGAGGGAGAGGCAATTATCAACCAGATGCTCCAAGAGGGCGTTTTGGTGGTAGGAGCACGGGAAGGGGAAGTAATCAGGATAACTCAGACTATACTAGACTAAGAGGTGATTATCTTCAGCGTGGTTCACGATAAGGAAAATAATGCAAAAGCATGCACCAAGGTGCCATTCGAGGGCTTATACAATTAGTGATATCTGAGCTTGATGTGGGTATTTACTGCACAACATTTTCCTTCTGTGGTTTCATATAAAGAGTCTTGCGTTTTGGGTGTGTCTTTTTCAAGTAAAAGCTGTCGAAACTTCACTAGTTTGTTTTGCAAGTATAGATCGGTTAGTTCCCTTTGAATGTGATTTATTATGCCATTCAGGTGGGAAATTTTGGTTATTTGTATTGCCCCATGTTTGGATTGTGGGGCCTTTTTTAACGAGAAAGGGTGTTGAAAGGGAAAAAAATGGTTTAGACTTCACTGCTGAATTATCAGGTGTCGTGGTGCATTTTTGTGTGTTTTTAGCCCATTTCCTTTGTTTAAACTTGTTTTCACAGTACCATTGAAATCTTGTAATATTTTTCTTCTAATATGGGGGCATCGATGACATGAAGATAACCAAACCTTGTCATTTTGATTTAATGACTGATTTTCCTTGAAAATTACCAAAACATTTAATTAAATTCCCATAACGAGAATGCGTGTCTAGATTGGGGTGTGTATAATCTTGGTGATGAAACACACTGTCTTTACTAAAGAATCTTTAGAGTTCAGTACAGGGTTGTGATGTAATTCGTGAAACATGATATTCTAATTTTAATTCTTAACTAATGAAAAGTGTTGGAATAAATAAAAAAGATGTACCGTTATCTAAATTGTATTTTAAAGTAATTTACAGTATTGTATAATATCTTTTAGAATTAATTTTCATATTTCTTTGTATTTTATTATTTGCTTTCTTATTTAGAAAAGATTGATTAAATATTATACGAGTGTAGCTACATTTTGTGTTGTAAAACATCTATTACATCTATCACATTAGAACATGTTAAATCCATCTTATACTTTTTATTTTCCTCTCTTCTCATGTAAATTCCCATAATATTCTGTATGAAAGAAAGTCCCCGAAATATCGGCATATTTTCGACTGGTAGCAACAAGTGAAATTTGTTTGCATGCATAATCATTAAAGGTCTTCCATCCTTAACTCTTCTCCAGTCAAGACCATAAATAACATTGACATTTTCCATACTGAACTGAACTTTCAGTCATCGCTGAGATCTTGAACTTGTCTGGATCGGGCTCCTAACTTTCCGTTTGGAACAAATTAAAATAAAGATATATAACATAGACTTAGTTCTTCAAAGTTCCCTTTTCTTAACCCTCTGTACCTTGCAAGCTGGCTATTGGAACAATTTCTGATTACCTCCCCTTTATAATATCTCCACGTAAATAAAGTTGCTATAGGAAACCCAATCCCCGTTTGTATATCCAGTAATGTGTAAAGTGAGATGTAATAATGTGCTGTTTCCTCTGTTGGCCATTGTCTTTTTCTAATCTCATTTTTTCTTCGTAAGTTGGATTGCCTTTGATGCAGCAAATCAACATATAAGCACGATGCCCATATAAAGAAATGACGTGTTATCAATCAGTACGTCGATTAATTAAATGGTTCAGCACAAACTCGTAGCACAGCTGCGTCCAAAGGACCCTACTATGTAACACAAACTCAAAGCTGTAGATCAGTTTTTGATATCAGTTAATAGAGTGTGCTGCTTTATCAACAGAACCCCTATAACATTCGTTGGCTTCAATACAAGACTTCCAATACATTTCAAGACACGTGCGAACTTCATCAATTCACCATTTCATAACTTTTCTAAGCACCAGCAGTAGCCATAGCTCCCTGATGAGAATGTGGTAAACATTGTGGTTCATTGCTATCATCCTCTGTGTCCCAAAGGAAACTAGCATATGCTGCTTGTACATGGCTGATATCATGAAACCATAAGCTATTGTCACAATGCATCCCCAATATACATGTAAGTTAATGGAAAACTTGATGTAAAAAGTACCATTATAACATAAACTGAATGTTATATATACCTGTCTTCGGGAGAGGCTTGAACTGCTCTTTCAAAATAGGTGGAGGCTCGTTCTTGGTCGTGATGTAGCTCCCAAACTAGCTTTCCATATTGTGATAGAACTTCTCCATCATTTGGGTCCGCTAGTATGGCACGGGAATAATACTCCTCTGCTCCTTCACGGTCTTGTTTGCACTGCCAAAAAGATAATTGCAACATCACCAAAAGAATCCACTAATTAAACCAAGTATTTTGTGTTTGAAAACGATTCTCATTTGTTTAAGTTGTACCGAAGAGGTTTAAAAGTAGTTTAATAACAACACCGAAAAAGTTGGGTATCATGATGATTTTCTCAACAGGTTAAGAGTTGTTTTGAAACATAAGGAAATAGAACTTACCTGATACAAAAAATTGGCATAATTCCTCAGAAACAACGGATTACAAGGATTTTCCTTCACCATTCTTTTGTAATATTCTTCCACTCCTTGCCTATCTCCATCATGCCCTCCAGAACCCATGTGGTTATGATCATCACCTCCACTGCCTCCACCACCACCTATGCAGCCACCTATGCCATCACCACAGACATCTACCCCAAGCCCCTTTGCAAGAAACATTTCTTTATCACTACCAACCTCTTGGTCACCAAAACTCACCCTGCAAACTCCATCCTTCACTCTCACTTCTTCACTCAGTATCATATCATTGCCTCTATTCACCACACTAAACCCGTCATCTTTTCTTTGGTTTTCCCTCAACCCTCCTCCTCTTTCCTCATATTCAATGTCACTTTCTGTTTCTTCGTCTTCCTCTTCTTCACTCAAGCCTTTTCCCTTTCCAGTAGAGACAGAAGGAATAGTCTCCAGCACCAAGCACCTGTTTCTAGCTGAAAACCACTTTGGAGGATCTGAATACTCGAATCTGTCTTCGTTGTTGTTGCAAGAAGAAAAGGCCAAATCTTGCAAGTTCCCTTCAGATTGAACTCTTCTAAAGCTTTTGTTTTGGCGTTCAAGTTCAGCAATAGAGGGAGAGATTGGAGAAGACCCACATGAGAATGAAGAGAGAATTGGATGGATAGAAAGTTTATGATAATGTTGGGGGACACTAGTTGGTGGTAGATGCTTGACTGCATGGCTGGTTTCAGAGTGAATGTTATTACTAGGACTATCTGTGAATGAAGAGAGGAGAGAACCAAGAACTGGAGTTGAAGAGCTTCTTAGCAGCATGCTTTCTCTCTGATTGATTCTTGTTTTTGGAGTATATGTACAAAACACTGAGGAAAAAGATCAATAACTGTTAACTAAATTATTTCTTCAGGTAAAAAACTAGAAAAGGGAAAAGTTTATTGATTCTTGAAACAGAAAACAATTTGACATGACTACAGGGAAAAGTAATGATGCTGAATGCTGATTGTTGAGGAGATAACACCGATTTCCAAAGAAGAAATATTGGGGTTGGAAAAGGAAGAGGAGAAAAAAGAAAAAGAAAGGTATACCCTTTTGAGATCCTCAAGAGTCCTTGGTGTTGATGACCCTCTAATCTATGCAATTTCAGATTACTATTGGAAAGGAGAACTTTTTATAGCAGCTGGCAACAAATCACAAAAATAAAGGTGAGGATCCTTTATATAGGGGATAGGACTGTGGTTGAACCTTCACATGTGAACATGAATGGAGTGGTTTATAATTTTGCAGACAAAAGAAATGGCATATTTGGGTAATGATTGTGTGGTGGACAAGTTATTTGGATCACATATGATAGGTGACGATATGACTCAACTGGGAGCACCAAAATATCAAGTTGGCGAGTTGTGTTGTGTTGTTAAGGGAACGGTGCAAATGGAAAGTACTAAGAAAAGGGTAACATTGTAGTAACAAAAAAACAAAGTACTACCAACCTTCACATGGAGCGAATATCCTCCATGCATTTGGGATCCTTAGGTTGTGCATGTAACTTATATACACGTTTTAATTTATGTCCGTACACGTGGCTCTTTTCACCCTTCTCGAACTATTCCACATTTCAAAATTTTACATTTGACTAGTTTAACAAAATCCTCGTAAAATTCAATTGAAGAAGAAAAATCAAAACATACTTGTTCATTTTTTGGAGCTGCTACGGGATATTTCCAGTTTGAGTCTTCTTTATTTATTTCCTTTTCCAGAAGAAAAATCGATTGAAGTTTCTTTAACCCAAAAAAAAAAAGAAAACCATTAAGTGGGTGGTGCGTACATTTCTGAATATTTAAAACAAACCGAATTTTCAAGAACCTCTTTTTATTAGAATTGGGATGATAAATTAAAAGGAAAATAAAAATACAGCTTAAACAGACGACTAAAAAAAAGTAACACAAAAACAAAACTATGAAAAGCTAAGGTAAGTAGACATGCAAAGGATGATTATAAATGAAGCCATTAGAGATGCAAACAACTCATTTATGAAATTTGAATTAAATTTTCAGCAGAAGCATCTTCCTTAGTATGTAAATTTGAGTGACGTATATGCTTAATTGTGTGAATGGTGCATTTGATATATATGAAGAATTTTATTGCATTATTAAAGGGTGTTGACTATTATTACTCTTAAAAGGTTGACACGCAAGCTAATTGTCCAAAATTGTTAATGCCATTGTTAAGAAGCCAAAACCATTTTCAGTTTATGATTCAAATGCTGAGCTTCCCAATTAAGCTATAATTAATGCCTTTAGATTAAAGACGAGTCTTGCAGTTTGATGGTGGTTCGCATTCTCATGTTATAATATTTTATCTTAAAAATTATTTATAAAATATAATTTATCTCATTAAAGAATAATGAAAAATTATAAAAAATTTAAATTTATTTATTAAAAAATATATTATATGTGTACGAGAATACTCACAAAACAGGTAATATAAATTTTATAAATATATAAATATTGTTTCAAATACTCTAAATATATTCATCAAAATATACTTGAATTTTACCTGTCCTATAAAAAGCTTAGAGGAATATATACACACTTGCGGAACGAGGACATTTTTTTTCAAATATATATAAATTTTTATTAAAATTTATAAAATATCACAAAATTTAATATATTAATAACATAAAATATTATATTAAAAAACCGTTAAAACTTCATTTATTTTGTGAAAAAAACCATTTTGAAGGGAAAAAAAAAAGAAACAAATATACTTAATTAAACCAGAAAAAAAAAAAAAAGAACAAATAACTATGAGAGTAGAGAGTGTAGTAAGTGTGCCTGTGTGACTCTTCCCCCAAATCTGCAATTAGGGTTTTGATAACCGTGCTTTCTCTCCACTGTTGTTCTCATTTACAACCTCCAATTTCTATTTCTAACATCAAAATACGACAGAACATCGCAATTTCTCTGTAACTCACGACATCGAAAGATACCGACAGCGTCGTGAGGTAATTCAATTTTTATTTGTTGATCATGTTGGCCAAGAGACTAAGCTCCTTCCTCAAATTCTCCTCAAAGCCTCAGATTTCCACGTATGATCTCTGTTGCTTCTTCTATTTCATTTTCATTGTTCATTTTTTTAGTTCTGTGATTATTTTTTAAGTAAATGAATATGTATGCTGATGGAAGGTTACAGAAAGTGTCCTCATTAACTCATCTATATGTTGAAATTTCCATCCTTGAAATTCCAGCCATAATAGCTAAACAAAATAATCAAATTCTGTAACCCAAATTAGGGAATTTTGCCATTTGCATCGTGCGAGGTGAAAATTCTGTGAATTTGGAATACAGTGTGATGATGAGTCCTAACACCGTGGAAGTAAGATATTACTCTTTTTTGTTTCAGCTGAAATTATTTTGTTGGTGAAAAACATGGAGTACTTGTTATCATTACTAGATTGAAATTGAGATCATGATCCTTGATTGTGACGCTAAGTTTTAAACTGTTGCAGTTCCGCGAAGAATGTGGATGAAGAGTCGAGCAAATACTTAGGTAGAAAGGCAGTGTCATTTGTTTTGATTACTATTACAGGTGGTGTTACTCTGAGTGCCCTTGATGACCTTGCTATCTATCATCGATGTAGCAGGTATATATTGTGCTGTGATGTGGGATTCGGTGCTATGAGTAGACAATAGCTAGTTATTTGTTTTAATCTCAGAGGAATGTGTTTGGTAGACATGACAAAACTATTAAGAACATCTTTCTAACATATTCTGATTTTAGACTTTAGAATAAGAGGCTCAAAATAGACCTACATTATCTTTGGAGAGGAACTGTTCCTCAAGGAGGCCTATTAATTTTTATTTTTTTTTTAAAAAAAAAACTGAACTTCTACATAATAATAACTAACAACATGAAATATTAAGAGCAATATCAATCTGTAAGGTCAGTTTATGATCTAAATTTTGTGGTTATCTTTTGTCTCAATATAACTCATTATGACATTTTCATTTTTCATAGTTAAGAAAGAAGGTCCTAAGGGAGTGCATGCGAATCAGATGTAGAAGACAGGGTTAATAATTCTATGCTTAGTTTGCTTTCCAGGATAACATTTATAGTTTCCTTGTGATATCATGCTACCTAAATGAGAGTAGCCCTCCATCTGTGATTAAAATAATCACTACTATCAAATTCTTCACCATCCCATTCCACCCCCAAGTAAATTCTATTCTATTTTTTAATTTTCTTTCAAATTGATGCAGTAGATACTAAATAGTAATCCTCTTGAATACTTTTATGAGACTACTACTAATGCTTATGACTTATCACAAAAGGAATTTCTTGACTTCTGTTCTTTACATTTCAAAATTGAAAATTTGTCCTCCTTGGCAGCTCCTAAAATTATTTGCTGTGAAATTTGCAGCAAGGCCATGGAGAAGGTGAGCAAGAACCAGGAAATAATTAATGCTATTGGAGAACCAATTGTTAAAGGTCCATGGTACAATGCATCTCTTGCCGTAGCTCACAAAAGGCATTCTGTGTCATGCTCATTTCCTGTTTCTGGACCACAAGGCACCGGTGTCTTACAGCTGAAGGCGGTTCATAACGGAGGTGAGCAATTTGAATATATATCTTTATGATTTGGATCGCAACTTTTGCCAAACTCTCAGTTAACTGTTTTAATCTGCATAACTACCGTGATATGCTTGCTATATGAATGAGTTCTCTTGCTTACTTTGACAAATTATAAATTTTTTGCTTGTGATTGCTACTTGACTTTGTAAGATCTATAGAGTTTGAAAAGTGGGAATACTGATGTGAGTTTGGTAGCTAATGGGAATGATTTTTGGTTTGGCTTCTTTGAAACAGATGACTCTTGGTTTTCCTATGTTCTTCCGCGTGATTGGGACATATTAATCATGGAAGCTCTCCTCCATGTACCTGGGAATGAGGAGAAGCATCGATCATTCCGGATCAGTCTTGCTGACAAGTTGCCTTCTTCTTGTACTGCTTGCCCCGAGTGTGTACCTCATTCATCAGAAAATTCTGAGGCAAAATTGAATTCCAATCAATAAGCTAAAATGGCTATCTTTGATTCATCTAAGAACAAGTTTTTGACCCATTTTATGTTTTAAACCGTGGCATGATTTGAAGGCTAGGAGGACGTCAATATTGATTTGGTTTTTGATAGAATAAATTTATTTCTGAATTGTCGTTTGGTAATTTGTTGTAATATTTTCATCTTCTCATTTGACTATGAAAATAAATTTTGCCTTTTGGGATGATGTAAATTTTCTTTATCTTCCGTTGCCCTTACGACTCGTGATAAACTGTAGAGTGGTGTGTATTAAATTGAACATTGTACAATGCTGGACATATTCATAATTTCAAGTGTGGGTGAAAGTTGAATTTTTTTTTTACCCCTTATTTCAAATATTAAGATCTAAATATATTAAAATGGTTTGGTTTAGCTTGTTGGTTAAAAGTCTTAAGTTTTAAATAATTTTAAAAACTTATCTTTAAATCAATTACAACAATAACTAAAGTCTTATTTTCCTAGTTAAAGCCGGATTACATGAATTTTACAACACTAACTAAATTCAGTAAAAAGTTATTTTTTTTTTATATTATCTATCACTATATTTTTTTAAAGTTATTAGCTCTAAATCAATTAATAAGTCTAAATTTATATGTATGTTTATTATTATTAATGTTTTGTCAGAATTTTAAGACTTTTTTTAAAGACTTTTTATTACTTTAAAATTTAACTTTTTAATTAAATTAAAAAAATAATTCTTTAATATATAGGATAAAAAGCACTTAATCTTCGTAAAATATCTTGCACTTTCTATCCTCATATATCAATTTAAGTATAATATGCCCTCATTTAACACAACATATTATAAATTTGTTTTCCTATCTAATTATATTTGACAATGAATTTGCAGTCGCCAGAGTTAGCAGTGGAAACTAAAGTCGAATTAGGAATTTAGACTCATTTCAGACTCGGATTTTGTTTCATCTTATATTGTTCTTTTAGAGCAAATTATTTCTAGCTTTTCCAAGAGCTTGTACACATACTAGTGTTGTGTCGTTGGGCCTTTTCCACTCCCAGGTTACAATCTTGTTTCTTAGAGCAAGTGAACTCAAGGATTGTATATTGAGGGAATTTTTTTTTCTTGTAATAGGAAAAAAATTTGTATGATTCTGGACCACGTGATCATGACTGATTATACTATGTTATTATACAAATTTTATAATTTTAAAAAAATTAATACATAATAAAATATGAGTGATCGGAATCACATAATTTCAGACTACCTAATAATTACTTGGGATAACAATGACAATAAGAAAATATCTAAAAGAATGAAGTGATTTTATTAAATAGAAATGATTTTGATTTGTATATTAATTTTATCTTTTAGTCAAGATTTTTAACTAAACCGTGTGTGTGTTTTTTTTTTTAAATGCCTAGATGTGCTGCATTTACAAGTCCTTATAGCTTTTCCCTCTTCTCTGAACATTAAAAGCAATGTGATGTGCTATCATTTTCTTACACACTGTTTTCATTCATTTGTTCTTCTTGGAAGTTCCGAAACATGTCTTGATATATCCAGCCACAAGATGCTCTAGAAATTATTGTTTGTAGCATCAGGGTGTCTACCACGGGTAAAATTATCAATGATAATGCACAAAAATAGCAATGCTTTATCATTTGTCATTATAAAAATGTGTTTTCTTTTCTTTGAGAAAGTTGGTATCCCATATTTTATTTCATGTGTGCGTATACATATATACATGTGCAAGTGCTGATAATGTACTCCATTTGTTTTTTAAGATAAATAGGTTAACAAATTATATTTTTAAGTGCATTTTAACAAATTTTAATTATAATTTACTAAATTATTTCTTTTTTTTTAATGAGGAAGAATACACTAGCATCTATAAACATTAATATACTCCCCTAATCCAATTGTTGACTTATTCAAATCTAACAAGAAAAATCATTATGCCATAGCTGACCAACCCTAATGGAATGGACTGACAATAATTGACACCTCTAATAAAAACCCTTTACCCATAATTTTCATACATATGCATTTGGTTTGAATATACTTAATAAATGAAGGTAATTTAAAAAGTGATTTTTTGATTCATAAATTTTTTAAAAAGTGATTTGTTAAAAGTTTTTTTAATTGTAAATTCTTAACAATTTATATAATTTTAGAATAGGTGCATAAATAAATAATAAATGATTGTAAAATGAAAAAGAAAGGGTAGTGGTAATACTAGTATATGATTTAGAATTACATGGGAGTATTGTGGCATTCCACATGTCGGTGACAGAGAGGAGGCAGCGTAAAACACGGTCTCCTGCGCCGTCGACAAACGCCAGGTGGCAACGAGGTTGCTTGAAACGTGGCATTGTATGAAAAACCGTTGAATATGGACATGCTGGGTGTGGCCCCCACGTTTGTCGGATTGTCCTTTGGATATGATGTGTGGTGGGTCCTACCCCCCCCCCACCCCACACACACAATCTAGTTACTTGTTCCTTCTTCTAGTGTCTTCTTCTTCTTTACCATTATCTCATATTGCACTTCTTTCTCTTCTCTGCAATTCATAGTTCATATTCACTGACTCCACTCTTGCTTCCATCATGTCTAAAGATGATAACGTCGTCCTCTCTTCACAGGATTCTTCCTCTGATCTTGAGTTGGGACTCGCCTTAAGCCTTTCTCCCTATGCCTCTCATTCCGATTCTCATTCTCCTCTACCCTCTAACTCTCCCAGGTATATATTAATACTTTCTTTTATGATTAATCATTGTTTAACCTTGCTCAATAATACATTAGATTTCGTGATTTTCAATGACAGTTTAATGTATATAAGCTTTTATTGCATTCTTCACCTACACATGGAAAAATCATGTAATTAATTAGAAACATTTAATAGAATGAATTAAATACTATCAAGAGTTGGGTCTAGCAGAAGAGACTAGTTTTCCACATTGTGGTGGACCTGGTTCGTATTCCCTCTGGGAGAGGCACTCACCATTAATGCACAATGAGTCTTGAGAAGGATTACCCAATATGGAGAATATGGGCGGGAAATCCCAAGAGCAAAATAGTGCATTTAATACATCTTTAGGGTATGTTTAGATTCATCGAAAGGAATGGAATGGTATAGTTTCATTGTTTGGATATTTTAAAATAAGATAAAGAAAGTTGGAATGGAATGGAATGAATTCTATTCCATTTCCTCCAATATTTATCTTTTTCTTCCCCTTTAGTTTCCATTTCAGCACAAAAATATCTATACAATGAAATGGTAACTTTATATTTAACTCCATCTCATCTCATTTCATTTATTTCACTATCGGATATCCAAACATAACCTTAATGTAATACATTATTTATTTTGGGTTATGTCCTACAATCTACAATTTCTTATATACAGTGTACTTTAGTATTCAGTCCAGCTGTCTCAAAATTGATAACAAACCAAAAAAGAAAAAAACAATAAGAAAATTTCTAAGGACTATGGCTTGTTTCATCTGCTCTGTTAGTCATGTGAATTTTAATACTTTGTTTAATAGAAGTAAAGCAGCAACTTAACTTTACACTGTATAAATTACCCAAGTAGAGTATGAGGTCTGTGGTGCTATGATTTACATCAGCAGACTATATTCTCAAGTTGTAGGGTAATTTTATAGCATTTTAATTGTAGTGCTTCCACTTATACAAAGAAAAGTTGCTTTGTAGTTTAAATTTCTCAACAAGTTTGCCATGTGCAAGACACCTTGTTTCATTTTGTGATGCTTTTAATTCTGATTTTTTCCAATGATTGCTTTAGTGCCTTACCCTACCCTTTATAGAAACAGAATAAATGAAATATTTTTTGTTGATGAGATTGTCACTTCTGTTGTGGCTGATTTTTTTTATGCAGTCAAGTAGTTGGATGGCCTCCCCTTGGAGTGTATAGAATGAACAGCTACAATAGCCATGCAAAATCACCAGCTGCAGAAATATTCAATTCTACAATTGAGAAAAGAGAGAGCAATGCTACTTTGGTAAGGAAGAGTGCAAATGGTGGCAGTGATAATGACAACATTATTGCCAAAGAAAAAAGAAGCCTTAGAAGTTCCTTGTTTGTGAAAGTAAAAATGGATGGGATACCAATTGGAAGGAAGGTTGATTTGAGTGCTCATAGTTCCTATAAAACCTTAGCTCAAACCTTGGAGCATATGTTCAATGAATCTACTACAGTCCACACTTGCAAAGGTATTTTTTCTTTATATTTGTGCTCCTAGCAAACAAAATGCAACTCCTGTATGGAATTATATTATGGCAACGAAATTCTGGCATGTCATTTTTTCTATCGGTGGTGGATTTTGGACTTTAGAAATAGCATAACATTTAATTTTGTCTTTTCAATGTGCTTGTTTCATCTTTTCTACTGATGGCATTGAAATCACCGTCATAGGATCAAATGGAGAAGATTGTTGTACTATAGTTGGAGCAGATGGGCATTCAAAATTACTGGATGGTTCTTCTGACTTTGTGCTCACTTACGAAGACAAGGAAGGGGATTGGATGCTTGTTGGAGATGTTCCTTGGTGGTAAGTATTTTGTTCATACTAATCAATTAGATTTTAGTGTCAAAATTTCTCTCCCTCTATTGATATATTTCACATGCGGTATACTTTTCCATCCAGCTAAAGTTTTATTTGTTGATCGAAATTCAAATAGTATGTGTGTTGTTTAATTTGGTCTGGCAAATCTAAAGAATATATCTGTGTGCTAGGAAGTACTTGCTGCTCTTTAGATAGTATCATATTCAGAGTAGCTTGAGTCCTTTGGGAAAACCTAGGTGGATCTAATGCTAATAACTGATAGAGACTAACATGCTTTTCCCCATTATTGTATGTTGTAAACTTATTATTTTTTGGTTAAACCTTCAAACTTCTACTTTAATGCTGTTACCCCTTGCATTGGCTGTCAACGGCTCAAGATTCTATCTGAAAAATTGATGGTGGCCGAAAGTAGCTGCAAGATTTAAGGCTTAAATGTATTATATTTTGCTGTTGATTGCACAGTCTATGTTAATATCATAGCATTTAAGTCACCATTCAGTGCAATCCAGCATATCATTTTCTAGAGTTCTTAAAATTTGCCGAACAAGGGACATAATGAGTAATTGTAACTAGAACAAAAAGCAATCACTCTTAAGATTTGAGAAATGCATTTGATACATGTATGTTCATGGTAGGCAGATGTTTGTTTTTTTTTTTTGTCATCTTATAATGTTGAAGCGTAGACCTCTTGTTTTATTGATATTAATCTACCTCTGTCCTTAAAATTGCAATCCAGGATGTTCCTTAACTCTGTGAGGAGGCTAAGAATCATGAGGACACCTGAGGCTAATGGACTTGGTAACTAGACGCATTATTATTCTTAACACAACTCTTTTACTCTTCTTTTTCTAATGTAGTTACTTATTTGCAGTTCCAAGATTGGAAGAAAAGAACAGCAAATTGAAAAGCAAGCCCATATAGAGAATATTTGCATCTTTAGTTGTGTATACATAAAACTTATGGCCTAAAATGTACATAAAAAACAGAAGTGATAAAAATGAAAAAAAGAAAAGAAAAATAGTAATACTATGAGTAAATGGATTTTGATATTTAAATGATCAAGCCTTTTTTTTTTTTGGGTGGGGGGTTCAGTTCATATGCTGTTTGTTAAGTTCTCTTGGTATATCACTTGGAGGGCACAGGCGCTATAAATTTTCATGTAATGTTAGTTATATAAGGATTTGCTGTTTGTTAATTATGTAAATGTAAATATATGTTTGCTAACTTTCTTATCAAATTTTGATTGCTTTCTCTTTCCATACTGTGCTGTATTCTGAATTTTCAGTTGAATTAGGAGAGCTATTGTCTTAAATTTGCCAGCACTAGTTGAAGTTAGTGTGAGACGTATAATACTTGTTGCAAAAACGCACACAAAACTCTGGTTAGCAAGTGGGATATGCTTACGCTATGATTCCCTTACAAATTTGAACTAAAACATGATAAGGTTTTATTAAAAAATAAAAAATTTCTTATATTTTTATATCTTTAACATAATAAATATATATTTTTTAATAAGATTTACTATTTTGAGTTGTTTAAATTTAATCTTAAAGACAGTTAATAAAATCATAATGTATATGGATGCTGGACCACATTGCTTAAGAGTTAACATTTGTTTTATAGGGTTTCTTACATTTTAACATATATTCAAGAAAATCTTGTACATTTCCTTGTAATGTTTTTGTCAAGAAAGATTAAGTCCTCAAGCACAAGCAATCTTGTGGAATTTTAGAAAGAATGCTTGCCCGGAATTTTGGCAACCTGTCGCTTGAAAATAATGAAGTGGCACCCATTTTTAGAGTAATTATTTTGATTATGAGTTTGAGTGAATAATAAGGAATATGATTAAGGAATATGATTTTTGAGCTTAATAATGTAGACATGGTGTTTAAAAAAATGATGAGTTTTAGAAAAAAAAAATAAAAAAATCAAAGTTGGAAGATCAAGTTATGTCGCATGAGTTATAGGTTTTAAAATTGTTAATTATAAATAAAATAATAAGCACTAAACATCGTCAATACATTCTAATTGATCGGCATATATAAAAAATAATCAATGATAATTTTACTTATTTTTCATATTTTCATAGTTTTCTTCAAAATTTCATATTTTAGTATTTAATAGTAAATTTTTTTCATATAAAATAGAAGGAGCCTATGCAGTTACGATTTCGATTTAGACTTGAATAAATGGACCGGAAATGAGAATATTGACTAGCGGTCAATGTAAGACGACTTAAATTAGTGTTACTGTTCATATTCTATAAAAATTAAATTCTTGAAGTGATTAGTAAATTGTTTTTTATATTTAATTTTCAAAAAATATAAAATCGTCTTTAAAATTTAAAAATTGAAAGTCATTTAAAATTAATTTTTGGAATTTAAATTTAAGAAGGTATAAAATTACTTTTAAAATTTAATTTTCAGAAGTAATTGTCAAATAAATTTTTAAATATAATTTCTAAAAAGTATGAAACTATTTTTAAAACTTAAATTCCAGAAACGATAGTAAAATTGGTGATACTAATAGTAAAAAAGGATGGTGCAAAAGATAAATTCCAAGTTAGTCTAACACTAATTAAGAGCCTAGAGAAAGAACAAAATTAACCCCAGAGCTTCATGACTTTATCAATAGATCTTTGCAAAGGAAAGCTCCTCAGATTTATTTGGGGAATAAAATGCAACCATGTCTTCTGTTTACTTCGATAGTACGTTTAGAAAATTATCTTTTTTATTGAAAGGATAATAGGTACAATTACTTTATCTTGGTTTCTATTGAAATCTATGGTTCTGTACCAAAGTCAAGATACAAAAGAACGTTTATTTGCAAAAATCAATACATTTTGATACACCAATTAATATTCTAAGATAAATAGGCATGGCTGATTACAAAATTACAGCTCTAAACGGGTTGATGGGCAGGGAAAAAGTCATTTTTTGGTTCCTAGACAAGGCCAATTAACATGGTGATGTGCTAAAACTTGACATGTCTTTGTTGTTAGCTGCACATGTTTCATTGTTGCCACTGCTCTTTCTACGAGGCTTTGCCTCTCCAAGCATCATTGTGACATCCCTCATGGTGGGTCTGTCCTTAGGGAGCTTGGCAGTGCAAAGAATAGCTATTCTTAGAACTAAAAGCATCTCTTCTAAAACATGTTTGCAGTTTCCTACAATTGGGTCTAATGCTGCTTCTAGAGATTTGTTGTCTCTAATCTTCCTTCTAATCCACTCTACTATGTTCACTGACTCTCCAAAATCTGGATCCAAAGGCCTTTTACCCGTGAGAAGCTCCAACAAAACTACTCCATAACTGTAAACATCAATCTTTTCATCCACCTTCAAGGCATATCCATATTCTGCCAAATAATAAATCATTAAAATGTCATGAATACAAGTCTTGTACATTTAATAAAGAGTAAACATCTCTTAACAAATTCGAATATAAACAGTCTTACCTTTCTATTCTAATTGCTTACTGAAAATTATGTTCTCTGATAATTTAACAATTAATTTTTCTAACGTGTACTCAAGGGGACGGGTTAAGAAATCAAGAAATAGTAAGTTTTTATTGAAAATGTAACATTTAATGTTATCCTGTGATATCCTGTGATTTTCAATAAGAAGTTATTATATATAGGTTCTGTGAGCTCCAGGACACAAGTTTTAAATCCTACTTGCTCTAAAATGGTTTACTGTAGCGATTAATACTAGATGAGGTAAGATTTATGAACTAGGAACTCACCAGGGGCAATGTAACCGTATGATCCAGCAACCATGGATACTGTTTCATTCTTCCTGATCATCATCTTGGCTAAACCAAAATCTGCTATCCTGGCCTCAAGATTTGCATCAAGCAATATGTTATTTGACTTGATATCTCTATGGATAACGGGTGGATGACAGTCATGATGAAGATAAGCAAGTCCTTGTGCAACTCCTAGAGCTATGTTATACCGCGAAACCCAGTCTACAAGCAGTCTTGCTGCTTGTCTACCATGCAGGGCATCTCCAAGGTTTCCATTGTGCATGAATTCATAAACTATCATCACATCAGTGTCATTATATAGAAATCCTAATAGTCTAACAATGTTCCTATGCCTTAGCCTCCCTAGAAGATTCACCTCTCCCACAAGGTCATCGCTGCTTCCTACTTCAATATCATTTCCTGACCTCCACAATTTTTTCACTGCCACAACTGTATTTGATTGTGGTATCTCAGCCTTATAAACAACTCCAGTAGCTCCCATGCCAATCACATTGGTTTCCTTGATGCAAGCTAGAACGTCAGTACTAGAAAAACCAAGCCTTTGAAATGCCATCAATCTCCAAGGCCACCCTTTGCTACCCTTATAAAATCTTTCTTGGAAGCAAAATCCATTAGTGTACCACCTTAAGTACAAAGATCTTGCAACCAAAATTGCAATCCCGATAACAAGGATCGATGATATTCCGGCAATCCATCCAGTAATAATGTGCTTTGCATGTGAGCTTCCATGCCTTAATGAGTATGCAGAGTTCTGGTCACATGGAGGGAGGATACCACCACATAGGCCAGCATTTCCCACGAGATCATTTGGGTTTATAGTTCTTAGCATTCCATTTGCCGGGACAGAGCCTTCTAGTTTATTGTATGAAACATTGAATGCTTCCAGAGCTGGAGAAAGACCAAAGCTTTCTGGTATTTGACCTGTCAGTGAATTGTTGGAAAGATCAAGCATGGCTAATGTAGTCATGCTGGCTAATGCTCTTGGGATTTCACCACTCAATAGGTTGTTTTGCAAGTTCAAATTTACCAACTTTTGACATGAAGCAATGCTTGCTGGAATGCTTCCAGATAAATAATTTGATGAGAGATCAAGAACTGTAAGTGAGGGACAGTCCTGGAATTGGTCTGGGATTTCACCTTTCAAGTTGTTGTTGGAGACCATGAAAGCTTGCAGGTTTGGAATGGAAAGAACTGTGGAAGGAAGAGAAGAATGGAGTTTGTTTCTTGAGAGATCAATGAAAGAAAGGGATGCGGAAGAAGCAATGTCATCTGGAATTCCACCAGAGAGAGTATTGTTAGCTAATTCTAACCTTTGAAGCTTCCCAAGCTTCCCAAAGCCCACAGGAACTGTCCCAGAAAGAAAATTGTTTTGAATTCGAACACGAACAAGTGAAGGACACATTGATAGGCTTGATGGAATTGGACCAGAGAAGGCATTGTTGAAAAGTATAAGCTTGGTGAGATTGCCTTGGCTGCAAAGAGTTTCTGGAATCTCTCCAGAAAGTGAATTGGATGATACATCAAACCATTGCAATGGTGAATTCTTGCCAAGGTTACTAGGCAATGGTCCTGACAAGGAATTGTTCCATAGCTCAAGTACCTCCAATTGAGGCAAACCTCCAAATCCAGAAGGCACAGGACCAGACAACTTGTTGCCCATCAAGTTCAGAAGCTTCAAATTCTTCAGCTGACTTATTTCTGCTGGAATTCTTCCTGAAAACATGTTATCAGAAAGATCCAGCAACAGCAAAGAACTCATGTTGCCAATTTCTAATGGAATTCTGCCTTCAAAATTGTTGTTATATAAGAAAACTGTATCCAATAACTCGAGCTTTCCCAATGTAGCTGGAATCTCACCACCAAGATTGGCTACTGCTAAATCAAGATACTTAAGATTGGTGAGATTTCCAAACTCTATTGGAATCCCACCTTCAAATTCATTATAACCAAGGATCATTGATTCCAGTGATGAAAGTTGCCCCAGCTCTGCAGGAATTTTCCCTGTGAGATTATTTCCTGATAGACCAAGGAACTTCAACTTATGCAAGTTACTGAACGATTTTGGAACCGACCCTACGAAGAAGCTGCCTCTGAGATCCAGCATTTCTAAGGAAGAGGCATTTCCAAGGTCCTCAGGAAGAGAACCGGAGAACTCATTGCTGGATGCATTTAAGGTCATAAGTCTCCATGCCCTTCCAAGGCCTACTGGAAAATCACCATTGAAGAAATTTTGGCTGACATCAAGACTGTTAAGTGTGGTGAGATTGGCTAAGGATTTTGGCAATGGTGATGAAAAAGCATTGCAACATAAGTTGATTGAAGCAAGACTTCTAAGTTTTTGTATATCATTGGATACTATACCACTGAGATTCTTGT